CAAATTGTAAAAAGTCAAGCTTGAAAAATCTAAGTGTTTAGTCTTAGTAAGTCTGTTGTGGTGCTGGGGCTGTCGGTTCTTCTGGCTTTGGAAGGCATTCAGGAAGAGGAACGTCAGTCATTCGTTTGTGTCCTGTTGGAAGGAAAATTTTTTCCTGTTGGAAGGAAAAACTTTTCCTGAAGTTCGACCAAAAAGTTCTCAATTTTCGAAAATTTGAATGGTTTACGGACGGACAACTGGAAAAATTTTTCCTGTCGGAAGGAAAATTTTTTCCTGTCGGAAGGAATTTTTTTTCCTGTCGGAAGGAATTTTTTTTCCTGTCGGAAGGAAAATTTTTTCCTGTCGGAAGGAAAAGTTTTTCCTGTCGGAAGGAAGGACTCGGAATGCCAGAAGGATTTGACGAGGCAATTTACATTATAGAGCTACTTGAGCCATCTGAAGTCAAGCGTAAAAATAAAGAGTTCATTTACTCTACTTGTTTGAAGTTGTCAAAATACTCTGTTATTTTTTCCTTTAACAATGACAAATCTTCTTTGAATGTAAGAATTGTACAACCTTTAATATCATAGTGTGTTTGAGGTAACGTATCTTGAACTATTTGTTTCACATCTTCATTTGGAGTCATTGAAATCGGTAAGTTTTCGCGATAGAACCAATTTCTGTCAGATTTGTAAATCTTAGCAAGGTCGTAAAAGCTTTTGTTGTTTCTTCTGACTAAATGCAACATAACCATATCTTTATCTTCTTCATTTTCCATCTCTTCAGTATAAATCATATACTTATAGTTCTTTTCCTTACCTTTTGGTACCGAACGTGGTATTCTTTTCTGAATGCTTTTGTCTTTTGCTTCAATGACTTCATTTTTTGCTTGAAGTTTCTTTTCCATCTCTTCACGTTCTTGTCTATGAATTTCGTCAAGAAGTCTGTAAATATACCAAGCATAACGAGGCGAAGCCCACATTGCAACAGCATTTACAAGAAGTCTATGTACATAATATCCTCTCAAACCATTTGGCAATTTTTCACGATTTTCGTACGGAATCTCTACCCTCGGTTTTCCGAGGGTAGCAAACATATGAGGAAATTCTTCTAAAAGTTCTTTTGTCTGTTGGTTTTCAAACCAATGATATGCTTGCTTTGTAGAACGAAGAGCGTTCAAAATACTTTGCATCTGGTACATATCGTCTTTGACCGAACGAATGAGACGTAACTGTTTGTTATACTGTATGTACTCGTATTCTTCATTTATAGCTTCATGAACGATAGCAGTTGTTGTGTTCTCTGTTGTTGACATATCTGTCTTTACATACAAAATAAAAAAATAAATAAAAATAAAACTAACTTTATTTTTTCTATCTTTCACAAAAGACCAAAAATAAACGCTTTACATGTATTTTTCAGCAACTTCGTCAAATAATTTTATAGCTTTATCTATCTCATCCACTTCAAACGTTTCTTTACCTTTTATGGGAGCACCATATATTTTCTCAAACTTTTCAAGTAGTTCTGTTTCAGCAGCTCTCATATCGTTAACGAACACAACCTTGACTCTATTGACTGTACTGTCATATCTTTGAGTTATTATATGTTCTTCCTATCTTATATCTCTTTGTATTGAAGTCCTTCGGTTTCTGAACGATGTAAAGTAAGCCTTCACTGCAACGTTCCGTATCGAATGAACCATATGTTATGAAGTTATATCCAACAACTGGGTCTAACCATAACAAAACTATTGGTATAAGACTTTTGTCTATGAGATATGCTGTAGTTCCATAGAATCTTACCGATATCATAAGCTCAGGATTTCTTGTCAAAATTTTCTGAGTTGAAGCATTTCTAACCCAGTCGTTTGTTTTCTTTCCAAATGGAGATAAAATGTCTGACAAAGAATATTTGTTGTATTTCTTTGAGTATCTTACGTTTAAATCACCAATTCTAACCAATTTAGTGTTATTGTCTATCTTTTTAACTGTTTCAAACTCAGTGTTTGTCATTTTTGTTCTTACATACAAAATAAAAAAATAAATAAAAATAAAACTAACTTTATTTTTTCTGTCTTAAGGAAATTCATGATTTTCATAGAGTTTTGGCGACCAGGGTTTTTTCCCTACTCGCAATTTTTCACGATTTTCATGAGTTTTAGGCGACCCCGAAAAAAGTCTGGGTCGCAATTTTTTACGATTTTCATGAGTTTTAGGCGAGTAAGATTTTCTATCTTGTATAAAAGATATGATTTCAGGGATTTTTTTTACGAAGTGTCAAAGTTCTCTTCGTCAAAAAATAACAGTTATATAATGAAATTTGGTCATTTTTTTACGATTTTCATGAGTTTTAGGCGACCAGGTTTTTTTCCCTACTCGCAATTTTTTACGATTTTCATAGAGTTTTAGGCGAGTAAGATTTTCTGTCTTGTATAAAAGATATGATTTCAGGGATTTTTTTGACGAAGTGTCAAAGTTCTCTTCGTCAAAAAATAACAGTTATATAATGAAATTTGGTCATTTTTTTCAGCAAAAATATATTTTAGGGTAGAAGGTTAGATCTAACCTGTTCTCTACCCTCTTTTCTACCCTCTTGAATTTTCATGATTTCATCGTACATGTTTTGTCAAGACTTCTTCGTAAATGTTTTGTCAAGACTTCTTCTTCGTACATGTTTTGTCATGATTTCATCGTACATGTTTTGTCAAGACTTCTTCGTAAATGTTTTGTCATGACTTCTTCTTCGTAATGAGCGTAAATCAGACAAAAATATATTTTAGGGTAGAAGGTTAGATCTAACCTCTTTTCTAACCTCTTTTCTACCCTCTTGAATTTGTCATGATTTCATCGTAAATGTTTTGTCAAGACTTCTTCGTACATGTTTTGTCAAGACTTCTTCGTAATGAGCGTAAATCAGACAAAAATATATTTTAGGGTAGAAGGTTAGATCTAACCTGTTTTCTAACCTGTTTTCTACCCCAGTTATTTTATAAGCGTTTTACATGGTAAACGTTATTTTTTAAATTTTGTGAAAACTCAACGGTTTGACACAAGCCCTAAAAATTATTTTACTCAGAATTTTGTTGCTGAATTCAGCAAAAATAATGTTTAGGGTAGAAGGTTAGATCTAACCTGTTTTCTAACCTGTTTTCTACCCCAGTTATTTTATAAGCGTTTTACATGGTAAACGTTATGAATTCGTGAGACTCTAAACAGTTTTGTAGCTTCTATTTCTTCTGTCAGTATGTCAAAAGTTTTAACTATGCCGAAAGTCTCTTTATATTTCTTCTTGACGTCAGATAGAAGGAAATCGTCAGCAGTTGGATAGTTTTTGTTCAGAAATTCTAACATGTCCATTTTATTTTCTACCGGCTTCTCTGCTTCTTTCTTTAAATCTGCATAGTCGTTTCTCATACGTTCTATCTCTTTGACGGAGTAGTTATATTTCCTCATTGCTGCTTTACATTTAGAACATTGCGGGTTCATTTTTGCGTTATACATTGAAATAAAACCAGCTAAAACAACCAAGGCGTCAATGGTTTTCTTTAAATCTGAAGCAGTTGGTTTTATCTGTTCGTTCCATATTTTACATCTTTTATCTTTATCTCTTATCTGCCATACACATTTTGCAGCTAATGAAACAAAGTTGTCGTAGGTCTTAAACTCCCCGGATTTATATATGTCAGAGATGTTCTTATATACCATGTCGCAATCTTTGTCCATAACCTTATGGTTGCAATGAAATCCAAGAAACTCATAGTTTACCTTTCGTATGAACTTCTTTATTTCTACTGAGTCAGTTGCTTTGACTTCAATTTCGTCGAATTCAGGAATAGTGAGCTTTTGTTGTTGGATTTCAGGCAATTTGGGTAAATGGTCAATAATGTCCTGCATTTCATAAAGATACTGTTCATTTGTTTCATCTTTCGCACTACAGTCTAAATTACATGTTAAAAGTTCCTGCTTTATCTTCTGGATTTCTGTTTCAAAAGTATATGAAGAAGGAATGAAGCTTTTCATTTCTACTAACATTGACGTAGGATTCATGACTAACGAGTTTGGTGAAGTTGTTGTTTGTATTGTTGTTGTGCCGATTGTTGAAATCATATCTTTTATACAAAATAAAAAAATAAAATAAAATAAAACTAACTTTATTTTTTATTTCGGGAAAATTCATGAAAATTCATGAGGTTAGAAAAGAGGGTAGAAAGGAGGGTAGATCTAACCTTCTACCCTAAAATATATTTTTGGGTCCTTTACACTCATTACGAAGAAGTCTTGACAAAGCATATACGATGAAATCATGAAAATTCAAGAGGTTAGAAAACAGGTTAGAAAAGAGGTTAGATCTAACCTTCTACCCTAAAATATATTTTTGGGTCCTTTACACTCATTACGAAGAAGTCATGACAAAACATTTACGAAGAAGTCTTGACAAAACATTTACGAAGAAGTCATGACAAAACATTTACGAAGAAGTCATGACAAAACATTTACGAAGAAGTCATGACAAAACATTTACGAAGAAGTCATGACAAAACATTTACGATGAAATCATGAAAATTCATGAGGTGAGAAAAGAGGTTAGAAAAGAGGTTAGAAAAGAGGTTAGATCTCACCTCTTCACCTAAACATTATTTTTTGGTCCGGGAACAAAATGAACGAGGTCAGGATGTATGCAAATACCTTTGAATTCATTCATAACACCCTTTGTAAGCTCATAAAATGCTTGTTTTGAGGTCGAGCCACTTTTGGCTCCACCGTATTCTTTCAACCAAAACTCAAGAATTTCCCGCATGAATTTTGTATAAAAACCAACCGTCTGTATTCCGACGGTTGCTATATTCTTCACAAAACATTTACGATGAAATCATGACAAAACATTTACGAAGAAGTCATGACAAAACATTTACGAAGAAGTCATGACAAAACATTTACGAAGAAGTCTTGACAAAACATTTACGAAGAAGTCATGACAAATTCATGAGGTTAGAAAACGTGTTAGAAAAGAGGTTAGATCTAACCATCTACCCTAAACATTATTTTTTGGTCCGGGAACAACTTTCTCTCAATTGGAGCTGTAGCATACTCTTTGCGTAAGCGGTTCAGACCTTCTTCGAACTCTTGGTCTCTCTTCGATTTGGATTGAGATTGGAATTGCTGGGGTGGAGCTTGCTGGAACATCCAAGGGTTGGGGCAGTAAGGCATAGGCTGAGGAGGGTAGTTCGGGAAGCCTTGTGGTGGGTAGTAACCTTGAGGTGGAAATTGGTAGAAATTCGGAGGTACTTGCTGGAACTGAGGTTGCTGAGGAGACTGTTGTGGTTCTTTAGGTTCCTCTGGTTTGGGAATGGACTCGGTTGGTGGGACGTCGGACATTCGTTTGTGGCTTAACCGTCGGACCACAAACGATAAAAATCTCTGCTACTAGCAGTACTGCTACTGACAGTAGCAGTACTTTTACTGACAGTAGCAGTACTTTTTCTGACAGTAGCAGTACTTTTTCTGACAGTAGCAGTACTTTTACTGACAGTAGCAGTACTTTTACTGACAGTAGCAGTACTTTTACTGACAGTAGCAGTACTTTTACTGACAGTAGCAGTACTTTATCGTCGAAAACCCTCTCAAATTTTCCTTTTTACTGACAGTAGCAGTACTTTTACTGACAGTAGCAGTACTTTTACTGACAGTAGCAGTACTTTTACTGACAGTAGCAGTACTTTTACTGACAGTAGCAGAGATTTTTATCGTCCAACTTTACAAATGTAAACTTATATCGTTCTATTTTCTTCACTAGGGTCTAACACCAAAGTAACCTTACAAATGTAAACTTATATCGTTCTATTTTCTTCACTAGGGTCTAACACCAAAGTAACCTTACAAATGTAAACTTATATCGTTCTATTTTCTTCACTAGGGTCTAACACCAAAGTAACCTATGTACATGAAATTTCACTGCATAAAAGGAAAAAACCTGCGCGAATCGGGATTTGAACCGAGGTCTTCGACGCCTTTAACGAGGTAGCCCATACCACTGAGCTATGAGCCGCTTGCATATTCACAAAAATAAATTGTTTTCATGAGTTTTCTACGATGTTAGAAAAAATGTTATTTTCTAATATCTTCACATTCAATACTTTTTCAGCACTTTTCCGTAGTTATATATGAAAGACAATTCGAGATAAAAGTCATAGTACAATGGAATAATATGTTGCACACCATTTGTTGTGAACCAAACTTGAAAGTCAGAGAAACTGTTACTAGGTGGTTCGTAGAATTTAGAAGCAAAGTCATAAAAGTCCTTACCAATACATAGAAAACTATTGTTGCTTGAACTGAAACTTGCATGACACATAACATTTTGAGGGTCAAACACGTTTCTATAAACTGTCAAATCTGCTGGTGGAAGTATAAATTTAAATGGACCATCTGGTGGTAATGGTTCGTTCTGGTTTAGTAACCGAAGAAATTGTGCCCAAGAACGTTTGTCTACTTTCCAAAATAAAAACTCTGTATCTCTTGGAGGGTTAATTTCAATCTTTTGAAATGAAACGGTGGAGTTCATCTTGTCATATTCTAGTTTCAGATAGTATGTTCCATTTAGTAAAGAGTCGTATTTTTCTTGAAATTCCCAATAATATTTGTTCATTTGAGTTTGAAAGTCATTTAGAGTTTTCTCAAGACTTTCGTCTGAACGAACTGTAAAGATTCTCATTTCGTCAAATTTGTCTATTAGACCATCAGAACCTTTATACTGCCCATGAAAATATACTGCGAACATAAATGCGTTAGTTCTATTTGAAAACAAAACTCTTCTAAATCCTATTGCCTTTGCATCTGAAGGACTTTGAAGCCAACGAATTGGATAGTCAAACCTGTATGTTCGGGATGAAATTTCTTCATCTGAAATAGTCCTACCAGCATTTGTAAAGATATAGTCTAACGGTTTTGTATCTGCTACTTTTGTTCTTTGTTTTTCAACCTGAAGCATTTAATATATGTAAAAATATATTGTTTTAAAATGGTATGCCATTTCATATTTCTCATCTAACAAACAAGTTTCCCAACGGTCTTCTCCAACAAACTCAGCGTACATTTCAAATAAAATAAAAAAATATTTTTTTCTTTACTTTACATAACCGCCTGCTGCCATAAGTCTTTGACGCCAACCCATACCAGCTAATGAAGGTTGACTTGGTTTAGTTTCCAAACTAAACTTTGGTTTTGGTTTATCTTCAGTTTTTGGTTTTTCTTCTTCTATCGGTTTTTCGTCACTTTTCGGTTTCTCTGATTTTTCCCCACTTGCAGGAACAGTTGTGTTGTCAACATCTTCATAAATATCATATGTCATTTGTTTTTGTTTTCCTTTCAACTTTTTGTGTTTGTTGTAAAGTTTAGAATATTTCGACTCTAAGTCAATGAGATGTTCTATAATGAACTGTTGGTCAGTGAAGTAAACTTTTCCATCTGTTGTCTCGAAAGCTCCTTCAGACTTCAATATTTTATTTGTGAGAGTCTGTTTCTTTTTTGAGATACTAGCCGTTCCATTTCTATGAAAAGTGACTTTATAGTTAGGGTTTGTATTTCCAGACCTGGCACTTTCTATTATTGAATTTTTCTCTTCATCTGTAAGTTCTTTGACAGGTTTTGACAATGGTTCTGAACTTTTTGTTTGTGGTGTCAAATCTACCGTTTCAACTTCTTCGGTCATTTCATCTCAGTAAAAAATTTTAGTTTGGTTTGTTTTCAACTGGTTGTTTAGGTTTTTTAAGTCGGTCTAAAACTTCCTGAGGTATAGGAAGAACTTGACAAACACGTTGTGTAACTGCTGGAAGTCGACAAATCCATCTTGAACCCATTTGTCTCAATGCTGTATTGTTCATTTCATCTCAATAAAAAACTTTACATTCCCCACGTTTGAGGCGGTTGAGGTTGGTTATTGTTTACCCACTGTTGTGCATGGTTATATCCTCTGTTAAAGAATCTTTCACCTTGGTCCATATAGTGTCCTGCTTGGTTATAGTAGTCATTTGCTTTGTTATAATAGTTTCCTGCTTGTCTTCCTACATTGTCCATCCATCCTTGAACTTTTCCTCTTGTTTCAGGATTTGGAATAAGATTTGCTGCATCTCGTGCTACATCCCAACCTTTCTGTACAGTTTGTATAATAGGTTGTGCTTTCTCTTTAAGTATACCTAATGTACTCAAAATCTTCCTTCCAACTCCAAATACACCTCTGGCTATTGTTCCCACTGCGGGCAAAAATCTGGATGCAACTCCTGCTAATGCGCCAAATAAACCCATTTCTTATGGGTTAAAAAATGACGAATCCAAACAAGGACCCCTATGTTTCTAAAGCGACAAAGAAAGCACTCATGATAAAAATCTTTAGTTCAACACCAAATGCTTGGTTTATGGATATCTTGGAAAACATTCCGAGAGTTAGAACAGATGGACCACCATACTGGCTAATATTTGTCGGTCAAAACACAAGATACTGTGAAGCCATACCATTACAGTCCAAAAATATTTTAGATGTGAAAACTGCTTTGACAATATTCGTTGACAAATACCATCCAACAAAACTGACATCTGACTGTGAAAGTTCTTTCAAATCAGATGATGTAAAAAACTATCTGCGTTCAAAAAATGTAAACCAATATTTCATTGTCGACCAAAACCATTCTGCTCTTGGTGTCATTGACGGTTGTATAAAAATGTTAAGAGACTTAAACCAACCACAAGGTGGTGAAGCAAATGAAATGTCATATGACGACAAATATAGACACTTCTCCATGGCAAAGATGAGACAAGTTTTAAATATTTACAATAACCGTAAACAAAAAGGTTTGGGAAACCACTCCCCTGAAGAAATGAAAAACAACCCTGACTTAGAGAAAGACTATATATTTAATAATTTAGTCAAAAGAGACAAACAAGAAAGAATGCCGGGCTTCAAACTTCAGAAAGGTGACAAAGTAAAAATAGAAATACCTAAACGCGACCCATATGAAAATACTATTGACTATGACAACAATGGGAACCCGACAGGTACTCACATTCGTGTTCGTAAAAATAGAAGAAAGTATACAAGAGAATATTATGAAGTTTTAGGCAAACATGGCAAAATGCACACACTGCAAGCAGAAGATAAAACTACTATTGTCAGACCTCGTTTCAAACTTGTCAAAGTTCAAGGTGGTATACTTTCAAAGACAGTTCCTAACAAATATAAGACAACTCCTGACGAATATGCTAAAGAAGTTGAAAATGACGACTAAGCAATTCTATACCATGCGTAAACTGTCATGTAAGGTGGCATGTATTCTTTACTTTGTCCCGTTGTTTGCGTATATCCTGAAACGAAATGTGTATGGTTTCCTCCTCCCTCAGTGTTACTCCAGTAACAATCTATAGCAAACTTAACGTTGTCTTTAACATCATATCCTTTACCTTTTGTCATTGCTGACCAATCCCAATATCTATGCTTATGCCAACCTGCTTGAGATGTACTTAAATCTATGTAGTGACTATGTGCAGGTAAATTTTCACCTGAAATCGTTTTACTTCCACCTGTTTCCTTTGAAGAGTTTGCACAATACAAAAACCTGTCGACTATTTGAGTCCAAGTTCCAAAACCTAAAACTGTTGAAGGATTTGTTGAATTCATTGACGTATAAATAGAGCCTATAGGATATAATGTTTGAAGCATTTCTGTCTTTAATGTTTGAAGCTCTGTTTTGTCTGCTTTCTTGTCATATAAATCTTGAGCAGTGAATTTAATATTATGTTCATCCTTCATGACATAAACATCTTTACATCTAATGTTTCTCATCGTCGTTATGTCGTCATCCGATGTTAAACCTTGTGGAAAGTTAGGAGGTTTACAATATATTGCATCCCCACCAGTTTCTTCAACCGTTCCTTCAATACTTTCTATAGCAACAGTTGTAAAACTTGTATGTGTATGGTTCTTGTCTGCTTTCTTCTCTAACTCATCGTTAACATAAGTTTTATCTGCTTTAAGGTCTAAACATCCTGAAACCCATCCTGTATCGGCTTTAGTTTTTAAAATCTTCGATGTCCGTTCATGGTACCAGTCAACCCTTTCTATAATTTCTTTATCTTTTTCATCCACATATTCCTTATCCGCCTTCTTCACTAACACACTAGCCATAAGTCCCTTATCTACCTTATTTTCAAGGCTAACGTTTAAGTCTGTTATTTCAGATATAGAATGTATATGAGTCTTTTTAGAATATTCGTTTTCAGCTCTTGTCACTTCACTTGACATTTTATTGTCAACATATGTTTTGTCTGCTAGTTCAGGATGAGTATGTTCTTTTGTTGCATAAGCATTGTTAGCTCTTTCTTCTTCTTTTGCTATTGCATCGTCTACATATTCTTTGTCAGCTTTGTTGTCAACATCTGCTTTCAAAAGAAGTTCATTTATAGGTTTCTCGTTTAAAGTTCCTTTTGTTGGATTTATACAGACAGTATGGTTCTTATTGTCTTGAAACAGAAACTCATCTGTCATTGGGTTTATTGTCAGTTTTAAGTTTCCTTCTTTCAATGACTCAGATATCTTAGAATAGTTTGAAAAGTTTGTTGTGTTCTTATTTAGAGCTTGCATAATGAGTTGTCGGTTGTGTTGTATTTCTCTCATAGACGCTGTTTCATTTGACATTTTTATTCTAGATAAAATATGCTTCCAATAGAAAAAGAAAATTCAAGAGTTGCTACAACTAAACCATTAGATGAACTTTTTACTAATGTCGGTCAAAAGTTTGAGACAGAGACCGTAAAGCATGAAGGCTATCGTTTTGACTACCCATTAAGATGGCTAAGAGACCCATCTGTCACAAAAGCTATTGGCTTTCGTAGAATGAAGTTCATTTCAGAAGCCATACATGGTTTCCCATTTACGGTCGGTTTTGAAGTTCGATACTATAACAAAGAAAAACGTATGTATGAGAAATTTGAACAGGGAAAACTTTTACAAGTTAGTTTGCTTGTAAACTTAGAAACAACTCTTCAAGCTTTTCAAGAAAAAATAAACGACATCTATATCGAATATGCAAACCAGTATAACATTGACGAGGGAGAGTACCATCTCGATATTATTTATGACAGGAAAAATGCAACTGTTAAAATCAATAAAATAGAAGACCTTGGAGAAAACGTTTATATTTCTACAAAATATAACAACTTGGCATGGTATAGATTTATGAGGATGTTAAATCAGCCTGCAGCATATCCAGTACACCCAGACTTTTATGAAGTCGAAAACCCTAATGGAACATATGAAAATGTTTTCGACCAAGATGCTATTATTGTTCATGCTTCATTTTCTGGCGCCCAAAACTCTTTCTTATGCTTGGCAAATGACTTTTACGAAAAACCTACAAAGTTATACGAACCACCAAGTGGAAGTATTTCAGACTTTCAAGTATGGTTTACTACAGATGGAAGAAAAAGAATAATTCCATTATACCATGCGTTTTACTTAGAACTTAGTTTCATATACAACTACTATCGAACGGTAAAAAATATAATTTTTTAATACGGTTGTGGTGTTGGATTTGGTTGCCAACTAGACTGTGGTGCAGGTTCAGGCTGTTGTATAACAGGAGCTTGCTCTTCTGGTTCAGGGTCTTTAGGTATAATACCAACAAACTGACCTACCCTTTTACCAATATTTTTGACTCCGTTCCAAATTCCTCTTCCTACGGTTTTTATTCCATTCCATATACCTCTTCCAACTCTTCTGAAGAAGTTTCCAATACTACTGAAGAAACCCATTTTACTATATGTAAAAATCTAATGTCCGCCTAGTCTCTTACGTTTCCTGTTGAGTTCCATAGCATTCTTTAACTGGAGCTCATACATTCTGTTTCTCCTCTGGTAGAAAACATATTCTGGGTCAACTCCTGTGTTCGCGTCATCTGCATAAAGTTGTTTATATCCGACTTCAGGGTTTGTATAAAACTCTTTCCATCTCATATTTGCATACCATGGTGGCAAACCTAACGCAGCGTCATTTGACATGGCAGTTTGCATTTGTACATCTGTTGGCACTTGACCATAGTTTGCCATTGCAGTTTGTATTCTAACTTCATTTGGAATATTCTCTGGGTTTGGTTGTCCAGGTTGCTGTGCATTCGCTAAGTTCTGTGCGTCCATTTAATATTAGATAAAAATATCTCTTACGAGTACATATACTGAACATTTGCAGGCATTGGTTCATCTTCATATTCTCTGTACTTTTCTGCCACGTCAAATAAATAAATGACACAATGGAAAAAACCTAAAACAAGTAGTCCTATTTCAAACCACATTTACTTACTAATAAAATTTCTTTATTGTGACACTTTCTCCAGTTTATAGGACCTCTCTCATATTCTATCTTGTCATATATAAACTCATAGTCATGTATGTCCTCTAACCATCTCATAACGGTTTCCAAACCACTTTTATCGGATGTAAAGTAAAAGCATGGACAGTTATGTAAAACGTCTAAAGTTTCTAAAGAGTCTCTCAAAGTCCAGTCTACTTGGTATTGAAAATCCCATGTGTTATAGAACGGCGGGTCCACTATAAAGAAAACATTTTCCTTGTCTTTATATTTTTCATACAAATCTGTCCAATGACATCTCACAAACTCTATACCCTCAATATATTTTTCTATGTCCTCTTTGAAAACATTTGTATAGTTAAGATATAAAACTTTTGACATAAGTGTTTCAATGTCATGAACTCTTATAGAACCACTATATAATAGTCTAGCAGATATACTATCCCAGTCTATATATTCTGCTTTTTTCAAAACCTCTCTCACAATATTTTTCTTATCTAATGGTATACGTTCCATCTTACCTATAGGTATCTTTTCTTTTAACTCTTTCAATATTTTGTTTGTGTCTGGTATATGTTTGAGACGGTCCATATAGTTGTCGAAGTCATTGCATATAATCTTTGAGTCTGGGAATATTATATGGCACAAATGGGATATATAGAAACTTCCACCGAACAAATCTACAAATGTTAGACCATTCGGTAGTTTCTTAAGTTCTCTCAATATAATATCTTTACATCTACTCTTATTTCCAAAGAACGGTAACGGTGGTTTTGTAAAATTCATTTATATATATATAAAAATGTTTTTACCTGAAAAGTGACAGAAAAGTGACAAAACATGTACGAAGAAGTCTTGACAAAACATTTTACGAAGAAGTCTTGACAAAACATTTACGATGAAATCATGAAAATTCAAGAGGTGAGAAAACAGGTGAGAAAACAGGTGAGATCTCACCTCTTCACCTAAAATATATTTTTGTCTGATTTTACGAAGAAGTCTTGACAAAACATTTACGAAGAAGTCTTGACAAAACATTTACGAAGAAATCTTGACAAATTCAAGAGGGTAGAAAAGAGGTTAGAAAAGAGGTTAGATCTAACCTTCTACCCTAAACATTATTTTTGGTCATTTACACTCATTACGATGAAGTCTTGACAAAACATTTACGTTCATGTTTGACAAAACATTTACGAAGAAGTCTTGACAAAACATGTACGAAGAAGTCTTGACAAAACATTTACGAAGAAGTCTTGACAAAACATTTACGAAGAAGTCTTGACAAAACATTTACGAAGAAGTCTTGACAAAACATTTACGAAGAAGTCTTGACAAAACATGAAAACATATATAATTTGTGAAAAGCGACACATTATATATAATGTTTTCGACCCAGAAGACTAACAATTTTCCGAATAAAAAACTTCATTAATATTAAACATCATCAGGGCTAGAAGGCACGAAGTGCCTGGAAGCCCCACTACCTTTTTTTTTTTTTTTTTTTTTAAAATAAATGTTGTTAAACCAATTACTGAAATAAAAATTTTTTCATCTGTTGAAGAATTTAATGACTATTATGCTAATAATAAAAAATTATTTGAAGAATTGACAACGTGTAAATTGAATAAAATGTTTAAAGTTGATGGATTCAAAATTTCAAAAATAAAAGGAGTGGTTAGTTTGAAATCTATTCCTCAATCAAGAATCACCTCATTAATGAAAATTGATGATTTAACAAAAAGAATAGAAGAGATTGAAGAAAGAATAAATCAAATAATTGATATCATAAATTCAAATAATCATTAGTTTCTTAAAGTTCAATGTTGATTCTGAGACATGAATTTTTAAAGTTTATTTTTTTATTTTTTATTTCATTATGGTAGTGAATCTTTTACTCATGAAAATAATTATTTCTAATTTCTTTTACTCTCTCGTACATACTAGATTTGAAGAATTCAGAACTTTTACCATAATCTCCTAAATGTTTTCTTATCCCCAACGTGTGCCAGTTATTATATGAAACTGAATAAATTTTATCTTTATCTTTACACCTTTCATCACTTCCAATATATTTATATTTCAATTTTGATTTAGCATTTTCATATTCATTAACGTTTAATAATTCACAATCTTCCTTTTTAAATAAATGTTTAAGATATTCAGGATTTAATACTCTACGTTTATATGCTCCTAACTTAGTTCTAAAGGTTTTTCTACAAAATTTAGGAATTCCATCCTCTTTAATGTCATCAATGATTTCCATTTCATTATTTTCAATTTCTTCTTCTCGTTTATGAGGTCTTTGATTATGACTCCATTGATTCCATGAAATTAAATATTCTTTATCATTATATTTATACCTCATTAGCTTATTTTGGCTTTCATATTCATTTAATAATTCACAATCTTCATTTTTAAATTGAAGTTTAACCCATTCAGGATTTAAACAATGTTTAATTAATCGCGGAATATCTGACATCATCTATATATAACTTCTTTTATAAAAGATAAAAAATAAATTATTTTAAAATTAATGTTAATTTTTTAATGCGTTTAGTATATAAATATATTTTAATGCATCGTCTATATATAGATGCAACAAAAAAAGTCACACAACCCTTCCTATCCTACTACTTTAAATTTTTCAAAAATTTAATTTAGTTTATTGAAAATACGAGGGGAAAATATGTAAAAAGTATTAATATTAACATTTTTATTAACAAAAATCCTGTAATATAATATATGAAATAAAAATATAACAAATTAAAAATAAATCAAATTAAGAATGAATTCTCCTACTAATTTTAATGTTACTGCTGTGATGTCTTTGGAGATTGTGGAGATTGAGGTGATTGACCTTGATTTTGAATTGGAGCTTGGCCATACTGTGGGCCATACTGCTGTTGGTACTGCTGGTATTGTTGGTATTGCTGATATTGTTGATAAGCTTGTGGATTTTGAGAGTATTGTTGCTGATAATGCGGATGATGTTGGTAATGTTGTTGGTTCTGTTGCTGATAATGTTGTTGGTTGTATTGCTGCTGGTAGTTTTGTCCTTGTTGCTGTTGCTGAGGATTTTGGTATTGTTGTTGATATTGCTGCTGATATTGTTGCTGATACTGGTATTGTTGGTACTGCTGTTGATATTGTTGTGGTTGTTGGTATTGCTGGTACTGTTGATACTGTTGGCGTTGATTATGTCTTTGATATTCTGGAGCTCTCATTGTATTTTCAACTGTATGACGACTGTGGTATCTTTCTGCACGCTGAAGTTCTTGGAAACGGTCAACTGCAAGCATCAGACCGTAAGCTGTCATCTGATTTTGTTTCAGATACTGGACAACAACTTCTCTATCTTCCTGGTTGATCCATATCTGTGTCTGGTAGAGTAATGTTCTCAGTTCTTCGGAAGTTTTCGAGTTAATGATCTCTTTTGTTTTATCGTTCATTGAAAATTATAAAAAAGTGCCGTGTTTACCACTTCAAAATGGATAATTTTATCAATAATTACGGCTCTGCTTTTCCTTTTGCTATTCAACCAGTACCAGAACGAATCACAACAAGTGATTTATCTATTTCAATTGATAAAAAACGAAATAAGAAATTAAATAAGAATGTATTTCCTAAAATATACAAAATTTCAATATCAACTTTGGATCATTTAGATATATTTAACGTCCTTTTTCAAATTAAATCAGATAACATAATCTCTGCATTCAGTTTACCTACTGAAATCGATACTTTATATATTGAAGCTAAAGATGACTTCATCATTCACAAATTACTTGATAAATATAGAATCAAATCTGAAGTTATTTGTATTAGTAACATAGAATTTGTCTCAGTCTTCTGCGATTTTAATATTTACTCAAGATTATTACCAACGCAAATTGTTAACATCACAGATCCAACATGTAAAAATGTAGGTCAAGTAATATCACTAAGTACCACACTTAAGAAAGCAATCCTTAGAATTTGGCCAAAAATTGATTATAATAACGCAAAAACTCCATTTAGAATGAATAGAAGTATAGATCCCGAGCCATTTGATAGAGAAAGACTGGAAAAGGAACTTCATTATTCCCTGAAAACTGAGTTTATTGAAGTTAATTATCATGATCAATATAGTAGAGAGACTGCATACTTGTGGAACAATTGCCATTTTATTGGTCCATATCAAATAGTAGAATTACCAATAGAATTTCTTAAAGTATTCTATATTCCATCGAAATCTGAAATTGATCGATTTCCAGAACGCGCTGAATTCTCATTTAACTCCTCGTTAAAGACATCAAAAATTGGAAGTATCCTAGGACATAAACCTCCAAAGGATGAATCCCCTAAAATCGTTGAATCTCCAAAAATACCAAACTCAATTTTTGTCGGAACTAATCAGAACTATGGCAATTCGAATGGTCCAAGCCAAAACAATGAACTTGACTCTCTTGTAGCGCTATTTGAAAAAAATAAAAATTTCATGAACGAATCAAAAAATAGCTCTACTGGAAATTCAACAAATCCTTTTACTAATTCATCCAATACAAAGAATTCTTTTACTGATACATCTAGTGCAAAGAATTCTTTTACTAGTTCATCCAATACAAGGAATTCTTTTACTGATACATTTAGTGCAAAGAGTGAAAAGGATGAAAAAGATCAAAAACAAGTTAATTTCTTAAAGAAGTTGAACGAGATGATTCCAAATGAAGATATAGTAATTGATTTAACAAATGATGAAGAAGATGAAGAAATTGAAAAGAATAGAAAAGCAGCTGAAGAAAGAAAAAGAAAAGATGAAAGAAAGAGAAAGAAAGAAGAAGAAAAGAAAAGAGAGGAAGAAGAAAGAAAGAAACAACAAGAAGAAAAGAATAAAAATATGTTAGTACAAATACTTCGATATCAAGAAGACAAAAGAAAGAAGCAAGAAGAAGAGGAGAGAAAGATTATGGAAGAAAAGGAAAGGAAAAGGAAGGCAGAAGAAGAAAGAAAGAGAAATGAAGAAATAGAAAGAAAGAGAAAAGAAGATGAAGAAAGAAAAAGAAAAGAAGAATTAGAAAGAAAGAGAAAAGAAGATGAAGAAAGGAAGAGGAAAGAAGAATTAGAGAGAAAGAGAAAGGAAGAATTGGAAAGAAAGATAAAAGAAGATGAGGAAAGAAAGAGAAGGGAAGAATTAGAGAGAAAAAGAAAAGAAGACGAAGAAAGAAAGAGAAAAGAAGAAATAGAAAGAAAGAGAAAAGAAGATGAAGAAAGAAAGAGGAAAGAAGAATTAGAGAGAAAGAGAAAGGAAGAATTGGAAAGAAAGATAAAAGAAGATGAGGAAAGAAAGAGAAGGGAAGAATTAGAGAGAAAAAGAAAAGAAGACGAAGAAAGAAAGAGAAAAGAAGAAATAGAAAGAAAGAGAAAAGAAGATGAAGAAAGAAAGAGGAAAGAAGAATTAGAGAGAAAGAGAAAGGAAGAATTGGAAAGAAAGATAAAAGAAGATGAGGAAAGAAAGAGAAGGGAAGAATTAGAGAGAAAAAGAAAAGAAGACGAAGAAAGAAAGAGAAAAGAAGAAATAGAAAGAAAGAGAAAAGAAGATGAAGAAAGAAAGAAATTGGAAGAAAAAGAAAAGAAGAGAAAGCAAGCAGAAGATAATCTTAAGAAACTCCATGATAGCTGCATGATAGAAATAGAAAATAAAAAGGAAGAAGCAATTGCTGAATTAAAAAGAAAAACAAAAGAAGCTGAAGAGAATCTCGAAAAGAGAAAAAGAGAACTGGAAGAAAGAGAAAAGAGCATTGCAGATAAAGAGAAGAAAGTTAACGACATGCAAAAGATAACAGAAGAAAGAGAAAAGAAAATAATAGAGAAAGAAAATCAAATTGAAAATAAAGAGAAGAAACTAAATGAGAGAGAATTTAATTCACCAAAGACATTTAATGATGAAAATGATTTGAGAAGTCTTCTATTATCAAAAAAAGAAAAGAAAGACAAAGAAATCCAAGATTGGCAAAGACAAATAAAGCAAGATGAAGAGAAGAAAAAAGAAATGGAAGAGCAACAGAGAAGAAAACTTTGTAGAGAATTAAATCAAAACTTATTTTATCAACCCAAAAACGATGACAATCCCTTGAAACCTAAAAAACGTGACAAAAAATGCGTTGACAACTTTCACAATAATCCAAGTGAAAAATCATCTTCTAATATCGTACGAGCTGAATCAACTTCAGCAGTTATTCCACCAAATCCTATTCCTCATGTTCAACCAAGCCATCCTTCAGTGCCTATTCATCAAAATCATCTTCCAGTTCCTTCTGTTGATCAAAACCATCCTCCTGTCACAGCAAATCAAAATCATCCCATTGATTTCAGCCGTGGAGATTATGTTGAAGGAACAGTTGAGAAAAGGAAATTAATGTTCCAAGTTATTGGTGTAGATAATAATGGAATTGCACAGTTAGTTTCAATTAAACAGAATTTATACATTCCTGCAAATGAGCTAACAAAAATGAGAACTAAACCAGTAAAGGCAATTTCAGTTCCTAATTCGGATAATGGAACAAGGAAACTTCAAATTGAAAGATCATTTGATTTCTCGCAGCCACTTCTTCCTCAGAAATATGATTTCATTACTTTGCTGGAGAATCACAAATTATACTTTGTTAGAGGAATTGATAAAGAATGGATTCATCTTTTAGGCATGGATAACATAGAAATAAAAATTGGAATAGGAACAAGTTATATAATTAGGGATCATTCGCCAGAAACCAAAGATAAAAATGGAAATATTCTTAGAGAAAATTCAAGAATTCGATCAAATTACTCTCAAGAAGTTGGAGCTGTTAAAAAGATTTATGAGAATTATATAATTATTAGGTATCAAACATGTTATTATGCGGCAATCTCTAATGAGTGCCTTGCTACCCCCGTATATCGCTAGCATTATATAAATTTTGTCTTGTTTGTTTGTAATGAATACTTATTGTATTAAAATACTTAACAACGTTTAATGTTATACGAGTCTATCCTTTTCCTGATTTAATCATCTGAATAATACCATATTAAAAGTCTAAATTTAGGATTTTCCAGTCCATCAAAGGTAAATGCATATATTTTTGTGATTATTGTTACTCAAGTTCAAAGATTTGATTCAAAATTACGTAATTTTTCTATTTTTTATCGTTAAACGCAGTATGCAACAGAAAAGGCAGGCCCAAAGTGCTCCGCCACAACAGGAACCTCCGATTAAACTTCGCCAAATACCCCCTGAACTTATTCAGAATTGCACAAACGCAAAACCTGAAAAATACAAATTTAATAATTCAAATATTACGGAAATACAAAAATATATTCAAAATAAACCTCCATATGATGCTGAAAAGATGAAAACAATATTAAATTCAATTGAAGAATTACAAAAAGCTGCACAAACTATTTCAAAATCTGAATACGGAAATATACCATTAACAATAACAATTCCTCCACCTCCTAAGCCAAGTAGTGTTAATAATTTCATCAAAATTAATTCATCATTAGTTGAATTAGCGAATAAAATTTGCAAATTTGATCATAATCAAAGTTATAAAGGTTCACTTCAAATCAGATCAAAGCCTGCAGATAAAAAGTCATACACTTCTTCCAAAGATAAAATTAAAAAGAAAACTCCAAAAGGAAGCGGTGCATCTAAAAGCGGCGGAAATACATCACATATTAAACCACCAGCAGGCGGTAATCCGAATGCTGCTGAGCCAGAAAACTACGATTTCAAAGAAGTTACCGCAAATGCAACTGTCGGACCTCAGAAGAACGTTATTGTTAAATTACAGAACCAATCAACAGTACAGATACCTCCAAACCCTCCAATACCAAATCCGGCCAAAGGAGAGTGTCCGTTTGCATCTATGTTTAATAGCGAACTACAGCACACTCTTCTTAAAGGTCTTAAATGTCCAGTACCTTCCCAGTTCAAGAGCAACTTAGAGAGTTATTTGGCTCCTTCTGTTATTAATGTAAGTAAATTTGCGAAAGAAACAAAAGAGAAAAAGGCTAAAAAGAAATAAATGTTAAATTATGTTGTAATTGATCTATATTTTTACCAAAAATAAGAATCCATCATAGAAAAATTTTAATTATTAAATTGAAAGTACTTCTTAATCAATGTAATAGATTGCGGAACGCCGTTCTCTCAGTTTGATATGTTTTAAGGAGAAAAAAAGTTTTAATAAAAAATATATTTACATATTTAACGAGAATCAAAATGATTTATTTGGATAACATGCCCAAATGTGTATGTAATATATAAAAACGAGTATATAAGAATATAAACCATTTAACATGATAGAATTAAAAATTAGTTTTCAGGAGCAGGAGCTTCAGCAGCCTTCTTCTGATTATAGATTTCTATAGCGCGTGCAAGTTTGCTTTTTTCGTTTCCAGCTGTTCTGAGAACCATAATATCTCCGTTTGTTTCTGCTCTGAGGCATTTGAGCGTATTTGTGAGATTGTGAAAAGCACAAAACTCTCCAATGTAAGATAATGCATCCGCTGTTTCGTCATTTGGTGTATAACGCTTAACTTTTAAATCTTTTGGTAATTCGTTGTTTTCTTCCATGCTTACAAGGGTTTCAATGACATTTGCCTTCATCTCAGCCTTGATCTTGCGAAGGAATCTAGTTTTCTCAAGTCTTTCGGCCGCTTGTGTGTTTATTGTATTCATTAATGAATTTCATATTACATGTCAGTTCATGCAACGTATTTTACAATTCTTCATATTTTGAAATTTCCGTATTGGGAGAGTATTTATATGCCTTAGTACCAACTGACATTCATTTCGTTCTTTTTCTTCTTGTTTGAAGATCTTTCTTGGGTTTGTTGTTTTCTTCATTCATTTAATTGAAGTGATTCAGTTTCTTTATTCCTTTTTTGATTATAATTTTGAATGCTGTTTAGTTCGGTTTGAAGTTTATGGATTTTTTTTTTTTTTTTCTCTGTATTATCAGACATTTCACCCTCTTTATGATTAAGGATGTCGTTTTGTTCCCCCGGGGGTTGATTGCGTCCCCCAAGTGGGGGACGCTGGGGGACAAAAATTGAGAAGCTTTGTTTGATGAAGTCAGAGTCTATTTGTAAAGTGTCAAAATAATTATTGATTACTGAAGTTCAAATATTATAATATATACAGCACCTTGTTAATATTTAAAATACATTTATCTAGTTTTTGTTGAATTTTCTTGCATTTTCAGAGAATTGATATTTAATTTTTCTTAAATTTTAGCTCTATGAGCTTTGTAATGACATGATTTTGATTTTTATTAAAGATAATATATTAATCATTAATAAAATCAGGAAAATAAATTTCCCCAAATCCCCCAATCCCCCATGGGGACGCGGCCAAATATACATTCAATTTTGAATGTCCCCCAGTCCCCCATGGGGGATTGGGGGATTGGGGGACAAAAAGTGATGCTCTATGAAGAGTCGATGAAAGGCCAGGAAGGGGCTCTGTTGTTTCTATTCCAGAATTCAAACCAAATTTACTGTTATTGGTGCTTTCAGCCTAAATATTTACATAATTTAATTTTTGAATCAGATGAAAAACTAAAGCGAATAGTAAATATCAGTATACATTATTAAGATTTATAAAAACAATACATAATTAATGCATAAATTATAAATTGCATTTTTCAAAATTGGCTTAGATATATCATTTTCATTAAAATATGAACAGCCTAAGTCATGATTAAAGAGTTATCCATTTATCAGACACAATAATAAATTATCTTCATACATTTATAATTTTTGACACTTTACAAATCATTTTTGACGCTTTACATGTCCCCCAGAGTTCGAAAATTATTTGGTCGAGTCCCCAAATGTCCCCAAGCGACATCCTTATTATGATGTAAAAAGTGAAAGATTTCATTTAGAATCCCGAGTTTCATGTATTTTTCGATTGCATTATAAAAGTTTTCAATATAATCATTGATATGAGCTGCAATGAATTCAAAACGTGAAGTCGTTGATTTCTTTGATGAAATTTAATAATAACAATAAATGCTTTTTGTAGATTTCATGTTGAATAAATCATATATTATTGGAGCGGTGAGAATATAATGCAGCAGAATATAATTTTTTGTAATTTCATTGAATTACGATATGCAAAAAATATGTTAATAATGATAAAAATAGTTTTATTTAGTAAGATGTTTCCAGAAAAGATGTGTAGAAGGATAACGTAAAGATTTGAGACTTAAAAGATTCTTCGAAACGTGTGCAATATGACATGAAATCATTAGTTTTCGTGGAATTCCGGAAGAAACAATCATTTTAAGATAATCTGTGGATGTGTTCTCAATAATAAGAGGACATCGAATGGATTTGCAATCATGGAATGCATCAATCTCAACATCTGAAACTGAAAGTGGGAAATTGATGTATTTGAGATTTAAACAGTTGTTGAATGAATGATCTTCAATAACAGAAACACTGTCTGATGTAATATTGATTTTCTCAATGTTGTTGCTGGAATTGAATGAATAACTACAGATAACATCGCAGCTAATGTTGAGTTCTTTATCTTTTGATTCACTCAAATGAAAAATAAGTTCCCATTTAGTATTGTTTTTGTAGTATAAAGTATTATCAATACATTTGTATTTATCTGATGAAAAATTACTGATATTTGTAAGAGATTCGCATTCTGAAATAGAATTAATTGAAAAAGTATCAAGTGAATTTGTTTCATTGAATATAATTGATTTTAGTTTCTCACAATAAAGAAATGAATAATTGGAAATAATTTTAATAGACTGTGGAATTTTAATACTTTCTAATGAAGAACAATTTTCAAATGATTTAATTCCAATCTCCTCGGATCCTTCTTGAATGGTAACTTCTTCTAAATTAGTACATCCACAAAAACATTTATATGGAATATTTGAGATATTAGTAACATTCTTTAATTTAATGCAATTCTCAAATGTATTATGCATAACAATCAAATTTGGTGAGGAAAATGTAAAATTTTCTAAATTAATACAATCTTTAAATGATGACATTCCTAATGATTGTAAATTATGAAATGAATAATTAAATGATCTTAATTTTGAACAATTTTTAAATGCATCATTTTCTATTTCAATGATTTGAGAATCTTTGGTGAAATAAAAATACCAAACTGTAGAATTTTCAAATGCTTTTTCTTTGATTTTTGTAACAGAATTAGGAATTGTAATACTATAAGAAATTAAAGAATAGTAAGGATAGTATCCCAATATTCATAAATTATGGTTTGATCGGAATCCATAATCAAGCAATTTGGTGTAATAATAAGATTTGATTTATTCAGATATGAAATTGAAACGTCTGTATTTTCTCTAATTGAATCACGAGAAAAAAGAGTTTTGCAAGTGAATGATAATTTGATATATCCAACATTTGTTGTAATAAAATTAGCTCCTGTAAAAGTCATTGATGAATTAGGGAAAATAATTAGTTCAAGTCTATAACAATAATCAAATGCTTGATGACCAATGTAATCTAATGGACCTAAAAGAGTAACATTATTCAAATTACAAGACATGAAAGCAAAATGTTCAATCCTTTTCACATTTATTGGGATTGTAATTGTTTTGATAGATGATCCATAAAAGCATCTTTCTCCTATAGTTGTGACAGAATTTGGAATTTCATATCCTGTTTTGTTTAAAATAAAAAATAAAATACTTTTATCTTTTGAATAAACAGCATTTCCATCTGTTGTTAAGTAGTTATTATTCGGATGAACTGAAATATTTGTTAATTTTCCATCCATAAATGCATATCCATTAACTTTAGAAACTTTTTCTGGAATTTGAAACGAAGTAATTGCAGTTCTAGAAAATACATTCAATTCTAATGAAACTAAATTTGATCCTTCCTCAAAAGTAACATTTTGTGGTTTAGAACAGTCATAAAATGCATATTCATATATTATTTTAACAGATGCTGGTATGATAATACTTGTCACTTGATAATTAGAAGCAAATGCAAAGCGTTGTATTTCAATGATTCCCTCTGGTAAAAGTATCTGAGTGACATTATAGCAGGAATTAAATGCTGAAGAAGATATTTTTTTAAGTTTGGTGCAGGATGATAGATTTATAATAGTAAGATTTCGACATCCTCTAAAACTATTCTCTCCAATTGTTGTTAAATTAGAATTTTCTCCAAATGAAAATGAAGATATAGTTTTGAGATTGTAAAAGCATTTATCTTGGATGATTTCGCATATGGAAGATATTCTAAGGTTTGGTGATGGATCATTAACTTTTGTAAGGATTTTCCCATCGCTTGAATAACAATTTTTGTCAATATCTTTGTAAAGAAGTACTAAAAATGTAATCATAATGAATTACTCAGGTATACCTTTTTACTTACGTCTTTGTTTATGATAATAAATTGAAACTAAAATAGAAATCATCGCTTGTTAATCACAAAACTAATTTAAAAAAAATTGAAAGCAAAAAATTTTTACATCTCTCTCAATTGAAACAAACCCTTGACATTATTTTGTCAGAGGTATGCTGACTGGAATAAGGTTAATTTTTTCTCTTAACGTCATTTTAATGGCCACGTCTAGAGCTAAGCATAACATTATTTTAGAAACAAGTAAAGTCATTCGAAAAAGCACTTCATATATTATGTTTTCGATCGTAACAATATAGATGTTTTCGCTTTTATACAAAAGATTTATCAAATTTATTATCATATATGTTATTATTCGTTCATCTTTACGGAAACGCCATATCATTAAGAAATTCGCATGGGAGATTACTCAAACGTATATGTTAAAATCCTAAATTATTAACTTTTTTTTGTACAGGTGGTTTTCCTTGTAATAGCTATAAAACATATAGATTCATGGTAAGTATCACCTTTAGAATAGATTTATTTAAAAACTATCAGCCAAAAAAAAGTTACCCGTATATTCAATTACTGACTTATTCAAAATAGCAAAATTAATAATACGATAATGATTTATAGCATCATGGTATGCATAATGTTTAACTATTTAGTATGTCTTATAAAATTATTATTTTATTTTATTTTTTTTTTATTATTAGGAATAAATTATCTTAATACTAGTAAATAGTTCACACATTTATGTAATTTAGATATTTTTGCTCAGAAAGCCTAATTGATTGGTATTAAGGGTGCGCTAAAGCCAAACTTCCCCTATCGTCAATTTTAAAAAAATGAAAAAAATCCTTGTACTTTAGGTACCTCGAAAGATTTATTTTTTGAGAAAAAATAAATTTCGTGATTTATGCTAGGTCGATCCTGGGCAAGCAATATATATAAGAATTTTATTGAAATCATGTCACTATTTCTAAATTTGAATTTTATCTCTTCCAAAAAACATGAATTATGAGTCATCGTACTTATTATAAGATATTCTATTATGTGTTTATTAAGATTTAGTATTGTGCACTAAATTTTTATGTATAAATATCAAAGAATAAATGCAATTATTATAAAAAATCGTCTTAGAGTTTTCTATACTGAAATATGAGTTGTCTGTAATATATCAAACAAAACGACATTATATCCAATGAAAATATATCAAAAATTAAAAATTAATCGAAATTTAAGGTTTTGGAGTTTAATTTAGTAGACCTTATCTCGCAAAATTGCATTTGCTAGGATTGTTGTGCATATTATCATATGGGACAATAGCTATTACCATGAAATCAGATAATTTAATTTAAAATTATGAGCACTTCAGCAATAAAAATATAATGGTGCATAATTATTTTGAACATTTAATATATTTCAACAATAAAAATGGGGTATTACTCACAATTTTTTGGCTTTAGCGCGGGGTAGGATTAAAACAATACCGTTTATTAAAAAACTAAATATTGGGTATTTTTATGATTTTAAAGCAGTAATTGAATACCCTTTATACAAATCTATGAACGCGCTAATTTGTTGTAGAAAATATTAACCAGATAAATTTTTTTTTGAACGCCGTAGAAAAAACTAAAAAAATCGAAAAAAAGCATATTTTAGCCAAAGTTCCTCATTATACAAGATAATGATTTGTGATCACTTGTTTAAAAATAGAAGATCGTGCATATATGCTTTTAGTCCAAAGACATCTAGAATAAATAGCATCAATAAGAAGGACAGATCTACATAAGATTTCCGTGTAAACAAAACATTTTGAGAGAACTCATAGAAAAATTGAGAGGCTTTAGCGCACCCTTAACTCATCATTTATTCGCTCATTGAGAAAGTATTATTAAAACATGCAAGATATGTGAGATTATTATAAACTTCGGATTACAATCTGAATGGTTTAATTTCAATCATACTTCATGATGATTAATATAATATTTTTATTCATTATTGTAATATATGAAATTTAAGCATTAATATTATTTCAGAACTTAAAATAATTAGTTTTTGTCGATTCATAATTCAAATAAATCAGCTAAATATGTAAAAAATTTAAAAAATTCCAAAATGGCAAAAATAATCTGAGCATAAAATACAAGCAAATTACTAGTGCATTTTCCTCAAAATTGGCTGATAGTTTTTCTTGCATGTTCATACAAACATTGCTCACAAGCATGCATAGAAGCTATATTCAAAATTTGGGGGCATTTGGCCTGTATCAAGGGTAGTCAGCATACCTCTATTTTGTCTTTAGGTTGTCGCTTCTGGTTGATATACTAGAATTTTTGATGGAATCCTAAAGCAAAAGAGAGAATCCTTTCCAGGTAAATCGTATACTTTTACTTTGATTTATATAGGTGACTTTTTTTTTTTTGATGCTTTTCTTCTTATTTCGGAACTCTTTATCAGAATGGTGGCAGTATAATGCAGCTGAATATCAACTGTACGAAAACAATAGCTTCAGACATCCTATTTTTGCAGTCTGTACTTCAACAAGATGTCCACATTGTAAAGGTCTTCCAGAAGCTTTACATGCCTATTCAGATATGGTTGGTAATAACACAAAAGTTGTTTTCACAAACATTAACTGTGCCGAAACTAGTTTTTGTCCAAGAGTTCCGGTGCGTGGAGTTCCAGCCTTTGTTTTAATCAGAGGTCCTGATCCAAAATATTGGGTTCAAACATATGAAAGGAACTTTTTAGGATGGGGCAGGTTTTTAGAGCAAACAGTCAAAGCTCATGCAGTAGAATTAACAAATCCAGCAGATCTTTCACGCGAAATTACGAAAACATTTAGAGGGTCTACTACATTCTTCTTATCAGTACCAGAAAACGATGCAGCTACTCTCAAAGCATATAAAAGAACTGTTCCTGATTATCATCCAATGGGATGTACATTTTTATATAAAAAGGAAGGCACTGTTGCTAAAATCACAGCTTACAGATCTCCAAACTGCTTTATTTCTAAGGAAATCACTGCAGATGAAATTCCCGATTTTGTCGAAGCCAATAAATACTCATCCTACCATCATTTCACGAGACACGAGCTTACCATGGCTATTTCTAAGAATATTTCCGTTTTTGTTACAGTGGGCCAAGATAACCTTAATCAAGAGCAACATTCAGCTCTCGACCAATTATCCACAAAGCACTGCGGAAAGATGGAATTTGGATGGGCAGAAAAAGAATCTGACAACGATGTAATTCATTTCTCAAAAATGTCGGGAGATGATGTTCCTTACTACTTCTCAATGAACCCTCGTGAGAAGTGTTATCACATACAGAAAGGATTCCCTTCGGAACCAACACTCAGCCAATTTATGCAAAATACATTTGAAGCGAAACAATGTAAGAAGCTGCCTGTGGTTCGCTCTGGATATAAAATAGCAATAACAAAGACTGCAGTGATTGCTGCTGGCATAATTGTCGGAATTTTATGTATTAGCTACTTTATATGGGAAATTTCAAGAGATAGTCCTCTGAAATTAGAGTAATTTATATATATTTTATTTTATAGTGTGTTATAAAGTGTTTTTTATGAGATATTATTTGAAAATAGATTTTTTTTATTTAAATCTTTTAAATCCTTAAGGACTGAACATTGAAATAACAATCAAGTTCCGATTTTCAATTCTAAAAACAAAATCTCCAAAATATTTTAGAAAAATGAGATTTTGTATCTAAATATTGACTTAAACATACAAAATCATGCATATTGAACAATTTTATAGTAAAGGATGGTAAATTGACTAAATAAATAGAGATTTTAATTCTTTACAAAAAAAAACACATTTATTTAGGAAGGATAGAGAAGAACTCGGTATTTCCTCCTGTAATGAAGTCCTCAAAGCTTGAGTTTGTCCACTTTGCGTGTGGAGATTCAACAGAGGGTGGAGCAATAAGAATACTTGGAATGAAAATGGATGCCTGGTGAATAGCCTCTGGATTGTAATCGAAATGAGCTGCTGAATCTAATTGTCTGGCCATAGATGCGCATCCCATTGCTGTTTGGCAAGGAAGAATATGACTTGGTTCAACAAGTCCGTTCAATCTTTCTGAAAGAAGCTTTTTAGCGAGTGCGGCTTCGTCCTTGTCCTTAACTATAGCAAAGACAAAGATGCAAGTTCTTTTTGACAGAATTTCAAGGGTCATGCGAGTTCCATTGCTAATGTTCCAGTTTTCATCAGCTAAAACATAATTGGCTGTTATTGTGACGATTGGTTTTGTAGTGATTGTTGGAACAGCATCTTTATTTTGTTCTTCGCTTTTAGATCCTTTGCCACGACTGATGAAGAAAAAGTATATTATTGCGGCAATGGCCAAAGGAAGAATGAATAATATACTATCATTATATTCACTCATATGAAAAAATGAAAAAGAAATTTTCTGACAATTTTTGTTTACATGTCAAAAAATATTAAAAATATCATATTTCTTATTATTGCGACCAAAACATTAAAAAGCACTCATCAATCAGCTCTTCTTCAATTTACATAGAATTGAAGAAATCAAAAAATTAAATATTGAATTTTATAAGATATAAGTAAAAATAACATATATAAAAATATTTTAAATTAACACAAAAATATAAGGTATATTGTTCTCATTTCATTCCTAAAGATATCTTTCCTATTTCAGATAATTGACAAATACTGCAAAGATTTCCTTTTTCATCTTGTGAAAAAGTGCTCTTACAGAATGGACAAATAACTTTCTTAGTAGATTGTATATATTTCAGAGATGAACAACAAATTTCTTTCTTTGGAGAGAAGTCAACATCCAAAGAGTCATTTAATTCTGATTTGCTCAAAACCGATCTTGCCTTCTCAAATTGCGATGAATTTCGTACTTCATCTGGTAAAAATTTCAACAGATTTGAAGCAGATAAATTGCATTTCATTCTAATACATGTATTGAGTGCTGTTTGTGCCGCAAGAATATGATGTTCTGTGTTCATGTTAAGCATACTCATCATTAATGAGAGTTCTAAGTGCCTTTTTGGATCATTTTTCCTGATTTCATTTGATTTCACTCCAATTTCCATTGCTAAGCAATACGTTCTGCATAAGTATATCATCTGACTTGTCTTTTCAATGTCATCAATCGATAAACTCAATTTTTGTAATGAATTTCTGAAATAATACAATGCAACAGAGAATTTTCCAGATTTAACATACGAGAAACCTTCTTCTATTTCATTATTAATAACATATAATATATCTACAGGCTTAACAGGCAACTTGATATTTTCGACCGACATGTGACATGAAATATAAAATTCTGTAAAAATTTCTCTCAAAGGAATTGGATTTTTCAGGCCGATTAAATCCTTCAATTCAAACAAAGCATCAGAGAATTTTCCGCACATTACTAATGATAAAGGAGACATCATGTTATTTGTCCATGATTCTTCGATATTTCTGCCACGTAAAGGAACGATTTGATCGCCACTTTTTGTCAAATTTTCGGGAATCAAAATTTCAATGTTTTCTGTTTGCCATCCATCACTTTCATCAACCAAATCTTCTTCTTCAGAAACTTTCTCATTTATTTGAGTATTTTCGACAATCACTTTCTTTGGCTCAACAGTTGGCCAATTATCTAAAACTTTTCTGTCAGAAATTTCTGAAGGAATAACGGTTTTTGCAATTTCAGATAATTTAGGAGATTCACTTTCTAATAAAGCGGAAAGAGTATTTCCATCATTAAGCCATATAGCTATTTGCATTTTGAGGTTCAAATCCTCTGTTTTTGCCATCAAATCTTTGAGTTTTGATATTTGGCCGGATATCAAATAAATAAAAGCAACTTTATCAGTTCTATTTGCTTTTGAGTAGTATTTCTCTGCTTCCCTGAATCTTCCGCAAATCAAAGATATTTCTGCCAATTTAACAACTTGTTCTAAATCTGACAAATCCAAAAATCTTTCCGCGGATGAAATGTCAAAACTTTCAATTGCCATTTCGAACTTTTGCTTTGTGTCTTGACAGAGTTCTTTCGCAACGGCCGGAAATCCTTTTTCCATTGCAAAATAAGCATTTGAATTTGACATTGAAATTTTGTTAGAAACCGTCAACATTTTCAATGCATCATTTTGATCGTTATTCAATAAATAGTTTCTAAACAAGCACTCACTCAAATCCACTTCCAATGTTTCGAATGTTGAGTCCGGATGAATGAAAATTGCTTCTTTTTCAAACAAATCCAACAAATAAATTTGTTTCGGAAGACTTCTCAAAACTCCTTTTTCTCCATTGTTTAATGCATACATCAGATATGTTTTTGTAGTGTAAACAAAGATATCTGAGTACCATACACCACTTTTTGGTGCTTCGTTGACAGCAAATTTGTCTGAGAAATCAAATTTCGAAATTAAAATTTGATCTTTTGTCAAAACCGCAATTTTTCGGTTTTCTTTATTCAAAATTATATCTCTGCAATTTTCAACATCTGTTTCAGCAATTACTTGTTCTTTATTGAGATCGAACAACATTATCTTTGATTTATCACATAAATAAACCGTGTTATTCATTCCAGAAAACATTTTTCCGTTGAAAGGAATTCTGACAATTTTTGCATCTTCATCTTTTCCAATTTCTCTTATAAAGAGTTGGTTGAATGATACAGACATGTAACAGTATTTTGTTCGGCTTAAGAATGTTGCTGACTTGCCATCTTCCATTTTTAACTTTTGATTCGATGTTCCAAGTTCTAAATCAACCAAATAGAAGCTGTTTTGATAATCTATCAATAAATAATTCCTTGATTGATTGAAAATCAACTTTCTTGGCTTCTTTTCTGGAATTTTCTTTGTATTATTTTTGGATAAACACATAACTACGTTTGTTTGGTTTTTAATGTCATATTTCCTGATCTGTTCATCATTATAATACAAATAAACACCAGAAGAAATCCTTAAACTTGCAGGACGGTTCTTACAAATTTTCAAAACTTTAAATCCGTCATTTGAAGAAGCAGCAATTAAAGGAAGGTATGGATGAACTGATATTGACCAAAACTTTGTTGGATTTGTGTAAGTATCGATTGTTCTGACTGAATCTTGTTTTAATAATTTAATTGTTCCGTCTTCTGAACAAGAAACAATTATTTCGAGTTGCGGCATGAATTTTGCTGCTGATATAGTAGAAGTGTGTGCATGAACTGTTGCAATTTCGTCTAGTTTTTCGTTCATTAACATTAATTTGTTATCTGTTGTAGAAATAATGATTTTATCTTGTGTGGGATGCCAGGAAGCCATTGTAATAGCACATCCGTTATCTTGTTTTTGGGCTTTTGGAAGTACATCGAGGAAATTTATTTCTTTTGGTTTGTTGTATTTAGATTCTAATCCAGAAATATTCCAGACCATGATTTTTTCGTCGTATGAGCCTGTGACTATGTATGGCTTTGATGGATGGAATGATGCGGTCATTACAATCATGTCATGTGCTGGAATTGAATATAATAATGTTTTGCTTTTGTAATTGAATATTTTAACTGTTTGATCATCTGATGATGAAACTAGTAAAGGTAATTTACTGTGGAATTGGACTGATCTTATGTAATCTTTGTGGTCATCAAATCTTGTGATGCAATATCCTTTGATAAAATCATAAACTCTAACGCATCCGTCATCACCACCAGATGCAAATAAAGTATCTGTTGTATGAAAGTCAACTGCTCTTACAGGACCGAAATAATCTTTATAACGTTGTATTTCTATGCCATTTTCGTAATCATATATTGCAATATTGCCCGAAAAGAATGAAACAAGTACCCAAGGGCGTTTGTTGTGAAAGCAAATACCCTTTGCTTTGGATCCTTCAATCTCAAACTTTGTTTTCATTCATAAATGAACTTCATTAACCTGAAACCAATTAGATAATATATAATAGATATCTGTGATACATATAATTTAGTCAAAATATTACTGATTCAAAATTCAAGATGTAATTTTTGCTACAATATAGTTCGGTGAATCATATATATTTGAAACATCCAATAAAGCAAATGCCATTGCAAATTGAACCTATGTAGCATAATTTTGCCATAAAAATTGAATTATTCAGTAATATGGAAATGAAATATATATAGATATGAAAAACATAATTAAGAGAATGGTAAATCCTATATAGTTTTCAAAAGAAATCAAGAATATTGAAATCATATTTTCAGATTTGGTATAACTTTATAGGATAATAAGCTATGTATATAGTATTTATGCGGAAATGAAAATAAAAGATCGCGTTTAATCAAATATTTCTTAGATTTTGGTGAAATCATCTTCTCTATCTAAGCAAGCGACAACAATGCAGCCAGCAAAGATAGCAACGCAACCAATGATATCAAGAATTAATGAAACGGTCTTACCAATCTTTTCAAGGTGGTATAAAACGCATGGAAGTGCAATAATTGAAACTACAGCAATTGTTAATAACCAAATGAGGAAATCTTTTGTAATTACGTCATCATCTGAATCATCTTCTTTGTTGATGTATGAAATGTATGAAAATGAAATAACGCATGCAGGAATTAATTCGAGAAGTGCAAATGCGTTTTTAGCAGTAACACATCCGACAATAATTAATGTGACACCAAGTGTTAATGCAATACCAAGAATAATATATGGAAGAGCTTGCATTATTTTTTGGCACTTTTTTATATTTTTTGATCTAAAAAATCTTTCAAATTTTCACCGTAGCCTGAATATATGTGTATAAATAAGTGTTAATGTTATTTTTCATATTAAAAATGCCAAATGCGATCACCTCCTTTAACAACTTTACATAAGCTTATTTTCCAATTCAACTTCACCGGGATATTGAATGAGAAGTATCAGGATAATAAATTCAAAAACTCTAAATTCAATTTCTTATTGTTGATTATTGATCGGTTTTTAGCTTAACATTAAACTAAAATTCCTTAGCAATATATGTATATGAGATGAATATGACATTTTCCACAAATTGAAAAAAAAATATATTGAAATCAGATCTTTGATTGGATAATATTTATATTATAGCTATACACTGTATATTTTATGATTGAAATTCAAATTTAATTTATGATCAATCGTATTTATTTGAAATTATAACAAAAAAAGAATAATACAAACAACAATAAAAAGTTAATCTTCCCATTCACTCTTCTGGAACTTAGTTTCATTCCATTTTTGGATCATTTGTTTCGTTATTTGTAAATATAATTGAGGATCTTTTTTAGAACTCCAACTTTCTGCAGTGGATTCTCTTCCATATAACTCAATTGATGGTTCTATATTTGTTCCATCAATAAAACCGTTATATGAGTTAATAACAATTATGTTTGAGTCGTGAGCAGTTTTTATTGCAGCCTGCCACATCTTTTTATACTCTTCACCGTTATTCCTTGAACACTTTTGAGCTTTTGATCCCCATCCTATATCTAATCTTGATTCATCAGCTCCAGGGCAGACTCCTGGAATAAATACAAGATCTCTGTCTTTTAATTCATTTGAGAAGCGTTTCCAGTTTGAAAATCGGGAAGATTCCGAGAAATTTGCTGAGAAAAATGTATATAATCCATCAATAGCTGTTTCAACAGCTTCTCCAACTTGATAAGAGTTGGAGAATGTTCCAATATAAAATGGATTGTAATTTTCTCTTGTCTTTAGAATTGACCAGAAAAGATCTTCAACATCATGAGGATCGTAAATGAATATTACTGGCCTTCCTTCGTATTTCAAGTATTGAGGATGTGATGATAGATTTGTAAGTATATATTCGAGAGAATTGTAAATTGAAGTATTAGTTCTACGTTCATATGATTGTAAAAGTACGCCAATTTTAATATTATATCTTTCTGAAGATTCTAGCATGAGTTTAATTGTATTAGGTACAAAATCGACATCTTCATTATTGTTATCTGTAGTTTTATTGAATCCTATCCATTGAACTATTACCCCATTGATACCAGCTTCCGACATTTCTTTAAATTGATCTTCTATAATTAATTTGTCGTGAGTTGAATATAAACCTCTTTGAGGAAAGAGTCCTAATGGTGCACTTACGGGTGGTTCATACCAATCATCCAAATATTTGTTTTTCTTATATCTCCATCCAATAAATTTCTTATCAATTGAAGGATTTCCAAAAGTTGCATAGTATAAAATCCAAGTATTGAGTGGTTTAACATTAGCAATCTTCTTAGGTTTCATAGAATAACTAATAAAAGATAAGATAGAGAAGATTGCTGCTATTGTAATTAGGATGGATGGGATGTTTTTCTTCAATCCCATTTTATGAATATTTTATAACACAACATTTGATAATGGGATATAAGCAAATGAGAAAATATAAAATATACTATAAAAAAGCTGACATTGAAAAATTACATACAAAGATGACATATTCATTATTTAGTATCTTAAATTTATGAAATAGTAATTATATTACAATTCATTGATTAATATTAGAGTACTGACAAACATACCAGTACTTAAACTTCACAAATACATAAGATTAGATAGAAGTATCCCCACACTTGTCCTGAGGTGTGAACAGATAGTATTCACGAGATAGAGTGATTACCAAACTGAGAAGTAATGTTTTTCATTAATTAAGAATACCATTTGGTGAAGTAAAATTATAAAATTTATTCCAATTTTTAAACTAGACATTTTTTTTCAACTTCCTAGAAGTCAAGATGAAATGATTCTAACTGATGTGCAGTTTTTCCATCATTATTAATTTCATTGATATTTGCACCATGCGAAATAAGAAATTCGGCCATTTCTTTACTATTAGTGTGTGCTGCAATATGAAGTGCAGTTTTTACATCATTATTAATTTCATTGATATTTGCACCATGCGAAATAAGAAATTCGGCTATTTCTTTATGGTTTTTACATACTGCAATATGAAGAGCAGTTTCCCCTATTTTATTTTTTTCATTGATATTAGCACCATGCGAAATAAGAAATTCGGCCATTTCTTTATGGTTTTTCCATACTGCAATATGAAGTGCGGTGTCCCCTCTTTTATTTTTTTCATTGATATTTGCACCATGCAAAATAAGAAACTCGGCCTTTTCTTTATAGCTAGTCAATACTGCGAGATGAAGAACAGTTTCCCCTCTGTTATTTTTTCATTGATATTCGCCCCAAGTGTAAGAAAGTATTCGATAAGGGATGGGATATTAAATCTTATTGAACAATTAAAGCATTCTTGAATATCATTAATTTGATCAAAATAAACTAAAAATGATTCAAGATTATTATATATTACACAATAATTTAAATCGATCTTTATATTGTGTTCATTCATCAAGAATGTAACAAAATCAATGTTGTGGGAAATAATTGCATATTTCATGCATTAATAGTTAGGCTCTTGATATTTCAAACATTCACTCATAATCTCTGGATTTCCTCCTAAAAATGAAAATTGTAGACATATTTGAGTTATTTCTGAGTTAAATTTTGTTCTTAATAACTTGAAACAATCAACTGCTCCATGGTAACAACATAATTCAAGTAATGAATATCCTTCCGAAGTTAATGGATATAAACTACTTTTAAGTCTTTGATTTTCATCAAATTCATCTTTTTCCGATAAGAATATGAATTTTTCTTTATCATTATTCATAATGGCTCTGTAAATTGTATCTTCTGTATGAATATCAAGATTTTCAAAATCAAATTTTTCGAAGTCATGAGAACTGTCTAATTTAATTCCATATTCTTTATAAAACATGACGATTAAAATGGTTTCAACATTGATGACTTCTGTTATATGATAATCATCATAGATGAGTTTAATGAGAGTTAAATATGACTTTTTATAGCGATTATTATACGGAATGATACTTGAAATGTCTCTTAAAATCTTTTGGGGTGGATATTTCTTTGAATCAATCAATTCTGTTTTGATCATTTTGTAAATTGACTTTAATTCTTCTTCTTTTTCCGTTTTCAGCTGATACAAAGCATTATATGAATCAATGTAGTATTTGCAGATACTTCGAAATTCGAAATATTTGTTTGGATGAACGTCTTGATAAGACATTGAAAATTTAAAATAAATTTTTGAAAAGTCGGAATTTTTATGTAAAATTGAGAATTCTCAGACATACGATTATTTTTGCTTTTAATGCCGAAAAGCATTTGAATCAAAAATAATCATATGTCTGAGAATTACACTTTTCCGACATTTTTGGGTCGCTTCGCGCCCCTGACAAAACGTCGGAAAAGTGTAAATTTTCCAACACTAGTTTGAATTTAGATTTTTCCGAAAGGAAGTTTGCCATTATATTATGGAGAACAAGAAGGAGCATTATCACAATCTAATGGAACTATACATTCGATACAATATACAAACTCAAGACATCTGATAAAAAGGAAATCGAAATATTATACAATAACATCAAAAATAACCTGAGCAATACAAATTTTTTCACTCCAGATCTTATAATAAATGCAATTGATCAGGCTGCAAGTAATAATCACCGTTACTTAAAATCTTATCGAATTCTTTCAAATTTGATCATCAAAGAATACCACCTCGATAACAAATATTTACTTGATGAAACTGAAGATCCTATGGAAAAATATTTTCAAGAATTTCCAATAATGAAAGTTATTATGAATGATGACAAGCTCGAATTTATTCCATTCATAGAAAGCGAAGATTTTATTGAAGATCTGATCATTTTTTATGGTCCTTATCCTATTCACTATGACGATTATTTGACATATCTTGATATTTGCTGCTTTTATGGTTCAGTGCATTGCTTCAAACTTTTGAGAACTAAATTTAACTCACAAATTAGAACAGAATCACTTGAACTCGCGTTTTTAGGGGGAAATCCAGAGATTATCAGTGAATGCTTAAAAGTTATCAGACCAAACAGGCATTGCATGGTAAATGCAATCAAGTCACATAACATCGATTTTGTCACATATTTGCGAAATGAATTTGAAATTGAAATTGGATTATCTACATGTGCATACTATAAAAATCTTCGTGCATTTTTAGTATATTTAGATCTAACAAATGACATCAACACTTGCTTTATTTATTCTCCACTTTTCCAAATTCAATCGCTATGCGAATATCTTCTTTCGCAAGGTGTTGATTTTCGTTCAAAGGATGAAGCTCGTTCGGCCCTCTTCAGTGCATTAAGGTCCAATAGGTTAGAATTTGTTAATTTACTTATTTCACTTGGTGCTGATATCAAAGCTCAAAATAATTATGATCAAACTCCGCTTGTCTCTGCAGTAGAAAGTAATAATATAAAAATTATCGAATTACTTATTTCTCACGGAGCAGAAATTAACGTGGCAAATAAGTGGGGTATTTATCCAATTCAAAAGGCAATAGCAAGACAAAATAAAGAAATTGTTGAGCTATTAATCTCGCATGGCGCAGATATTAATGTAAAATTTAGAAACGGCTCTTATCCAATTCATGACGCTTTGTGTGAAAAAAATATTGATATAGTTAAACTTTTGATTTCACATGGTGCAGATGTTAATTTAGAAAATGAAAGAGGAGTAGCACCCCTTTTAATAGCCGCAAGAAAAGATGATAAAGAAGTGGTGGAACTTTTGATTTCTCACGGAGCTGATATCAATAAACAAAATATTCACGGAAACACTGTTCTTGACGAAATATTTTACTGGAAATCAAATAAAATAAAGCATTTCCTGATTTCAAAAGGAGCAATTCATGGCGCTAAATGGACTGAACATAATCGGTCTCAAGGAAAATGTTTGCTTACATGAAATACCAAAATGAAGTTGTCAATTAACATTTAATATTTCATATAAAATTCGTCCACCATTCAAATAATCTAAAAATTTTAATATTAAAATATCTAAACACATTTTTGTGGACAACTAAAATAGAATCTGGATTGTGTTAATATTCATTCGGTATATTTGTGAGCACGGCATATCAATTGACGAATGTGTAAAAACCTTTCAAAATCAATATATTTTGAGAGACTAATGCTAAGCCGAATATGATTTCAAGTTTATTATATAACAGATTTATATCAACGTGTCTACAAATGGCAACATTATTTGGCTTTTGAATAAGCATAATTTATAACAATACAACAAATATATATATATATATACATAAGAAAAAAAAATTACCTTTGACTCCAAAAGATCTAGTATATTTTGGAATGACAAGTCTTGGAAAAGACCTGTGCAATTGCAGCTCCAGCCTTCATTGTCAATAGAGCAATCACTTGATTTTTGCCAATCACTTTTGATGGGCCAAAAATTGAAAAAGTTTTAATTTCTCTAGTTTCTAGTCAGAATCAATATGGAAAAAAGTGAAACCATTAAATATAAAAATGAATTAGATTAATTAGAATATTCTTATAGATCCATGTAAAAATATAAAAAAATCTAGAAGCCAATAATTTCTATGGTAAAGGAGTTTTCAAATAAAAATAACTTGAGAAAGAAAATTATTTTAAAAATCATGTCTATTTCATAAAAATCAACAAACAAACATTTATTTTAACATAAAAAATATCTAATATATACAAAAATCTAATAATCACTCTCATCGCCATCTTCATATAATTGTTCAATGAAATGAACGATGTAAGGACCTTTCTTCACAAACATTTCATATATTTGTGGGTATTTTTGGCTGATTACTGTGAAAACTTTGCAAAATGTCTTGGTAAATTCGCTAGGAACCTTCATTGTTGAAGAAATGACGCAGGACATGTGCATGAGGAAACATGCTGCACGTTCTGAGCATTGTTGGTCCCATTTCTCAACAACTTTTAATAATAATCTCGCCATCGACAACAAAAGCCTTGGAATGCTTGATCCATACTTCTGCATCATTATATGGATGTTCGACATCAACAATTTAAAGGAATTCAAGACGTCATTGAAAAGAAGTTTTAATTCCGGATTTTCTTCTTCAAATAACTTCTTAAAGCACTTAATTGCACCGATTTTATTGGAAACTCCTGAGATACTGCGATAGTAATTCAAAATTAACTGAAGAAATTCAACATATCTTTCATTAAGAATTTCTTTGACGACAACTTTAGGAATAACATAGTGCATGTGACTTATCAGTTCATCATTATCAGTAATTTCGAAATTACGAAGCAGCATGTCATAGAAAGGAACAGAATTTTCAATAATTGACTCAAATCTTCTGGAAATTAAGGCTGAAAGTAGGTCAAAGAAGCTGTATGACTCATGAGAACTCAATATTTGGTAGCAGAGTTCCATCAAATTCAATGCAACTCCTTCAAAATTTTCTGATGAGCCGGAAATGAGGACTTCTGTACTTCTTACGATTCCATCTATCATAAACTCTGATATTTCGGAGATATTTTCAATCAAACATTGAGAAAACAACAATAAAAAATTATCAATAAATTCTGGCTCGTGAATTAGCTCAGAAACCTTCTTGGACAGCTTGTAAAGGGGGTCTGATAAATGGAAGACGTTAATCATTAAAATATTATTAACAAATTGCAAAAGTTCATCATAAAAGTTGAAACCTTGGCATTTTACGATTTCTATGGCCACCCTTATTGAGTTTATGCACACATCTTCCGATTGCGATACAATAGATTCGTAATTTTCAAAAAAAGAATAATATAAATTTGGTTTTTCGGGAAATTGGTTGATAATCTTCTTCAATGTCTGCAGTGCATGGTACTGGACTCTTATACAATCCGATTTCATGCCATTTATGCACAGATCTATGTAATCACTCGTTAATTCTTCCAAAGAAATGAAAGTTATCAGGATTGAGAGCATTCTGAAGGCCGCTTCATGGGAAATCAGGTCATCTGAGCTGGAGTTCTGTATAATGAAGTCGTTCAGCTGCTCCATTCCGAACTGGCGGTCGAAATCTTTTATGAATTTCAGAATTGTATGGGTAGCGAAGTATGTTGAATCGAATGGCTCTAAAACATCTTCTTTCTTGATGGTCTTAACAGTAATAAACAGCTTTGGAAGCAATTGGTACATTAAATCTCGATCAAATTCGTAATCTTTCGATTTTATAATGACACGATCAATAAAACTATGAACTTGTTGTAAAATTTCATCGTCTTGGTCGGGTCTGACATCGTCATATATAAAAGTAAAGATTTGATTCAAATTTTGAATGATAATATTTGGAAAATAGCCGAAAACGGCATGTAAAAACCTATAACAACTCTTTTTAAGTGGTGTCTTCTCTAAAAGTACTATTGCATTTTGTACTAATTGTGCAAATTGTTCTTCATTGAAAATTGAAGTAAAATTACTGATAAAATTGTAAAGATAATTGTAGCACTCGGCGATGATATCGTAATCGTTTGGATATTTTTGGAGAATAGTCATGACATTTGGTATAAATTCGACTAAATTTTGATAATATTCGGATGGTCCGTAAATTGTAATCAAGCACTGTAAAGCAAGTGAAATACCATGTGATAACGAATCATCTACTAAAAAATTGGCCAGCTTTGGAATGATTTCAAAATCTAATATTCGATTTTTCAGCGGTGATATGATTATTTGTGCAAGATTTAGCGCTAATGCGTTGATCGTACTGTTCTCATGCAAAAAGAAATGGAATGATACATCAAAAATTTCTCTAATCAGAGAATCATCTGCATTTATAGTAGGATCTGGATTGTTTTCTGTTAATGGAGTAATTAGGTTTCGTATACAGTTTGTTAATATAACAATTGATAAGAAAAGTTGCTTATATTCTAGGTTTTGGCTTGTCAAAATTTGCAAAATTTGTTGAATTGTTTCAATTGGAGTTTCATTCTGCATTGTAACTAATGCATTCTGAGCATCATTGAAAGATGGGTGATTCTGATCATGTGCAATTGTAATATATTGTAATAAATCACCCATTTTTTGTTTCGAATAATTTTTTTATTAATAAATTCTTGTCAGGTTTTTTAAATTAATAGTGTTTCCCCCTTCTTAATTAAAAAAAATGGAATTTGATTTCAAACCATCTTTTGATCATAAATGGGATACTCCTGCTCAAAATGAGGTTTGTCCATCACAACCACAGCCAGTACAAGCAGCACCAAAGGCCGTTATTGAAACATTTGACGTAGATAATGCTTTTGCAAATTACAAGCCAAATTTCAAGACAACAGTCACAAAATCAGAAATAGAAATGCCAGAACCGGTTCCAGCTATTGATACACTCAAAGGAACTGTAGCAGAAGAAATTTTTGGAAAGTTTTGCCAAGAAAAATTCGGTTTTAAGCTCGATTTAACAAAACAGTAAATTGCATGTTAGTTTGTACTTGTTGTTAATTATAAATATTACTAAAAATACTATTTTCCAAATCATATTTTCTTTTTATACATAAAGTGCCGAACGATTCAAATATATGCCTTGATTCCAAATGAGTTGCGTAACTATTTTAGATAATTTTCATTAATTTGAATGAAAATAATTTCATTGTTGAACTATTCTATCAATAATGGTTAAATGTTTATAATTTTAGATTAAAATTTGAAATATCAATTCTTGAAAAAGTTATTGAACTAATAAAAAATATCAAAAACTATTACTGCATCATTTGCTTTGTATGCCGGCAAAAAATGTTTCTATACTATTAGTAAATAAGAAATATGTGATTAAAAAGATTACAAATAATAAATACTTTACAAAATATGAACAAATAGATATTAATTACTGGATTCAAATGAGAAACTATCATCTTTAACTTTGGTGATATTCTTAAAGTGATGAATTATCATCTTCGGAAGCATTTCGAACTGACCGCAACCTGTAGTGATCGCAGTCAATAAAGTAATCGCATTCCATGGAGAAACTTCATTTGATGACATCAAAAATGTTCCAAACTTCTTCACGAACTTGTTCAAACCTGGTTCTGGGATTGTTGATTTAGTTCTGAAGAGGATTGATAATTTCTGAGGGATAATGAAATCTCCGAAAACTACAGCTCTCATGAAGCTTGACAAAAGATGTTTTGTAAGTATTTCTTCACTGAGAACTTGTGTGCAATTCAAAATTTTGGCCCAGACTTTCGCAGTTGAATCTTGAATTGTATCATATTTGATTCTATCTATAACACTTGAAACCAAAGAAGCATAAATTCTATCTCCATATAGCATTAATCTAAATGATTCTTCTAACAAATGGGAGTTAGTTTCATCGAAGTATCCATGTCTTGAAGCTGAAATAAACAGCTGTGCAATGGCTTCATTAACATGTGGGAAACCATTTTCAATCAATGAAATTCCATGTCTTAAAAGTGAGTTGAATAAACTTACGGGAATAGGATGAACGTCAACGCTATCACGGAAAGCAGTAAATAGATTACTAAAGAATTTATCGAAATCACTCACATCATTGAAACTTTGTCTAACAACTTCTGTTGTTCTCTGAATGATTTGATCGAAATTCGTTGAAGGGTAAACACTTGCAGATGCTAACAAGAATATAGCAATTCCTCTAAAGATATCTTTATCTCTTGTTAGAACGAAAGTTTGGAGTGCGCAAGTTTTGGCATATTGTATTGTTTCTTCGCCAATCTTCTTATAAACTTCTTGTAACAATTCAATTGAATTCTTGTATTTGTCAGTGATATCTCCAAGTTGCATTAGAAGCTTCCTCTTTGACGTGTAATACAATATTGGAACTTTCGATGTCAAGAAGACAGAAGCAATGTACAATAATTTCGGAGTGATAGGTGTTTGACTGAGCATTTTGAAGATTTTGATTCTTTGTTTTGAAATTTTGATTGTTGGTCTTTGAATCAACAAGTTTTCCATCATTGTTTGTATACTTTCGACAACCTTTCCAAGGTATTGCTGTGGACATTCACTCAAGCAGGAATCGACGGAATCATTTGTTACATCCATTTCAAACAAGTTCTTGAAAATGAATAAAGTGCTTTGTTCTGTTCTCATCATAGCACGCCAAAGCTTTCTAATACTCATTGTGAATGCCATTGGTTTCTGGCTTAAGTCATTTGCTAATTTAAGTGCTGTTAAAAGAAATTCTTCTTTTAATTCTATTTTAGAATTTAACATCATTGCTGTAACTCTTGTAAGTTTCAAGAAATGTTCTTCATTTGGAGAAGAATGTCTCATAGATTCAATTTGTTTGAAATAGATTGGAACATAGTCTGAAAAATGTTCTACAAGATACAATGTTGGGCCTGCTTCGTAATTCTTATATTCCTCGTACTTGTATGAGTACTTTTCTTCAATGTAACTGTCCAAATAGTTTGTTGTTGTCTCTGGAGCTTCTTCGCACATAAGATATGAATAGAAACAGAATGATTCTTCAATCATTTCTGGTTTTAGTTTCAATAAAGCATCTGTCGTCTGATAAGGAGCATAAACTAAGAAAGTTGAAACTAAATCTTTAACTTTCGAAGTGTTAATTCTAAGTACTTCCATGATTGTGTTAAATGTCAGTTCGTAATTAGTTGTATCACTAAGGAAGTCAACTGAATGATCGTTGTAAGCATTGGATTTCAACAAACAAAGGAATGTCTGATGAGCAGCTTTGACAAGAGCTTTGTTCTCGTGCAAAGTATCCCTTTGAACAGCTGTGAGAACAACAACATAGAACTCTGTCATCTTTTGAATAGGATCGATCATTCCATGCAAAACTAATGAAGCAATTAATCCAAGAGCAATGACGTAATCATTGCATCTTGTGATATCTGGCTTTTCATCAAACAATGCAATGACTTTATCAAGGAATGGTTTGCAGGATGGATCTGAAAATGACTTTGGATTTTCATCCCATACTAAAATAATATATCTAATGATAGAAGCAAGGGATTCTAAGTCTATATCGAAGTTAATGTGAGGAATTATGAGAGGGAATGCAGTTCCTGACATTCTTGCGATAAAATGAATATTTTTGCTAGTAATGAGTAGTTGAATGAATTTCTCTGGCCTGAGGAAGCTAACTGTCATCTCATTATGCATCTCCATTGAGTACATTGAGGAAACTCCCTCAATAAACCATGGCATTTGTTCGGAATACTTAACCAAGCCCGTAAACACATGTTTGCTGAGCGGATGATTTGATGCAGCAATCTTTTTGAACATGTTTGTGCTGCAATCAATACGAATTCCTTCTTCAGACAAAATACTGATAATATCACGAGGTTTTCCGAACATTCGCTTTGTTACATAGTTGAACTCTGAGTTAAACCTTATGATAAATGGCTGTTCATCGAGACTGTAATCTTTCCAATCTGTATTTGCAACTTTAAATAGTTCTGCAGTTTGGATTAATAAATTGTATGCCGCTAATCTCATATCTTTGTCCTTGTGGAATGTCATTACAGTACACATTGACTGTAATTGTTCGAACGGCAAATTTGAAATAGCTTCTTCAATGTCATCCACTTTGTTTTTCATGATATTCTGCATTGCTGTGTTATCATCAATGCGTTTGACGCTCTTAACCATTTCTGTAGCTTTCTGTAAAAAGAGAATTAAAGTATTTGCAAAAACAATGCTGTTTGAACGGGCAGCGCTAACATCCCATGAGCGAACTATGTTCTCTATGATTGGAGATACCATAAGAATGTCAACATTCTTCCAACTTTCTTGTGATCCGAGAATTTTGGTAGAAAACAGAACGTTGAGGATATCGGAGTTAATCGTAGAAAGTCGTAAGTAATCACAAACCAATTGGAATGGTACTTGTGGGTTTAATTCATATAAATGCTTCACAAATTTTGCTGCTCGAACTGCAGCGTTTTCTGTTTGAATTGGAGATGGAGGGATGCTAATAGAAAATTTACTGAGTACTTTAATGAATCCATCAACTTTTTCAGCTGGCAAACTTGTGATTGAATTGAAGAAATTTTCAATTGTAGCAAATGTTTGCTTTAAACAATCGCATGTAGTAGCAAATTGAATAAAATCGTCAATTCTATTCGCAATTACTTCAGCATCTGGAATCGTTATGTAAATTGCCGAAGTTAAAAGATTAATTATTGAACTTTGGGCAATTTGAGGGTATTTCAAAATCCCAATAATATCTGATTCGTTTTGGATGATAATTTGAGATGAAATGTTAAGCAACGCTGTCTTGATGAAGTCTAACGGAATATCTTTTACGGCCATGCATAAAACTTTGGAAATTGTGAGCGTTATAGCAACTGACTGCTCGTTTGGAAGCTTTTCTGGGAGTCTTAGAAGCGATAAAAATTGGATTGAATTAATAGTGTTACGAGTAGACGTGAAAGAGTTGAATATGTCTTCTACTGCTTCTGGATTTAGCAGTAAATATTTTGAAATAGAAGCAGCACTGATCTCTACCAAAAATTGCTTTTTATCACGTACATCCAAGAGCAATTTGTAGAAATTAGGCCAGAATGAATTAACTGGAACTTTTTCTTTCTGATCCGTAAATATATCAAGTATTACACAAAGGAGAAACATTTTATGCAATCCTTTTCTATTAAAATCTGAATACTTTGTAATTTCTTCGTATATCTCGCTAAGAGATAACTCTTGTTGAGCATTTAGTCTCCTATCTAAGAAGTAAACATAGTTTAGGAGATCCTTAATTTTACTTCCAGGTTGAGTGTTGAAAAAATCTGGCCCAAAATCATTATTAGCTGAGAAGTCTCGGAACAGTTGCAATATTTGCCTTACAGTGTTCTCTATATGAAATGTGTAAGGCTGCGTCATATTTTATATAAAATTTTATTCTTTGCACAATTCAATTGATCTTATCGATTAATTTCAATTCAATATTTTGAAGCAATTTTTGAGCAAATTATTTTCTCGTTATTCACTAAATTCGTGTATTTAATATGATGCAAATATTAGGTGCATATAAATGATTCAAAACGATAATAAAGTTTTCTTTACAGGTCTTATCGTCATCAAGACTTTTATTATAAAATCTTGATGCACTCTTTGTAGACAATAAAATTAAGTTAATCTGTAAATAGAAGTTTTGAATCAAAAAGTGTCAGATATTATAGTTTCGTTATTTAGTAAATTTTTATTTTAAATATTGATTTTTGTGACCACTACTTTGATGTTTTTCTTGGAAATTTTTAGATTTACATTTTTGGTAATTGACCACATTTTAAAAATTGCCATCGATAACCAATAATAGCAAATGCTTCATATTGTAATGGTTCTATTTCAAAAACTAGAATGAACTCGTGAAGAAAAAAGAAGGAAAACCGATTTTTTACCAAATGTGATTTGTTAATGTTTATTATCAGTTCTACGCTTAATGAATTTGAAAATTCTAAGGTTAAGCTTTCTATTTTTATGGTCAGTCATAAATTCCATTGCTAATCTAAATTATCATATCTAAATTCATCTATGTTCAAACCAAAAATTCAGTTCATACCTTTCTTGAATCGAATTTGTAAACTGTTTAATATATTTATTGAATAATATGACATTATTTTAAACGCGGGGATCATTCTTTGGAGTTTTAGTATATTTTTCATACATGAGATTAATTTAATTATTAGGTAAGCTTATCCACTTCACTGTAGTCACATATCTATTCAAATTTAAAAATAATGTGGAATAAGCTCAATTTTTAATAATCTGTTTTCTTTTTCAAGAGAATTACAGTTAATGAGTTCATTTTTTCTCAATAAAGTTTCCTCATTTTAATAATCTAAGATGTCCCATGAATCATTTCATATTACCAAGGTAGATTTCGTTCAACAAGGATTGATAAAGAAGCTTTAGTAAAATTATATAAAGCAATAACAAAAACATTTTATTTCTCATTTTCCATCTCCATTCTCTTTTCTCTGTTAGCTGACATGTTGAATATCTTCAAGAAATCGTCAACTTGTGTTCCTTGAATGGCAGGTTTATAAGCTTTTTCAACTTGGGAACAAATTTTCAAAACATCTGGCATCAAAGTCTTCTTCTTTCCTGACTTGACGTATTCCAAATATGTCTGATACGCTAAGTCATTTGTATTTGGGAATTTCTTGATTCTCTTTGCAGCCTTGTAAAAGATTTTTGTCCAAGGAACAACTTCAGCATTTGAATTCTTCAATTCATTGAAAGGAGGACACTGGTTTACAGGTGGTCTGAAAGTCTTTGGATAAATTGTAAATGGAACAAATTTGTAGTTCTTCCACTCCTGATAATCTTCCTTCTTTATTTCAGGAATTTCTGTTGGAATTGGGATCAAATGGCAAGCGATGTTTCTGTCGGTGATTTGACATAACTTTGCCATCATTGAAAAACTATTTTCATCATATTTTGAAACTCCATCAATAGGAACTTCGAATTTCATTTTAGAAAGATTGATTGTAACTGTATTATAAAGAATTTCGTTCTTCTTCGATTCGAATGCAAGTGGATTAGTTCTTGCAAGCTTATGCAAATAATTCTTGGCACCGACAACTTTGATGGCTGTTTTAACTTTTTCATCCAAAGGCATCAAAGAAGTCATTTCGTACAATTCCTGGAGATATTTAATATGACTTGCATGGAGATTGAAGACATCTGACTCGAAATAGATAGAGTTTAATGTGTACCACAAGCTGATATCGATTGGTAAAGATGTCAGGTTGAAATTTGAAGCTCCTGAAAGAGACAAAGTCGAAAATCTCTTACGCAATCTGTATTTGAGTTGTGGAACCATCAACTCTGCATATTTAGATTTGTCTGGATCCGCTTTCTCGAGACAGAAATAAATTGTTGCGAACCAGAAATCTGGATTTCCAAGTTTCTTTCCTCCTGCAATGAAATCCATGATTGTTTTGTTCGCCATCTTGACGTGTGTTGGATCACATCCAAGAGGAATTCCGCCCATTGGAATATAAAAGTTTTCATCATCCAAAACTTCGTCTTGTATTTTATCGATTTCCATGAATTGGCTGTTTGGAATACTAGCTATTACGTGGTCTTGAATGCGCTTGATGCACCTGATATGAAGCAATGCATTCAGTGGGAAATCAATTTGTTTCTTCACTTTTTCTGCATCAAAACATGATAAGAGACTATTCACTTTTTTCGGAAGTTTTGATAAAATGAGAACAGGTGTTTCGTCTGGTTGGCCATCGCCAAGGTCATTCAAGTCACTAATGTCCATGTCTTGGACTGTAACAGCTCTGGCAGCGCGATTTGACTTAATTTGGCCGATGCCGAAAACGTTCTTCATTGAGCCATTCGCAATGCTGATGAGCTTATCGATTTTGGCGGCTGGATTGTTTTTTGGAAATTCTTTGCTGATTTTAACGGCTAATTCGAAATTACCGGAACGGACAGCATTTTCTAGTTCTTCTGATGCATTATGTTTTACAAGTAAGGATCTGAGTTTGATAAGCTTCTCTTTAATGCCAACATCTCCGTTTGTACCAACGAATTTGAAAACTAAACTATTGTATAAGTCGTCGTAAGCAGAATCAAGCTGCTCCATTGTTTTGATTTCGTCTATAACTTCCACAGTTTCCAAAAGAGACTTAGTTACATAGAACTCTTCTTTAAATTTGGATTCATCAACAGCAGTCAAGATTTGGCTGGTATTATTTCTGCAAAATGGGGCACAAACAGATAGATCTGGACTAGAATTGATGATAAAAACTGTGGTATAGGCTAAATGTAAGGGATTAGATTTGATTTTCTTATCGCATTCTTCAACAGACATAACTTCACCGTCAGTTATCAAAAACAAATGAACATCTTCTTTGTGTAAACAGTCAAAATCAACAAATGAAGAAGGATACGTTCCACCAGTTCCTTTCCTTCTTGATATAACTTCAGTTAATTTATTAATATTTGACATTTCTGCCTTGCTGTTCCAGAGAATGATTTGATCTTTATCATTTCGGAAGAAATTTTGAATAATTGTTCGAACGCTATTCCAATATAACTGTACCCCACCTGTCGATCCAGAATTATCAATTGCAAACACTCTGGGAATGTTTGGATCATAAACTTTAATAAGATCCATGAATTACTTTTATAAAATGAGCTGAAAAAAATTGATAAGAAAATTCCGACATTAAAATTTTCAAGTTACGGGCGTGATGCAATTGAATTATATACAAAATTTGCCAATTGAGATTGCATCGATCCAGTTGTGGGGAAAAGGCATTCAAAAATTTACACTCATATTGTGTTTACAGTTGTGGTGCCAGTTAAAAATGCAATATACAGCAAAATTTTTTATAATTATACCCAGATTTTCCTTTCTTAGGATGAATAGATCGTTTTCCTAGAAAGGACCTCATATCTCTGGCTAAAATGAAATGAGCAGGAGTGGCAAAAGTAAGGAAAATTTAATTAAAATGAGAAATGTTTTGAAAATTGGCTGACAGTAACAATTATACCCAAAATATCATCTCCAATTCTATTTTTGATCTCAGTCTCTTAGCGATATCGAATACAATTATAATGAATCATATATTTGATTATATTTATTTATTTTAGCAATTTTTCCTATAATTTATGCGAATATAATAATGATATTAATATGTGACTTTCTAATTATAAATTGTGAAACATAAGACTTGCAATAATTCTTCTGATTTCAAAAATTTAAATATTATTTTTTTGATTTCATACTAAATGATCGACATCATATGAGAAAATACTTAAGTACATATCGTAACATATATTAATACAAGTGAACCTTCATTGGATTAAAATTGATTTGTTAAAAATATAAATTATACTACATCACTTTCAAGCACAAATTATAACAAAAAAATATTTTAAATTTGATAAATTGAATTCAATTTGAATTTTTTTTTAATAAGATTCTCTCAAATTTGTGTCAGAATGTTCATTTGTGAAGGAGGAGTGTAATTTAATTAATATTTTTTATAAATTGATAAACTTTGCTTATCTGTTTTAATGTTAACATTCGTGTTGAAGGAATTTGAGTAAAAGTGAAAAAGAATTTCGTTTTAGAAAAACTCAAATCAAATGGTTTTTAAAGATGGCTGTTGATTGCGGTTCAAAATTATTTTGTAAAGTAATCAAATTTTTGTAATTTTCTCAAAATGTACGATGGTTACTTAACTTTCATCAGAAATATTTTCATTATCAAATTTATTTGATCATAATCGAGTTACTTTCTTTATTTTAGGATTAAAGGTATATTTTGTAACCGAATGATTACGAAATTGAGATGTATTGAATTCTCTCAAAAGCATGGAAATTCGTTTTAAAACTTCCGATTTTAAGTGTAGTTTTTACCATTTTCGATTCTCTTCTTTCCTTTTGAAATTATTGAATATCAAATTCAGTTAATTGAGAAAAATTGAGATAAGAAGACAATTTTTCCATATTGAAATCTCATATTGCATGGCTATATCTGACGATGAGATACTAAATAGTATTAAAAAGCCACCAGAATGTATTCCAGAGTTTAAACTTCCTTTGGGTGAGTTAAAAGCTTATAAAATCATCAAGAAAAAGAACAATTATCAAGAAATAATAAATTTAAAATTCGATGGTAATTCAAGATGTTACAAAGGATTATCCTGTCTACATGTTGCAATAGATTCGAATAGTTCTGAGAATGTAAAAGCTGTACTCGAAAAAGGAGCCAACCCAAACACAAGAGATGATACCATGTCAATGTTGATGCTAGCAATGAAGAGTAAAAACAAAGATATCATTACTCTATTACTTAAATATGGCGCAGATCCTTTATTTCAAAACATCGACAATAAACGAGCCATAGACTTCGGAAATGATGACTCCAGAAGTGCATTTATTGGCTTTCAAGGTTCAAGCAAGCCAAGCAAGGACTTAATTACTTCCGCAAAGGACGACAAAACAAATGACATTTTATACTGGATTGCCAAGGGTAAAGATTTCAATAAACCAGACAAAAATGGTATGACACCATTCCACTACGCATGCTCCAACGGCAATCTCTATATTGCATGGACATTATACAAAATTGGCGCCCAAATGTACCAAGAGGATAAAGATGGACTGTCACCTTTAGCTTATGCTATCAAAAATAACCGTTTGAACATTGTCAAGTTTTGGCACAAAGCATTGGACATAAAATTCCCAATTAGGGATGATTCACCATTGATGTATGCTGTCAGGAAGAACAGTGTTGAAATAGTAAGGTATCTAGCTCCGTTTTCCAATCTCAAATTCTGCAAAACATACAATGCAGAAACTCCACTTTTTGTTGGAGTAAGAGAAGATCATGTAGGCTGCGTTTCTATATTATTAGATGCAAATCCATCAATGATCAATGATACGGTTGCTGATCACACAATTATGATGTATGCAGCCAAGTTTAATAGTGTCAAAACGATCAAGTTGCTTTTAACGAAAAATGTTAATCCAAATAATGCATTCAAAGGAAGCAATCCTATCAGTGTTGCTGTTAAGGGCGGCAATGCAGATGCTGTCAAGGTGCTCATTGAAGCAGGTGTTGATCCAAATTCAAGCATCAATAATGGCGACATTCCTTTAATGATTGCAATTCAAGAAGGATACTTCAAAATTGTTGAATATCTTCTTGAAAAGGGAGCTAATATCAAGTACACGAACAATCAATCTGAAACCGCTTTTATTTATTCTGTCAAATATAATAGATCATCTATTCTTGAAACATTATTAAAATATGTTAAAGATAATGACAGCATTCTTTTGAGAAGAAAATGTCTACATTTTGCAATCGAAAATAATAAAATTGATTCAGTGGAAACAATTATGAAAAGCATGAGTAAAGACAATGACAATAAATACGATTGTTTAATAACTCATGCAAAATCAGAGGAAATGATCAGATACTTACTTGGAGCGGATAAAAAAGATACTAAGAAGAAAGGAAAGAGCATTTTTGGTGCCATCGACGAATGTTCAATCCCTGGCATTAAGTATTGGTTATTAGATAATCCTCATTCTATTGAATCGAAAAATGAAAACCAATATACTCCAATCATTTATGCCTCAGCAAAAGGATCTCCAGATATTGTGAGCTATTTGATAAGCATTGGTGCAAACAGATTCGCATCAACTGATGATGGAACTGATGCAATGTCAATGGCAATCTCAGGAGATTATGTCGACATTGTGAAATTATTATTGGTTGCGAATGTTGATATTACTTCTCCAAGAACAAATGGAAATGCACCCGTATCTATTGCATGTGAAAATGGATCAATTAATTTCTTAAAACTCATGAAAGAACAAAAACTTGACTTCAATAAAGTTGCACAAGGCTCTGAAACACCGATTGCAATTTCAGTCATCAAAGGTAAGACCGATTGTGTCCGATTCCTAGTCAATGAGTGTGATATAAGTCCAAATTCAGTCAGCAAAGATCAGACTCCAATTGTCATGCTTGCCATTCTTAATAATCAACTTGAAATCTTTAAGTTTTTAGTTGATAAAGGAGCTGATATTAACTGTCGCGATCAAAAAGGAAACACTTTGCTTCATCAAGCAGTTTGTTCAGGCAATACAAATGCAGTCAGCATTTGCATCGAAAAAGGAATCAATATCAATGAAAAAAGAACTTCAGATCAAGTTACTCCATATTTAGTTGCATGTTATAAAGGTGATGAAGCAATGATGAATTTCCTTGAAGGAAAAGGTGCAAATACTGATTATAAGACAGATGATAACATTAATGCATTAATTGCTGCTGCGGAAAGTGGCAATCTTCAGTTGGTCACTAATCTTCTGAATAGAGGATTTGATCCTGATGTAAAGACTTCACTAGGGATGACTCCTCTTCTCGTTGCTTGCAAGTTTGGGCACCTTAAAATTGTAAAGCTACTTGAGTCCAAAGGTGTCGATTTCAAGAGAAAAGATTCGGATGGACATACTGCTTTCTATTTCTCTTGTATTGGTGGCGATAAAGATATTACTAAACTTGTTTATGGCAAGAAAGGATTCGATGTCAATGACAAATTTGAAAATGATAACACCGTCCTTCATATTGCTGCAATGAATGGACATCTTCAAGTTGTCAAGTTCCTCAAATCGAAGAAAGCAAAATTACTTGAAAAGAATAAGGAAGGAAAGACACCATTCCATTATGCCGCAATGAACAATCATGTTGATGTTATGGAATTCATTTGGAAAGAAACGCACAAAGATAAAGATCCTGTTTTCATTAAAGACAATGATGACAATATGCCAATTGTGGATGCAATTTCCAACTATGCTGTTAATGCAGTTGAATTCTGTTTGTCTAAGAATTGTCGAATAAATACAAAAGACAAATCTGGAAAATCACAACTCCACAGAGCTGCAGCGGCAGGAGATGTTAAAGCAATTAGGATATTGCTCAAATTTGGTGCAGATATCAATGAAGTTGAAAACAATGAAACACCAATAACTGTGGCAATTAATAATGAACAGTGGGAAGTTGTCAAATTGCTCAAGAACATGAAGGCGAACTTTTCATCATCTAATTCATTATCTGGAATGCATCGTGCTGTCCAAGAAGACAATGTTGAAAGATTTGAAATGCTTCGACAACTTGGTTTCAATGTCAATGAGAAAGGAGCCGCAGGAAAGACACCTCTTATGGTTGCTATCGAAAAGCAGCAACAGAGATTTGTCTCCTATCTTTTGGATTGCAATATTGATGTTAACGCAGTAGATGATAAAGGAAGAACTTCACTCATTTATGCTGTGAAGTTTGGTAATGCAAAGGCAACAGAAAAACTCATTGATAAAGGTTCAAATATTGATCATAATTGTGATGATGCAACACCTCTAATCATCTCAATAAGGAAAGATCATATGGATTGTTTCAAGATATTGCTTCACAAAGGTGCCAAACTTGAATTACCGCAGAAGGGAGGTTGGTATCCAATTCATGAAGCAGCACAATGTCCAAATATTGAATTCCTTAAAAAGCTTTTGCATAAGAAAGTTAAAATTGATGTTGTTTCCGAAGTCAACAAATCATCACCTCTAATGTGTGCAGTAATCTATGGAAACATGGAAAACTTCAAACTGCTTTTAGAAAAAGGTGCTGATATCAATTTATTAACCAAGAACGGATATAATGCATTACATTATGCTGTTACAAAAGGATTCTTCGATATGGCAGACATTTTAATCCAGAAAGGACTTAAACTTGACATGAAGGATGCAAATGGAATTTACTTGTTGGAATATTGTGCAATGAATAATTTGGTTGAATCAATTAAATATTTCCTCAGCAAAGGAACAAAACCAAGCATTGTTCTCAATGGAGATACATTGTTAATCAAGTGTATCAAATCAGGATCATATGATTGCGCCTTCATGCTTATTGATCAAGGAGTAAGTGTTATCATTTCATCCAATGGCGAGTTACCAATTCATGCATGTGCATCAAGATTTTATGATCAGCAATCAGTTCAATTGGCAAAGAAGTTAATTGAAAATGGTGCATATCTCAATATCAGAAATAAAAATAAAGAAACACCAATGAGTTTGACCAGATGGTATATCGAAAATGACAGAAGACTTGCAAAATTCTTGAAGAATAATGGTGCAAAAGACATTGATTTTGAAGAGAATCTTGAATATAGAAAACGCGAATATGAAAGAAAAGCATCAGAACTAAATGCAAGACGTGGAGGAATTGAAGCAACAAGGAAGATTTTGCAAGAAGAATGCGAAGATTTTGAGATTGAGAACAATAAATTTAATGGGAGAGTTAAATTGTATAACCAGGAATCTGACAGGTTGGATAACAAGACAAACTCTTTCCTTTACATGGCATTCGCAACAGATTCTATGAGAGAAAGACACAATAATAGAATTGAAGCTCATAATGCCTATGGTGGTGCACAAATTTGTGCTCAAAGAGAACTTCTTGATCAACAAGAAAAGAAATTAATTGAAAAAGTTAGGAAATTCAAAGCAGATGATGATCAATTCAATGAAGAAAACAACAAATTCCAAAGTGAATATAAGGCATTCAGGGACCAACTTGAGATATATAGTAAATTATGAGTCCATAAATTAAGATTTAAATAAACAATTTATTAATTTTTTATTACTGACTTTTGAGAAGCTTGGAAAACCTACCAATTAAGTTATTTTGTCAGATAAGTATGATAATTTTTTTCATAATAAGTGACAGGACGAGTTGTAGGAATTCAAAAATTGATATAAAATCAATAGCGTGCATAAACAATTATAATACTCTTGACATGTTTTGTAATATAGTCCAAATATTGGGAATTGTTTATCCAACTTGAAACACTATTAATACAAGTTTATCATAACATAAGCTCTAAATATGATTATTAATTATTTATGATGGTGCCATTCAAAAATTAATTCAAGATTCACATGCACAGAACTAATTTTATTTCAAAATCTTAATAAATAACATGGAATATCATTGAAAATTAATCTTTAAAAAAATAAATTCCATGTCATATGGGCGTAAGTTCATGTTTATTTTGTTGAGGAGGATATTGTCCGTATTGAGGATATCCTTGTTGTGGATACTGACCATATTGTGGTGGATATTGGTTATTTTGTGGTGGATATTGGCCATACTGAGGATACTGGTTATTTTGAGGATACTGGTTATTTTGAGGTGGATACTGTTTCTTTTTAGATGAAGATGAGCTACTAGAAGATGAACTACTCGATGAATCATTTTTCGAATTTGAATGGCAATTTTCTTTCCACCAGCAACGGCAGATCCAAAGCGCTAAAAAGATAAATACAAATGGTGCCAAAACATACACAGCGATAATTCCTTTATTAACTTTGGAATAACGGTTGTACATTTCATCCTTTGGAGTATACTTTGTTCCATAAATATATACAACTTGTTGTCCTTCTCGCTCTGTCCTGGAATACTTAAGATCGGTGTATGATAGTGGTCCAACGAACAATCCATAAATCTCTTTATTATCTGGTTCATTTGTTGTGATTGTTCTATAAGTAAACTTATTAGAGGCTTTTTTATCTTCACTGTGTTGGTAATATTCAATAGCTGTATTATGATATAAGTTATTGAAGGTATAAACCTCGTATGGATAAGAATGCCCACGAGGTGATGAACCATCTTGCTTGATATCTACAGCCATTGATGACGAAGCGAAAACATAATATCCAATGTTATGCATTTTATGGTAACTCAAATTTGTTGGAGTATCATCGAAGTTCTTTGATGGTGAGCTTGTAAAGTACTGAGGATGGTTAGGTGCAACAACAATGATATCTCGAGTAGTTGAACCAAAACCTTTATCATATTGGAAAACAGTCAAATTGAGTACATGAGCAGTATTTAGTGGAGTAACCGTCATAGGAGCATAATCATCAGTGAAGTTAAATACGTAATGCCCTGTTGTTCCCAAAACATCAACTCCATTAAGTTTTCCTGTGAATGATTTTCCATTATGAAAGATAGCATATGTACGTTTCTGGAATGTAAATGTTCTTCCTTCTTTCTGAACTATTAATTGATATGTTCCATCAGGATAATTAATTTGATCATTGCCATTATAATAATAACGTGTTGCTGGTTTTGCATTTCTTTGTATGTCGCCATAGACATGAAATGCTTTAGTTTCCTTATCATGTGTCATTGATGATGCAGGTTCTATAATTTCTGCTGATTCAAGACCAAATTTGACACCTCTGTCAGGTTTTTCGCCAGAGTATAAGAAAATGGTCCTGTTAATGTACGAGTATGCAGTATCGTATATATTAAAATTAAAAGTTTTTCCGGAAATATCATAAATCTTATTAAAAGAATACGAAATCATTTTGTATTTCATAACATGCGGAGAAGTGAATATGTGGCAAATCGTTGAAAAATTGTCAACATTGTAGTCATAATCTGCATCTGCAAAAATTGTTGACGCATCTTCTTTCACAACTTCAACATTGAGATTGGAACAGTCAATATGTGGGTTAATAAGTGTAACGCTGTACAAAAGAGTGGAAGGTTGCTCGCATCTAGCTTTGACTACAAAAATATTTGTTTTATTGTAGAAAATTCCTGTATCTACAAGTGTAGCATCTGATTCGTATTGAAATCTCTCGATGTCCTTTCCAACAAATACTGCATTTGGAGGAACATGAATTACAATTTCGCCAGTAACTGGTTTTTCGAAGTCTCCGATCTGATAAAGTTTGATGTTTAAGGCAGATATATCAATTTTTCCGTTCTGATTCACATCTTTAATTTTGATTGTAATTGTTGAGCAGTTAACATCAATATTTGACACGACACTTGTCGGAGTTGTACTTTTATCTGTAATGTACGACAGAGTACCTTCAGAATACCATACATTATCAAATTTTAAGTCAAAATCGGAATCTAAAAGAGGGAAAAATGCATAGCAAATAGCAGTGTTATAATATCCAGATCTATCATCAGAGTTAAAGATTCCAGTAAGAACGTATCGAACTGATGGGCAATCAGTAAAAAGTGGGGCAACAGCTAAATTCAGGTTAGTATTTGTCTGATCTTCAGAAGGTGTAACTGTGAATGAGTTATCTTTCTGAAATGTTGTCGGAAATTCTGTGATTTCTTTATTATTTGAATCGCGAAATGTGAATCCTTCAGTTTGGTAAGGAAAAACCGCAATATATGAACCAGCGGTAAATGTCGTTTCACCAGTTATTTTAAATGAAATTAAAGTGCTTATTGTTGACTCAATATAAATCATAATTTTAATGGATTTTCGAAATTTTAAAATTGAAATGACAACTGAAAATTAAGAATAACGTTTACAAAATTTTCTGACTAAAAATATATAGTTTAGCTGACAGATCCAAATTTCGATCTATCAATTATTTATCAAAGCGTTTGAAATGTTTTAACGTTCATTTTTATTATATGTTACATTATATTAGTAAAAAGATTTTACTGTAAAAAAATTCCCTCTGTTTCAGATTTCAATTGTCCAACGGTCTTTACAATTATCAAAATTAAAAAGGTAAAACTATATTATACTTAGGGCCAAACACCAGCTAAAAAAATAAAATATTTTTGACCGGTGACGATATGAATTATTTGGTCGAAACTGGAGGATCTGAAACAAAGGATTTTAATTTACTGTAATTTGATAATTCGACAGTGTGAGTATTGTATCCTTATCTGTACTGTCTTATTAAATATATTCCATCGCTTGGATTTTCCAAATAAGTTTGTTTCGCAGAGTAGAATTCATGAGAAACTTTACATGGCATACCACAGATGAATTATGTCTGATTTCTAAAATGATGTTGTAACAAGAAGTTTGAATGGATGAATATAAAGAAAGCCAGCTCGATGTCATTAGTCTCAATGAAACGGACTTATGTTGTACTGAAATGCCTGTAACAGATGTAGATTTTGATAATATACAACAAAAGATTCACTTATTCAACGAATCACAAATTCTAAATCAAAAAATAGAACTTGCCCATAACATATTGGCTTCATTTCAGAATTTCAACCTTGAAGATATAGCATCTTTCGATTTTTCCGGATTTTTTGAAGCAATCAAAGATTTAATTTATGAAAACAATGAAAGTATCATCCGTGAAATTAATTATTTCGCTAAAGATTGTAATGTGCTTAAAGACGCACTCATTCATTTCAAGATTTATGATTCAATCTTATTTTTCTTTGTTTCCATGAATACGGAATGTAAAAGAATTGCAATTAATGTCCTATCGCAAATGAACACTTTCGATCATTGCTTCTTATGTTCTTTTTACGAAACAATTTTGAAATTGAAAAAAATTGATGATTTAGAATTGATTTCAACAATGTTGATTCATATATCAGAAACAACTGATTGTGTTAATGATCTCCTCAAGATATTACAATACTTTATCGTTGATCTTAATTTTTATCAAAATTCTTTGCCTTCTTTTCTCATTTTAATGAAGAGATCTAAGGTACATTGTTACAAAGCAGCGAATACAAGAATCCTACAGTTCATAACACAAAATTTTGAAAATATCTCAAATAATTTTTTGGAAATTTCAATTGGATGCATTGAATTATCTTTACCATACAGAAAAATTCCTGAAAACTTCTTCTCAGCTCTGAATTTTGAAAAATTAAAAAATATTTTTCAAAATTCTGGAAAAGAAGAGGAAATACATAAGATTGCTCTATTCCTTTCGCATCTATATTCCAGTGAAGACTATTTTGGATTAATTCATAACACTGAAATTGAAAAAGTTATATTTGAAATTTTTTCATTATCTTGTTATGAAATCAAGAAAGAACTAGCATCAAACATTGCTATTAGTATGAGATATATAACATACAATGAACTGATGACTGATTTTTTCCAAAATATCTTTGATGAAGTAATTTCAATTGCAGAGAGTGGTGAGACAGATGTTATTGTTGCTATTATTGATACTGTTATTAGAATATCAGATACAAATCCTGATTTCTTAATTCATATTCAAAAATTTTATTCAATTTTCGAAGACATCTATATGTCAACAGATGACAAGTACTTAACTGATCTGCTGGATGTATTTCTGACGAAAATTGATAAATTTGAAGAATATATTTAAAAATATTTTTTTATTAAAGAATAGTATTTTTTAGAATTCTGTCTATTACTCTAATATTGTTTAACCACCATGGAGTGTAGAAATGAAAGTGATATGATCGCCAGATGATAATTTTTGGTCCATTCCGTCAATTTCAGAGTCAGCATCGTTAATCATGACGAGGATACCTGGCAATAAGTGACCGTTTTCTGCAAGGAATCTTGTTGGCTTGGATGGATCGAGGTATTTCTTGGAAAGAAGAGCTGGTAATTCTTCTAATTTCATACCAGCTGGAACCTTTTCCTTGAGGCCGTTTGGTGCCTTGAAATCGTGCTCAAGGCCTCCCTCAAATTCGATGGAAATATCAAGCTCAGACATCCTGAAAAATTTTGTTTCTTCTCAAATTTAATGGAAATATTAAAATCATTTCAAAATATTATCAATTAATTTACTAGGCATTTTTATATCTATTTCAGTAGTATATATACCGGATCCTATGACCATTTTTGCAAAACGAATTTTTACAAGAGTGAGAAAATAACCTAAAATATATGATTTTTATAAAGAAATTGCCTCAAAATACACACTATTATTAATTTTCTAAAGCAAAATTAACATAAGTGTAAAGATTCTAAAGCAACTTACATGAAATCATAAATATTTTAAGCAATTTTATCACTATTGTAGAAATTAAGGAAATTCATTGATTTTCATAAAGAAATTGTCAATATATGAACAAATTTCTCGCTATTGTAATAAATCAATGAATATGATAATAAAAGGGTAAAATAGCCCCCTTTTATTAATGTTTTGCAGAAATGGTCATAGGAATCCGATAGGTTAATTAAAAAATTCTTCTGAATTATTAATTAACCATAAAGCCTCCTTAAAAATTATAGGGGCTAACTACTTCCATCAGTTTTTAAGTGATAAGACAGTAGAAAGGAAAACATATAACACAAATACAAATAAAAAAATTAAAAAAATAAAAAAATTAAGTTTAGTTTTTTTAATGGTCAGTCAGTCAGTTGGTGGAGGTGGATAAATAGGTTTTTCATAAACAGGTGTTTGAGTTTTATTATTAATTTCTACACTTTCTCTTTTCACGGGTTCTATATTTTTTGAAGTAGTTTGAATTCTTCTTTTCACCCAGAATTTTCGCATTTTTTAAAAAATTAAAAATAAAAAAATGTTTGAAGATGAAGATGAAAGTTTATCATTTGAAGAAGAGGAAGAAGAAACAAAAGAACATGTGAATTATGATGAATATATTGATAAACAAATTCAAGATGCTTTAAATGAAAATAAAGGAAATTTAGAAAGAGAATTATTACAAAAAATACCTATTTCTGAATGTTATTATAATTCAATAACAGCTGCAATAGGACAACAAAACAAAGGTAAAACATTATCTGTTTTAAAAGAAATTATTAAAATATCACAATATGATCCTTTTTGTCATTTATTAGTTTATATTAATAAAACAGGAGAACCAACAGACTCAACATTTGAATCAATAAAGAAACTAATTAAAGTTCCCATAATATATCATTCTCATGATGATGCTGAAGAATATATTCATCAATTATTATTATTTAAAAATTTATATAATTCAATTAAAGAAAATCATTATGAAGATAAAATAGATGATAATCAAAAAGAAGAAATGTTTGAAAATTTATTTATTAAGGATACCCTTACATTGCGTAGTTAGAAAGAGAATATGATATTGTCATGATTGCTAAAGTTTTAGGCTCCAGAAATGAATATACATCAAACTGAAACAATTGATAAATTGAATGAACTTTTGAGAGGTTCTCAAATAAAAAAAATTATCTAATTTTTTACAATATTACTATTATTTTATCCACATATGTATATATAGTAATTTGAGAAAACTTTTAGGAAAAAATAAGTTTAATAAAAATCTGAATTTTACTTGTTGTGGGATTGTTATTAATTGACACTCCAGACGTATTACTAATAGTTATGCGTATGCAATTAAAGTATTTCTGATGGACAAAATGTGAGATTTATATCAGATAATTCATTTCTACTATTAAGTTATTCATTTATGAGTTTGCACTTATTCGCACTAAATAAATAACTATTAAAAATTGTTTTAATTAATTGACACCATATAATAGAGTGAATTTTGTTTGATCAAACAACAATAGATGATAGATATAAAGCCAAGAAACTTGCTATTAATATGCTCTACTTGCTATTTCAATGTAAGTATGATATTTTCTAAATGTTTCGTTCAGATAACTTAGATATATTAGTCAAAATTTGAAATTTTAATAGCACATATATTAAAAATAATTATTATTCATAAAAGATTAATGAAATAGTAAAAAAATCAATCAAATTATAAAAATACAACATTTAGAAGAATTCTTATTATCCTTCAAAAAGTCAGTATTTCTGCTGTAATTTTCTACAACATTGTAGTTATTGCACTTTGTCTATGGATTTGTATATATGTTATATATAAATTATATATCTAAACTGCCCATAAGTGCAATTTTTATATAAATTGTTTATTTCTTTAACAATTTCATATGAAATATGCTTTTTTAAGCGTATCAAAGCTGTGTTCTTAATGTGCATGGATATATCAAGAAAAATGTCGAAAAAAATGTGAATTCAAAAATTCACTGAATTTTCACCGTTTTTTGAATTTTGCTACAGCACTAATATTAAATAATACTAAAATCTTCTGTCTTTGTAAAAGAATAAATTCTGACAAAAAGTGCTCGTTTAAATTTAATGATCATCTGTATGACTAAGTGGTAAAAAGTGTTTATGACCAAAAAAGGGTTACATGCTTAGTCTATTTTTCTGACAGGATACTCTAGATTTACATGATCTCTATTTCATATCTCCGTTTTTAGATTCTTCGACAGATTTTATGATAGAAAACCAAGATTAACAAATTTCCGGCATGTTAATGAAGAAATCTGCAGCTACCCTCAATATTATTTCAATAATCAGTATCGTTTCTCTTACAATTTATTTTTTTCTCAATAATTTAACAAGAAATAACAATACACACTTGGTTTTACGTATAAAAGCTAAGTGTCGAACTTAATCAACTTTACTTACTTAGCAAATGAATATTTTTGTGGTTGCGAGTTCTGAATGCTGAAGTTTTAGATTTCTCTATAAATGATATCATTGCACTTACAATGTTGTTCCAGCCTATCGCATAAATCATAGAAAATCCAAAAAAAAAATAATATAAAGAAAATTCATGTCATGAAGTTCAAAAAATACCGTGTAACATTAAAATTTGTTATGCATAATACATTTTAGCTATTATTGATTTTTTTTAATTTTCGAGAAATTGAATGGTGAGTCCGATAGAGAAATTTTTAAAAATCCTAGTGCCTCATAGAAGTAATTTCCCTCGTCTCCCATACTTCCAAATGTATGCATATGACATAAACTTTTATGCATTACACAAGTGGCCAATAATATCTATAGAGTAAAAAATTAGAAATTTAATTTTTTTATATGATAGTTATATTTCAGATTTGCGAGCGTAACTTTTTTCTCCATGGCATACTTGTTTTAAGAGCAAATGATCAAAATCGTCCTTCAATTATTGAAGGAGCTGATATCTTTTGAAAATTGAATTGAAAGGGTATTCAATTTTCAAATTTCCTCTCAATTTTGGAAACATATCAACTCTATGAATTAACAATTATGTGCCTTCACAGTTTATCAGTCATATAAGGTGCTTATAAAGAAAAAAGTTACGCTCGCAAAATATGTTTTTATATAGATTTCACATAAAATAATTATGTAATTTCTAAAAAGAATATTTTTGTTCTTGAATATTAAAGTGTATTGTAGTTTAAAAAGTTTTAAATATGTTGCTAAAATTTCAGGTTTATAGCTCATGTCTAGCATGACTTCTTCGTATGCGCAAAAAATCTGACACGTAAGGGTATCCTTAAATAAAAATAACGTTATTTTTTCAGTAAGGAAACGCAGGAGTTTTACGATTTATTTGAGGAGTAGGTTCTGGTTTAAATGTTGGAGTCGGTTTAGGAGTTGACTTTTGAACAGGAGTTTGTACTTCCATAGGTTCAGGAGTCATTGAAGGTTTTGCTTGTGAAGGCGTTGGAGTTTGTTTAACTTCAGCTACTTCAGTATTATTTACAACATTTGCTTTATTTCTTTTCAACATCATAACTGCTACTGCTGTAGCTAGCAAACCTAGTGGGAGACCATATTTTATATAAGGACTTGACCAAATGCTATTTTTGACAGGAGCTGGTGGAACACCTAACCTTGGTGAGACTGCTCTTTGCCATTGTGCAGCTCGTAAGAAATATTCAATAGGTGCTCCATAATCGTTTGGTAAAGTTTGTTTCATAGATGGTGAAGGTTCATGAGAGCTTGATGAAGAACTCGTTTATAAGCTTTAAAAATAAACATTCATCCTTTATTCCTCACTGTCGTCCGTGGCTAAGTTATAGTCATCTAATCTTATTATGGGGATGCCATTAGCACGCACCTGAATGGCAAAGCAACAATCCCTCATAAATCCAATAAGTGGCTTTGGTACGTTTTCAGTTGCTAGTTCAATAGGTCCTTTAACAGACAATTTGTATGTTATTGGAGCAGTAGATGTTTGACCTTGCTGGAAGCAAAAGTCCACTTCTGTTGGAAAACCACATAAGAAATGTGTGTTGTCATAGCTATCCCATTTATGTTCCACACTACCATCATCCACCAATGACCTCATAACATCTTCATTAAATCCTATCATATCATTGTTTGTATTGCAAGCGTTCGCAACCATTTCATAAAATACAGGTCCATATGATTTTTCAGGTTCTGCAGGCATATTTCCATAAGCTCCCATGGAAAGCTGAAGATATTTAAACTTAGGGTTCTCAAAATTAACATAATAGTTGTCTTTCTTTCTAAATAGTGCCCAAATACTTTTAACATTAATAGGCGTATAAGCTGCTGTAAATGTTGCACTTGAACTATCTGTATTCTTTGAGAATGAACCGTCCATAGGAATCCAATCCATAACTTTAACAGGAAAACATAAAGCCTCGTTTGTATAATGTTCTACAAGTTCTGTATAAATGTTAGGTCTAAAGAGAATGACTTTGGATGAATGAAACATTCATTAAAATCCATCTTTGTTCGAAATAGTTGCTGGGTTACAGTTGTAATAGTAACTGTTCCACTAGCTTCTACTGACTTCGTTATCATAGTGAATGGTTCATTCCATGGAACAAATTTATTTGTCGGTGGATTTGAATCTGAAGCAAATGCAACTTTAAGAGTTGGATTGAAAGCAATGATATCATTTACAGATATAGATGTGCATTGTAAGGCGTCGCTACTGAACTTTACTTTAAGCTGAATGTTTCCTGCAAAAGCTGGAATAAATCGAATAGCTTCTAATGGAAGGAATCTCTAACAGGAATTCTTAAACGAAGCTTAAAATCAAATGATTTTCCTGCTGTAATTGGACCACTAACAATTTGTCCTGTTCTGCATGTTCCCGAATGACTCCATACATCTTCATGTCGAGTCTTTGAGAAAACATCTACTTTCTTTATTTGTTCGGTAGTTTGTGAGTTTGAAGTTATATATGCTTCTTCTCTTGCGTTGTCTGAGAATATACGATACGACCATTTGCAAGGATTTGATATCCAGCAACTGCATAGAAAGCGTCATCGAAACCAATCCAAAATCCTGGTGGGTTTGTTTTATTGGAACCTGAACCAATTTCTTTATCTACAATAAATTGACCTTCCATTTTATACGTAATGAATGTATTGTAAAGGTCCAACATATTTTCACCAGGAGGTGAGAGATTGAATGTTACCCATGTGTTATCTTTAGCAGTTCCAGGTTGTGATGGAATCTTTGCGTCAGAATATTTTCTATTAGTGTCACCAATTTGAACTGCATTGTCTATGATATCGAAATATGAGCGAATCTGATGAATATGCTCTGCTGGAGTAAATTCGTTTAACTGTTCGTTCTGCATGTATTTACTTCAGATAAAAATATCTATTTACTTCATTATTCTCACTCTTCTTCTTGGCATTCGTGGTGGAAGTTGTTTCTTGACATTTTCAATGAACTGTACATTCTCTTTTGTCTCAACTTCTTTCACTGGCGGGTCAGGATTCTTTGACTCGGTTTGTTTTTCAATGAAATTCACGAACTTTGCAATAAGCTCTTGGTTCGTTATTGAAAGTACATCTGGCTTCTTTTCTTCTGGTTCTATTGACTTTTCAGTTTGAATAGAAGGCTTAACATGGGCTTCACCCTCAGTGCCATGCACCTTAATACTGTCACTTTCTGCATTCGCTAATGGAACCTTTCTTTTTCTTACGTATATTTTACCATCTTTACTCTGACTTACGTAATAGAAAGGATGTTGTATTCCTCTTGCGTCATTTAATATAATAGACTCTCGCTCTGATTTTGACAAGCTCATTTTACATCGGTTAAAGTTTTAATTTTGTTTTTTATCTGCAGTCAAATGACTCAGACAAGCCCTACGGACAAGACCCAAGGGGTCATAGATGTTGAAGCATTGAAGAAAGAAATTCGCGAGCAAATTTTATCCGAACTGAAGGAACAAAAACAAGAACAAAAGCCAGAGAGACCAAAGAGAAAACTTAGTGAAAAACAACTTGCTGCATTAGCTGCTGGAAGACAAAAGAACCCAAGACTACTGGCGAAAAAAGCTAGAGAAGAAGCTGAAGCAAAAGCTAAAGAAGCTGAAGCAAAGAAAGAGTAAATGGTTTATTTTTATCCGAATTAAATGTATAGACAAATACCTTTATCTGTTGCGTTCAGTAGTGAAAACCCTGACGTTAAAATAAAGGGGAAATGAGTAATGTTTAAGTTTCCAACAGACTGGATTGTGAACATAAATGAAGAGAAGTACATTGGCATAACATCTATGTATATAACACGTGCTTTCAGAAAGGTTGACTTTATACTTCAAGTCGAGATAGAAAATGACGAACAGTCTTTAAGCGCCCAAAACATTCACATATACAAATACTTTAAAGACGATACAACATTGCTACAATGTATGATTTCATTTAATGAGATGTTTGAGAAAAAGTTCAACATTGAAGTACAAACTTTACAGCCTTTACGTGAGTTTCTTGCACAACTGAAAGAAGAAGGTAGTCAGCCACAACTTATAGACTTTCATTATGAATTTAATGAAAATGAAGATGGAACTCATGACTGTCAGTTTGTTATATATTCACCATTCAATGAAGTCGCTAAAGAGAAAGAAAATCCATTACGTATAAGATTTCAAATCTCTGAACCAAGTGATGATTTCAAGAATGTTTTCAATTATGATGCAATGCTTCCGAGGAAAAATGAATTTTCCGAAATTAGATTTCCAGGTATTTGGGATAGAAAACAAGCAATATTATATTCAAACCTAAGTAAAGGAGTTGAAAATGAGTTCATTGGTCATACAAGAAATTCACCATTACCAAATCCTAAGTATTACAAGCTTACTGGCTTCAATCGTGAGTTTTGGATAGACATGTTCTCCACTCATGACCATAAAGCACCTGTTTTGCTACCTCCAGACCATAAGGACTGTCTCTATATTGAAGCACAACTCTTAAACTCTACAATAGCTGTATTGTAAATGACCTCATTATTTTTATCACGAATGACCTCATTGCTGACAAAAATAAATGACATCAGAACTTCAACTTACGAATAAAGCTTGTTTTAGTCGTTATTGAGAAGTTAAACTTCTCCTCAAAGCAAGGTTGACATGACTTACATAAGTCAAATCCAATCTCTTGACCATCATGAAGTGCTTTGTAAAGTTTCATTAAACTGAACTCAGAGTCTTTGTCATATGTTCCTTGCGGAACCATTAAACCTTTATCTTCATCATAGAAACACTGAACAGAGTCAGGAAACATTTCATTTGCTGTTAAAGCAAGAACGTCTTGTTTTACACCTTTACAACGTGCATGAAATGCAACTTCATTTAAATCATTCGTGAGTAAGTCTATGTAAGTCTTCTTTCCACAAAATATTGACTTGTATGCTAAACTTTGTTTTCCAGGTGTTATTTCTGCGAAGTCAGAATGAAATTGACCAAGGTTTTTACCAATGAGAACTCTTCCATAACGTTTCTCAAACTCTTCAGCTAAACGAGGGATATCTTCATTGTAGAGATGCATACTGTCCGTATCGCTATAAAAGATGTCCATTCCTAAGTCCTCAGCAGTACAGAATACTTCACACATTATTCTCTTCGACATAGACAGAATGTTAACACCAAGTGGACAGAAGTTAAAGTGTCTGCAAATGCTTTTCGTTAGCTTGAAATAGTTTTATCTGAACCATCCAAACCTTCGAACTTCACTATATGGTTGTAGTTTCTGATGGCATATCTTATAGCATCTTTGTCATTTACTATGGTTATTTTTGACTCAATAGGAGATAGAATAGTTTTGCCATAAATACTGTTCAGAATGAGTTTTATATTTTCTTGCAAAGGATTTCCTTCTTTCTTATACTTTAACCTTAACTCAAACAACTTCTTTACTTCATCTCTTATTCTAATATCTCTGTTTCCATCGTAATAGTATCCTTGCAACACTTCACATTTGACACCTTGATATTTTATGAGGTCTTGTAATGTTATATGGTCAACATACATTAAACAGCAAGTGTTTGAACTTCTGGGAACGTTAAGTTCTGGATTTAGTTCAGGGTCACAAACTATTAAAGGAAAGTGTCTATGTATTCCAATCTCTGTTATCTTAATGAGAACAAAGAAGCCAGACATAAACTTTTCACCAATGGGTTCCTTTTGGTCGTCATCGAATAAATGTCTCATGAGATACTCTGTGCTTAACATTTCTTTCTTCATAACCTTTGGAATTCCTTCTAAAGTATAAAGTCTCGCAATAGCTGAGGGATATAATGAAACAGCGTCGAAATCAGCAATGAGTTTCTTTTCGCTCTTTTGTTTCATGTTATCTGACAACATACATCTTCCACCTTGAATGCATCTCGAAATAAACTCTCTTGGTTTATTTGAGAGGTCATATAAATTTCCATTCGGGAAGTACACTCTGTTCTCAAATAATTTGTTAGCAATTGAACAAATGCTAACGTAGTCATAAACGTTTAAATCAAATTCTTTTAATAAGTCATTTCTGAACTTTACAAATCCTTCTCTTAAAATTCTTACATCTTGTTTGCAATAGAATGTGCTATACTTTTCTAAGTCGAAGTGGTTCTCATCTATTCTGCAGTTTTCGATTAAATCTATGTTTTTCATGAATGTATCCGCATCCTGGATAAACTTACACGCTTCAGAAATGACACCAGTTCTGTTGTCATTTGCTAACAAAACACTGCTGTAGTAGTTGTATGGAAATACTCTTTCGGTCCTGTTTGTAAGTTAAACATAGCAGGAAATAGTTTAAGCTTCTTATTTATAACACTGTAAGAGTCTTTTATAATAATTGCCCTTCCTTTATATAAGCCAGTTATTTGCATTGTTCGTGAACCTTTAATGATGGGAGTTCCTTTCACTTCTGTCATGTGTCTTAAGATGAAGTTTATGTCATAACTGAGGTTATGGAAATATATTAAACTCTTGTCAGGAAGTCGCTCCAAAAATTCTGTTGCACAGTTCTGACCCCAAATGCTTTCACTCACTGAACCATCTTCACTGTCATAACAAATGTTAAAGGCTTTATGAACTCCATCAGTACTGCACTCAAAGTCAGCAAAGAAAACGTGCTCAGGAATGAACTTGCACTTATTTTTATTTACTTCTTTTGACTCGGCTTTCTTCTTCAGTTGTACACAATACTTTGGAGCATATGTCAAATCTTTAAATGGTGCAAGGTTCTGTTTATATAAGTCAGTCGTATATGTGAAAAGTTCTCCATAAGAAATAGGTTCGAAATATTTGCACACCCACAATGTTTTCATAACATCCCATAACGGTGTTGTTCTATCATAACGAACTACATATTTGTTCTCTCTCTTTGTATAAATCTTCATCTGTTTCTCAATGTTCATTCCACCACACTCCTTCAAGATTTCTATATAGTTGCGAATGAAATATGTTGTCATTGGTAATCTTTCATTTAGCATGTAGTGGTCTTCAACAAGAAGTAAGTCAATAGTTCGAACAGTTTCACATTCTTTTGGTATGTATCTCTTTATTTCATTATGTCTTGAGTCATTGAAGTAACCAATGGTAACATTAAATGCTATACCTGTTGCGTCAGAAATTTCTTGTACTTTACTTTGAGGAAAGTCTCTAACACGAATGACTTCTCTCATGTGGTCAATAGTTTCTTCATTTACTCCAGCCTGAATGCAAGCATAAACGAAGCAGTTATCTTCTGTCATAAGTGTTGCAGTTCTTTTGTTCAGTTCATTGAAGATTTGGTAGCGTTCAAGATTTATAGGTAATGTGCAAAGATACTTCCAGAACTGACCGCTTCTCTTCTTATAAAACTTCTTTTCACCATTATCTTTCCAAAAGCTTTCTATAAGTGCTGGGTTTCCTGTTTGCTTAAGAGCTTCCAAAATGGCTTTCTGGTCATTTGTCAGTGTGCTTTCATCTCTATATGGTCTCTTTTTTGGTTTGCCTTTCTTTACATCTGACATCGTTAAGCCTTCATATTCTGTTAAATCATACATCTTTATTTCAGTAAGATTCTTTATGTTTGTCAAGAAGAAGTCATAGTGCATTTCAACAATACCTGCAGCATTTGCTTCTATCTCTGATATAAAGTTCTCCTTCAAGAGCTGATGTAGTAATGTTCCATAAGGAATGTATGCAATGAACTTTGCGTCATATGGGATTGTAATATATTCAGGGTTTCTTTCATCGTCAATGGGTCTATCTTTGTTAAAATGCATGTTTCTCAGTTTTACTTGAGTTTTAAACAGCTCACGGAAACGTTCTGGGAAAGAGTCATAGTAAATGTAGTCAGACATGTCTTTACAATGAAATAAAAAATTTAAAAAATAAAATAAGGTTATTTTTTATTTAGTGAGGACGGTAGTGAATTCGTTAGTGAAGTCATTGGTGAAGTCGTTTATGTATCAGACGGTTTTGTAAATATTTAAGGTTAAGTTGGTGTTATGGTTTCGTAAAGTGTCAAAACCGCTAAGTCGTGTACGGAGGCGCGCAGTGCCACAGTACGCAACTTAGGGATACTAACTTGATAATAGAAATACTTGTGAGGAGGAGGGATACCCAGGATATATTTGGACTGATAAAATACATGGACCACATTATCCAGATTGTTGTTTATGGAGACCTTCAGCAACTAAAGCGCCAATTCGAACACTTGTACAAACCCCTGTTAAAACAGCTGTAGAAACAGTAGTACAAACATTTGCTATTACAGCTGAAAAAACATTTGTACAAACTCCAGTGAAAACAGTAGTTCCAACCCCAGTTAAAACAGTTGTAGAAACCCCAGTTAAAACAGCTGAAAAAACACCTATTTCTACACCAATTAGAACTTTGCATGTTCAATCCTTTAGTCGAGAAAACAAAATGAATAAAAAACTTATTGCAGCTCTTTTTATTGCTCATCATTAATAATTTCATTCAATTTTTTATAGGTCCTCAGAATTTTTGAAAAGTTTATTTTTTGAAATAAACTTTTCAAAAGTCAAATGGATATGTTACAATTGTAAGTCCAAGTTCATATAATCTTTTTAATATGTCTGCATCTTTGTGATAATCTAAATATGTAGTAACATTTTCCCAAAAATCTTTATTATGTAGATTAGGATTAGCACCATTTTCTACAAGTTTGATAACATAATTTTTCTTTGAAGATGCAGCTGCTGCAACAATAGGTAAATGTCCTTTAAAATCTGGAGCATTAAGATCAATATCCTCTGAAATTAAAAAATCAACAACATCCCATATATTTTTTTCAAATGCATTATTTAATGTCTCACTTATACTTTTAGGATGATGTGGATAATTATAAAATATATATTTGAAAAATTCCAAATCATTTGATTGACTTGCATATAAAAGGATATCAATATGAAAATCTTTAAAATTTGTATCATTAATTATTTCAATTGTTTGTGGAAATTTAGCACACCATGGGAAAATATCGTAACCATATTTATGCAATAAAAACACTGCATTTAAATTCAAAAAATGAAATATAGAAAATATATAATCATTTGGATTAAATTTAAAATTTAATCTAGCTCGACTTATAACAAATTCAAACAAATCATGAAAATGTGCTTGAATAATTGTTTCAATACATTCCTTATCAAAATCAACATATCTTAAGCATTCATTAATTATATCTATATTTCTTCCCATAATTGCATTTTTTAAACATTTAGTAGTAATTAGTTCATCATAACTCAGATTTGAATTATTCAGTAAGAAATAAAATATATTTACTGAACCAAATATACAACTAGCTTCAAGTGGCGTCAAATTTCCAAATGAATAATAATAAATTTTATCAGGTAATCCACGTCTGAAAATATAATCTCGAAAATTTTCAATTGCATCATACAAAATTATTGTTTGTAACTCATCAAGTATTCGACATTGATAAACCGGTTCTTTATCATCAATTAAACAAGATAGTATAAAATATAAATCTCTTGCCTTATAGTTATACATTTCTAATGATTCAATAAAAGAAGTAAATCTATAAGGTGGGTTAACTTTATATTTAATTAATAATATATCTTTTACTCTTTGTGCAAGATCATATAAATCTGTTTCTTCATTAATTGTAAATAATTCATTGAAAAGATTTATATAATCTCGATAAGGTAAAGAATAATCTTTTTTTGTCATTTTAATATCAATTTAAAAAAATTAATCTCACTACTTACTCATTAGATATTTAATATATTTATATACAATTCGACCCATTACTGTATTAGCAAATGTCTTTACATAATTCATGAAATTTGGATCAATTTGAATATTTTTTGAAGTTGACCATATTGATATAATATATCCAATGCTACTAAATTAAAAGAATCTCTAATAGTTGTAAGATATAATTTTATTGGGAAAATACCAGTAGTCGAAGAAACTTTCTTCGGGTTTGTTTCGAATAATTTTACAGCATATTCAAAGAATTGATGATTATGTGTTTCAATACTAAGTTGAACACTAGTAACATTAATTGTTGGAACTCGTTCTATACAATATCCAATTAGGTCATCATTTTTCCCAACTATTGCATCATATAAATGTTGTATTTTAATTGGGATGAAACTATATCTAGGATGACTGCGTAAGTAATAAAATATATTTACAGCACCCATTCTACAACTAGCTTCGAGTCCATTTCCAAAATACAAAATACTAAAATACATGGTGTTTGGTAATTTGTCATTCTGTAAAAGATAATCTCTCATTGCATCAATATTATCATTCATAATCATATTTGTTATATCATTATCATCATCTCGAAGTGATATCCAATTTACTGGAAATATTATATCACATAATTTTTTATATAAAAATCTTAATTTATAACGATATCTAAGAACAATTTGCTCAAGATCTGTTGAAAAAGATAGAGGTGTTGCAAGTTTATATTTTTCAAATAGAATGTTATGTATATAAGGTATCAATAAGTACATGTCATATTCACTATTCAGCTCCCATAAATTTTTGATCACCCATTTAAGATCACTATAATCTTCTGTCATATTTCAAATCAAATAAAAAATCAAATATAATTTTCCCATCAACTGACTGACTGACCTAAATAAAGTCAAAAGCATATCCCATTAGAATTATATCTGCTGCTATTGGATACACTCTTTCTATTGGAGTAGTGTCATACCCTTTTTGAAATAAAAGAAAGAATGCTGGCAAATTGTGGGATAAGGCAATTATTTCTGCATGTCTACTTGGACGAATCATGTGATTCTCGAGAACCCATTCAAGCAAATTGTGAAAATGTGTTCCAACCATCAAATCAACGCAATCGGTAGTCCAATCACACTCTTTCAGACATTCATTAATAATATCTGTATTTCTTCCATAAATTGCTTGTTCTAAACATTTATCTGTAATATAATTATCCTCACATATATCATCAGGTAGATTTAATATGAAATAAAATATATTTGGTGCACCAAAATGGCAACATGCTTCGAGTGGTGTTAAAGTAAAAGAATTAAAAGAAAGCATACCTGGTAAACTATGTTCTACAATATAATTTCTAAACTCTTGAATATTATCATTTATTATTATTTTTCCCAAAGTTGAATCTTCCTTAATATTTAATTTATCCGATGGATTTAATAAATGATATAGTTGAGCATACAATTCTTTTGATTTGTAATTACATTCAAGTAAAATCTTCAGAATAAAATTTCTAAATGAATATATATTAAAAACTTTATTGTTTCGTACCGAAATGGCTAACAAAAAGTGACAGAAAACCTTAAATTGCGCGGCAATTTTAATTAAAAAAATAAACATTAATTTTTGTGATTGATATTATGCATTTTATTTATATTATATAAGATTTAAATTTAGGGGAAAAATTGGAAAAAAAATAAGATTGGAAGTCTTTAGGTAAGAAGGAAAGGGCAAGAGATATATAGTGTACCTATATACCTCTTGCCCTTTCATTCTAAGTAGAAATGGGAGAAACTTTGTCCGCATCATAAGTTATGCGGACAAAGTTTCTCCGATTTCTAATGGGAATTGCAGGCTATGAGGCACTGATATATAATCAGTACCTCATAGCCTACAATTCCCCTTATTAGACTTCCAAACTTTGAGTTAATGTCTTGACATTAACTCAAAGTTTGGAAAACTTCTCGTAAGAATCAATCGTCAAAAACCTCGATTGCAGTTATATTCATTGTGTTAAATTTGATTTATTTTGAAATTTTTACAAATTAAATTTTATATAACATAAAGCGTTATGAATTAGTATTTCCATATGAATTTTATCTCGAAAATAGTAATTCTGTACAGTTATATTTCGGTTAATTTTGGAATTTCTAGAATACTTTAAGATAGTATGATTATATATAACTCTGCCTTCATGATTATTTTTAGCTTTCGCGCAAATATCAGTTAACTTAACTCCATTATTTGATTTTGTGATGGCTTCACAAAGCCAATCAATATCAATCTCTTCTGGAGAATGTCTTCTCATCTAGAATATTTTCAATACTTTACATACAAACATTTTTATTTCTAAAAAACTTTTTAATTTTTTCTAGGATATATGAATGAAAATAGTTAGAACAAGATTTTGAAGCTCAAAACATTAAAAATTATTAAAGATTTGTATAATATGATTAAAAATGGGAAATAATATGAGGCAATATAAAGGAATATGAATATTAAATAAATATATCTAAATAGAAAGAATCAGAAAAATCAAATTATTGGCGCCAAAAATGTCACCTTTTTGGTGAGCCATTTCGGTATGAGATATATTAAAAACTTTATATTTATCAAATAAAATAATTTTTACTTTTGCTGCAATTTCTCCTAAGTTACTCTCATGATTTATTATATATAATTGTTCGATAATATCTAAATAATCTTTATATGGTTTAGAATTTTGAATATTTGTCATCTTTCAACATTTTTAAAAAAATTAATTATTTCCCAAAAAATATAGAAGACAATTCAACATGAGTCTTTGTTTTTACCCTTGAACATTTTCTCTCATCACTCTATTCAAACTTCTATCCACCTCCACCAACTGACTGACTGATGACTAACCAAACAATTCAGAAAAAATTCAGAAGAAAAAAACTATCATTTTTTCGAATTTTATTGTTATTTTTTTCTTACTTCATTCTTACGGGCAATTTCAAAAATTTATAAAATTTTTGAATAGATTCGCTAACCGTTTTATGTCACTTCATATTTCCACAATGTCGGAAGTCCTCGCGTGCGGCGAAAGTAAGGAAGGTAAAAGCCTTAGTGCAACCCCTGAAAGACTCCCCGATTTTTCCAAATTCCATAGAATGCGTTGTGGTGGAGAACCCCCAAGAAGAATTGAAGTCTCACTCCATGAGTACCAGGACTTAAAAAAGAGCAATGAGATCCTTCACATCCTGCATCAAGAAGCAGACCTTGAAAATACCATACTCAAGAGGTTATTAAGTACTCCGAAAGACGAGATCAAAGTTCAGTGTGGTAATATCAGACTTCATTGTGGTGATATCAGAGTTCCAGATGGATACCAAAAACTCATTGATGAACTTGAAGAGAAGATGAAACAACGTGAATATGTGGCATACCAGGACTTCTTTGAAAAATGAAAAAGGATTACAGTAATTGGTACCCCAGAAGACAATTTCTTTTTTGCCTCATGTGAAAACATGTTCCAAGAGTGGAGAAACCAAGAAAATGAGGAAGCCCGCCCTGCAAAACGGGTTTATGTAATGCTCTTCAAATGGTGTCATGGTTGGATGACGATGTATGGCAATTCCAGAACAGTTTTCAAAGAAATCCGTTAATCCACCAACTGACTGACTGACCGTTAAAAAAACTAAACTTAATTTTTTTATTTTTTAATTTTTTTATTTTTTAATTTTTTTATTTGTATTTGTGTTATATGTTTTCCTTTCTACTGTCTTATCACTTAAAAACTGATGGAAGTAGTTAGCCCCTATAATTTTTAAGGAGGCTTTATGGTTAATTAATAATTCAGAAGAATTTTTTAATTAACCTATCGGATTCCTATGACCATTTCTGCAAAACATTAATAAAAGGGGGCTATTTTACCCTTTTATTATCATATTCATTGATTTATTACAATAGCGAGAAATTTGTTCATATATTGACAATTTCTTTATGAAAATCAATGAATTTCCTTAATTTCTACAATAGTGATAAAATTGCTTAAAATATTTATGATTTCATGTAAGTTGCTTTAGAATCTTTACACTTATGTTAATTTTGCTTTAGAAAATTAATAATAGTGTGTATTTTGAGGCAATTTCTTTATAAAAATCATATATTTTAGGTTATTTTCTCACTCTTGTAAAAATTCGTTTTGCAAAAATGGTCATAGGATCCGGTATATATACTACTTATTCTTCAAAAATCTAATGCTTGTAATGATTTTGAAAAAGTGACAATTTGAATGAACAATTTTGCCAAATCAAGATTGGCAACTAATCAATAGTGTATTGCTTTCTGCTCCCGGGAAAATTGCATATTTCAAGTGTTTTAACATCTTTTATTAAAGAAATTATTCCGATTTGAATTTTTGTCAAATGTCATCATAAACAATTCAATTTTTCTTCATCTCTCTATAAAGTGAATTTTCATAGTCCAAAGATCTCAAAAACCAAATGTGCTCGTATAAACTATGAAATGTCAATCGGAATTGCGATTAATAAATTGTCACTTTTTAGATGTCGGGGGGATCATATCCATCAAGTAATTCAGATAGAATATCGAAAAAATATACCACATATGAAGATTGGTGCCTTATAAATGCCCAATTATGTGGTTATTTGGAAAATTTAACACTCAGAGTTCGAGTTTCGACTTCTCAATTCAAGGCTAAACGTGAAGGAACTCATAGTCGATGTGCAGATGCATTAATATCGCATATAAAAACCCTCGAATCACAAATGAATGATCTACAAGATCAAATTATTTCTTTATCGCAAATGCCATTTCCTCAAACACTATTTTTACAATATGATGATCAAAAGAATAACCTTGTTGTCCGAAAGTATATATTTTCGTATAGAAAAGAAAGAGTGCAGCAAATTGAGATTCTTTCGCAAAAATTCGGCTTTTTGACAGATCTGAGATCAAATTCTAAACTTATGTACAACTTATTTTCAGGGAATGTCATTCCTTCATCGAAAATTTTACGTCTTAAAGATAATTTTTTCAAAATTACATTTCCTGACAGTATAGCTCACGAAGAGAAAACGCTTAAATACTTTCAAGCATATACAAAACGCCTTGCTGCGCAAATTGCACAATTTCAAGAGCCTGTTTGGAAGAATTCTTTCCATTCGTTTTTAATCGATCTAATCAAGCAAGGTAAATCTCGTCTCGATCAAGAACTAATGTATTTTCGTGAACTCGAAGATGAAATTTCATTTTCTCGAGCTTTATTCAACCCCCAGTCAATATATCAGAGCAAAATCGACGAATTGTTCAAATCTGACCTCAAAACCGAGAATACAAATGAATTCGTCTTAGAAATCATGGATTTCTGTGACGATTTCGTTCCAGAAGATGAATTAGATTCAGATGAGCAGACATGTTGCATTTTAATTCTCGTAAGGGCCATTTTCAATAGATTCTACGAACGATGCGAGAAACTATTCGCTCCAAAGTACGATTCCGACTATCAAAAGATCGAAGATCTGAAACAGATCCCTGTTCTTCTCTTTACTATCCCTACAGAGCTTGTACAGCTTCCAATAACAGGATCCATCAGCTCGTATTTCCGATCAGACCCTTTCTTCCTTGCTGCAGCTCAATTTCTTTCCCAGACCATTTTCCAGTCAAATCCGATCGATTCACTTTACTACATACACAAATGTCTGATCGGAATTCAGAAAGGCGCTTTGATTCGACGCCTCGGAGGCGTTGATGCAAAATTAGAGGATGTTAGGTCTCTTCTTTGCTTCGACGACCTCTTCTCCCTGTTGTTCGGTATACTTATGGCCTCTGATATCCCTGACATTTACTTCGTCGCAGATTTCATCTCGCGATATGCACCGAAAAACAGCCTTTCGCCGGCTTTTGAGTACGCTACTGCCAACATCGAAGCTTTGATCGAACATGTAAGAAGAGTCGATCTTGCTGAGCTGAAGGAAAAGGCAAAATAATAATTTTTGTTTTTTAATTTAAAAAAATTTCTGTTGTGTGTTTTAAATGTTCTTATTTTTCTTTTGAAACAAATTATACCATGTAATTTGAGAGGTATATGTTATTAAATTGGAATTCTTTCAATGTTGATATCTTTTATAAATAGATGACTGGGAATGGTTTCCATTTTGAACTATATTTAATAGTCTAATAAGAGCTTTGAGTCATTATGCTGCTTGCTTTGAATGAAACAGTGATTTGAAATTTAAAGCTTTCATGGCAAACAAATGAGAGAAATCTTAGTTTATGTATAGTGTTGGGGATTTTACAGTGATTAAAGCATTTTACATGAATCATATATGAAATTATTTGTTAAACATTGCAATTGACTTGAATTAAGGTATTTGAATCAGCAAAATCTGTGTTGTTGATTATAAAAGTCTTTGTTTTTCTTCATTTTTGTTCATTGTATGCAATCGAGATTCGTTAACAGAATTGAAAATCCATATGCCAGAAATGCAGCACCAACAAAACTCAATCCTGCTAGGAACAGGACGCCCCTTGGTGCCATTAAGAATACTGAAAGAGAAAGAGATACTAATGCTCAAAGTGCATTTACATTCAAACGAACCCAAAATCTACGATCTTTTGAAGAAACCCCCGAAAAAATGTTTTTACAGAATCCAGAACAGCCATACGATGCAGTTTGGTTCGAATTCGAAGAAGACAATACGTTAATAAAAGATGACTTAGAATTGGAATCAATGCCGAATATACAAGCTATTAGATGGTAATGTTGGCAAGGGAAATTCTATTTTACTTCAAAAAATCTATCCAAAAATTTTCATAATCGAAATAATAATGATAGCACTTATTGGAGAGCATTATGTATGAAATATATGTTTGTAATTACATAAATATAGTTAATATTACTAATTAATTTTTTTTTATTCAATAAATTCAAACAAAAGAATAATTTGCATATGAGCATTACTGAATACATATGTCTTGCAGGTGTATTATGTGTTAATCACATGTTGTAATTAGATTATTTTTCTCCTTTCTTCTTTAATAATCCTCTTTCTGGACTCGTAACTGCTTCTTTATAAATTTGGTTTCTATATTCGCGAATTGTATGTTTGTTCGCATCGCATAAAGCCATTTTAACTTTAATTGAAGAAGAAACTTCTCTACTTTCAAAATGAAAGTCTTTTAAGTAAGGATGTGCTAAGCATTGTTCTGCTGATGGTCTTTTATTAGGATTAAAAGAGCAAAGCTTTTTAATTAAATCGATAGCGTTTGGATCGGCATGTGAAAGCCTTTCCTCTAAAACAAGTTGTGGCCTAGAAAATGTCAAGTTCCCCAGCATTGTTTCAACCATTTGACAACCCATTGATTCGATATCTTCTTTATTTGGCATTCCTGTAAATGAGATTACACGTTCAAGCTGATCCATAGTAGAAGCTCCAGGGAATAAAGGTCGTCCTCCCACTAATTCAGCTAGAATACAGCCTGCTGCCCACATGTCAATTCCAGGACCATATTTCGATGAGCCAAATAAGATTTCTGGTGCTCTATACCATCTTGTGGCAATATAATCTGTAAGAAGCTCATCTTTATGCATGTCATTGATGCAACGCGACAAACCAAAATCACAAACTTTTATTGTGGAATCTGATTTTATGAGCATATTAGATGGTTTTAGATCTCGATGTATAACACCAGCTGAATGAATAAATTTCAATGCGCATAAAAGTTGCCAAAAAATATATCTTTGATGAACATCAAGTAAAATTCCAGCACGAATTACAGTGTGAACATCCGTATCCATGAATTCGAAAGCTAAATAAATGTCAAGATCGTTTTCTGCGCGATGAACTTGTAATAATCCGACAATAAAAGGATGCGATTTTAATTGTCTCAATAGAGTGATTTCACGATATGTGAGTAGTGCATCGATCTCGTTTTGGAATGCTCAAAAAACTTTTTTAAGTGCGACTAAATGACCTGTCACTCTATCCTGAGCACGCCAGACAATGCCGTATGCTCCTTTTCCTACTTTTTTAATGATTTCATAACGTTTTAAGATTTGTTTACCCAAGTTTTCCACTGATGCATCGTTATCTTCTTCCATTCACAAATTTTATGAATATTTAAATCAAATAAATTTTACACGCAGGGATTGAATAGTTTACAAATTATCGAATTTTTATCAAAATCAAAGATTTAATATAAATAATACTATTTAGCTTCTATTTATATAATTTCTAAGATTTATTTTCATTTTTATTTGATTGCTTTTTTTACAATATATTAGCCGAATGTTTTCAAAAATTGAATTGTGTTGAATAGTCATACGGATTCATTATTAAATAATTATTTTTAATTCGGAAATATGACTGATAATACCTCTTTGGCATAGTACAGATGGAATTATAATTCAGACATTTCATATCCCATTGACATGATTAGCCATCGAAGATAAACAGTGATTGTTATTGACTATTGTTTTAAATTGATTCTTTGATATGTGTGAAGGTATATTTCATTATTAAATCTGCCATTCCTTTGAATGTCATCAAGAGCAATTTCGCTTGTACAAAGACTTCAAAGGATTCCCGAGAATTCAAGGTGTGCAGATTGTTTAGATAGTCGTCCTGAATGGGCTTCTTCTAAACTCGGTATATTTATCTGTTTAAATTGTTCCGGAATTCATCGCTCTCTCGGCACACATATATCATTTGTTCGATCTTGCAAGCTTGATCAATGGACTGATGATCAAGCTGCAGTAATGCGTGCAATTGGTAATAAAGTTGCAAATAATTACTGGGAATACAATCTTCCTGCAAATTTTCAGCGACCAAACTCTAATAATAGAGCTCAAATGGAAAACTTTATCAGACGAAAATACGTTGACCGTGAATTTGCACGACCAAACTGCAAAGCTCCCAATGAATTACCTTTATCCAAGCTCAAAGGTTTAACAGATGATCAAATAAATCAACTTATAGAAGAGAGTGCAAGAGCTGAAAGCCAAAACGGACAAAATGGACTTGATTTCGATGATAATGATTTATTAGATCAAATTAATTTTTCAAGTAAGACTTCTGATCTAAACAAACCAATACCAGCTAAGTCCAAACCAGAATATAGCCAAAGTTATGGCTCTTGCAATGAATTTCCAAAGCAAAATAATACCGAAATCCAACAACCCACTCAAAAACAATCAGATTTCAGCGACAAACTTAAAAAAGGCGTTCAAGATGTATTTAACGTTATCGGAGATAAATTTACTGTCATCAAAAACTACACAACAGAACAAATTAAATCTTTCAACTTAAATTTCGGAGACAGCTCAAATAATCAACCAAAAGAAGTTGAAACAAAGTCTGAAGATACGCCAAAGCTCGATCCTCTTTCTCAAAATTTTGATCTCGGATTTGATGAAAATCCGAACGAACAATTCGATTTTCTGTATGAAGGAAAGACAGAAAATGTACAACAAGCAAAAGAACAGTCAGAACCTTTTGAAATAGAACAAAATGAAGAAGAAGAAAATAAATTAGATTTTGGAGTTGAAAAAGATGACAAAGAAAAGGAATTTGACTTCTTATTCGATGAGAAACCAATTAAAATTACTAAGAAGGAAAAGAACCCTGAAGAAAAACCAAATAAGAAAAATGAAGAAAATAATGATGAAGATTTTGATTCTTTCTTTGATAAGCCTTCAGAGAAAGAGTCTTCTAAAGCTAAATCTTATCAAAATGAGCTTGAATCTACAAAAAAACAAAAGATAGTTAAGGAAGAAGATTTTGACTTTCTTTTTGAAGATTCGGATGATAAAAAAACTTCTAATCCTAAAGAAATAGAGAATGATGAAGCTCTTGAGCTTGATTTTGCAAAAGAAGAAAAGAAAAATACAATAAAAGATGATGATTTCGATTTCTTGTTTGAAGAGTCACCAAAGCCTGAAAAGAAAGAAACAAATGCTAAAAATGATAAACAAAAAACTAGTAATGGATTGGATCCACTTGCACAAGAATTAGATCTTGGATTTGCTGATGATAAGGATCAAGATGATGAATTTGATTTCCTGTTTATAAAGAAATAGATAAAGTATAGATTTATATTATTTATTCATTAAATTCTTTAAAAGTGAACTTGAGCACATCTGATTTAATTAAAATTTCTAACAACATGCCTGAAGTATCTTTGAAAATTAGACTTAAACATTATAGTAAAGGTCATGTCATACGGAATAAAGTGCGCTCTTAAGATGTTTATTAACCTACCTGTCAATAAATCATATGGTTAAAGTCAAATTCTTTTAAAAAATCTCTATAGAAGGAGCTCGAATAATTATGTGTTTCTATGATATGATGTAATATGAAGAGCCGTTGATCTTCTGTAATTTTTTCATTGACATTTGAACCATGTAAAAGAAGAAATGGTATTGTTTCTTTATTATTTGAAAATGCTGCACTATGAAGAACTGTATTATCATTTATATATTTTTCATTGATATCAGCACCATGGTGTGTTAAAAGGAACTCAGCTACTTCTGTACTATTATTAAATACTGCTGAAAAAAATAGTTCGTTTACGCCCACCTGACTTTAATTCAAATATCTGACAACTGGCATGATGTATTTTTGAAAAATAATCTTAAAGACTAGAATTAAAGGCCACGTAATACGGGTTCACTTATCTGTTTCATTGAGACTTATGTTATGTTAGAGAAGTTTGACGATTCCTTTTACAATTACAAAAAGCTGTTCTTCCAAAAATATCAAATGAATCGATATGTGCACCATGTGAAAGGAAATATACACAAAGGATGATAATATTAAACATTATTGAGTTAAAAAAGCAATTACTAGCATCATTATAGTGGTGCAAAAATAAACTGCATGAATTTCGAAGTTTTCTCTTATGCAAAGGTTTAGAAACCGCATTTTGTCAATTTGAATGTATTTGAGAGGGAGTCATCTGACGAAGATGATGACCTATGGAACAGCTACTTTGGCATTCAATTTGTAGGCCAAGAAACCAAATTATGCAAAAATTGCAATCCTTCATCCTTAAATAATCAATATTACTTAGATGAGTGCAATTTTTTTAACGATAATAACCGAGTTATCAACTTTGATTCGATTTCCGACTCTTTGTTCTTACATAATCGCTGTTCCTTTAGAAAATGTATCTCATCAGAAGATGGAAATTGCATTTATTACGTCGTTAACAGAAATAGTTCGATCGTTCAACGAGAATTCTGTTGTACAAAATGCCAAAGCCAAAGTGATGGACATTTTTCATATACAATGGTTGATACAGATAACTTAAACTTTTTAATTGAAGGTTCCCTTTTCGATGTAGGGGATTCAGTTGGTCGTCGTTCCGTTAGTGCACAAGCTGATAATATTGTTGTTTCATCAACAAATTACTCATCGTGTAAAGCGCCAAACCAGCCTGTTGGTTTGTTTCAATGTCCTTCACTTAGTTACACAACAAAATTTAACTACGCAACTGTTGTTAATGATTTAGCAACAGGTTACGGATCGATAATAAATATTCAATATAAAGCATCTATTGATTCATGTAATATTATAAATAATACCGTAAAAGGCGGCTCAATTATTTACCATAAAAATAATGATCTTTCAATAACAAATTGTTCATTTATTAACAACAAAGGAAGTAAAAATTTGATAGAGAATTGGAACCTTTTAATAGTTGATAGTTGTTACATGGATAATTGGAGTGGAACAACATTTTTTAATTATATTCAGCCTCAAAACTCAAGGATACTATTCACAAACGAATTGACTCATTTTTCAACTGACATTTGCTTAGCAGAATTTGCAGTTATCAATAAAAGTATAGATATAGATAATAACTTTTTCATTTTCTTCATAGCTTTAGTAAACATTAAAAAACCTTCATAATTAATATTTCCTTCTTTTAGAGTAAAGTAATATGAATGTAAAACGAGAAAAAAAAATATATTTAGTTTAAACGATTTTTTCAAGGATTAAAGTAATAATTATGCAAATGCTTACATTATTAAGCATTTTTGCTATTCCAAAAATTTTCATTTTCCTAATTATGATGTTAAATTTGTATATTTTGCCTTCGAAATTAATTTTTTCAACTTTATTTAGGAACTAGATTTTAGGAATAGACTAAAATCATGGGTGTAATTGTAGCACGAAGAATGATGTTGTTCAGTTTCTTCAGTTATTCAATATTAAAAATGTTACGGAAGAATAAATCTTTTTCATATTCATATGAAGAAAGTTTATTGGCGGATATTCTACATGGTGTTGAATCCAAGTGATAAAATACACCATTATACATACGCAAATTCTATTTGAATACATTCAATCTCGTTGAATTTGAGTAAATTGTTTATAATTATTCGAAGGCTTATGGAAAAGTGACAAATTTGCTCGAATAATTATGTGGGAATCTGGAGATTTAGTGGAAGTAGATAGAATTTATATAAAGGTTCGCTACGAAGGCGACTCTGCTGAATGTGACAAATGCTTTGTATCAACATCACAGACAGCAGCTACTTATTTGCAGGCTATAACTCAAAAATTCAAAAAAATTGGCAATGTAATTGTAGAAGAGTACGTATTACAAAATATTGTAGAATATGCACGCGGAGGTGAACCAGATCTTGGCCCAGATCCAGAAATACTCAAGAAGACATTATTCCCAGTCTATAGACATGAAAATAATGTTTTCATTAACTTTGAAACTAATCCACTTTCACCAGCAGAGTGCTCTGATCTTATATTTGATATCGCAAAGCCAAAAGAATTAATTATTTTATCAACAATCCACAGATCTTACTTCATTCCTGAACCAATAGAGCCCAACGTTGTTTATACTATCTCAAGCGACTCTGCAAAAACTACATTCCCGGCTCCAAACACAGTTGGCGGATTTTCTGCTTCATTGTTAACAAAGTCTATTACATTGAATGTAAATTATAACTTCCAAGCAGTTATTGAGGATGATTCTGGCCCAACACCTAAAACATTCGAAGCATTCAATAAGATTTATCCAGAATTAAACGTAGAAAAGATAGATCTACCTCAAAAAGCTTTCGATATTTACGAGCTTAAGATTAATGATCATGGATTGATATTTACATAAATATTATTTGATATATTTTTTAATTATTTTTCTTTTTAATTAAATCTATATATGATTCCACACATTTATTGAAATAAGTCCCATTTACTAACGAAAGTTTATTCAAACAATAAATTACAAACAAATATAACAAAAATTAAAATTAATAATTCAACATCTTATATCTAGAATTGGTTTTTCTAGAATTAAATATTGGTTGTTTCACTTCTGGTTTTGGCAACAATTTTTCGAATAGCAATAATAAGAATTGCAAAATAAGCTTATTTTTGTCATTATCAACAGGTTTTGAGTCCATATTGTTGATAGCATTAATAAGTGCTGGTACTTCCTGATTGAATGCTTGGAAAATTGTTGCCTTTGTTAAATGTAAGAAAATAGGAAGTCTTGTTTCACTATCTTTGCAGCAAGTATACATCTTGTTGAAAAATGCTTTATGCTCTGGAGTCCATTTCTTGAATATATTAACTTTCTTGATCTCTTTGCAGCTTTTAATGCCTAAATCTCTTAACATTGGTTCCATACTATAAACTTTAACTTCGTCGCTAGTCTTTTGAGCTTCTTCTGGAGTTAAATCAGAAGCTGAGTATGGAGTTCTACACATTGGGCATACACATGGCCTCATTCCTTTGTAGCAGGCTCTAGACCATTCATGAATGCATGCTAAACAAAACTTATGACCACACGGTAGTGTTTCGGAGGCAACCGTTGGACAATAGCATATTGCGCATGTTTCAAGTAAATCTGAAGCGAGTAATGACGCATTAAGATCAATATTGTGGCAAAATTTCACGGGGACGGGAGCTAAATAGAAAACGTATCTGCATTCAGCAAGCTTTGTAGATTCAACAATATCACCGAGTAAAAACGTAGATCCGCCTCCGAAAACAATTTCATCACCGTAATTTAAAATGATTCGATGTATTTTCTTGCCATTTACAAATGTTCCATTGAGAGAATTGTTATCTTCAATGATCCAAATTTCAGATTTCTGATGTTGTCGCCTGTATATTGTTGTATGGTGTTTTGATACTTCTTTTCCACGAGAGGTATCCATTTTAACAGCAGCTTGCCTTCCGATTGTTACCTTTTCTTGGTCTAATACAACGATTGTTGGCGCATTAGGGTTCTCCATTGGAGAAAGCCTCAATAAAAGGCCAATTCCCATAATGTGTACGTTTAAAAATAATCGGAATTTTTAATTTTGTCATGTAAACTTAAATGTAAAATATTTGACAATTTTTTTTCTAAAAAATGGATATTACAAGTTATAATCTTTGTCTTAAGACAATGGAATCGGCTTTATCTAATCCATTAACTAAAGTAATATCACCTAAAATAAGTGATTATTCTAAAATGACGAAGAGCAAATTAACATTAGAAATAATTAAATCTAAATTGGAAGAAAACAAATATAAATCATTCCAAGAATGGGCAGCTTATGTTAGGTCAATGTTTTCTGAGCAAATTAAACTTGTTGGCTCAACAACTCCTTTAGGATTATCACTTGAAACTATTTTTCAAGGGATAAAAGAAAAGTTAGCAGATCATTCCGTCGATTTTGACAATGTTCCGAATGCTGAAGCAATTTCTATTAACAGAATTTTAACGCAACTTAATGATATCATTCAAATCATTCCAGAAAACCTTACAGATATTTTCCCTCTTCCTAATCTCGATGATGAAGAAATGTTTCGATTTGAAAATGAATCTGTTCCAAAACCAAATTACAATGAAAATGATTTAACCGAAATTACTCATGATATTAACTTATTATCAACTGATGAAGATATGAATAAGTTGATACATATAGTCAAAACATGTGAATTTATCACTCCTCAAGATGATGGCTCAGTTACACTTAATCTAACAGCAATGTCTCCATTTACGATTTCTGTAATTAAATCCCAGCTTAGAAAGCTTGCACAACCAAAATAATTTTTCCGAAATTGAAGCAAATTCAAAAATTTGAATTTTGGAGCTGAAAATGAGATATCTGCATTCATTTCTCGTTGACATTCGTAGATCGTATTGAAATTTTTATATACATGATTTCTATTTCTTGGATTTTAACTTGAATTGTAATGCATTTTTGACTTCAAAAAGGTGGTAAATTTACGACAATTTTCAGATAAAGTCGATGTTCGAAATTAGAGATATTTTACTGTATTGTTTGAATATAAAAATTGTTTTTTAATAATTCCGTATCTTATCAAATTTTGAGAATTAATACTGAAGGCTACGGCAGAATTTTTGAACCAAAATTTTGTCATTTTTTTTATTTTTAAACTAGATGGCAACATTAGTAACGTTTGACATTGATGGGACGTTAATAAAGTTCGGTGGAGCATCTAGAAATCATCCCCTTTCATTCATGGACGCCTTCGAACAATTATATCAGAAAATTGATTTTCCTGAACGATTCATTGGCAAATCAACCGATGGTAAGACAGATTCATGGATTTCAAAAGAAATATTACATAAAATCAAACAAAATTATACGAAAACAGATTTAGAAGAAATTAATAATCTAATTATTACAAAATATTTAAACAAATCTAATGAAATACCGAACTTGGTTCCAGGAGTTCACGATCTATTCAAACAAATTCTAAAAATGAAAGACGTTTCAATTGGAATCGCAAGCGGAAACTTCCCAACTATCGGTTGGAAAAAGCTAGAAATCACAAATCTGTTACAGTATTTCCCAAATTTGATCAGTGGAATGGGATATTTTGACACAAGAATTGAATGTCTATTAGATGCCAAGAAAAACGCTCAAAAACAAAGTAGTAAACAATTCAAGCGTTTTGTACATATTGGAGATACTATCAATGATGTTGAATCAGCAAAAGCGGTTAATTTTACTCCAATATTAGTTAAAACAGGTAGGGCTATACCCGAATCTATTATATCCACATTACATTGTACTGTTGTTGAAAATTTTGAAGAAGGAATCGATAAGATTCTGCAAACTATAGCTGAGTAGACTTTCTTAATATTAATTTATGTTTATGTATTGTGTGTGACTAAACTATCTATGTCTAAGCGTAAATTATTAAAAATAACGAAATAAACTTGAAAATTACTCTAATTCTTATGATAGCATTTTAATCCCCAAAAGCTAATGCTTTTTGAACGATAATTACTACACTTTTAATGCTTGTGCAAATCCAATATGGGTGTGATTTTTCACAAGTCCCTTTTCAGCATCTGGATCTATGATCATATGATAGGCTTTTATATAATGCAATTTTATCACGCCCGTAACTTGAAATCCAAATTTAAAGAAGAGTTCTATGTAACTAAGTCTCTTTTGGAAACTGTGGAAGTTATAGACGAAATCAAAACAATGGAGCAGCTTGATTCTGCTTACGACGACTTATACAATAGTTTAGTTTTCAAATTCGTTGGTACAAACGGAGATGTTGGCATTAAAGAGAAGCTTATCAAACTCAGATCCTTACTTGTAAAACATAATGCATCAGAAGAACTAGAAAATGCTGTCCGTTCCGGTAATTTCGAATTAGCCGTTAAAATCAGCAAAGAATTTCCAAAAAACAATCCAGCCGCCAAAATCGATAAGCTCATCAGCATTGCGAATGGCTCAATGAAGAACGTTTTCGGCATCGGCCAAATTAAGTCAAATCGCGCTGCCAGAGCTGTTACAGTCCAAGACATGGACATTAGTGACTTGAATGACCTTGGCGATGGCCAACCAGACGAAACACCTGTTCTCATTTTATCAAAACTTCCGAAAAAAGTGAATAGTCTCTTATCATGTTTTGATGCAGAAAAAGTGAAGAAACAAATTGATTTCCCACTGAATGTATTGCTTCATATCAGTTGCATCAAGCGCATTCAAGACCACGTAATAGCTAGTATTCCAAACAGCCAATTCATGGAAATCGATAAAATACAAGACGAAGTTTTGGATGATGAAAACTTTTATATTCCAATGGGCGGAATTCCTCTTGGATGTGATCCAACACACGTCAAGATGGCGAACAAAACAATCATGGATTTCATTGCAGGAGGAAAGAAACTTGGAAATCCAGATTTCTGGTTCGCAACAATTTATTTCTGTCTCGAGAAAGCGGATCCAGACAAATCTAAATATGCAGAGTTGATGGTTCCACAACTCAAATACAGATTGCGTAAGAGATTTTCGACTTTGTCTCTTTCAGGAGCTTCAAATTTCAACCTGACATCTTTACCAATCGATATCAGCTTGTGGTACACATTAAACTCTATCTATTTCGAGTCAGATGTCTTCAATCTCCATGCAAGTCATATTAAATATCTCCAGGAATTGTACGAAATGACTTCTTTGATGCCTTTGGATGAAAAAGTTAAAACAGCCATCAAAGTTGTCGGTGCCAAGAATTATTTGCATAAGCTTGCAAGAACTAATCCACTTGCATTCGAATCGAAGAAGAACGAAATTCTTTATAATACAGTTACAATCAATCTTTCTAAAATGAAATTCGAAGTTCCTATTGATGGAGTTTCAAAATATGATGAAAATAGTTTTTCAATGATGGCAAAGTTATGTCAAATCACCGACAGAAACATCGCTTGCCATTTGATCCCAATTCCAACAGAAATTCCTGAAATAAAGAAGGAAGATTATCAGGAGTGGAAGAACTACAAATTTGTTCCATTTACAATTTATCCAAAGACTTTCAGACCACCTGTAAACCAGTGTCCTCCTTTCAATGAATTGAAGAATTCAAATGCTGAAGTTGTTCCTTGGACAAAAATCTTTTACAAGGCTGCAAAGAGAATCAAGAAATTCCCAAATACAAATGACTTAGCGTATCAGACCTATTTGGAATACGTCAAGTCAGGAAAGAAGAAGACTTTGATGCCAGATGTTTTGAAAATTTGTTCCCAAGTTGAAAAAGCTTATAAACCTGCCATTCAAGGAACACAAGTTGACGATTTCTTGAAGATATTCAACATGTCCGCTAACAGAGAAAAGAGAATGGAGATGGAAAATGAGAAATAAAGTATTTTTGTTATTGCTTTATATAATTTTACTAAAGCTTCTTTATCAATCATTGACAAACTAAACATACCTTTATACCAACAATGCTAAAGTAGATTTGAAAAGGAAAATCATTCAAAGTCATAAAAAATTTTACTAAAGCTTCTTCATCAATCCTTATTATTAGATATAGTATTTTGGAGTAGAAGTTTCTATTCTGAACAGTCTGGTAATGGTATTTAAAGATAAAATAGAGATTTTCTCCAAACTCTCAAATCAAAAAAAGTGTCAAAAAATTTTATGATTTTATCATTATTTTTTTGGAAAGCAATCTCATTTGAATGCTCTGCACCACTCAAACATCCACCTGGCATTCCAAATGGAAAACTTCAAGTGATGTTTTTGATTACTCGCCATGGAATTAGGACTCCTAATGATGCTGTTATGCCTCAAGAAGTGGATGGTTACTGGCTTTGTGATGCCCATGATGCAGTATCACCTCGTATGCGAGTCAGTCAGTTAAGTGGCGTGTTACGTCGTTATCGCCAAACAATATTTCATAATCAAGCTCCATTTCCTCCAAATTGTGATACAGGCGAACTTTTGGTTGAAGGTATGCAACAACATCGCGAACTTGGTGAATTTTACAGTAATTATCTAATTTATGAAACAGATTTTCTTCCAGAAGATTTCAATGAATCACTCGTTGAATTCCGTTCAACATATTACACTCGCTGTTATAAGTCAGCACAGTCTTTCATTGATGGATTTTATCCTCCACAGCAAAAAGGCGAAATTATCAATATATCAGTCGGTTCTACAACTAAGGAGTTCTTATATCCAGACCCTTCTACATGTCCTGAGATGAATCAGGACTGGAATGACATGGTCGCATCTGATGAGTACATTAAAAGGCGTGATGCAGCCAAAATTAACTACGAACCTATATATAATTATACAGGCGTTGAATGGGATGGGTTTAACTGGCAATGGTGGGGAGATTCATTGATTGCATATTATTGTACCGGAAATCCGATGCCAAAAGTGGTAACAGAAGAAATGTTCAAACAAATGGTTGATGACACTCAATTTGCAATGCCAGGATTCTATAACAGAAGGAAAGGAGTCGCTGCATCCCCACTTTGGAGAGAAATTTTCCTCAGAATTGACGAATTTCTCAACAAAACAACGCCAATAAAGTTCAGACTTTATAGCAGTCATGATTCAACAATTGCTGGTCTGCTTGGATCTATTGGAGCATATACAATCTCCCCTCCATTTAGAAGTCATTGTACTGTTGAACTTTGGAAAGTTAAAGGAAAAGATATTGTCAGAATTGTCTTCAATGGAGAGCCTGTTCCTATTGATATAGCAGGAGGAAAGACAACAATAGAGCTGAAGAAGCTAAAGGATGGTCTTTCACAGTATCTCAACCACTGTAAATATGATTGATTATGTATAATATATTATTTGTTAATTGTATAGTTATAAATTTATATATTTACTTTCATACATGTGATTTTTTCTTTATCTTTATATATAGAGAAATTTTTTCGGATCTGGATTCGAAATTCGCATTTGAGAATCTACGCCCATCTGTTCATTACACATATTCTAAAATATTTTAAAATACTAGATTTAGTTTAAAAAATAGTCTCATTTTTTTGAAAATGGTAATTAATTATCCAAGTTTAATGAATGATATCTCAAAACCAAATGCTTCACTTTGAAATTCTCTACATTTATCACATGCGACAATCCTTCATCGTTTTTCGGAATGATTACGATCTTTCTTCTCGATATACCATTTTATTATTTTGCAATCCAAATGATGCGAAAAAATATATTTACTCTACGAGGAAATTTCGCGCCAGGAGTTTGTTTTTGCATTGTTAAAGTCTTTGTTGACGTTTCAAGTATTTATTTAGTTTTCATGTTTTATTATCCAACTGATGCAATTGAGCGCACACCATTAGAAAGATTCAAATATGTCACATACGATATAAAATATTTAGCACAAGCTTTATATTGTTCCCAAATATGTCAAATTCTGATATTATTCGGAGTTAAATTTTCAAAATGGCTTAATTTCTTTTCAAGACTCATGCAATCCTACTTCACAACTCTTGCTATTGTCAAAATAATTTTGCAATACATTAATGATGTAAGAAATGACTCATTTTATAATCCATTCTATATTAAATACAATCGCATAAACGAGAAATACATTTGCGCTTTCATGGTTAGCCTGAATTTTTTATTATTAGCAGTTTGTTTTCTTTTCTCAAGTGTTGGTGAATATCTACCTCCGAAACTCCGAAAACCTACATTTGCTGCTATATTTTTAGTGGCTTTCTTTTTTATTATCGGAACTATATTAAATGAAATAATGAGCTCCGATTTGTTTGGATATGATTTAACAGTTAATCAAAGCAAATATTTATGGAGATATACAATAGCTTTCATTTTTGTAACATCTCTTGAAGATTATGGCACTTTATTCATTATTAAATTACTTTCAATCGATGAATTCAGTTATGGCCAAGATAAGAAAGGCAATCAACATGCCATTTCTTTAGATAATATCTTTGAAAACATATAAATAATATTGCGGAATATATATACCCTTTTATTCACTATTGTTTTGTTAGTTTATAATAATATCATTATTAAATCTTTTATATAGCTTTGGTATTTTTTTTATTTTTAAAATTATTTTTGATTTTGTTATCAACCATGATGCATGAAGATTGGGAATATGCTTGATAACATATTTTATTAATATTTAAAGTAAAATTTGATTTTGATTAAAAATATTAACAAAACATTCATTTTTGATACTGAATTCAACGATACTATTTTGTGTATTTTCTTTCAACAATATAATAATTCAATTAAATCATTATATTTCAAATTGGATGAATCAACAAGTTGATCCATTACAGTTAAACATCATCCAGTTATATAATCCAGACTTTATAACGAGCAACGATAGAAACTATTTGATTAGTCTATTCGGACAAGGAGAATCTTACTTTATAATTCCAATCATTGTACAATCAGACGACAAAGCCCTGGGAAGATTCGAAATTTTACAACAACTCTTTGAAAAATATCGGCCAAATAAAGAATTTCTAGCAGCATTTTATTGGAAAGGCGAAGATTTCTTAGTTATAGAATTGAAAAGCGAATCGAAGCTAATTGATGAAATAATAAAGGAACCATTTATCATCAACAGCAAGCAAATAACATCTCTACGTGAATTTTCAAATTTTTTTATCAATAGAATTATCATTTCATATTTAACGCCTAATACCATAGTCAAAGTACACGAAATACCTGACAATCCAGATGTAGCCGTTATTTTTTCAAATAGCTTTAACGATGATGGCATTTATAAAGGAATTTCTGTTAAAAGGTTACCACGCATAGATTACCCACAATTGAATAGTCGCTCCATGAAATTACAAAGCAGGCTTAACGAAGTCATGTTTAAAACTAATAATAAATATCTTCCTCCAAAAGCTCAGTTTAATGCAGGCGCTTATCCAGATGTGACTAAGAAAGGTTCTATTTTGCAGAATGGCGAATCAACTGACATATACATATGGGATAATAAAAAATTTAAAGATGAATTTGAAATTGTCAAAATACCATATAGATCAATCGAAATCAATCCAAGTTTTTCATCATCAGAGATCTCTAGTTGTTTGCCAGCTGAAAAAACATTAGTTCAGAACTATATTAAGTCAAAATCTAAAAATGAGCAGCCAGCATTAACTTCAATCTCTAAAAATTTACAGGATGATCAACGAGTTCGTCCACCTCCACCAAAGGTCGGCCAATTAATGAAATACTCACAATTGTACCAAAATGTCATTTTCATGGGATTTCTTCAATCCCAAGAAGTAATTTACAGGCCAAGCCTAGATCTATTTACCATTAATGGTGTCAACTCCCTGGCTGACGTATCCCGTGTTTCTCCAGGAGTTATTCAAATTCAAGATATTAACGCCTATATGAATTTTAAGAAGGACAGATTGAAGTCGCTACATCTTGTTGATCCATATGCTATAAAAACTGAAGATAAAGAAACACAGCCGATGACAGAAAAATTTTCATATCCTGTTCAGTATCCAACGAATCAGAAAATACCTTTGGAGAAGCTCTCAATAGTAAGGAAAGCATATGTGTACAAATACGACCTTTTACCTGGCGATTTGATCAGATTAAAAAATGATGACAATGTTTACGCTATTCATACGGTCAATGATGGATTCACTTATGATCTATTGAAAATTGATAACACTATTATGTATGATGTCTCAAAATCAATGATAGAAACCGATCAAAAAAATATTCCTAAATTAGTTATGCCATCGAACAATTGTTTAGATACAAATCAATTCAGATTGATGGTACATGATAAACTTTTTTATGAAGGCCAGTCATGGACGATTTTGGCACTACATAACGGTTATGCATTGATTCAAGCAGCCGGATCAATGAAATGGATCCAATCCTCTGTAGCACCGTACGAAGGTGAAAAGCCTCCTTCGAAGAAAATTAATACTTTCGTTGGAAGAGTTATCCAAACATTTAATAATGAAATTTATACTATTTACGAGGTTGACTATGATAAGGGATTGTTCTATTGCGATAAGGATCATGAAATATCCTTCAACATCTGTGATAGTGGACAAAAATATTATTTTACTTAGAATAAACGCTTTGTTTGTATAATATAATTTACTATGTAGTAAAAGATTTATTTGTCACTATTATTTACATGTAATTGATTGAAATAGAAAATATGACAATCTAATTTTAGAAAAATCAATGAAAAAATATTCAAATATCAGCAAAACTGCCATTTTAAAATAAATGTGCTCTTTGATGATTGATATTCAATGAAATTTCAGAATTTTCATATGGAATGTAGTTATTTATTTGTAAAATTTAGAACCTTTTAATCATGTTTTATCGATTTTCAATAAAAGAAATACCTGAAACACTACTTTATCTGGGAATATTTGTAAAGTTTACAAAATCCAAATGAGTGAACTGTCTTTCTTGAAAGAGATCAAATCCCCTGTCGAGGCATGGAAGAGTGTTTTGACAGGTAGTGATTTAGCCGAGAAATTAACAGATTCTCAAATAGAAAAAATCAAACTCACCACAAATTATGTATATAAACAACCAGCTGAAAAGCGCTCTGCAATTTTAAGCGAACTTGGCTGCCCTAATGCAGATGGAATTGCTGATCTTCTTAAATCATATGAAGCATTCCTCAAAGAAAAGTCAACAGAGCATAATCTTGTCGATTTCGATTGGTCTGCATCATTAATTCTTGGTACAAGCAAAATTTCAAACTTAAAAGAACCAATTGTTACATTTTCATTCCAACTTAAAGATGGAACTCAGCGTCATGTTGAATTTACTGCTGATGAGGCTGAAGCTTTCTTAAAGCAACTCACAGCAGCACAAGATGCAACAACTGCTCTTATTCCAAATTAAAGTACGTAAATATCCAATGTTATCTCTCAAAAAGAAAAATTATTTATTTTATACTTTTTTTTTCTCTCACTATATATATAGTAAAACTAAGGATATAATATTTCAGAATTCAATTCTTAGGTTCACAATCATAATATACCCACTTATCTAGCAATGTCGAAATTAATTTCGAAATCATTGGATAATTATCAAAAACATCTTATCCATCCTATGCAATTCTGGTTTCAAAATAATAGATTCGAATTCTGTTTATCTAAGAAGAAATGAAAACTTTTATTACTGAAGGAAATAACTTTATGCATTAATTTTAGCGAGAAGTACTTAAACATATGGACATATGACCTTGAAATCAAATAGTTTCCTCATACGAGCCCGAATTGTTCGAATATTTAAAAAAAATTAAAAAATCTTTATTTAATGAAGCTAAATTAAACTGTTCGATTTATTAAATTATGCAATTTAATCGAAGTGAGCCTTAAGCTGGTCAATTAATTTTTCTGGGATTGGATAAATAATTCTGCAGTATTCTGGAACTTGGCCGAGGATTCCACGAGCCTGGTCAACCTGTGGGTTGTTCAATCCAGCTAACTTGGAGTCAATGAAATGATAAACTTGTTTGTGGTTTGGATCTGCAAGAATTGCGTAAGCTGTATATCCAATAAAGTAGATAAGGAATGCAATGAAGACAGAGCCATTCCAAGCAAAGAGTGCGTAGAAGAAAAGATAAACATTCAAGAAAATCTCAAGTCCAGCGCGGAAAACAAGAAGGTACTGGAAACTAAGGATGGAATCGCAGAGTTTTGCAATAGATTCTTTAGCACCACCTGCACGTGGAGCAACTTCTTGTTTGATAACAACAACAAGGCGGAGAGCTTCGATAATAACGAAAACAGTCCATGTAAATATTGAGGAAATGCTTGGGAAGAAGAGTGCGAATGCGAAAATGATAATGTGTGTTTCTGGGTGAATAATGATTTTCTTGATCATTGGATCATTGTTAAGTGTGAATGAATCAAGCTTGATGTATAATGAAATTCCGTGAAGAGCCATGATAAGGAAATATGTAAACCTTGTGAAAGCTGGATGTGCTTCTTCAAAACACAAATGAATTAAGATGAAAAGGAGAATAGCTCCTGGTAAGCCCATCTCTGCATAGTGGAGATATTTCTTAATATCATTTTGTCCGGAAAAACGAACCTGAATTTGTGACTCAGATCCCATATTTATAAATAAAAAATTTTTTTGCAGTGTAATTTTTAATTTAATTTGACTATCGCAATGTATACTTTTGATTTCTTAAATATCGATTTTTCCAAAAGGTGAAGTATTTTGAAAGGAATTCTATGAATACTCTCAAAAAAAGTTTACATGTAAAAAAACCAAATTGGATTTTTCATTTCCTTCTATCGGCACTTCTGTGATCGGATCTATTTTATGAAATGATAATGCTAAACTCGAGAGCAATAAGATATTTGAAAATGGCGATCTAAAATGGATTTTTTTGTGATTTCATTAATTCTATGCATAAAAGATAAACAAATAATATAAAATTTTATTCTATAGCATTTGTTGCTGTATTGACAAGGAAATCAACAATTTCAAGACTTTCGATCGAAATTCAATTTAACAAGAACGGGCATTGGCTTTTCGAGCTGGTTAACATGCCAAATAAACCGGAAGAAACAGTTAGCTAGCATTTATGGGCGAAGTTCTTTTGTAATCCGCTGATTAATTGAGCTAATCTTTTATTTTTTTAAACTGGAGACCAAAGCATCGGCTATTTAAGTCATATTGAAAAACAGACATAATTTTTATGACAATAAAAAGAAAAAAATAAAAAATTAATCACATTCCCCAATGATTTTGAGGCTGACCGAATTGGTTTGGAGACTGCCCATACTGGTTCGGTGATTGGCCGTATTGATTTGATGGTTGACCCATTTGCATTGGAGATCTTCCCATTTGCATCTGATTTTGCATTTGGTTGGACATTTGGTTCTGCATTTGGTTTGGCATCTGGTTCATCATCTGATTTTGCATCTGGTTTTGCATTTGGTTTGGTATTGGATTTGACATTTGGTTTGGCATCTGATTTGGCATCATATTAGGCATATTATGCATCTGGTTCATCATTTGGTTCTGATTAGGCATCTGCGGAGGCATATGGTTCATTTGATTTTGTTGCATCTGATTTTGCATTTGATTTTGGTTCTGCATCTGGTTCTGAGGTTGCTGAGGTGGTTGGTGTTGAGCGCGTTGTTGCTGTTGTCGTCCTTCTTTCCTTGTTGATAAGATTTGGATAATAACATTGTTTGCAATGTTGCTTCTTTCAAAAGAAAGGACGCATTGTATATCATTAACGGTGATTTCCCTTGGGAATGTGTTGAATTGTAAGAGTTCCTGCTTTGGAGTGCTAATTTGAGTGTTGCTTCCTCTTTTTTCACGAATTTTGTTGTCATTTGTATTTTTAATATCGATGAAGTCCTTTGTCGTATACTTTATGGAGTCTTCTTGAATGTAGAGGTCCTTGAATTTATTTTGTCGGTCAATATATCTTTCTAAAACTAAAGAAATGAATTCTCTTAATGAAAACGCATATGAAGAATCACCAATAGGTTGGTTGATGCTTTTCATAAAGTTTTGTTCCATAAACCCGTTTGGATTAAGTTCTATATTATAATAATGGAAATAATGGTTAGGAGAACACGAAACAGGATAGTTTGGAGATGCAGCTCCACCTGGAGGTGGTTGGACCATTTTCATTGCTCTTATGCAGCATAGTTTGTAAGCTTCAACAACAATTCGAGTTAATTCTTTACTGAGCTTCTTAAGAAGGAGATCTAAGCATTTTTCGTCAATGTTGATACGGTTTTTCGCGAAAAATTGTTCCCTTATAAAATTTCTATAAGCATTTGCAAAAAGATTTTCGATTTTATTTATTTGTTCAGGTTTAAGGGCCGTTGGCCTATCATTTACGTAATAGTCGAACTTTGTGTTAAGCATTGCCTGTTGATTTATTTCAAATGCTTGCTTTCCCTCGTTGATTTTTTGAATAAGATTTTTAATATGCGGTGTATTGTCCATATGATCAAACAAATCCCATGAGCGTCGTTGCTGTTGTTGTTTCTGCTGCTGTTGCTGCTGCATCATCTGCTGTTGCTGTTGTTGTTGCTGTGGGTTCATCATTTTTTTTTTAAGATTCCAATTGCCACTTTAATTGTCACTTTTTGGAAATTCAATGAGTTCCAAAGAATCTTCATCAAATATCAAAGTTTTCAGGAAATATTCAAACAAAAACTTCGCGGAAGGACTTGAAAAGGCCCATGAAACAATCCGTGAAAAGGACGCGCTTGAATTTTTTAAAACTGTTTTAGGAAATTTTTCTCGTGAAGATTTACCGTTTGAATATGGAAATATGATTATGAAATCGATTGCAAAAGTGATACAGGTCGATGAAAACGCATCAGTTTTCATTAAAAACCATATAGCGACATTACTCCCAATAACGAACAACCAATATAATGAAGGCTTGTTTAATTTATACTACATCTTATTTACAAAGTATGCAGTTCAATTGGATGACTGTATTGTTGCTATTTTGAAAACTTTGATAAATGCAAATCCTAAAAAAGTCCTTACATTGATTGCATTGTATTCACAACAATTTGACGAGATAGATAACCCGTGGTCCGTTGTAGATTTGCTTATACAAGAAGGAAATCTCTTCAAAGGAGCGGATTTAGCTCCAGATTACGTTTCATTGCTTGCCTACTTGAACAAGAAGTTCCCAGAATACAGAAGTGGAAGAGCTCAGCATTGCTGGAACCAGATAACTTCAATGCTAAATCTAACAGACAAATCTTCAATAAAATGTTGTTATGGAGCTCTTTGTTCAATTTCAGAGAAATACACAGATGGTCCACTACAACTAGAAATCATCTCTTTACATCTAAAAGACCCAGAACTTCAAGATTCCGTACTTGCGTTTTTAAATGTCGCAAACTTCGGTTCTAAAGATCTTTCGAACGAAAAACTCATATCTACGCTTATTAGACTATCCGAAAAAACCGTCAAAGCTACATTAGTTCTCATGAAATTTGCAGTTGATCTTTCATCTGCGAAAACTATCATGTCTGACTCGAACTGGATACTAAAGAAGCTTCCAACCATTACAGATACGCTCAGATTGTTCCTTGTTATACTCAGACATAAGGAATTAAGGGAAGAAATCGTAAGTAATCCTGATTTTGTCAATTTCTTGATTTCCATCATCAAAGAGAAGCCAGGAACAGTTCCTATTGTATGTACAATACTCAGACGTGTTCCTCTTTCGAAAGAACTCGTTCAAAATTTGAGTAAATCCGGATTCTTGAAATTATACTACGAATCGGAAGATATTGATGATGACGGACTTACTCCTCACTCTAAACTTCTCCTTACAGACACAATCTGCAGAGTTTCTTATGTCAGAGATTATTTGATTATGTGTGACCGAATTGCGAAGATAATTATCAACAAAGAGGAGTTTGCTGATGCTGCTGCACTCGTAGCCATAAGATTGTGCAAATACAGTCGATGCAAAGCGAGAATGAAAGAGTTAAAACTCGAAGAATATTTCAAACAAAACAGAAACGAAGCAAAACTTCAATCAGTCGCACGTAAGTTCTTGCGTGCAATGAGCGAAACTGATTAACTTATCAAATGTTGTATTATATTTTTTTCTTTTTGTCTCATATTAAAATAATATGTTTTGATTTTTTTTTAGAAAAAAAAATGGAATTTCTAAAAGTATTGAATATGATGTTTGGACTTTGTGCTGTAATACTATCATTAACACTTCAAATAGAACACCACCAAATTATTCTAGCATATTGATCAAGAATTTCCAAGAGCTTTATTGAGCAATAAGTATGTTTAGATGCGAAATTTTAGCGATTCTAAACAAATTGAATGAAGCATAAATGTATGGCATGATTTTTGAATAAATTAGAACATTATAATGAACTAATAGACAATCAAATTGCACATGATTTTGCTTGCAATAGGTAGGCAATTTTAGATATCAATGGATTAAGCTTTGATAAGTTATTATTATAACGTCCATAGACATTAATTAAATTTTTGCTAAATCAGAATACAACAAACCAAATATATCTAATCATGGTTTTTACATTAGCTTGCTGCTTTCTGATTTATTCGAACCCATCTAGAATAATTAGCTGAATTCCCTGAATAATAAACTTTAAATCATTCATAAATCAGTTAAAAAATAATGATAAATTTATTTGCTATATCTATTATCATATCATATTGAAATGCTCTTTTTCTAATGGAATCTCCCTTCAAGATCAAACTTATTAATCCATTATCAGTAGAGGCGATCAATATATAAGAAATAAAAGAATAAATTAAGTTTATAAATATCATAACAAATTAATATAAAATTTAGAAAATGTCATCTGCATCGTTACCTAATTTTCGCCTTATAATAGTCAATTGTTCCTTTACGAGATATTCTTCGATTGTCATAAGAATATCAGAACTTCTCAAGCCCTGGAATGTTGGAAAACCAACTAACAATTCAACAGAATTCACTCCAAAACTATGAGAAATTTGCGAATGGAAACAATGAGAAACATCAGACAAAATCAACATCGTTGTTCCAGGAATCATCCATATTTCATTCCCATTTGTGCCATTTATTGATGTAATAACAATTCTAGCATCTGACCAGAACTTCAAACGATCTGAAACTGATTCATATTTAGTTGGAGGAATCATAAAAGTGACATCAGAAAAATATTGGTCCAATTCGGATTTGATGCGGAATAAGTCATTGCGCTCTGAATCAGTAGTTGCTAATACGACAGAGCGAGGGTTCTTTCCTTGGACAGGATAATGGGAAAGTAATCCCGTCTTAAATTTCGATAAAGCAGTAAATGAAATCTGATGACAAAATGGACCGCTTAGAATGATCAATTCTTTGGCACAAATACCTCTTGGAAGCATGTACTGTGTATCTTTGTAACCAAAAATCTTTGCAAACCCGATTTCGTCCTTTTTCCAAAAAGTTGTGATTAATAAAACCGAATCACTTCTTTCTTCAGAAGGAATTAAGGATATAAGTGGTATTTCGTATAGTAAACGATCTGACATGGAGCTATATGTGTTGTGTGAGATGAATACAGCTTTTTCAACTGAAACTTGTGGAAGATCACTTAATCCTGATGTATCGGCGTTTGATTGACAAGTATTTTCTATACTAAACGTAAATGTTTTGTTTTCGATGTTTGAATTAGGAAATACGCATACATTTTGCAATTTTGTATAAAATATTGTTTCATTTGCATCAATATTTACCTTTAAATCGCGTTTTATTGTTCCTTGTTCTGTGAATGTTCCATTATTAAGTAAGTTATTACTAGAGTCGATTTGTTTCCATTGAATTTCGTATTTTTCTTCTACAGGGGGTGGAATTTCAATATTTTCTTGGACAGGTATCTTAGTTTTGTTCTCTTTCTTTACTTCTATTATAGGTCCTGATGCACTTCGCCCTTTCGTTAAAAATCTGATTTGAAAAACCATAAAAACTAGAACAGAGCAAAGAACAAACGAATATATTATATTTTTGCGATGAATTCTTCTATGTCTGTGGCCTGGGATCGGAAGCGCTGTCATCTAAGAAATGAAATCTGTTTGAGTTTTTAAAATTTTATTTGTTTAACAAATGAATTTTTCTTCTTAGGGAATGAATTAGCCTTTTACATTGCAATTGGCTATTTATGGAATTTGATTTTTATTTATTTTGCCGTCAATATATTGAAAATAATTCAAATTTTGAAAAAAGACGGAATTATTTTAAAACTCTAAAATATACTTAAAGAAATTTTATTAATTCTATATTTATGAAAAACATAAAAACAGTCTTATAGTGATATTAAAATCATTCTTTTGCTCCACTAGCTATTAATAATCTTCTAATTTCTTCCATCCAGGATATTTTGAGAGGCGTTCTTCCTTTGATATCCTTGATGTTTATATCAATAGTAGGAAGGGAAAGTAGATATTGTACAATTTGAAGTCGATTTGAATAACATGCTTCATGCAATGTTGTCAAACCAAATCTATCGGGTGTATTTACGTCAATTATGTTTGCGAAGTATTTTACAGCTTCCAGATTTCCTTCCTTGGCAAAGAAATATAAAACTGTATTTCCATTTCGACTCTTTTTGTTGAAATCAGCACCGCATTCAACAAGTATTTTGCAAAGTTCGAAGTTGTTTGAATACGAAGCTTTGATCATGCATGTTGAACCATAGCCATCACGAACATCAACATAACCGTTTTTAACAGCGTATTTCAGTGCGGCGACATCATTTTCTTTGGCACTTTTATCTAAAATATCGTAAATATTTTGGAAGTCGGCACCAATTTTTTGAAGATTCTTAAGTGCGTCAATATTTGGGCTTGGTATGCGTGATTTATCAGGTTCATCATCAACTTCTCCACTTAAATAAGATTGAGTGGTCATTAATGGTGATATTTTGAGCGATGATGAAGAATTGTTTGGAGAAATTCCAGGTGATGGAACATGATAAAGGCTATCAAAAGTTGAATATGATCCAACACTCTTAAAGTTACCGGATTGAACTTCCAGTTGTTGTATCCTCTCATCTTTAAATTGAAGCTGATTTTCTAATAAAAGAATCTTCTTATTCATATCTTCAAACGCTTCAGAAATTGTTTTTACGATTGGGGCTTTAAGAGAAAGATACATACTGTGAAGGAAGTTGAGTGTTGATTCAGTGTCCGGTCCAAAATTGACTTTAATTGCCATGAAAATACGGAAGATTTCGCTCGCATCGTATCTGAAGTTGCATTCATCAAAAATGTATGACGCTTGATCAGTTGTAATGGATCTTAATGAAATAATTTTGCATATTTGAGGGAGAGAGAATTTCTTTATCAGTGATTTGTTGTCAATATAGCGTTGCAGATTTAATGCAATTTCATTCATGTCCATATCGAAGTCGGTAACGCAAGTCATCGTTCTGGAATAAATAATCGTTAAAAAAGTAGATTTTATTAAAAAGTTTTTGAATTTACATGTCTTTTATGAAACAAATATGTTCACAATCAATTTCGGTTTAATAAAAAAAATTAAGATATTTACATCAAAATATCAAAACATCATTTTTATTTAATTTTGCACAATGTTCTTTTTCTATCAAGATAATATAAAATCGTAATTTCAAAATTGAATGATTTTATACGTTATTTTTCCTATTGGTTTGAATTTTCGATAACAAAATTTTATCTTAAAGATGAATATATTGAATGAATATTCGGAATTAAAATGAACGATCAATTAAAAAAAACGAAATTTCAATTAAGCCGGAAAATTGTATTCAATTTCATTTTTTGATAAATCAAAAAATTGTACAAAAAATATTGATCACAAAAAAAATATGAGGTTCTATCTAGAATTAGACCAGATTGTATATTCATGTAATATAAGGTAAAAAAATTTATGATAAAGGTAACTAAACTCCTTTCGCCGATCCGATTTGCTCCATATTTAAAATATAGCTTGCATATGTAGAAGAAAAGCTAATTTTGAAGTACGCCCCAAATCCATCAACAGGATTTCGAGCTACTAAAAAGGTACTTTTAAATGTGATTTTTTTTATAAAAAATTAAATTTATTTTAAGATCAGACTAAAAACTAATTTTATGGAAAATCTATATCGACAAATTTATTACTTATTGGGTATATAGATTTTTTGATTATGGCGATTATGTCTGATATGCTTCCAATAAGCCAAAACACATTTCATACTGATTTCTATAAAAGGTATCTTTATTATAGAAGTGTAAGCTATATCTGTTTGTTTTTTTATTATAACAAATTCAAAATTCTCTTATAAGGACTAGATGAAATCTGTATTATTAAATCATTAGCTAAATGAAGGTTCAAATAGAAAGTAAATATCAATTTATATGATACTGAAACCAAATAGTTCTTTTAATAAAAGATAACACGCTGAAAATTATTGAGTATTTGCAAATCTCAAAAATCTATTGGTGAATTTGGCTCAACTTTTAAAATTATAACATCCATATCAAATCATAAAAGCAGACAAAAATTAAAGCCAAACCTATCGGCCATTTTTTTTTGATATTTTGATTTTTGAGGTATACTTTTAAAAGTGGATTTAAAGCACTTATGAAAAAAAATTAACTTCTGTCGTTATGATTATTGATTTAGACAATAATGATTTTAATCTTTGATTATCAAAACACTAAAGTCACTAAAGGGGTTAGTTCATTTGATCCTATAAGACTAAAAATAATTAGGAAATTACCAAGGGATATATCAAAGCCGAATATGTAACAAAACAAGAAAATCAACAAAAATGTAGGTCCATCACAGCCATAATAATATGAGAAAAGTTCTTAAATTTTATAATATAGTCAAAATCTTTGATTTATCCATTTTACTGTTTACATCTTTCATCTAATATGTTTTCCTTACTGTACCTATCGGCGTTTTGCGACAAAAAAGTGATGATAATCAATGTGTACTTTTAAATAGTTCTTAGTCTCTTTTATGATTTGTTATTCTAAATTGAATTGAAATGTTCCTGGATGAATTCCTTATTGTCCGCGCCTTTACCGCTGTTACTGCATCATTTCAATTCTATGAACGAAATCCAAATTCATAATTTATCACCTAAATCATTGTTTTCTGTTTGTTTTTTATAGTATTTTTCTCTTAATGAATTTAAATATATTCTGTTATGTAAATTTCAAATTTGACGCTTAAATTTTTGAATGTCTGATCAAGATGTTCGCCTAAGTTATTACAGTGAATTGAGAAATATCTACAAATGTTATATTGATTCATATATTGCATTGTATCAGCTGAGAACGGAAAATGAAGAAGAATTAAGCTCGATTTACAATATGATCAAAACAAATTTGATTGAATCAAAGATTTATCTCCCCAAATATACTATAAAAGATATTTTAAATATCATTCCGTATAATAATAGGTATGCAAAGTCATATTTATCTCTTGCCAAACTCATATCTGATGAATTTCATGTAAATGAGGTCAACAACGTCGAAAGTATTTCAAATTATCTGTTTTATAAAGAATACGGAATTAAATTAGACAAGTCTAATGATTTCGACAAAATTAAATCAGAAAATCTCAATATTCATATAGAAAATACAATTTACAGGGCAATTATGGATGATAACAAAGAAAGATTCATCCAATTTACGGAAATTGATGGATTTGATAAAGATCAAAAACTCCATAGCAAATTATATCCAGTTTCTTATTATGGATATTCATTACTTGAATTATGTTGTTATCATGGATCTGTTGGTTGTTTCAAGTTATTAAGATCAAAATTTAAATCTGAAATAACATCTAAATGTCTAGAATTATCATTTTTAGGCGGAAATCCAGATATCATGAGTGAATGTTTGAAATATCAAGAACCTAACTATCAATGCATGGAAACAGCAATTATTTCGCATAACATTGATTTTGTTACATTTTTGACGAATGAGTATAATATAAAGATCGATTTAGAATGTTGTGGAATGTACAATAATCTCGAATCATTTTTAGTTTATTTCGATCAGACCAAAGATTTTAACAATTGCTTTATTAAATCCCCAAGTTTCAATATTCCATCTTTTTGTGAATTTTTTCTTTCAAATGGTGCAAATATCAATGAAAAAGATAAATATGGACAAACTGCTCTTCATCATGCAGTAGAATATAATAGTAAAGAAACCACTGAACTTCTTATCTCACATGGTGCAAATGTCCACGAAAAAGATTCATACAAATTCACAGCTCTTTATTATGCCGTATTAAATAATAACAAAGAAATGGTTGAACTTTTTATTTCATATGGTGCAAATGTCGATGAAAAAGATGAAGATGAAAGAACTGTCCTTATTACTGCAGTAGCTCATGATAATAAAGAAATAGCCGAACTTCTTATTTCACATGGCGCAAATGTTAATGAAAAAGAAGGAGATGGGCAATCCATCCTTCAAAATGCAGCATATTTTAACGCCAAAGAAACAGCTGAACTTCTTATTTCGCACGGTGCAAATATAAATGAAAAAGATTATTTCGGAAAAACCGCTCTTCATATTGCAGTAGGAAAAAATAATAATGAAATGGCCGAACTTCTTATTTCACATGGTGCAAATATAAATGAAAAAGATAATGTTGGAAAAACCGCTCTTCATATTGCAGTAGAAAATAATAGTAAAGAAACAGTTGAATTTCTTATTTCACATGGTGCAATAATCAATGAAAAGGATGAATATGGGCAAACCGCTCTTCATTATGCATTAAATTATAATAGTGAAATATCTCAACTTCTTATTTCGCATGGTGCAAAGAATTAATGTTCCTGCATGAGATACTTCTCACTCTTTTTCTGATCATTTTCTTCGATTAATTTTTCAGCAAAAAAAAACATAAAATATAGCAATAGTAGTTTTCTTTGGGAGGGAAGACCAAAATTTTTGTTACGGGCGCGACTAAGACCAAAAATTCACTATTTCTGACAAAATTTACGTGTCAAAATCGTAGTTTAGCTTGAAAATCCTCCAATACTAATCATCATGTCTTTCAACTTTGGAATTATATGGCCTAGCATATACTCTATCATATTATGCTATCAAACACATATGTTAATAAAATTTATGCAATTAAATAGGATGATTCTCATTGAATATGAGCGTTTCAAATCGTTTATAATTGCCTCAACATACTATAGTATCAACTGAAGTAGATTTAGCTGTGAAATCTTAAAAATGAAGTATTCTGTATCGTATTCATATATCAAATATAATATTGATGAACATATACCTTTGGTCATATAGAATACATATATAGTGAATCCATTCTAGTAAATTGTTTCATTTTCGCCTGCAAATTTCCAAAATGATGGTTAATATTATGATTTAAAAAATAAAATGTGTTTGGAAGGAGTTTAAACTGTAATATCAATAACATTGAAACTATGAAGCAACCTATAAACAGAAAATAAAAATTGGAAGAAATTCAGAAATAATTATTCATATTAGAATAAAATTATGTAGATATTCTATCAATGATATTACTATATAAATATGTCATATTTGGATAACTATCTTTGTTTAAAATATGATTCATGAAGCTCATTGAATTGAATATCTGCGTTAAAGTATAAATAGTGGATTTCATATAGCACTTTGTTTGTATATTGTATGAAAGCTCAATCATATTGTGAAAATGAGTTGAAATCTAAATTTTATGATAAATAAGCAATTTCTTTGTGTGAAAATGCTATTTGATTGATTAACAGATTGAATATTGACTTTAACTAATAAACATACAAAAATGTCATTGAGTTTAGAATAATTCTCTTTGGTTCATGAAATTGAAGAATCTCATTCAAAATCATCGATAAAAGGCATCCAAAGATGTGTTTTAGCTTTATTGTGTAGTGTATTTTATTTATGATCAATAAAATTGATTTTATTCATATTATTCAAATATTGTCATTTCAAATTGATTATTTTGCCATTTTATTTCTGGATTTCAAATTATATTAGTATATAAATGAATAAAGCTACAGATTTTATCTTTTTGCAAAAATAATTTAGATATAAAACTAGTTTATGAAATTTTGATCTCATATGTAGATTTAGAAAACCATATACTTATATGTTTTGGTGTGCCCCTACTAAAATTCAAAGTATTATTTTATCAATATTAATAATGCAGAATTTATGATGAATTTGAAAGCAATTCTAATGAATTACTAAAAATAATGTATATTCACTGATATAATTTTTCCAAATTTTTTTTATTTTCTTCAATTTGATGTAAATTTTTTCAAATTTCATATTAAATCTTAAAATTTCAAATATTTTTGGAGATTTTTGTCTGTCTTATTTTAATCCTTATTAATCTATTATTGCATTTTCACTATCAAATTGGGAATTCCTCTATTCAATTATCATAATTTGTTATATCACAGTATTAGATACGATACTAAGCATAAATAACAAAGTATATGAAAATCTAAACTATAAATAACGTAATTATCGGGGAAAATTTCCATAAGATTGTGTTGTTTGTTATAATGAACATCACACATTTTAACAAACATGCACATAATAGATTTTCAAACGGAATTTTGAATAAGGTGAATGTTCCTTATTGTAATCCATTGAATGAAGCCTTAAATCATATAAAATCGCAAATCTTAAAACTTATATCATTCGATTAAACTAATAATTTCATCGGAAATTCCACATACATGGAGATTTACCATCAATGACACAAGATATTATACAATAATCGATTTATTTTTCAAATTCAATAATTTATTAACACAAAGAACAATAAATCTATAGGCAATTGTAATTTCAAGTACTAGCAACTACGAATTATATTTCCATTTAATTCGAATTCATATAAATATATAATAGAAATCACTCAAATTGAACAGGTTCGATTTTAAATGCGTTTTTTCAATTTACATACAAAGGTAAAATACAAATTGCATAGATCATACTTTGATTACGTTGATATAAAAAGGCAAGATTATTAAATTTGGATGTATATCCTTATTATTTCCAAAATTATAATGTAGTTTTATTTTTACATTGTTTGCTGAATAAACAATACTTTTTAGGTAATAATATTTATTTTTTTTGTAATTGAGACATTTTGGAATAATTACATTAGAATATCTAATGCTTAACTATAAATATATTTATTCCCGTTCTAATCTAACTAATAGACTATTTCATTCCATAACTTTGATATTCAATACAATTTATAAGCATTTAAAGCGTTATCACAATATAAATGAGTTTTAATATATAATATTTATCTATTTGTATACTATTACACAATAAAAAAGCATTTTTGGTGGAAATGAAATACATTATACTTAAATGAATAAATTTAATCATTAATACAGGATAGATTTGCAATAAGTGTACTAATATATACAACATATTGAAGAATTGCATAATATTTATATAATAATCAATAATCAATTTTTATATAATCTTCAGACTTCATCATCAAGATAAAGTATGATAGTATGGAGTATGCTCTGATGAGTGGTATACATAGAAGTCCCAGATAATGATTTTTCTCAAAAAAGCGTCACTTTTGGTGAAATTTTGGTCTTGGTCACGCCCGTAACAAAAATTTTGGTCTTCCCTCTTTCTTTGGTATTAAAAGAACTTGTTTGTTACCATGAATACATTTTTCATTGACGTTTGCACCATTGTATTAAGAATTAGACTATTTCTTCTCAATATTCTTGATACAATATCTATCTGAGTTAAGTTTTGTTCTTAAATAAATGAAGCAGGCAACTATTCCGTGATCGCAATTCAATTCTATTTTTGAATCATTAAAATAAATGTAATTTCATATTTCCATTCATCACTATGGAACTTAAATTGCATATATCTCCAATAAATTCCCTAAAATTTTGATGTCTTTTTCACTGGCAAATTATTGAATGGTTTACGTACTTTAGATGTCCGATGCAGACTCTTCAGCCGATACCGAACCCCCCTGTAGTGGCTCTACCACTGACAATAAATCGATAACTATCTGCAACACTGATTTCATTACATCAGGAGAGAAATATTACGGCTGTCTTAAGTATCATCCAATGCATTTTCATTCTGAAGTCCGTCGCCCAAAAGCACCATTCAACCCACGAGTTTTTGATTGGTCGATTGCAAACAAAAATTTTTCAAAACTTGTGGTGGATAACAATAAATACGCACAATTTCGTGCGAACTTTAGCTAAATCCATAAGGAGTACATTCTGTACTTCTTCTTCTATCAATACATAGCTATCATTAACTTCAGGCGAATAAAGATATTGTTCTTTGTTCATATTTTTTGAATTTTTTTACAATCACTATAAGAATCATTATACATATCATTATAAAATCAGAATTCTAATTTGTAAAACATCAATTTCATATTTTTTATTTTTAGGGGGTATCACCATAAAAGTTACCATAATAAATATAAAAAAAATTATGTCAAGACGTTCTACAATTGTAGGAGATATTAGGATGTCAATAGGTGTTGTTGAACAGCAAGATATCATGATGTCTTATATGTCACGTGATATTAAGCTTGAAACTTTTTCTCCTTTTCTTCATCTTCCACCAGCAGAACTTGTTTGTAAAAACTTGCACTCATCAAAATGCTACTCTGGTCTACCTATGTTTCTCGTAGTTTCTGTTACAAATTGCAAACCAGTGAAAATTCAAAAGGCATCTGTAAAAATAAAAGGAAAGCAAGATAAGAAAGTGATTTTCAAACACGAATCTCCACCGACTGACATAGCTCCTCATGAAACTATGAATGTTCAAATCAATTTTATCCCACAAACAGAAACAATTATCAGAATTGAAGCAAATTTAGTCTATTACGTAGAAAACTCAAAATATTCATATGATGATAAAGCATCAATACAAGTATTACCTATGACAACTATTAAATACTCATTACTTCCAAATCCAAAAATGATTCAGGTGTTTATAAAGAATTTGTACACAAAGCCGATCTCAAACATATCCTTATTAACTGATGGTGGCGATCAATATAAGATTCCTATCTCAATTAGCCCTCAAAACGAATATGCTGATATAATGACACTAACGAGGCCTCATACAAATCTAATGCTTTCGTTTGCAACTTCTTCTTCAAGAAATGTCGTAACTTATACACATTTTCCGAATACAAAAGACGAAAAAGCAGAAATTCCGATTAAATTAATAATTAACAACGTTCCAAATGAAATTCCTGTAATGAAAACATTTAACTGTACATTGGAACTCACTAATCTTACTCAAACAGCAATTTCTGGCAGGCTTCAGGTTGCTGAATTAAATGATTCTATAATTGCTCATGGAAACAATGATTTGAGCTTCACAAATGTTCAGCCAAACAAATCTATTAGTATTCCAATAGAATTCGTTGCTTTAAAGCAAGGAACGTATTGTTTGCCTTCTTTTGATTGTTTCTACAACGATTCTAAGCACACAAGAATCAAAACTGATAACGGATGTATTGTTTTAGGAAATGCGATTTAGTTTTTCTCTTTGTTTTGTAAAAAATTAATTTTTTTTTTTTGTTGATTCATCAGAAATAGAAAGAATTATATTTGCAACATAGTAAAGTTTAGTGGAAATAATTGATATGCTTATACACAAGGTGATTTTAAACACGAATTTATGAAATATTGAAATTATTTGATAATGAAAATTACACAACTTATTCATGCTAGTGGAAATAAATGCCTTTCTTTTTGAAGACTTTTAAGATTATCAATGCTATTCATGACAACATGTTCATGGTATGATTATTCTTAACATAAAATTTGATACTATAGAATGGATAAGAGCCATATCAATATAAATAGGTAGAGCTGAAGCCTGCGCAATTTAAAGATATCTGTTAGGGAAAAAATTTCGGAATAGAAAATAAAAAATGGTTCTAATCCAGTTAAATAATCGAACACTCCAGAGGGTTAATGATTACAATGCACAAGACAAGATTACACTAACGATTAACAATATCGAAATCGTATTTAACAAAGCATTTGCAATTGCAATTTCAAATTTAATATATTCTCAGTATCTTTTAGATAAAAATATTGATAAAATTGATATAAGTCCTGATGTTGTTTCTGATGATACATATAATGTATTAAAAGATTTCCTTCAATATAGAATTACTGAAATCGAAGTTAATGAAACAGTAATGAAAGATCTTTTTCAAATCGGATTGTCACTTGAAATCGAAGAATTAACTGATTTATATAAAACTAATGTAATTGATAAAATGAAAATAGATAACACAAATTGCATTAAATTACTTGAATTTTATATGAATGTTTCCTCAGATGAGAAATCTATTGAATGTATTGACTTCATTGCCGAACATTTCTACGAAATCGATCAAAATCAACTCAAAATAGTTCCTAAAAAGTTTGGAATTGATGTTTTTAAGCAAATACTTAGCAACAAAAAACTTCAAATCACAGATGAAGATTCTCTAGCTAAACTCATTATTTCTCTTGCAAGGGAAGATATTGTTTTCAGTTCATTAGTTGAATTCATTTATTTTGAGTTTTGCAGCGAAGAAATAATCAGAGAAATGAAAGATTTCGTTTCTTCTGATAACTATCAAGATGTTGTAAAATTCCTTGTTGACTCTATTATAAGATCAAGAGATCCTAAAAATCAAGATAGAGTATTTATGAAAGAAGATACAAACTATTTTGAAAGCGGTAATGTCGTAATGTCTGCTTCTTCTACAAGCTATGGATCTGTGGAATTGATTAACAAATATAGAACTGATACTTATTTTAAAACTCACAATGAACCGAATTCATGGGTTGAATTGAAACTAAAACAAGATCTTTTAATTCAACCAACAAGTTATATTGTTAGAACGGCACCCGACTATGGATCCTTTGTTAGCAGACTTCAATCATGGAAAGTTGAAGGATTAACTATTAATGGTGAAACAAAAGTTATTCACGAAGTCTCTAATTCTCTATTAAATCAAGGTGAAATTCGCAAATATAATATTACTTCTAATGATAAATTTGCCTCATTCAAACTAATTCAAACCGGCAAAAACAGTAGTAATTTGGATAACTTACTAATTGATGTTTTTGATTTTTCCGGAAAAGTGTTTAATAAAAAATAAAACAATAATGTTAAGGGATTATTTAAACTTATAAGACTTTAATTCAATTTTTTTGACGACTTTCACATCAATCTTCATTGAAAATAAATTTTATACTACCGAACTGAATGACATGACACCATGGCGTCAACGCAACCTTAAGCTCGCTTCTAAAGTCATTGGATGTCTCTAAATCTTTATATTTCTATTCACACTATAGGTCTGTGTTAAACTTCGAATACATCATCTGGTTAGAACCTTTAAATTTACTGCCCAAGCTAATTATGGTTCATTCTTTCATCAAGTTTCTATTATCTTTAATTAAGCGAATTTGTCTTTCATAAGAATAAAAAAAATTAGAAATACATTCTATGAAAAGATTTTATTTCCTATAAATATAATAGATAAAAGAATAGAATATATATAGATATATAAACAAGAATAATAACAATAAAATAAATATATATAAAACAAATAAACAAATAAAGTTAAACAGAAAAAGGGAATTTCATTTCAGATTTGAGGAAAACAGTATTTGTAAATGCAGATTTTTGTTCAAACTTTTTGACATATTCCAAAATCTTCTGTTTCTTCGCATCATACTTAACAGGGAACTTATCAACTGTCTTCTTTAAGAAATTGATCAAATCCATTCTATCGAAGATACTTTTCGCGTATTGTTCATCCAGAGAATGAACGTTATTCAAAACATCAGCTGCAACTTCAATAATACTTGGATACATCATGTCCTTGTTGTTCAACATGTCATTGATAGCACTAACAAGTTCATTTGTCATGTCTGGTTGGAATTTTGCAAAATTGCAGTGCTTGATAAATTTCAATGAATGATAAACGATTTTGGGGTCGTCACTATTTATTTGGGGGATAATTATCGTCTTTATATCATGAATTTGCACTGAACCTTCCATGTAAGTGACTAAGACTGTGAGTGTGTCAAGGATCTCTTCCTTCCGAGAGAGCTCGTTGACCATCTTCTGCATAAGGCAGGAAACAATAACTGATGGCTGCTGAAGACGAACACGAGCTTTCACGGCGTTTTTAATGATAGTGTTCGGAGATAATGAGTCTGGAATGGAGGAACTGCAGAAATATTGGACGAAAGGAAGGAAAACGGTGTTCTCTTCAAGCTTCTTGCAACCGGTTTGATGTGAGGACATGGCAGAGATTAATCTGACAGAACAATCTCTGTATTTGTCGTCCATTAGATCTCGTGCGAGTAAATGGATCGTGGAATCCATGTAGAGATCTTTCTTCTTGCAGAACTCTTCGTTGGCTGTTAATGCCGTAAGAATTTGAAGTTGTTGCTCGTCATGGTCTTTGATTTCAAATAATGCCGTCATTAAGTCTTCGTGGTCGGCCATTTCGAGGGCTGCTTCTGGGATTTGCGCAATACAGAACATAACGGCAAGAGGTGGAGTGACTCTATCGGACGATTTGAGCTTTTCTTCGAGAATCTTGAAAAAGCCATCGATTTTCCAGAGTTGTGAGATTGTTTCTCCTTTGCACTTGAAAAGGAAATCAACAAGATTGTGGCTGCCGGCCTTTGGATGAGCTTTTAACATAGATAAGATTAATAATGGATAATTTGACTCATCGGACAAACTATCGAGGTCACTAATGAAGGTCTTCTGCATCTTATCATCAACATAAGACAGGAGGGGATAGAATTTGGAGATGTCTGAACGATCAATATTCGAACTTACGTAACTAAACAAGGTAATAAGAGTCTGGAAATTTTTGGGAGCTTCCAGGTTGTCGGTATGTTTAACAACATAGTCGACAACTGTTGGTAATTTATGACCAATAATTTCTTTGTACTCTTGCAGCTGTTCGTACTCGAATCTGAAGATAACACGGAATATACATAGTCTGTGGTTCTTGATTTCATCTTCCTTTATGTCCTTTGGAGGGTCTTTTTGCAATAAACTAATAATTTTAGGAAGAAGGTCTATATAATTGGACAAAACACCATTAGGCATGCGAACCAAGAACCAGAGTGTACCGTACTTCAAGTATTCGTTGGATTCGATCGTATATCTCAACATTTTTGTTGCACCTGATTCGAGAAATCGGATCCAATCAGTTGTTTGGTCAAGTATATTAGAAGCAAGTAGCAAAACTGAATCGAAATTCTCCGACCTGCATTGAACGATATCATCTAAAATATTTACATTTCGCATGATTTCTACAACATGAGCGTCAATGTGTTGGGCAATAAACTTCAAAACGCTTCCGAAATATGTGTTCGTTACATGTTTTAATACATCAATTGCGTAATTTTCGTTGATAGGAGGACATCTTATTTCCTTCTTGATCATTGTGTAGTCCAAGTCATCGCTATCTGGGAATTTGATCAATCCGTCCTCAAACTGTTTGACAATTTGATGAAATTCAGGACGCTCGGTAGGATCCTTCGACCAGCATGTAGTAATGAGCTTAACCAGACCTGGAGAAGCTGAATCGGGTATAGGAAGTCGCCAACCGAAAGTTACGACGTGTTCATAAATTTTATCAAGAACTTTGTCGTTGAAAGGGACTTCTCCGGTAAGCATCTCCCATACAACGATCGCGTAAGAGTAAACATCGACTTTGCTTGTGTATGCGGTGTGAACTAACATCTCTGGAGCTGAATAATGAGGAGTTCCGACGGATTCGTTCATTTGGTTCTCAACGTGGCCGGAAAGACCAAAATCTGCAATAACAGCGTTGTTTTTATCGTCTAAAAGAATATTTAATGTCTTCAAATCTCGATGAACAATTTTTTGGGCGTGGAGATACTCCATACCTAAAGCAATCTGGTATGCGATCTTTGTAAGTTCCGTTGGTTGTAATGCTGGGAGCTGATTTGTCTTTTGTCGATGAAGACGATCAAATAAAGACCTTCCTGAGCAAAATCGAGTAATAATGCAGTACGGTTCGTGAATTTGAGCACCAACTAATTCTAGAATGCATGGATGATGGAGTTTCTTCATTAATGTGATCTCATCCCAAATTGATTGCCATGCTTTGGGACTGAGCTTGTCGTATCTGATTTTTTTGACAGCAACAAACTCTGAGGTACGTTTCAATGTTGCTTTTGAGACAGTTCCGAATCCGCCGGCACCTAAATGATTATCATTCGGATTTAGAGTATAATCGAGATCTGATTCGTTTAAATTTATGTCTTCGTATGAATTTTGTATTAATGCTTCGAAATTTGATTTCTGACCTTCAATTTCTGTGATTTTTTGAATTTGATTTTGTATTTGATTTTTTAATGCAAGATTTTGATCCGAATTACCTAACTCTTTGAGTATTTGATTAAGTTTCTTGCGTATCTTCGATAAATCTGATTTTTTATTTATATTTAGTTGTTCTTGTTTGATTTCGATAGCCTTTTCAACGCCAAGTTTATTACATGCCGACATAAATGAAGTTAAAAAGATTTCTTGAAAATTTCCTATTTCCGCTTGATCCCAATTTGATATATACGTACGCCATTGATTTGGCTTACAACTTTCTAAAGACCGATTAAATTCTTCTATTAGACTTATAATATCCTCGAAGATTTTCGTATAATCTTTAGGTAGTTTTATATTTTTATTTTCCCTTAGATAATTTATCAGTGATTGCATATGTTGGCAGTTATATGCACTTGAAGCTCGAAAAATAACACACTCTTTCGCTGTGTTTTTCGTTCTTTCGACAACATTATCTAAAGTTTTAAGTATATCCTCAAGCGACATTAACTTGTCACTTTTGGAGTATTCAAATTAAATTCGATAAATTTATGAGTATATTTATTAAATTTGGCGAGTAGTACTAATTCACAAAAGAATTTATTCTCAAAATCTCTGAAATTCATTAATTTAGAAAGATCAATTGATTTGATGCATATATAACTAAGATATAAGATATTGATTAAGGTTTATAAGTTGAAAAACGGGGTTCTACTTGATAATATGGGTATCAAAATGCTATAGATCAACTCATTTTTAATTATAGCATTTTGATGACTTCACAATTCAAAACATTTCGATATTGCAGTATTAAAATCACATTCTTGATATAACTTGACTTTGCACTATGTGAAATAAGAAGTTCAACTGTTTCATTTTTGTTAGTGTGTGCTGCCTTATGAAGTGCGGTTTCTCCATTTTATCTTTTTCATTAATATATTAAAAAGAGTTGCCTTATGAAGAGTAGTTTCTCCATTTCTTTGAAATCACTTGACATTTCTAATTTGATTCCATATTCTTTTAAAGCATGCAATTACACATCTTTCTCATGATAATAATCAAATGTGATTTTTGCAATTTCCAATTATGACTTGAGTGGTAAATATTTGAATTAATCAAGTTTGTTTTGATTATCTTGTCAATCGAGACTAATTCTTCTTCTTTTTCCGTTTTAAATATTGTATTTATTTCTTCTTGTCAAATCACTGCATGTTGAGCATTGATTAGTCATTTCAATGGAAATGATTATATTGGATTCAATTGATGTGCGCCATTATTCACAAAATAATCATATCCTGGAGAATTCACGCTTATTTGACATTTTTTGGAGGTTTCTTAATCTTATAATTTTGGGCAAAAGTGTGAATTGACTAATAAATCTAGTTTACTGGCTTTTTGCCAAATGAAATGTCTCTATAACTCATTAAGAGATGTGAAAGGCCAAGTTATTCATAGTGAAAACAAAAAAAATCAAAAATTGTCAAAAAATTTATTAAAAATAAACGAAACACTAATATTTTATTCTAACATATGTTTAAAATGTAACTAATACATGGTAATTTAGTGAGGATGGCCAATAATAACTAAAATGTGAATCTGTAATTTTGCGAGAAGACAAGTTAATAAAATGGATATACGAATATGACTTATGAGGTATTAAACTAAATTGTTCGATTGATTCATAAAAAAAAATTATTCTGAAAATTTCGTAAGATTATAATAGTAATAAATTGTTTCATAACGATATATCATGTTATAATTGTAATAACGATGGTATGATGAAAGAAATCGATAAACGTCTTAAATATATCTAAAATAAGTCAAAATTAGATTTGGAATCATTCCATGTTTTGTAATTTTAAACGGGTGTAAAACCACGTCCGTATGGTTTGACTGTTCCGACTCCTATTTGAAGTTTATTTGATTTAAATTGTTGGACTGTGATTTCTGGTAATTGAACTGCTTCTACTGTCGAGACATTACATCCTCTCATCACCATTAAACCAATTCTCTTTGGCTCTCTTTGCTGATTATCTTGTGGAATTTCTTCAACTTGTCTTAATACTAAATTCATGTGTTCATCGTAATTCATTAATATACCTTGAAATGATAGACCTTCAACTGTTGTTACAGTTACGAGACCATTTAATAGGCGCTGAAGATTCCGAACTTGAGACTCCATTAAAATTATAGGGGGAAGAAATAGTTAATTATGGGAGAAATACAAAAATCTCATTATCATGGATTTCATAAAGACTTCTGATAACCATTTGATAAAATAGCTCAATTCTGATTAAATGGATATAAAATTCAAACAAAAAATTAAAAAAAAATTAAAATCAAGATAAAATCTGACTTTTACCTCGGTCTTACAATTCCTTCTTCAACCTTACATTGCTGGCCTTTATATATTGGAGGCGGAGAATGAATCGCTGCATTTTTAGCTTCAACTGTTTCAAATTCGATATAAACTGTTCCGTACGTAAAATATTTATTTCTAACTGGACCATATTTCTGGAAAATTTGAGTAACTTCCTGACCACTATATGTTTTGGTTAAATCAGTAATAGTAATAGATCTTGATGGATCCAATGTATCAGGTCTGCTCTTTTTAGATGAATCTATGCGTGAGGGTTGATATGGCGTACTTTGTGGTCGAATTGGCGGTGATGGTTGTACTGCTGGGGCAGATTGTGGAATAAATGTATGCTGTGGTATTCCTTGCACTTGCATTGGGTGCATCTGCTCTGCTCCATACAATTGTACATCGATATTTTTATAACAAAAATATACATCATTAATAATAAACCATTTTCCTGAAAAGCGTTGTAAAACAAATTCTTGTGTAAAGAAGAATTCATATGATTGAGTATTCGGCTTGACAATTCCGTATACAGTTATTAATAAGTTATCATTACAAGTTGAATCGGAATAAGATAAAACTTTCAACACTCCTGAAATAAATTCGTCTGGGCAAACTTCTTTTGCTGGTTCATTGGCAATTTTAAAACTTATTGAAGAAATTGGTGATAATCTACTGATTTTTGCATGAGAATTATAAAATTTTTTAACTGAAATGTAGTTCTGAACTACCATAGAATAGTATGTTGTTACGAATTGCGAAGCAACATCTTTGATATGGCTCATTCAGATTAAAAAAAGATTCTCCAAAAAAAAATTGCACTAGCTCTGCTCAATTTGAGGTAACGTTTGGTGTTACCCCCTAATATAAATTAGCCACATTCCTAAATGTAATTATGACATTAATATTGCAGTCCTTCATCCACCTTGGATTTTAAAATTCAAGACGACTAGATCAAATTTTATTGTTCCAATTTACTGGTGCAATACGCCGATAAATTTATTATTTTATCGTTTAGAAGTGAAGGAAAAAAAAATATGAAACCATCTGCTATTGCAATTCTGGAGGAAAGAGGATGTGAAATTCCTAAAGAAGCTCCTCCAAGTGAAGCAGTTAATACAAAGAACCCTGTAAATACAGATGGTCCAATGAAAAATTTCAATTCTATTCACATTGTACAAGCTTGCAATGAACAATCAAATCCTCAATCTAAAGAAGATAAATACATACATTTACGTCAATATTATGTAAATCAAGTAAAGGGTGAAACAAGAAAGCAAATCCTCGATAAAAAAGCAGATGAAATTCGCAAAATATTACTAAAAGGATCACCAGAACAAATCGAGCAGCTTTACTTAAATCGTCATAAATGGCGCCAAGCAATTCATGAATTTCGAAACGATGATAAACCTATTTGCAAGGTAGAAAATTGTATCAACGTAGTAGTTCCTGGTTGTGAGTACTGCATTAATCATATCAATTTGGATCCAAATCAAAAATTATTTGTTATTTGCGAAAAATGTCATAGACCGCATCCTGTATGCTCCGAATGTTTCACATGCAAATAGATATTTTAATGTTTTGTAAAAATAAATACACTTTGTTTATTTACTTATATGCCTAAGTTATATTTTTCCTTCACTCATTACTCACATTAATAATATTTTCATTACTTTATACATCATGTTTAGAATTAAATTTTCAAATAAATTTCATTACATTTGTTGAAATTTTAAAAATTATTTTAAAATTGATATCATTTTTGATGAATCTAAGGAAATTTTAAGTAAGTGTTTATTTTGGAAGCAATTTCTTGATGAAAAATTCTCCCAAAAAAAATCAAAAATTTGATTTTGATTTTAATTTTTACAATTCTTTTCCTGTTTTTTAGGAAAATGAAAAATTTTTGGAAAAATTAGATCATATAATATCATCAAAAATAACTAAAGAATGATGTCAGCTCGATTCTATCTCAAAACATTCACTATTTCCAAAATTACTATCATTTTTTTGTAAAGTAACTCAAAGGTTTTTACCATGGATATATTAATTGATTTCCGGAAGTTACTTTTGACAGGCAAAAAGTCAGGCGTTCATAATGTAATAGAGTATATAGAGAAAAATCTTATCAATGCCGAATATTCCAAATTTATTGTCACCGAAGTACTTCATGTTTCAACCATTCGTCCATTTTTCACAGAATTTTTAGCAGAAATTATCATTGAAGCATCAAAAATCCCATATTTATTAACATTGAAAACAGATTTACTAAATTATGTCGAATACATTCATGGCCCACTAATAAGAATGCTTTATGACAGAAAATACTACTCTCTTGATGACTTACAAGTTTTATTTTCCTCAAAAAAGGAATTAACTGCGTTTTTTGCTCCAGAATTACATTTCACACTTGAAGATTTCCAATCAATACCACAATTACAAGGTTTGAGCGGTAGTTTTTCACAACTAGAGAACAATGAATGGGAAATGTTCAAAGAAATGATTAATTTAGGATATGTCCAGAATACGATTGGTTTTGCCATGAAATACGATGACCCATCCTTAATATCCGAATTTATTCTCAATGATTTCGATATAAAAGGTAGTACCGGTCCTTCTCTTCATGAAACTCTTGGAGGCTTCAATTTGACATTAATAAATGCAGCTGCTTTATATGCTTCTCCAAATTGCTTCAAAGAATTGATAATGAATGGCGTAGAACTTAAAGAAGAGACTTGTGAATATGCGGTTCTCGGAGGAGACAAAGAAATCATCAATACATGTTTAAAGAAGTTCCCAAAGAGCAAAAAGTTTATTCCTGCTGCAATCAAAGGAAATCAAAATAATATTTTGATTGAACTTGTCAACAACGGCTTTTCTGTTAGTACAAATGTATATTTCATCATTGAAGCTCACAATTATTTCGCTTTGGATTATCTTTTGAACAAAAAATTAGTTGATCCAGATTCTCGTTCAATTCAAATGAGTAATAAGCTTGCTGAACAGAATAATAACTTTGAGCTGTTTGGAGTTTTGAAGAAACTAACTGCTCTTCCAAAACTAAAATCAAAATAGATTTTTTTATTTTAACTTGAACATTAGTTACCAATGGAAAACAATAGTTTTAATCGACTTAAGTTAAGTTGAAAGACGTTATTTATCAATTTCAAACTATCAGTTAATATCTTTGCTGAATTCTTGGTTTTTATTTATTAGTTTGTCCATTCGACGCTTGGTTCAGCAAAAATAAATAATACTTTGATCAGAATTGACTGTAAAAGGCTACAAAGCAGATTTGGCCGAGTAGATTTATTAAAACTCGGAAGAATTAACCGCAATTTTTGTTCTTTGAAGTAAATATAAACATTTTGAAAAGAATTTGCTCGAAAATTTTATATCGGGATTTCTCGAATTTTTTTTTTCTCCAAAATTTTCGCAAAAACATCATATGGAAGCAACAGCATCTCAGCGTGATACATTTTATAGAGCTGCAAAGCAAGAAGGCTGGCGTGCTAGATCAGCTTTTAAGCTTATTCAAGTAGCCGACCATTTCAGATTATTCGATAATGTTACAAGAGTTGTAGACTTGTGTGCAGCTCCTGGTTCATGGTCACAAGTATGTGCCCAAAAACTATCAAAAGTACCGAACAGTGCTATCGTTGCTGTGGATCTTCAGCCAATGGCACCAATTCCTGGAGTTATTCAAATTCGTGGAGATATTACATCAAAAGAAACAGCACAACAAGTTATTGATGCTATGAATGGCAAAAAGGCTGATCTTGTTATTAGCGATGGCGCACCTGATGTAACAGGATTACATGATCTTGATGAATACATGCAAAGCCAGCTTGTCTTCTCAGCCTTCAATATTGCTTGCTTTATGCTTCGTGAAGGCGGTACTTTCATGGCAAAAATTTTTACAGGAAGAGATATTCAAGATCTTTATTCATCACTTTCTCCTTTCTTCGAAACTGTTACAGCAATGAAACCAAGAGCATCCCGCGTTGCATCTCTTGAATCTTTCGTCGTTTGCCAAGGATTTAGATTACCTGAGGGATATACACCAATCTTAACATCGGATCCACAAACAGATTTCGAAGCTACATCACCTTTGTCTCCGTCTTTTGTGGCATTTGGTGATCTTTCTGGATTTGACAAAGCAAAAGACAAAATAGAATGGTAATAAAGAATAGAACTGTTTATTTTATTGAAATAATTACTTTTTTACATTAATATCATATGAAATTACTAAATTCCGAAAAATTTCAATTTGATTTCGAGAAAAATTTCTCTCAATTAATGTTAATTATATCACATAAGGTAAAAACACATGTTTAAACAAGTAAATTTTAAAGACAAAACAACAATAACAAAAATAATTTAATCAAACATCTATTTTTCTTGATCTGGGAATGTTTCTAACTTCATTGTTTCTGGAAGCCTGTCTGGGAATGCTTTGCGCCCGTATTTATTAGTACTTTCCGTTCCAAGCCAAAATCTGGTATGAACCATCTGATCATAGCGTTTGTAGTCAAGAGTATTGAGTGACTTAGCTTTCTTTTCAGGAAGAGGCTCTCCATTTGCTTTGGCAAGAAATTCTTCAAAAGAATTTTCTTTTTCTAATTGTTCTCTGTATTTGTTTCCTGGATCATGTAATCCTTTAACAGAATATCTAAGTAATTCTATATGTCCAGACTCTCTATCGGAGTTCACTGGCACTGGATGTTTTGTAAGTTCGTCAATATTTTTATATTTTGCTTCAAGGTACTTCTCGTAATTCTCTTTCTCGAGTGCTTGATTGATCCTCCTCTGTAATGGTATGGCATAGTGTTCATCATAATCTTGTGAATAAATTATACTTTTAACTTTGTGCGAGCGATCGTACATTTCTAATTTTTCGTTTAACTTATCGACTAGTACTTTATCTGCTTCGATTTTTTGTGAATATGAGCGCGTTTGCTGTTTTCTTGGCGAAGGTTTGAGTAAATCTTCTCTTGTTGAGCGTACAAACTCTTGAGATACAGCAACTTTAGTACCACGTTCTGGTGCAAAACGAGGATTGACTCTTGGAGTAAGATCTGGTTCTGTAATCATAAGTTACGGAGGTAAATCACGTGCAGAGAAAACTTTAGGTGTGGGACCAACTAAGAGAGTGTTAATTTCAGGTATTTCGGTATGTTTAATGACTGAATCAGTTGGGGAATCCATATCAATAATTATTTGAAAATTGACTAACGTAAATTTCTTACATTCTTGCAATATTTGAGCGCTAGAGTAAGGAAAACAACATCAACATTATGAAAACTATGCAGCGGTAATCAAGAAAATATTGAACACGAAGTATTTGTCGAACTAAACTCAAAATATTTTCTTTTGATCAAATTTCATTTTTTAATTTCTCCAATAATGATAATTTCAACTGTTATAAACATAAAATGTCTAAATATAAGTATATCTAACAAATATAGCTTTGCTTGAATAATGATTTGGTATCTAATAATATTTCCGAATTTGAATGAAAATATTATGAATATTGTAATGTTTACACGGAATTATTTTTGAATCATTAATATAAAATGTTTGCATTGCTAGTGAATCATTTAAGATGTGAATCTCCAAAAATAGGTTTCATGACAACAGCACAACTTACAAATATATATTCAGATGCACATTTAAGCATGACAACAGAAAATACAGGTTTAGCAAATGAAATTCCAAAAATATATTCTTCTCTTCCAACGTATGAAGATGGATGGCTTTGGATAATTGAGCCTCCAATCGAAAATATTTCAAAAGGACAAGACGTCGTTAAATGCAATGAATCTATTGCTCTCGTTAATTCTATAACACATAACTTTGTTTCAATTAAGCTCAACAAAGAAGTAGTTCCTACAGTAGGGAATATGGGCGCAAGCAGCAAATGGAAATTAATTTGTGATAATTCTGACGTCTTAAAGCAAGATCTCGAGTTTCAACTCTACAACGAACAACATAAATGCTATCTTACATCAAATTTCAGCTTACTTTCCGATACAGAACCAAATAAATTTAAAATCACATGCAAAGAACAAAATAAATATAGTATCTGGGCAATTAAGGAAGGCGTTTTCTTCTTAGAACCAAAGCCCGTCCAAAAACAAGAAAATGAATATGATGATGACGAATTATAGAAAATTTGCTATTTTTATTACTATTATTTTGCTTTATTTACTATTTTACTAGTGTTTTTAAATATTAAACATATTCTTTATTAACTCTTTATCGATTTCTAAATTCTATCGAAACAGAAACAAACTTGCACGAGAATTCTCTCATATTATCTCATTTTCAATTGAGTTCTCTCGTTAAGAAGCTTTGGTAGCCAAAAAAAGCCTTTTTGGAATAATTTTTTTTAAAATTCAATGATTTGTGAACATTATTTGGACCAATTGATAACCTATCAAATTCACATTTGTTGCACTATATTTAAAATTATCTTACGACTTTTGTTGTAATTTTTTGCCAACTTTTTTTGACTTTAGTTCACAAATGAGTCAAGAAATCATTATAAATTATGAGTATATTGAAGTTCATATCAAGGATTACATGAATGATTACAGATTCTTTAATATTTTTGATATAGATGTTATCAAAATTATATTGAAACATTCAAATTTAACTTTATTCGACTTTAATAGACTTTTGGAAAACTCTGCTTCTTCCATAAAAGCAAATCAATTATATAATTGTATTCGTGGAACGAATGTTGATGTTCATACTTATCAAGATGCAATATCAGCATTGAAATCGATTTATAAGCATTTAAAATTAAGTATACTTAATGGAATTATCTCTATTTTAGATAATACAGAAAAGGAAATGTCACAAACAATTGAAAAACAGCATGATGAGATTAATAATATTACATCTCAAACTCAAAGCCCCGAAAAAGAAATTCAATCACTTAACCCACAAATAACTAATGAAGTTAATTCTAAATTATTAACAAGAATCAATTCGTTGAAAACTACCAATGATTTTAAAGAAGTTTATCAATTCCTAAATGAACTTTCAGAAAATGGATATCAACAGATAATGATGAATGCCTATGAAGCAGGTCTTACCCAAATTAAAAATAAACATAAAAGAGATGCTCTTCTTGAAGCCTCCATGAAAGGAAATCTCAGACTTATTAAATCACTTATCGCAAGTGGCTGCAATAAAGAAACTTTGGATAAAAACAAAAAAACACCACTAATTATTGCATCAGAAAGAGGTCATCTTGAAGTTGTTAAGTATCTCATATCAATTGGAGCAAATAAAGAGGCATCAGATAATTATGGCTATTCATCGTTAGCCTATTCTGCTTCAAACGGCAATCTTGAAATAGTTAAGTATCTTATCTCAGAAGGAGTAAATAAAGAATCTAAAATTAATAATGGAGCTATACCACTTATTTTGGCATCAATAAAAGGCAAACTTGAAGTAGTTAAATATTTTATTTCTAATGGAGCTAATAAAGAAGCAAAAACCAATGATGGATACACTTCGCTCATTTATTCAATAGTCAATAATCATCTTGATGTGGTTAAATACTTAATATCTGTTGGAGTTAATGTAAACCCAAAGAATAAAGACGATTTAAATCCTCTTTCTTATGCAAGAGGCAAAGTAAGAGAATTCCTTATATCAGTTGGAGCAAAATAATTCATTCAATATAAACACTGTTCAGCATTAGAATTGTAAATGATCATTAGTAAGAAAATTATACTTTTATTGTGAATTTTATCTCATAAAGCTTTTTTGAAATCTCTGAATCATTCTTTACCGGTGTCCTAGACTGATCAACTCTCTATTTACAAAGTTACATTTTTTTCTATAGTTTCGTTGTTTCCAGTTGAAACGTAATAAAACTACCATTTAAGTCTGAAAAATGCATGTATTAAGCGTTAGTTAGAGCAGCACAAAAACTGAATAATCTATTGAATTAAAAAAAATTTGAAATCTTATTATCCATATTTTTGTGAATTTTCTTATGATCAAAATCCATCAAAACATTTTTATCATAATTATCATTGAAATGGCTTCTGATACGATCAGCGTATTGATTTATAAAACAAAACAAAAAAAAATAAATGGATGAAACAACTTTGAATCAATTGATCGAATTCTATGAATCTGGCGAACAAGAAAAGATTGAATATGTTTTCCAGTTCTTACAAAATGTACAATTTGATTCAAGTGTTGGAAATACTATAGTTAACAAGATTTATACTGAAGGAATGTCTGAATTGCGAATTCTTCTATGCTTATCAATATTAAAAAGCTATAGAGTACCTTTAGAAAACCCTTTTGCACTACTTCCTCTCCTTTTATCAAGCAATTCTTCAATAGTTTCGATGGCCTCATTAATTATATCAAATTTCATAATTACAGAAGAGCAAGTTAAAGCTCTTTTGTCATTAGATTCTCAATATTATAATGGCTGTATCTCAATTATAAACCATTGCATAGATAATCAAATATATTCACCAGTCATAGTCGAATTTTTAATAAACGTGTTCAACAGTTCATCAGACCTTGAAATAAAAGTCAATGTAGCGAGTACATTATCCGATATTTTAATCAAAACAAAAATTTGCGATGAAAACTTAACAAACTTTTACAAAGAGTGCTTACAACAAGAAATTTCTAATGAAAACCTTCCAATATTGAACGCATTATTGCCCGGTACATCATTTTCCATGTTTAAAGGAGACGCTTTCAATCTTTTACTGAATCACTTTTCTTTCGTTGCTCAAATGTGTCCTCTTCCTCATATCGAATACAACGGCGTTACACTTTCTTCATTCTCACAAAGTTTGGCTTTAGAATTAAAGCGTTTACTTTTTCCTGAAGACTTTCACAGTCCATATGAGCAAGAAGGAGAAGAAGAAGAATATCTTTATCAAGAATTTACAGATGGTGACTTCATCTTTGATTCTGAGCTTCTTGTCCGTTCATGTATCAGCCACTGTTTACTTGATGACGACAAAATCGAAACATTTTCTAATGATTTGAGTTCATACATTGAATTCATTACTGATGAAGATTCTATTCGTTCATTATGTGTTAAAATGCTAAGTAAGAATTCCTTGTTACAAACAGCCGTTGATGTTTGCAAAGAAACAATGTATCTTTCAGAGTTACATGAAGAAGCATCACTTTTCATTCTTACAGGTATCCTTACTCATGACAACCCATATGTTATTGACTGTCCTATTCCACAATCAAATGAATTTGCTCTTGCGCAGTACTTCAATTACGTGATTGAGTACGAGTCCGATGTTTCACCAACAATTGTTTCAGAAGCACTTGACGACGAATACTCATTCATTGTTTATCTTAATGTTTGTTTTACTCTTTCACAGATTGAACGTGTTTTTCCTGATTCAACTATTTTAGCTGTTGAACGCGTTATTTATATGATCAACGTTCTTGGCGACAACAGCAACAACGAATTCATGACTGACATTCTTTCCCGTCTTGTCAGACATTCGCCAATTAGTTTTGCCGATGTTTTAGATGATTTTTTGTCTACACTTGTTGGTCTTTTAGAACAATTTTACATGAATCACACATTGTATGGTAGCATTGTTTTGTGTTTTGGAGCATTGTCTAAAGTTCCAGAATTCCACAGTTATGTTGTCAACAGTGTTTGTCCAGTTGTTCTTAGTCTTCTTTCAGACTCAACGTCAGTCCGCTGTGGTATTGACATGTGTGTTTCATTACTTACAAACAAGAACTCACTTGATCAACTTGAAAGTATTCAAGAATCTGTTTCATCTATTTGTAATGCTTTCTTCAGTGCACTTGAAAGTATCGAACTTGACAAGTATCTTGGTGAGAAGATTTCCAAAATCATGTTTTTCTTCTCTAAAGTTAGTTGTAGCGATGAAGTCTATGATACATGTCTTTGGTTGTTACGTAACATGGATCCACTTTTTTTCAAATGTTTTTGTTCTGTTTTAGTTGTTTTCATTTCAACACGTGGTTTTGATGCAGCTATTGACGTCTTCAACATTCTTTCAGAACGTCTTCATAGTGAACATTCTAACATCCTTTCACAAATTGCATGTTGTCTTTTCTCAGTTCTCTCTCTGAACGACAAAGACTCAGTTGTATCTCATCTTTCAAGTCTTATTCCAGATCTTTTGAATCTTTTCATCGACAAAGCTCTTTCATTTAATTTTATATCATCATTTGACCTCAAACTCATGTGTTTTGGTCTTTTTGTTTTCCACGATGTTGATACACGTATCATTTGTGCATGCATCAGTCTTCTTGAACAAAGCACAGATTACGAACAAGGCAAAACATACTCATTCTGCAACAATGATCCATTATACTTCTCTCACCCTCTTAAGAACGAACCTGTTTTAGATAGCATTCATCGCCTTTTCCCAGACACATCTATCTTAGACTCCGATGCACAATCAATGATCAAACGAATTGAAGAACACAACCAATAAAATATTCATTTTTTTGTTTTTATCATGTAAATATGAACTTGTTATATATTTTATCAATATTTATATGTATTATGAATCTTAATCTTAGTCTTGCAATTAAAGCAAATACAACCACAATTGTCAAGCTTTAAGTAGAGCATGGAGTTAATTCTAACATGAAACATATTCTCTTTCTTTTCATGTTTATTATTGCATTATAACATTTTCTCGAACTTAATGAATGCCATCTTAGTCTTGGGGATTTAGATCTTTTTAAAAAGACTATAGGGTAATGAGATATTGACAATAGAGCTAAGATTATCAAATATTTTTTTGAGAGTGCGTCTATACATTGAAATAAGATATAGTTATCTGCATATTATTCAAGAATAAACACATTTAAATTTGAAGTTTTTTTTAATGTCAACACACTTAAATATGAAGATGGTGATATGTCTCGACAAAGATAATCGTCATCCATAATATTTCAACGATAATTTCTCATATTATATTGTATTCACTTTATTTAAGCAATCACATGCCTGAAATTGCAGAGAGAGACTTTACCAATATTACATATCCTAGAATACAGATAAAATGGTGAAATATAGAAAAATCATTAGCTGATAAAAAAATCAAATTACTTTATAGCCAACTCAATTTGTTTATTTTCATATCTGTTTTTAAATATCAAATCCAACCAATTCATTATCATAAATAATTTCAAAAATAGTGTCTGTATGTGCTCTCAATTTGGGAGGTTTTTTCCAATGGACGAGAACTCAGAGTGCCACGCTCGGCTCTCTTGGTTCTCAAGGTCCCCGGACGTTCGGCAACGAGTATTTCATCCAGGCTTGCGTCATCCTTCGAGATTGAATACAAAACCCAAAGCTTGGATTAGACCTCCTGACCAAAATCCAGATATTCAATTAAAACTAGCACACAACAGATTTACATCTCATGCTCAAATGCTCATGCAATTATCAGACGCCAAAAATATATTTTCACGACAACTTCCTAATATGGGCTCTGCATACATTGCCCGATTAGTTTTTGATGTCGAAGCCGAGACCGTAATGGTTATGCATCGTGGCAGGGTCATGGGCGGTATATGTTCTCGATTATTTATGAAAGAAGAATTTGTTGAAATCGTTTTTTGTGCGGTCGATTGCACACTTCAATCACGTGGCTACGGTAGAATTGCCATGAATTTCTTGAAAGATGTTTTACAAACTCACGAACTCTACGATATTTTAACTTGTGCAGATAACGAAGCTGTTACTTATTTCAAGAAGCAAGGATTCAACAGCAAAGAAATTTTGATAGATCCTAAGCGCTGGGTTGGCTGCATTAAAGACTACGAAGGCATTACTCTTGTTCATTGTCACATAGCTCCAGATATCGACTATTCTAAGATGCCACAAGTCATTGCCAAGCAGATCAGTCTGTTGTCCAAGAAAACAGGCATCAAAGTTAACCAAATGCCGCGTGAATTTGATTTTACATGGAATGGTTATCCACAACGACCAACATTTATTTCGATTCCGATACCGAAACTGCTCAAGAATGCAATAAACGCGAAGCCACCAGAAGATTATGATAAAAAAATGGAGACATTCAGAGCAAAATGCATCAAAATATTACAAGAGCTTAAAGCGGACAAAAGGTTCGGTCTTACATTCATCAGACCAGTTACAGAAGAAATTGCTCCAGGATACTTCGCAAAAATACCAAAACCAATGGATTTTCTTACAATCGAGAAACGCTTAGCCAAATTCCCAGATTATTATAAATCTCCTTATCTACTAGCTAAAGATATCCAACTAATGTGCATAAACTGCCAGAGATTCAACGCTCCAGATACAATTTTCTTCAAGCAGGCCAATGAAGCCATGTCTGCTTTCATAGAGTTATATAATCAGGAGTTCCCTGATTATCCACTTGACGCTGAGCTTAGTGTCCTCCCTCCGCCACCTCCGCCTCAGAAGTCATCGAAATAAATAGATACTATCATGTTTGAACCAAATATATATTTGTTTTTTGTATTCATTTAAAATTAATTTGAATAATACAAGATTTTTTCCGAAATTAATATTGTATAAACATAGTTTATGATAATTTTCTTTCAATATTACCATATAAATCATCTTGCCTTTCTAAATATATGATATTTGGTCACATGTTCAATTAGAAAATTTAATCTTTCAACGATATTTACGAAAAATATAAGATTTCACGAACCCATATTTATAAAAATAAATTAATTACTTGATGCACTTAATAATATATCACTCCATAATATCAGAAATCAATGAAATAAATTTTGTCATGAATTTGAAATCGGTTCTTAGGGCCAATTTTCTAAATTTAAAACCAACACATGTTTGTAATCAATATGCATTAAAAATATTTGAGATTCAATTAAACGATAAGGGGATTGACTGCTCAATTCAATTTTGATAATAACCACATCCAAATATCATGTAAAAGGTATCAAAGAGAAAATTTGTTTATAATAATATTTATTAATTCAGAGGGCAGCCGATCAAAATTTGAGCTCAATTCAATGCGCCACGTGAGGCGGCTTTCGCTACCAGCAAGCCTCAACAGCCCTCGCCTCGTGACAATTGATGACACACACCAAGCCAAAGTCAAAAAGATTAACCAATATCTTTGTTTGTGCAAACTTGGCTCAGGTGCATCATCAAAAGTTTATTTAGCACAAGATACAGTCACAAACGAATACTATGCTCTTAAGATGTTCAAAACCTCCGAATTATCCAAGACAGGAAATGGTTTACAAACTCTTGAGCGAGAAATTCGCAATATGAGGTTAGTAAAACACAAAAACATTATTCGTATGAAAGAAGCTTTACATTCAAAAGATGAAGGCATTGCCTGCATTGTTTTTGAATGGGCAGATTGCGGAAGTATAGAAAATTTAATAGAACGTGGATTTATTCTTGACGAACGCGTTATCTCACGTATTTTCTACCAGATTGTTACAGGGTTGCAGTTTCTTCACGATCAAGGAATTGTTCATCAGGATATTAAGCCATCAAATGTACTTATTTTTTCTGACGGCTCTGTGAAAATCTCAGATTTTGGAATCGGACATCGTTTCCAATCGGCAGATACTGTTGTTGGAACTCCGGCATATCAAGCTCCAGAAGTTTTTGGCAGCGAAGAAGAGCCAGAGGAAGAGAACCTTGACGAAGAGCCACTGGATCCGTGCAAGGAAGACGTCTGGAGCCTAGGAATATCACTTTACCAGACAAAATTCTTAAGGTTACCATATACAGGAGCAAACGTATACGAAATAGCAAGCATGATAAGAACTACAGATCTAGAGATCCCACCTGATGTTTCTCCAGAGCTCAAAGACTTGATTACGCACATGCTTACAGTTGATCCCATGAAACGATACTCTTTACATGAAGTTGCTGCCCACCCATTCATTCAGAGAGGTGAGAAGCCTATTCCGTTGCCGATTAGGAAGAAACCTCCGCCAAAACCTTCCCCAGAATTTGCTATTCATAACATTAGTGCTGTTGTATGCGATGACGGTTACTCTTTCGGCTATGAAGAGGCAAACCGTTGGTGGTGCCCTCCAAGGACACTATCCCGCAATTAATATTTTTTTTTATTTTAAAATACGGACTGCTTATTTTTATTCTCATTTGTTTTTAATCCAAGGCATTATTTTTATGCCTTGTTACTAAACAATAATTAGTTTTACTTAATTACTCTCTATTTTGTTTAGTCTTCCAAAAAAGTATTTTTTTTTCACAGACTTTCGATCAAGAGCAGTCTTTCCATTTTTATCCTTTGCTTCATTATCAGCTCCAATAAAGATAAGATATTCAAAAACTTCAAGATGACCATAGAGTGATGCAAGAATGAGTGGAGTAGATCCAAAATTATCCTTTGCTTCTTTATCAGCTCCAATAAAGATAAGTTAATTAACAGCTTCAAGATGACCTTCAGTTGATGCAATCCTGAGTGCTAAACCTAAAGAATTTCTGGCCTATGGGAAGCTGTCGCCTTACACTTTTAGTGTAGTCGCAATCTCGCTTCGATAAAATGCGAGCACGCTAAAAGTGTAAATTTACAACAATAATTTTGCCAAAGTAATTATCAAAACTCTACAAAGCTTAGTAGCTTTTCATGTACACTCAATACCTGTGAATATATTACCGGCCAAATCCTAAGGTTTCCGTATAATTTGAAGACGAACAAAAAGTTAGAATCCGAGCCCAGAACTTAGCACAAATGATTGCTTGGACAATAGGTTTAAATGAACCCAAGTAAAAAAAATCGTGCCAATATTTATATATAGCGCAAAATTTTTATTAACAACTAATATACATAAACACAAAAACAATATAGGTCAATCAGATGAAAATTGAGACAAATCAATTTTCTCTGAAGTATATTTTCCATTGAAATTTGATGGAATCAAATGAACATCGTGAATAGGGAGGTTCTTTATTTGGAGAGATCTGTTGGCCGCTTTCTCCCAATTGACACTCTTGAAATAAGCAGATTCTTTTATTTGCTGGACAGAAAACCTTTCTTTTGGATCTTTTTTGAGAACATTTCGTAAAAGTTCCGAAAGATCTTTATTGAAATTCTGCGGGATTTTTAATTCTTCTTCTACTATAGCTTTCATGGTTTTCTCTTTGATATCTCGTGAAAAAGGGTTATATCCGAAGTTGATTTCGAACAATAAAATTCCGAAAGCCCAAATATCTACTTTGTTTGAATATAACTGGTGTTTGATCATTTCAGGGGCCATATATGAAGATGTACCACATATTTCCGTACTAGTTTCCGAAATGGTCGATAAACCAAAATCTGATAATTTTATGTGGCCAGATGAGTTAATCAGTATGTTTTCTGGTTTCAAATCTCTATATATTATACCATTAGAGTGTAAAAACTCTAAAGCAATAACGAGTTCGGACATTATTATTAAAATATCTTCATTTGATCGATTTATTACTCTGTTCATCCAGAAGTATAAATCGCCTCCTGATATGTATTCTAAACATAACGAGTATCTTTTGCTATTCTCTACTACTCCCTTTTTAGAAATAATCATTGGGTGTTTGAACTCGTTTAGTATTTTATTTTCGACATAGAGTGCTTTCATTGAACTGGAATTATTCTTGTTTGCTGTTTTTAAAACAACTAATTCGTTTGTTTGAGTATTTTGAGCTAGATAAACTTCAGAGCTATAGCCTGATCCGATTTTGCATATAAACAAGTAAATTTTATAATTGTCGGTAATTCCCAGTTGTTCAAGTATTGTTTTGAATGAAAATTGGAACTCTTTTATTATGGTTTCATTTTTTGAACAAAATATCAATGGTTGGTTATTCATAAATACGACATTCAACGATCCATTGTCGAGTTCTGATATTGAAACGGCATTTTTCATCGGAATTTCTAATTCGTTATTTTGATTATTTTCGTCTTTGCTTAATATAAAGGATTTGTCATCAAAATACACCTTTCTTCTCATCCACATCCCTTTAACTGAGCCTTTTTTACTCAGCCATCCTTCAAACATTCGATAAATAGAGTGAGAATGAGAATTTGTGAAAAAAAATTTACAATTGACAGTTGGTGTAAGGCGGATCATAAGGTTATTTTTAAAGAATAATGGTTGAGGAATATAATAACATACCTGTTGGATTAAGGGTTTCGTTTTGCGAAAAAAACGTACAATACGCAATTTCGCTAAAAAAACATTTAGCTAGCAATTTCGACCTTTGACTCCACTCAAGACGTCACTTTTTTAATTTTGCGGTATCATATTTTTGGAAAATCTTTATGAATATTATATAAAAAGTCTCTTTAATATATATATTTCATATTTTTATCGATTTTTAAAGTTTTTGCGAAAAGTATTCAATTATTTTTGCTATTTGGTCGGGTAAATGTCAGATTTGCGACATTTTCTGATATGATATTCTGTTGTAAACAGAAATTCATCAAAAGTGACACCTCAGAAAAGCTAAAATATTGAATTTTTGGAACTTTTGATAGAGCATGTTTTTAAATATTAATTAAAGTAAATGTATATTTTGTAAAGATTCTTTTTAATAAAAAAATAAAATTTTGAAGAAGAACACAAAATCTTCTGAAAAATAATATCACATAAACTCATATTATTTTCTAATATATAACTATTTTATATAAAAATCAAATTCAATGATCTTAAAAGCGAAGGATAAACCTCAAAATTTACGAATATAATGAGTGGGAATATAATGCTTATCTATCATAAAACCATATGAAATATTAATTTTTGCTTTACGCCTAATTTTTGACGACAATTAGCAAAAAATGTTAAATGTTAACACTCAGTCCATTTGAATATGAAAAATAAAATTGACTTTGATTAAATGTTTTTATTTATCATGCAATTCTTCTTGCGACCAAAGATTTGAATAAAATTTCAAAAAATAAGATAGCTTAAAAAATAATATACGGTAGTGTTTACTAATAGATGAATAGTATATAAATTCTATTAAAATGGATTTGATCCAAAAAAATATATAAAATTTGATCATAAATAAAATCGTTTTAAATTACTTCTTCATTTAAATTATAACAATTATTTTTGGTTTTATATTTTTTTGGTCGGGTAAATGTCAGATTTGCGACATTTTCTGATATGATATTCAGATTCTACGTTGATAATAATGCTTATAGAACCCTCTTGCTATTGTGTCAAAATTGCGAAACCGATAGCAAAAATATCTCGCAATATCAAAATTGAGATATTGAGTGAATTATGCATTATAGAGATTAAAAATCTGATTTGTGAAAACATCTCATCAGTTTCTAGCTAATTCAAAAATCTTTACTATCTTATTCGATTAAAATGAAAAGGGAATAGTTTCATTATGCTTTAAATGACAGCCTTATAATATAATCATAGTTTTCGCTCAATATGCAGCATTTTTTTTTCGAAATCTATGGTCAATATTCTAAATACTGATTGCTTTGCATTCATATCTCTTACATTTTCTATACCCACATCACTATTCATTGCTATTCCTATCTTTTTCATTTTTGTTTGTTTCTCATAATTTCTCAAAAAACACGATAACTTGATATTTGTAAATATCATACTTTATAACGTAAATAAGAACTTGACCTATTAAGAAAAGCAGTAATGAAAAGAAAATCTGAAATTCATAAAAATTACAAGTTTCTGATGACAATTAGCTTAATTAAACCAGGTACAAGATTATATAATTGTATTTTCTATCCAATTATCCATATAATATCTTATCCAGAAAAAATAACTTGATCAATACCAAATGATTTTTTAACTAGTAAATAAAGTATTTTCTTTACACACACATTGTATATCATAGTTTTTTTTTTGGTTTCGCAAAACATCCAAAAACAAATATGCTATAAAAGTGACAATTTTAGCAAAACGAAACCCTTAGTTGGATCTTAGATAAATTCATTCGCTAAGGGAGCATTATCTCAGATTCTAATTCTGATTACAGACAATTGGGCTCTAACTATATAGATTATTATTAATTTTGCATTAAGTGATCATAATAGAATATCCATTACATATTGTTCGCTGTTTTCTTTCATTTTATAATCTTTCACATATACTGTCACAATTGACTGACTTATCATACAGAATTAAGCAATTGGAGTTTGTCCTCGGAATAAGTTTTGGTTTCAACAGTTGTGTTTGAAACTCATACATACACATTTCTTGTCAATTGGCGAAATTTGTCCATATAATAGCATATATAGCAAATACTAATGAATTAAATGGATGATTTATGACTTATTTTTTTTAAATACTTCTATCTCAAAATTGAAAATAGAGTAGGTGACAAAAGTGCATACTCTTAAACAACCGTCGGATTTCCGGGTGAAATCGTGACACACTTTCGTCTTTCGTAGGCAGTGGTGGTTGTTACAAAAGGTAACTTCGAATGTAGCGTGAAATCTGCAAAAAAAATTCTGAAATTTGAATGGAGAACACAAAAATTGAATAGTTTACGTCAATAAAAAAGAGAAAAATGAAGCCAATGTGTCTCGAACCTAGGACTTAGAGCAGCAATCCCACTGCTTATCGCATTACACTACATGCATCTCTCACCTCAGTGAATGAGATCAACTATATGATAACTTTTTCCCCATTATATTCTTGTGGAAAAGTGACAAATAGCAACTTTGACCCTCTCTCATTGAAAATATATATTAAATCGCATCAAACATGTAAATTACAATATCTATTCCATACATAGATCACAGACCCATTTTAAAGCCAATCCTTTCATCTCATTTTGATTTAAAAACCGTTTTCAATGATTCAATAATTCAAAATAAAATTTTTTAAATAAAAATATAAAAAAAGTCTATGGATTAACTTTTCTGTTCTTGTAATGAGTGTGTAAAAGGTGGTGAGCTACGTGGCCACCAAACTTACCCTCGAACGATTCCTTGTACAATTGCAAAAGCTGTGGATTGTCTTGAGATGTTCTATGTTTTGATGATTTATCAATAGAATATGTAGCGTTGAGTCTGGCTTGAACAGCTTTCTTTGTCTTGGCCTTTGGAGAACCACCGCCAACAACACAGCCGCCTGGACAAGCCATGACTTCAACAAACTTAACATCTTTAAATTGTTCCTCACCAGATTTGATCTTTTTGATCAAAGTCATTGCATTCTTTATGCCGTGAGCAACTGCAACTTTGACTTTTGTACCTGCAATATCAACTTCAGCAAGTTTGACACCACTTGCAACACCTCGAACATCTTGAAGGTCAATTGGTGCGAGTTCCTTCTTTGTCAAGAATTTGTAAGCAGAACGAACTGCAGCTTCCATAACACCACCAGTTGCACAAAAGATTGCACCACCACCAGAAGCCTCTGAGTAGAAGTTATCGCATGGTGTATCTGGTAACTCTTTGAAGTTGATTTTTGCTTCTTTGATCATCTTGGCTAATTCTCTGGATGTTAAGACTGCACCTGTCTCTTGCTTTCCATCTTTCATTGTGAATTGTGATCTTTGGATTTCATCCTTCTTTGCTGTGCATGGCATAATAGCAACGTTATAAATCTTATCAGCTGTTGTTCCAATCTTCTTTGGGAACACATTTTTGATTACAGAAGAAAGCATACTCATTGGAGATCTGCATGAGCTTAAGTGCGGAATCAGAGATGGATCTGATTTCTCAACATAGTTTACCCAAGCAGGACAGCATGATGTAAACATTGGAAGAACGGCGTTTTTGTCTGAGAGACGCTGAACTAATTCTGTTGCTTCTTCAACAATTGTCATATCTGCTGCAAAGTTTGTATCAAAGACGTAATCAAAGCCAAGACGCTTTAATGCAGTAACAACCTTACCTAATGAGATTGTTCCAGCTGGAACACCTAGGGCTTCTGCCATATTAATTCTGATTGCAGGTGCAATTTGGCAAACTGCAATTCTTCCGTTTTTCTTTGTAAGAACTTCCTTCACTGGATTAATTGCGTCAGCTTCAAAGATAGTAAACTTTGGACAACCTAACGTACACTGTCCACATGAGATGCAATTAGTTTCTGCAAGTGGTTTTCCTGTAACTGTCTGTACCACTGATTTACCATTGACTGTTAAAGACTTAAGAACATTTTGACCTGCGATGTTTGTGCATGCTCTGACACATGATTGGCAATTTATGCATTTTGTCATATCAAAATTGATACCTGTTGAGCTATAGTCTTTCATTCTGAGACTATTTGCAAATCCTTTCATTGCTGTTGCTGAACTCGCTAACATTTGATGAAAAATGAACTAGGGAAAATTTCTAGTTTCACAAATTTTAAAAACGAAATCCAATATTTTTATCATATTGCAAATACGCATTTATTACTAAAATTTGCTTGGATAAATCAGTAAAAAATTCAATACGACGATATTAGCGGAATTCAAAATTTCAATGAATAATTGAGTTAAAGAATTGATGTGTATTTTCCTATTCAATTGTTATAGACTATTTTGGAACATACAGGCAACACTTCAATATGCATCTTATTGAGCTTTCATTGATACAAAGGTACATTCACTAGGCGATAACAGTAAAATGGGATGAAAATAGGATAAATAGCATCCCTATATAGTGCCTAACAATATTTATACGGGCCAAAAAAAATTTGGCTAGAGATTTGGCTAGTTAGAAAATTTAGAAAATTGAGAGGAATTTTTATTTTCGAATTTTTTTTGGAAAGTTAAAATTGTGATTAAAAATCGATTTCCAGGAGAACTAAGCATCTTATCATCTATTTAAATCGATAAAAATATTAAATAATAGTGGAATAGTATAAATACATGAAATTATGGCTGAATATACAGAAAAAATGAACATATTTGACATTTTTGAAAATTCATACATTAGTTGGTGACAGACTCATAAACTATACTTTAGCTAAGATTGATATATGATTTCAACAACACATGGTTAAAATCGTAAAATTTTTTTAGATTTCAAAAAGATATATATGGTAATATAATGGAACAGAGTCAGCAAATAGCATGTAAAATATGTTACAATTAACTTTTTATTATATCCAATAGTAGATATCGAATAGTTTCCAGCTTTATGGTTAAATATTTTCTTATCGAGCTTCTCTTTAACTGTTGTATTAAGGTTGTAAATTTTTGATGCTAGAAACTTTGGAATCTTCTTTGCTGCTGCATTTTTTCTTGAGAGTTCTTGCAATTTCGAATAGATCTGCACATTGTATGAAATAGAGGCTTTAAAATATCTTGAAAACAGAATAGGACTGCTTTTCCAAAGGAATGCTTACTTGTAAATCAGAGAGTTTCAAAATTGAGTACAAGATTATCATCATAACTTTTGATTTTGCTGCGAAAAAGGAAGACAATGTATTAACAAATCATTTACTGTTGTTCATCAAAAGAAGAAAACTTTGATAACAACTAATGATGATAAAATCAAGCTATCTTTTAATATTTTAAATTGATAAGACATTCAAAATATTTGAATGGTTTAAAATATTTTCTTTTAATTTCAATAATATATTATCATGATTATATAATCAAATTTAAATTTTTATTCAAAAAGGCAATATTTCAAACTTTTAATTTCAAAAATCTTAATTCGGCAATAAATGTATTTAATTGTAGCAAATTTAATGATTCTTCATCATGGTTAGCAATTTGGAGCTCATAAATTAATGATTTCTTCAAGTAAAATTCTGCATTATTTCAAAAATCAATAATTCTCTAGTAACTTTTCTTCAAACCCTAACCATTATAATATATGTAAAATAGAAAATAATTGCAAAGAAAGATAGCCGAATTTACTGGGTAGTTCTTGTGCTGCGAAATAATTGGAAATTAACACCTAGTTTTAACAGCATCATTCTCTTTTTGCTCTCATTTAAATGCATTCGCACACTTTAATTTTGAAATATAAGAGTTTTGGAAATTATCAAATTTATCTGCTCAAATACTATAGATCTTCATAAGTGTTAATAGAATTACAAGGCTTACATATAGTGTCTAATATAATGATGCACATCATACTGGGATTTATTCCTTATTCATCTAGTTATTATAAGATTTACAACCCCATGAAAATTTAAAATTTTGTCAAAAATAGTGAATGTACCTTTATTGCTACAAACACAATTTAATGAATATTTAATCAATTTTTTTGCAACAATAATTATATTAACTTTAAATCATCATTTCCAAGACTTATATTATAATGAAAGTGGATTTGTTACTTCTAACTAATGATTTAAAATTATGATAAGATTTTATTAATTCAAAACTTACATTTAATTTGTGAATCATGTTTGCCACACACTTGTATTATGATTTTCCCACCAAAGTTGAAAACAAAATCTTTTCCCAAGATTTCCCAAATTTACAAAATACCTTTCTTTAACATGATAACGCTATAAATCCTCTAAAAACGCAACTTTTAATTGAAATATTTTGAATAAAGATAAGATTTTAAAAAATTCAGAAAATTCCCTCCTAATTTTCCTTCAAAAGAGATAGATTATAAGTAGAAAATAGGAATTATATAAATTTTAACCATTAAAATGGTTTGATATTTTAAAATGTTCAATAATTTTTTTAAATAATAATAAAAAAAAGCATTGAAAATTACTAATAAACAAATTATTTACGATTTATTAATCACCCTTTTCAAATTGATAGATTTGAGAAATAACAAACTTTGCTCTGAAGAAATCATAAAGAATTGCTTCTTCTTCGTACCAATTACTAATAATACTATGATTTGCAACAAGAATACATAGCCATTTATACATTTGCATGGTTTTGACGCCTTCATCTATGAAAGTTGATAATTTTGTTGTTTTAATCGCGTCCAAAACCTTTGAAGTCTTCATTGCGTCTAACACTGATGTTCCCTGGATCTTTTTAACAGTAGAAATGAAGGAATTCGTTATTTCATTATCTTGTAATTTTTCTACAACTTCAGAAATGCAATCAAATGGATCTTGTGCGTAGTATTGCTGCAGGAAATTCTTTTTCTGAAGGATTCCGTTCGTCAAAATGCTCTCAGCCATCTTGGAAGGATTAGTTTTGTATTCATCAAAGTCAAGATATGAGAAAATTGGGGTATCGATGAATCTAGTCTTATCACAAGCAGGTATATCACTCATTATGTTGGCTTCTGGGTTGATAATGAATGATTGTGAGTTGACAATTGAATCAATCAACATTAAAGCCTCTTCTAAAGAGGTTTCGTTCCTCATCATAGCTGTCTTCTTGTAGTATTGCTCACTCCAGTTATCAATACGAAGAATTGACCGTAAAACAGAGCCGATATCTTTATCATTAATTAATATCGCGGCCATGGTCGTTGCTTGCTTGATAACATCAGAGATATTAAATAATTTAGGCACTAGAGAGGTCAGTTCAGGCGTTTGCAAAGCCAATTCTTTGATTGGCTCCACTAATGAATCTTCAATTAGGCCATTTAAGAAAATTGAGGCCACCAAGAAGACAAACCTGAAGGCATCGGGCGTATCCGACTGGATTTGGTTGCCAGAAGCATAGAAATTTTGAGAACATATTGAAAGTTGAGTCGTAATGGGACATTTAGGGGATGCTTCTGAGAAATATATATCGTACTGAATTCCGAACTTGTTCCAGTCGAAAATGGAAGACAAATTAATGGTTGGATTTCCTGATAATTTGGTTAAGGTCGATTCAACCAATTGATCGGGATTGACTGTATCCATTGGTATTGACAAGTCATAGTTTGGCTCAATTTTATCAAAATTCTCGCAAATTTTCTCTAATTCTGTTTCAATAAATTTCTCATCGTATTTGAACGAATTTGGCAACAAACTCTTATCAATTGTATTAATTCTCAGCTGCAGTTGCGATTTCTTCTTGATCTTGGAGTATGTTTCGAGATATCCGTTTAATTGGACGTCCAAAGGTTTACTTTGATAGTTTGCAGCTATAACTTCTGGAGGGAGGTTGACTTTCTGTTCATTATCAGCATTTTCTTCTTGTTTGTTTTGTTCTCCTTCTTTTTTGAGTTTTCGCAGTTTTACTGAGGATTTCGTAGGAGAAACAGCTTCTTTAACCGTAATTATCAGTGGTTTCTTGATCGGAGTCGGTTGTTCCTTCTTCGGAGGTGGAGGAGGCTGAGTTTCAATTGTAATTTGAAATATCGGCTTCGGAGGAGCAGGTTGAGGAGCTGGTTGCGGTGTTTCTTCTGTTTTAGGCTGTTCTTGTTGTGTTGGTTCTGTTTTTTCTGTTTTTTGTTCGGATTTATTTTCTTGGACTTCAGATTTCGGTTTTTCTGGCTCGGCAGGCTTTGGAACTTCTTCTGGAGGCTTTGGAGGAGCAACAGCAGGCTTTGCAGGCTCTGGTTGTTTTGGAGGTTCTTGAGATTTCGGAGTTTCCTGAGGAACTGGCTTTTTCGTCTGCGTTTGAGTTGTTTGAACAGTAATTTTAGGTACTGACTTAACAACAGCGGGTTGTGCTGGAGCGTTTTGATTCAACATATTTTCTAATCTTTGTGCTGGCGGAATAAGAGAAGATTCCGGAGCGTTAGCAGTAATATAAATAGCGAGGACCCATTTCATCATATCTGGGATGCTTTTACATAGATATGTATGCGGCGTTTTCATATGATTTAAATCTGTAATAACAAATGAGTGTGCAGGAGTTGTTTTACCTATATGCTTCGATTCAGGGTATACTAGTGTTAAATTCGTTAATTTTTCTGTAAAAGGCTTTAATTCACTGATATCTAGTCTTAAAGCTTGAAAATGGTGACTTTTTGAAACTATTTGAAGAATTGCCATGACAGGCTTTATCTCTTTCGGTCCGAATATTTCCTCAATTTGTTCTGAAAGTTGGAATGAATACATCGTTAATTTTTCATAGAATTGGATTGTTTCCGCAAATAATTTATTGAAGTAGGCCTGAAATGCTTTCATATCTTCGAAGCTTTGAAAAACAATTGAAATCGGCATGAAAACTTTGCCAAGTGAGTCAATTGTGATTTCTGCGCCTTTAGATTTCTTGTTTAAGCCATTCGTTGATGTTGGAACAAAAACTATGTGCACCATATCTTTCAAATCGTTGTTTTGGTAGAAAAATAAAAAAGGACCGATAGCTTGAATTGTCATTTTCCCTAATTTACCTTTCTTGATGGTTGCTTGCACATTCTCCCACTTCCTCGAGTCTTGTAATCGATTAAAAGGTTCGGGAAGGGTGAGATTTTGCATTTCAAATTTGCAAAAAATGTGACAAATAAAAAATGTAATTCATTTTGGCAGAAAATAAAACTGAAAAGAGAAAATACCATTGTGTTCCCTTTTATGCCAAGATTTCCTCTCTAGATCCACTCTGTGTTCAATTAATGGAATAATTTGTTCTGAAATCTTGACATTTCTTGAGCGTATTACTTGCACTATTAGTCCTCACCTTGTGCTTGCATATTTTAATTATACTAGTTAATAATCTGCATAATCTTTCTATGGAATTTCATATTTTGGGTTAGAAATATATATTTTATACAAGTTGAAACCTAAGACAGGCTTTTTATAATATTTCATCAGATTTTATGAGTTATTTTGCTAGACAGACTGAATAAATTTCAATTTTATTTGCAAATTTAGGTAAATAGTCTAAGATTTTTATTATTATATACAGACATCAATCCATGTGATTCATTTGTTCAAGCTACATTTGAAACGATCAAGATCTTGTGAAGATTTTCTTCATTTTATCATTTGATTTTTTTATATTGCTGCTTCACGCCAATAGGGATGCTGAAAATTTTCATTTTTTTTGATGAATTATGAAGAAATTTTAAAGCAACAAGTGGAAGCTGAGCGAGAAAAAACGCCAACTGAAGCAAGCAGACCACATACTCCCGGAAAAATTCAGAAAAAAGTTCTTGTTCCACTTGAAGATCCAGATAACGTCGAAACAGAGGTAAAATACCCAGTTAAAGAACCACCGCCACGCGTTGCCCAAATGGCAGAAATGTCAACACAATCAACAGAAACAGAAACCACAACAGAAGAAAAACCTACGCAACCCGAGATTTCAGGAATACCACAAAATTACCACAAACCGAATCAAGCATACTTAAAATCATATAGAAAAGAAATGGAAAGTAAAAAAGTAAAGAAAGGTCCATCTTTGTTTGAAAAAGCAATGGCACCTCCACCTAAACCTTTGCAAAGGACTCTATTTACATATTTTGATCTACTATCCGAAAAAGAGTAATAAATATTTTTGTTATTATGGTTTTATTAATAATAATTTGATTTTTATATTATTTGGACTTGAATATTCTATTCGCAAATTTGTACCAATAAGTAAGGATCAATGCTTAGGTAATAGTGGATAATCAACATTTATATACAAAATTTTCAGAAACCTGTTAGTTTCTTTACTAATTTGTTGCATTAACAATATGAAGTATTTTGTAATAGATGCATCAACAAATTCAGTCATATTAATTGCTCCATGAGTAAATTTTCATATTTTGAGGTCACGACTTCAAAAAATTATTAATTTTGCTTGAGAATCAATCTAAATTGAATTAGAACTTATTGTGTTGATATTCAATAACGTTTCCTTCAGGGATTTTTGATCGAGATTTTATATTAATACGTCCTGCATCGATTTCAGCGTTATATCCAGCTATATTCAAAGCTTCTTTACCGTGGTACTTGAGAATAGCATTTCCTTTTGAATTATTACCTTTACCGTAAATAAAAGAGTAATTGACGTTATTATTTGGCGAGATGTCTTGTGCAATACGGAGAGTTGCTTGCTTAGTTGATTTTCTTCTAAGTCCGTGAAAATCTATTGAATTTTGCTTAATCTTTCCTGGAATGGGTTTAATTCTTAGTTCGTTAGTAGTGTCTGCACATAACATGCTAGAGATGATATTGCTTGCCGCAAACTCTTGACCAATCTGTTTATTTAAATCCGCAATTATGTTGTTTAGGTCGTAATCCGATTTTTCCACAATTTTTTCTATCTGTGATTCATTTACTTCCTCGAATGCGTCTTCTAATTCAAGTCTCAACAAATTCTTATCGTATTTCCTTTTTTCAATCATTTTGAATAAATTTAAAAGTGACATCAATTCATTTCAAAAATGGGAAGCGGAATAAGTGCGACTACTGTTTCGGTTCTAGCAGAAGGTGAACCAGATTCCCCATTCTCAATCCGTAGGTGCCCAGGATATGCTAAAGGAATATACAAGAATCCACCAGAATTTCAGACCATGCAAGATTTAGAACTTCATTCGTTCAAAAACTATCCAGATAGCCCATCACTCGGTTACCGCAAGAAGGTTGATGGCAAATTCGAGCGCGAATTCGTCTTCAAAACTTTCAAAGAATGTGAAGAAATCGCGCGTGCCATTGGCTCAGCTTTCTACCACATAGGCTTGAAGGACAAGGAATTCTTCGGCGTTTACTCAGAAAACAGAATGGAATGGGGCCACTGTATCGATGTTTCCGCTTTATTCGGTTTCTGCCTTGTTTCTCTTTACGACTCTTTTGGCCTTGAGAACCTTAGCTTCATCATTGGCCACTCAAAGGTCCAGACATTGATCGTTTCTGAAGTTTGTGCTTCAAAGTTATGCCAGATCCTTTCTAAGGACAAACACGAACTTAAGCGCGTTATTGTTATTACAGAGGATAATGAGAACAAGGTTCTCGACGATATTCGTCAATACCAACTCGAGGTTTACACATGGAATCAACTTCTCGAGATTGGCAGACAACACCCAGTTGCTTCCTTACCAAAGGTTGACAAGGAAGATCCACACTACATCTGCTACTCATCAGGAACGACAGGAACCCCAAAGGGCGTCATTATTTCCCACAGATCTCAAACAAGCAACACACTCAACTGCTGGAAGGAGCTTGACTTCCGCCGTGACGAGCGCCACCTTTCTTACCTCCCGTTACCACACGTTTTCGAGCGTATCGGCTATTCCGTCACCCATTTCGTTGGTGGTCGTATTGGTTTCTATTCTGGCAACATCCGTCTTCTTACTGAGGATATGCAGATCTTCAAACCAACCCATCTTAATGCAGTTCCTCGTGTCATCTCCAGAATCAACGATGTGGTCATGAAGAAGCTGGCCAATAGCTCCAGCATCACACGTGGCTTCTTCTGGGCTTCATGGTACTGGAAGAGATTCTGGGTTACTCACGGTTACGAGACACCATTATCCGATCGTCTTGTTTTCAACAACATCAAGAACAATACTGGCGGCGCCATCCGCTCCTTCATCATCGGTGGTGCAGCTTTGGACCCATCCGTCCACGAGTTCATGCAAGTTGCTCTTGACACTCCAATGCGTGTCGGTTACGGCCTTTCAGAGATCGGCGCTGGCAACATCTGCAACCCGCTCTCCGTAATCCACTCCAGACCAGGAACTGTCGGTGGACCACTCTGCAATTGCGAAGTCAGACTCGAGCCTCTCGAAGACTACGACGATCCTCTTGCAGGCGAAATCATCATGGGCGGTGAATGCCTCTGCAGCGGCTACTTGTACGACCAAGAGGCCACAGACAAATTATTCTGCAACGCCGAACATACATGGTTGCACACAGGAGATATCGGAAAGTGGGATCAATACGGATATCTCATGGTTGTCGACAGAATGCGCTCAATATTTAAACTCTCACAAGGCGAATACGTCGCAGCAGATTTAATTACCGAAATTTACCAATCTCTTCACATTATCGATCAGATCTTCGTTTACGGTGACAGCACTCGCAGCTTCTTGGTCGGTGTTGTCGTTCCTAACAAGGAAGAAACAGCAATCTTCTTCGGAAAGGACAAAATCACTGACGAAGAGTTCATCAAACTCTGTGAAGAAAACAACAAACAGCTCCGCGCCAAGATTCTCAAGGATTTGGACGATATCGCAAACGAAAAGAAGTTGACTGGCTTCCAGAAGATAAAGGCCATCTGCCTTGAGCACGATCCATGGACAGTTACAAACGATTTGATGACTCCAACATTCAAACTCAAGAGGAAGAAACTCACTGCTAAGTATCTCAACCAGATCGACAAACTCTACGCTGAAACTGTTATCTAAACTTTTAATTTTCTTTTATATCTTTTGAGTTAATATCAATTTCTTTTATTTAAGGGTCCACTGTAAGGCCAAATAAGGCCTATCGTCGTCCCAAAAATATTGCTCAAGATGGTGTTTTTACTAAGGTTTACTAAGGCCCAAAACTTAAAAAAACACAAAAAAATTAACTTTACTCTTTTGAGATCCTTATCAGATGTGCAACAATTTGATGCAGTATCGCAATTCGAATCCGATTTTTTAATGTAGATGCACTCTAACATTCTTGAAAAAATGCAAAATGATATTAATCAAGCTTTTCATTTCTGTATCATACACGAAACAAAATCATTCATTATACTAAAATTTATCAAAGTTTGAATAATGAAAAAAATAATATCTAAATTTTTACATTGAGTCGGCTATTGATATGGTCAATATTAAATCGTTTAAAAATGGGCATTGGCCAGAATAATACCCACTAAAATACACATTTTTTAAAATTTTATCAATTTGTTTTGGTATATCTTTATGATAATGAATAAAATGCTTATCTTTCATAAGTCAATACATAATTTATGCTGAAACACAAAAAATAACACGAAAATTTTTGGCCAACATTTCAAAACGAAGGATAATGCTTTGAATATATAAACAATAATACTTTGTCTAGAGAATTAAATTTGTGCTATCCAATTGTCAATTCTTTGAATTTTTTATAAAATGCACGATATTCCGGCATTAGCCTCAATAAATATAAACTACATGCATCACAATATTAGGATGTAATGGCATTAAAGCGAATTTCCTAATTTCTTCTCAATTAAATTCCTAGAAAAACTTAGGAATTAATGATTGGAAATAGGTCAAAAAAATTCCTAATATAAAATTTATACTTAAATTAAAATCAAAATTTGAAAATATCTATTTTTCAAAACACGCATCCAGAAGCGAAAAAATTCGAAAAAATCATGTTCTTATAAAACTCGCTGATTTTGCAATTTTTATGTGATTTGAAGTGATAGAATGTATTATCATCTTACTAAAACATATACTTTATTGTTACATTCACAAAATATTAATCAGAACACTAGGAAAAGTGGATTTTCGAAAAAGACGATAACAATTATTTGCAATCGCCTCTCAATTTTGAGAGACTTTCAATTTTTACAGTGGACCCTTAAATGATTTAAAATAATTTATCTCATATCATTAATTTATAAGTGTTTTAATGTAACCATACAACATAATAAAGCCATCAATACAAATATTTACAACCTTTGTTCAATAAATTAAATCAGAATGGTTCAATTAGAATTGTAATCAAGTAAAATTTACAACGGTGTAATTATTGTTTTTATTGAGAACTTACATAATTAGGTTATTATGGGAAAATTGTTAGAAAACAATAACATTGAAAGACGCTATTCAGAATTTTTTTTTCAATTAATTAGAATTTTGCTTTCATATCATTATAAAATATTTTTGAGCAAGAATTTCTTTCGAACTCGTTGTGAAAAAAATTCAATTAAAATTCTCAAAATTTTGAATATTGTGCAGAAACGCTAATCGAAATGAATCTTAATACTCACATCATATACATTAAAAATTTCCTTACCATAAAAAATATTAAAAACGATGAAATTGATCGAATTTACAGGTTCAATTTCAAAATGATAAGAACAGATTATCCAATCGAGGATCAAACCGAAGAATATAATGAAGGCGTTTTCATGGTTAACGGAGATGATGACACAGCATTCTTTAACCTTGATCTTGGAGGATCCTCAACATTTGGAAAGAAGAAACAATCTTCTGGAACAATGGGCGGTTTTGTTAGAAATGAATGGAAGAATCGCGATACAACTATTGCAGCAGCTGCAAAATCTACAATTGATCCTTCAGCTAGTTGCTCCAAAAATTGTGATGCATGTGCACTTTCATTTTTATGCAAATCGTCATTCAAAGGCTTATCATCGTTAGGTGGTGGCAATTTCATTCCAAAACTCGTCTAATACGATTTCATGTTTATTTTTCTTACATGATTTTCATGATTAGAATAATGGAACATTAACTTCATACTTATAAAGATTAGTTTTTTTATATAATATTGTTTGATTTTTAATTTTTTTTTTGATCCTCAATAAAACAAATATTCATCTAATATTTCAAGTAGTAATGCATTTTCTTTATTTAGGAATTTACCGAAGTAGATAAATTGGCCGTTCATTAGTAATTATGTATCTTGAGTGATTAAATTTTTATCGATAATGTCCATGATTTTCTAATTCTAATCTTAGGATGAGAGTAATAATGCACGTTCCTACAATAACATCAATAAATACAATAAATAGTTTCGAAGTGAATAAATTTGGTTTAATAAAGCTTCGGCTCTTGCCATAGATTTGCATTTGCATATTAAAGTACTTTGTTAATAAAAAGATGGCATGACTAACCTTTATGAACCTCAGACAGACACATTGAGGAAAGTAATGATGCAAAATCGCATAATTTGTAAAATTCAATCTTGCGGAATTGGAGCCTAAATTTACGTACCTAGGCGCAATTGGGCAATCAACTCATGTAGACAAATCTCTTATTGATGGAATAGTCTCTGTATTTTCCATTGAAGAAACAGGCTCTATTGAGTTTCCACACTTAGAAACAAATTATTTAAGGAATTCCATCGATCAAGTACCTAATCCGGAAAAGATTGAGATATTAGCTAGGCTATGCAATCTATTATCATACTTAGATATGAACATTGACATATCTAAAACAGTAATATATTTTCGAAAATTAGTGTCTTTTGCATACTTTTCACGCAATTTTCAAAAAGATCGCATAATTAGTTCAATGGACGAAGTTATTAGATTCATGGAGTATTATTTAGCTAATCCTGACAAAAATTCAAAGTTTTTTTCATTTGCCATCGGATATTACTTATCAAGTATTAGCTTGAAACTACGAGGTCTTTCATCAGATGTCATTGACTTTAGTCAATTCTATAAAATCATTGAAATTTCAATCAATGTTTTCTTAAATCCAAAGTTTTTATATGAAGAATTCATTCCTCTATACTTCGACTACTTTACAGACGCATTTATTCTCTTTTCAACAAAAGATACTTATAAACCAGAATATGACATTATTTTAACTAACCTTATCAAAGTGATCACATCGATGTTCGCAATGCCATTTGATTTGCATGTTGATTCTATCGGATTTACTTTCCATATTCTTGTTCTTTTATCTCCAGAAACACAATTCGTCGAATTATCACGAGATGTTCGCAATCAACTATTCTTACTCATTACATCAGCATGTACAAAGTATCAAGAAGTCAGCGAATTCCTTCTTACACCAGAAAATTTACCATTATTAGTTTCATACATTTCAGACTCAATTTCAGCGATAAAATTCATCAATACTACACACGAAACTACAAAATACGACATTCCACTGACAAATTTACCAGAAATAAACTCTCATATTGAAAATACATTTGATAATGAAATAATTCCAAACAATTACGAAGTTTTATCACATGAAAACACCAATTTTCCATCACCTCCATCAGAGATAACCAAGAATCCAGAAGCAATTCTTATTTTCCAAGCGATTTCAAGGTTTGTAACTTCAATTAAGTTCCAAAGACCAGAAAAAACACATATAGAGCTTATTTCTGCATTATTACAGTTCCAATCAATCTATAACTATACAGTGACACCGTATTTCTTCGCACACTGGCTCACTTTCTTCCTGAAAAATGATTTGTCAATAAATATTGAAGAACTTTACAAATGTCACTTTTTTGAAAAGATTTATGACATGGTTTTCAACAAATTCCCTAATGATGACATCACTGATTTCTACTGCAAGCTTCTTGTCTTCATAACTATTAGATGTGACAACCAATGCAGTGTTCATTTCTTCGACATGATTCATTTTTATTTCAAATCAATCAAAAATTTCAGTATCAATCAGAAATTTGTTGAAACTTTCTACAACTGTATATTGATATCTCCTCAAACATTCTCTATTGCTGCTCTTGAAGCAAACTTCTGCAAAGATTTATCTCTTTTCTTGACATCTCTACAAAGTTTGCATTACAAACTGAAATATAACATTGATTCCTCGAAATCAATTGGAAATTTGGGAAATATTACTGATATAAACACAATGAATTTCATCAAAACAATTAAAGAAGCAGAAGAAGACATCAACGAATCAATTCAAACCCCAGAACAAACACAAAACAACGAATTAAACAAAGAAAATAATGAAATAAATAATGAAAATAATGCACAAAATATTGGAGAAAATATTGATCAACCAATTAATGAACAGAATGAACAAAACAATGCTCAAACAAGCAACGAAAATATTGATGAAACAAAAGAAGAAAACGATATAAAAATTAATGAAGAAAATAATGAAAATAAAGAAGAAAATGATATTAAACCAAATAATGAAATAAATAATGAACAAAATCAAACAGAAAGCAAAACTTCAAATGATGAAGTAAAAACCAATCAAAAACAACAAATAAATAATGATCAAAAAATAAATGAGAATCAAATGAGTGAAACAGAAAGAAAAGAGAAAGTGAAAGCAGTTTCTGAAATGAGAGAACAGTTGTTTAAACTGATTGACATTGTTGATTCATTTGAAATGGGAATTAGTTTGCTGTGGAATAACCAAATATTTAGTTTGTCAATTTGCAAGTTGATATTTGATGATTCAACGAAAAATTACACAAATTATCACTTGAAAATTGGATTGTTATCAGAGTACATTTCATTCATATCAATCAAAGTCATATTTGAGTTCTACGAACATCTCATGCTGGAGAACAAGATCAAACCCAATTTGATAAAAGCACTTCTTGAGAATATTGTTGCAATTCTCGAAAACAAGAAGAAATATTTCGATGAAGTTGTCAAAGAAACAAATATTTTGAATTCATCTCTTGAATATATTTTATTACAAAATGATCCACAATTAATGGATTTATTGTTACAATCATTAATTTATTTACCATCTACTATTGTTCCTTCTTCTTTCTACATCAAAGCTCTTTCAATCATTCAATCAGATTTACAAAAGAGTAAATTGTTCAAATTGATATTTAGAGATGATGAAGAAATGAAGAAACCAAGATTGATACAGAATTCAACACCTTATCCTTCTCTATTTTTGATTATGAGTAGAAATGACAATGATCTTAAGGATTTCGTTGATTTCACTTTTAATTGTATGAAAGATAACGTACAATCACTTTACAACCTTTCAAATTCTGAAATAAGATCAACAATTATCAAATTTTTGAAGAAATACAGAAAAGAAAGAAAAAGTGACGAATTGTTTTTCAAAGTTTTATCACTTTTTGAACGATTATCATTAATATCAATAACAAGTGGTGAATTAACAGAATTTATACAGTTATTACCAAGTATTTCTAAAGATCACAGACCATTTTATACGAAAGATATCTTGAAGACATTTAAATCAATCATTTTGAACGATGAAGATCCTCCAACATGTTTCTTCCATGGAAAAGACAAAAATTCTTATTTGAAGATAACAGATACGATTCCGAAAACAATTTTGAATAACTCTTTCTTCATTTTCATGTATCTGAGAGTTATTTCCGTGAATAATGGATATTTGTTCTCATTTTTCAATTCCCAAGGAGATATAATTTCTTTGAATTATAGTCAAGGAAAACTTGTTTTCATGGAATCCTCAATTTCTTCAATGAAAACTCCTGTTTCTTTCCAAACAACATTGATAGAAAGTCCAAAGGAAAGTCTGTTTAATAATAAATGGACACCTTTAGTTATTGCAGTCGACAGATCAGGAAAAGACACATATGTTACTTTGATGACGAAAATCAAATCTTTCCAATCAAATCTGAAAAAAGTTGTTCATAACTCAGATTTCACTGAATTGCTTTTCTGTAATGATATGATCTCTGATGTCTCAAACATCATCATTTCAAGAGGCAATATCAACCAACAAAATGTGAATTTGCTTTTGGATTTACCACCTTCTGTTCCTATTGGTTTCTCTAAGAGCGAAATCACAATGGTTGATGACAAATTCAGTCCTCTCTTCAGTGACGATTTCTCTCAAAACGTTATCTGTATTTTGAACGCGCATATCTTGGATAAAAAAGGAAATGCAATTTCCATGAAATCAAATCCTTTCGCTGTTCAAACACCAGGATTAACTCCAAGAGATAGCTACATAAAAGCTATTGTTAACTCCACAATTAACCACAATTTACCAGGTAGTTTAACAGCTTTGTCTATGATAGGAGGAGCAACGATTTTGTTGCCTGTTTTCAGTCAAATTCATCAAGAATTGAATGATAACAACGAAATATCTGAAAATAATGATTTTCTTATGACAATTTTAACTGTTTTGCATAATGTATTGATGTCTAATTATTCAATTCAAGAGAACTTTTGTTCTGACAATGGATTCAAGATATTATCTTTCTTGTTGAGTATGATACATCCAAGTCAGTTTAATTTGCAAGTTGTCAATGAATTGTTTTCGATTTTTAATGACATTTCACACAAGAAACTCATGAAACAGATGTTTAAATACATCTTCATGAACATGAATTTGTGGTGTTATGTTACAATAGAAATACAGAAAACTTTATTCGAAAGAATTTTCGATTTATTCTGCAAAAATCCATTTTTAAGAAAATCATTTTCTGTCAGAAAGATTTTATCATATGTACACATTTTCATGTGGGAATCAATGACAGAAGTTTCTCTTTTAGTCGAGCCAAAGACAATGGTGAAGAAATTCATACCAACAAAGAAACCGGAACTCATGAAACCATTGAGAGATTTGTTCTACAATGGAATTTACAAGATTTCACTTTTGAGAGACAGTTTAGATCCAGAAGATGTTTCTTGTTTGTTCTCTTTCTGCTTCGATACAAGAGATATTGTCTTACAAGAGGAAATAATGGAATTAACTGTTAAAATACTATCAAACAACAACCAAATGATGGTGAATTACATCAAAACACATGAGAACTTATTAAATGATATGTTTTGTTTGTTGAAACTTGGAAATTCCGCGATTTACGCAAATGTAGCAATAATTTACAGCAAAATCAGTGAATTATCCATTTTCGACACTCCTTTCCCTGTTCAGCATTGGATAAGAGCAATGATAAGTGAGTTCCCTGTAATCTTAAGTCCTTACCGTTGTTTCGAACTGTTGTTACACGCTGTTGATGTTGAAATGTCGAAATTAAGTTGTTCAGAAGTTTTCCCACTTTTAATTTATGTTGCAATGAACAATAATGAGTCAAGTTTGCAGTGCATCGTTGATGTATTGAATGTATTAAATGATAAAGGCAATTGGCTCATCCAGAACTTTGTTCAGATCCAAGCTCCTTTAGTTTCTCTTTTGATTTCGGAATTACCAAATGATTTCGATTCTTCTGTCATTGCAGACAAAGTTTTCGATTTCTTGATCCCTGTTTGTTGCGCAAATGTTCAGTTTTTGAATGATATCTACAATGAAATCGTTCTTTATTCGAGTAACTCTAACGAATGCTATTTACATATCTACAGGCGTTTATTAGTTGGAGTTTTATCATCAAAGAAACTGAAATTAGCTTGGGGAGGAGAAGATTCAATCAAAACAACTATGGGATTCTTCTCTAACTGCTTCTATTTCATCTTCTTCATTCCTTCTTTCGATCCTTACTACTACATGCCAAACACAAAGGCCTTTAATACTAAAAACAACACAAAAACCGCTTATCAATTCGTTTTCGACGTTTTGGCAAATAATTCTCATGAAAACGTGACACTTAAATTTGCCACTCGAACTAATTGTGATTTATCATGGGAAGATTTAGAAGTTGCACAGTTCTTACTATTGGATATGCTCAGTATGACACCTTGTTTAAGTTTCGACAGGTGCTATTTCGCTTCTGCTGAAATGGTCGGTTATTTATTCGCAGCACTTTTACAACATGGAAAAAGTGCCACAAAATTAATAAACGGCACATTTGAAAGGTTAGTTATGGCCATGCCGCATCAAATAGACAAAGGTACAGCTTATCATCATTTATTACTTTTAGTTTGTGGCTCTATTTTGAGAGAATTTCTTGCAGGAACTGAAGCCGGCGATGAAAGAAAATTATTTGTTATTTTTTCAACATTTAAGAAACAAATTGAGAAATTAGTTGGTGTTTCAATACCAAATATACAGACAGTTGATGGATTTAGCGCTGCTTTTAGATCGAATACGTATTTAATCAACAAAGTAATAACAGAATTAGTTTATTTGGATGATAATTTCGCAAAAAGACTTCCTTTGATTGAAGGTGAGTTCTTTAGAAACTTGGAAATGTTCCAGAATGTTGCTTTGAAGTTCGATTATGTTGTTAAGAATATTATTGAGCTTGTTAAAGACAAAGATTTGGAAGATATCAGTGAAAGTTCAAGAATTATTGAAAACAGAATCAACATCGAAAAAATCAGACAATCATTCGAATTGTCGCAAATGAGATCGATGAAATACTACAGGCAATTGTTTGCAACAATGTCTGATGAAGGTCAGCCATGGTGCTCCAGCGAAAGAGTCATTGAATACCATTACAAACTTAGTAACACAACTTATGGTTTGTCGAAACATTCCAGGATGAAAAGGAACTTGGATTTCGACATCCACGCAGAAGCAAGTGATGCAAGAGACTCTGGATCATTGTTGGAAGCGAAAGAGAAATACAAAGAGATCATAAAAGACAAGAAATTAACAGAGTTCACAGGTGATGCTGCTTTGGTTGCAATTGCTTTGATTGAAGACACAAAAATCGAAGACAAAAATGAAAATTTGCAGGAAGAAGAGTCAGTTAAACTCCAAATTGATGCAACAATCATCACTCCAAAGCAGACATTCAAAGGAAAATTGATTTTGTTGAAAGAATACATCAGATTCCAATCAGAAACTAAAAATGTTTCAATAAGAATGGAAACAATCACAGAAATCTTGTTCAGAAGATATCTTCATCTCGACACTGCAATAGAGATATTTACTAACAAACATAAGAGTTATTTCTTCGATTTCGCAGAAGGAAAACGCCAAATTTTCATCAAAAACATCAAAGTCTACACGAAAGGAAGAAATCAATCCATGATGAGTCTCAAATTCCTCCAAGAAAACAACGAAGATGCAGTTAGAATGGCACAGAAAGTTTACAGAAAATGGCAACTTGGCGAACTCTCTAATTTCCAGATGCTCATGAAATTGAACAAATATTCTGGACGTTCATTCAATGATTTGAGCCAATACCCTGTTTTCCCGTGGATTTTGGCTGATTACAAATCAGAGAAACTCAATTTGGAAATCGAGAAAACATTCAGAAATCTAAGTTGGCCAATTGGAAGATACAATGATGAAAGATTAGAACAATTAAAAGAAAGAATGACTGAACAAAGTAACCATTTATTTGGTTCATTTTATTCTTCTTCTGCATCAACTGTTGGATACTTAATCCGTCTTGAACCTTTCACATCTTTGCACATCGAATTGCAGAGTGGAAGATTCGACAATCCAAACAGATTGTTCAACTCAGTGCCTCATGCATGGAACTCTGTAACTTCATTGGCTTTGGATTTCAGAGAAATAATTCCTGAGTTCTTTTATCTCCCAGAAATGTTCCTTAATCTCGACAATTTCGATTTAGGAGTTGTTGCAGAAGGAAATAAAGTAAATGACGTAGAATTGCCTCCTTGGAGTGATGATGAATCCTTCAAAGATTTATCAGAACAAGAAAGAAGAAAGGCAAGAGCAATGAAGTTCGTCAATTTGCACATGCAAGCTCTTGAAAGTCATTATGTTTCTGCAAACCTTCATAAATGGATTGACTTGATTTTCGGTCCGAAATCCCGTGGTGAAGAAGCAGTAAATGCAAATAATACTTACCATCCATATTATTTCGACGAATCTTTGACAGAACAAATTAAAAATGATCCAATAGAGTTCAAGATGATCAAAGAATACGCAGCATGTTTCGGAACAGCTCCAATGCAACTATTCTTCGAAACTCCGAAGCCGAAAGAAGCTTTGTTTTCTCCTTTGTCAAAGAATATGTTTAAATTCGTTGATAGAAAGAAATTATCAAAAGACAAGATTATCTGCATCAAATCAACGAAATCTCATATTGCTTATGCATCAAAGGATGGACAGATCTCTGTCTTCAATGTATATGATCAGTCCAAATCGATGACATTCAAATTCAACATCAGAAACAAATTGAAATTTGGCAGTTTTTATGGAAATTTGCTTTGCACGGCAACTAAAAACGACACTGCCGTTATTTGCTATGATTTCACATCTTCAATGGATCCTTTATTCACTTCCAGACTCCATTTAGACCAGATAACTTGTTTGTCTTGCAGCGGAGAGTATTTCGCGACAGGAAGCAAAGACATGACAATAAGAATTTGGAAAACAATTTTCTCTTCGAAGACTCCTGTTTTAGATGGTTCCTTCACTCTCCACACATCAGAAATTGCTGCAATTGACTGCAATGTCAAAGCTGATTTGTGTGTTTCTGTTGGAATTGATGGGAAGATCATCGCATTGCAGTTGTCGAATTCACAATTCACTAGAAGTAGTAAAATAGAAACAATTGCAAGGCCTTCTTTCATTTCAGTTGTTGACAATGGATTTATTGCAATACTGACAAATGTTGCTGGACAATGTTTATTTAATGTTTTTGATGAAAATCTTGGAGAAGTTACAACAAAGAAAGCTTCTCTCACAATTGTTTGCTTGTGCCAGACTGTACTTCCAAATGGTCAAGCAGTTTTGATGTGCGGAACAAGTAACAACAGAATTTCTATCTTTTCTCTTCCTTTCGTTAAAGAACTCTGCTACTTCGAAACAGAAAACCAGATTACAGCAATATCTTACGACAAAGTGTTAATGCATATATTGGCTGGAACAAGAGACGGTGAATTAGTTACTTATAAGATTTCTAATTTTAGAAATATACCATAACATTTTTATCTTTTTATCTTTTTATATATAGTAAAACTGATATTATTTATTTTAACTATAATCTTTTATCATTAATTTTATTGAATTCAGTTTTTAAATAACTCATTTGGAAGACTATATCATAATAAAATATTCACATAATTAATCTTGGCATGATTTTATTTGAGTAAATCTCCAAATTTAGTTTTATATTATATATTCAAACATATCTTTAAAAGATATCAAAAATAATAAGAATAATAAAAAAAATTTATATATCAAACATTGTAGGAAGCGAAGATGTTTTGATTAATATGTTCTCATAAATCCTTTCTAGTTTTGCATCAGAAATATTGATCAATGGATCCAAATTAGGCGTTGAGGAGCATTCTTTCAAAATTATGAAAGAAACTTTGGTATTGTTCATGTTTTTGAGTAGTGTCTTCAGAGGATCAATAGCATTAGAATTAAATCCACATAATACCCAGTATGCTTCCTGCTTGACTAATCTTCTGATATGATCATCTAATCTCTTTTTCTGGGTCATTTCTTCTCCATCAAATTTATAATTATCAACAGTTGAATCATTAGAAGGTTTCTTATGGAAATCTGGATGATGTGTTCCATCACCTGGGATGAAGAAAGTAATTTTTGTAGAATCCTTTCTGAAATTGAGATTCAAATATGCTTCGAAAGCCGAGTTCCAGTCTTTAGGACCATCTCCTATTCCTCCTTCATAAGGGAAATTATAATTGATCTCGTCCAATATCTTATCAGCCTTCGATATAGGAGTAAAATCAATTACATCAGTACGATTGATTTCAATATCTTTGTTTAAGCAATAAGCCGCAGCTTCGTTTCTGAATCCAATGACTGCAACACGAACGTCACCTTGGAATTTTTGTAACCACTTCATAGCGCTTTCTATCTGATAGTTGATTAAACTCTTGATCTTTTCAGTTGATTTAGTTGCATCGAAAATGAATGTCAAATCGACTGGTTTCAGGAGTTTATTTTGAACAATTGGTATTTGTTCTGGAATTTTTGCTTCTGTAAATGCTGGAACTGGTTCAGCATCGGTGTAGTCTCCTTTCTCTGCAACCCTTCTCGCTTTGTTGACAAGACCGATTGCCATGTTTCTTGCTAATCTCTTGGCGCCTTCTGGGTTCAACGCTCTGAAAATTCTTGAAGAAGCGCCGTCAATGATGATGTCACCTTCATTAGAATTCTTTGGGGAAACATAATAGCATCCTGTAACCAACTCTTTGTCAGTGCCAAGTGAAAATGGTTTGAATGGCTTGATACGTTCGCATATTTCTTGGTAGTTATGGCAACCTGGGACTTTTACGCCTGCAATTGTTTCTCCTGCGTACAACCCAAGGACGTTATATCCATAGAATTGATAATCGTAATATGGATATTCTTTGATTTCTTCTGAATCAAATGTCATCTCTTTGAAACTGTTTGGAGTTGCGCGTTGAAGAACATCGTTCTTTGGACTGCAGCTTCCATCGAATCTCAAATTGCAAGGTATTTTTGTTGGATTTCCATCCACCTTGTCACAGTCATACAGTTTAAGATGTTCTAAGTAATAATCCAATTCAAAGGTGAAATCTTTGTCAGCCCAGAATGAAACAGCACCACCTCTCTTCCTGAACTTTTCAACAGTCTTAACAAACTGATAAGCATGGGAGAAATCAGTTGATTCGCCTCTGATTTCACGTGATCTCTTCTTGATACTATCGCAAACAACGACATTTGTTGGTTTGGCTTCTTGTCCTTTAGAACAAATTACCCAGACCTGATGGTAATTGCCTGATGTAATTTCTGCAATACAATCACAATAATTCTGAGCAACTTCGACATGGAAACCAAGTTTATATAATTCCTCGATAATTCCATTATAATCCAATGCACTAGATGAGGCATAAGTATCAGCAATGTATAGATTTTGAACATCGAACATGTCTGGGAGTATATTTCTTCGGTATACTGTATAATATTTATTGAATTTATCTTCTCGCATGATTTCTGGTATTTCAGCTGTTGGCTGTGCATTTCTATATATTGGAGTTGGTCTTCCATCTGGTTTATTTTGTGTTCCATCTGGTTTATTTTGTGTTCCATCAGGTTTATTTTGTGTTCCATCAGGTTTATTTTGTGTTCCATCAGGTTTATTTTGTGTTCCATCTGGTTTATTTTGTGTTCCATCTGGTTTATTTTGTGTTCCATCTGGTTTATTTGGTCTTCCATCTGGTTTATTTTGTGTTCCATCTGGTTTATTTGGTCTTCCATCTGGTTTATTTTGTGTTCCATCTGGTTTATTTGGTCTTCCATCTGGTTTATTTTGTGTTCCATCTGGTTTATTTGGTCTTCCAGCTTGTTGATTTTGTGCATTTGATGTTTCTTTTGTTACATCCATAGAGTTGCAAGTAAAATCGTAGAGTTGGCAAATGAGGATGTTATAATTCCATTTTTTGTTACGGCCGAGATCTACTTCAGGGATTTCTCCTTGGTAAGGACCGTATTCATTTTCCTCTTCTGTTGGTAAATGTACAAGATCAGTACCTTCAATCATATAATGGTCAGCTGCTGCATCATACATCTTGATATCATCCAATCCAATTGTGAGTTTTGTGAAGTGCTTTCTATTATTGTTAATAAACATACTGTAGATATCTTCAATTGAATATTTGTTTAGGGGATATGGATTTGTGATTTTTCCTTTTGTTATGGCTTTGTTTGTATCTAATTCTGACAATTTCATGAAGCAATTTCCAATTTTTAGAGGATTACCAGACCAGATAGATCTGTTGAAAACTTTAGAGATCATAATAGGAGAAATTCCAACTCCGACACCGATGGAATATGTCTTCACTAACTGCAAATATGATAAGCATGTTACAACAGCATCTGATTCTATTTGATTGAAATGGGCATTTGTTATTGCAATCAAAATAGATTCTTGTTCCTGTTGCGAGCATCGTATGTTGTATGCAGCTGTTAATGCCTGGGAGAAACTGCATGCACCATGTGATGAATCTAAACATCTGTAAATCTCCGTGAGAACTGGTGAATTTTCTTTGAATATTTCCTTATCAATCTTGTTGATGCAAACTGCGACTGGTCCTTCGGAAGTAGCAAGGATGATTGTTATTGGGAATCCACAATCTCTGAATGCCATCAATGTAGAGAAAACAGTGAGACGTGTATATTTCAATGAGAGTAATCCAGTGGAACAATCACTGCAATCAATGACGAAAAATAGAGAATAATGAGGAACATAACCTGCACACTTATCGAGTCTGATTCTCTGGTCTTGGCCATTAGTAATAATGAATCTGATCAATCCAGCAATTGATATTCTGCTTCCTTTCTCTGATGAAACATATTGTGTAGCTTTGTTTGGAGGGAATAAACCATCAAGATTCGACTTAATGAAGTTACTTTCAAATTCTTTATACTTGAACTTTAATTTATTAGTTATTGGAATGTCGTCGAAAGCATTTGACAAAGAAACATTGCAGAGTCTTGTTTTAGTTGACTGAGGAATATCGGATATACAAACAAACTGTGAATCAGTGAATACCAAGCCATGCTGTCGGAAATCACAAGTTTTTTCCTCATCATTCAATGGCTTGATCTCATCAATTGTCTTGAGTTTGATATCTCTTGTTTCATCAATTGTTATTCCAGGAATCAAACCTTTGAAGAAAGCTTCAATGAATCTCTGGCTTTTATCTAATCCACCTCTTTCATTTATCGTTACTTCATAAATCATGTTTTCGTATTTTGTACTAAGGAGTTCATATTGATTTTTGATTGGCTCTTTGTATTCTTCAGGTGGTTGTATAAGCCATGTGATTCTGGAATTAGTTTCTTCAAACCATTTCCATGTGTCTTTATTCGTGTTAAGAAGATTTCCATCGGAAAAGACATAGAAACTGCAGGTCTTTGATTTATGTTTGTTAAGGAATTTGCGAATTGCGATATTTGGATCTGCGGATGTTCTCTTTGTGTCATACATTTCAAGTGCAACTTGCAAGTGCTTTCTCCGAAGTTTCTCAGACGGTTCCTTGATCTCAATACACGGGAATTTCATGTCTGCAAAAACGCAAAGACTGAAATCAAGTCCTAATTGAGAACATGCCATAGAGAATGCAATGAAATGCAACAAGTTATCAACTTTGATTCTATAAGGAGTAATTGTTTTGATATCAAGAAGCAAAACAACTTGAGAATTAGTCGTAATTTGGTTCTTCTTTGCCTCATTAATAACTTTGTATACTGTTTCTGTTGCATACACAATGTATTTCTCAATTGGAAGATTTTCGTCATCTGGAATATCTTTGATTTGCTTAACCATATATTCCTTTTCTGCTTCAAATTGCTCCTTGTATGATTCAGGTTCGTCAATTTTTTGGATCAAATGATTGTAAGCAGCTTCATTTGCGATTTCTCTTCTCTTCGCATTAGCATTTACAACATTTGAATATTCCGATTTGCCTTTTGTAGGAATGATTCTTGACACACTGCTCGGGTATAGTTGTTTTTCAGGTTTAATCTCAGGAGGAGGTTTGCTGTTTGAATCAGAAATTGGTGGAGGAGTATAGGATTTTTGGTATGGTTTTTTATCTTTTTGCCATTCCTCCTTATAAGCTTCAACAGAAAAAGATGGTTGATCAGGCTTAATGACAGATGGAATGGGATCATTATTTGGAATCAAATTAGAAATAATCTTACAGCCAGAATCTTCTAAAAGGTTGAAAAGGGAAGTAAAACTGCGGTTAAATTCGATGCATAATGATAAGAATGGTGTTGTTTTGAGTGTATCTTTGTTGTGTGACCAAGCATAAAATGCAGATAAGTATCTTATCTCTTCATTAATTTTTTCTATTGGGTATTCATTAATAGAATTTGACAATATCAAAATTAGTTTTCTGCATTTGTTAACAACATTTAATAATCTCTCATACATTTCTGGAACAGAATTAGCAGTTTCGAAGTCAATTGGATCATCGAAATCTCCATTGTATGGTTGCTTTGTCAATTCCAATTTTGGCTTTGGAGTATTTGCATTATTCGAAATTTCTTCTATCAAATTTTTTTTTCTTGTTCATTGACAACCATTAATACAGTTGATAGTTCCTTAGCATCATTTAATTTGTATTCTTTGACCATTGTTGTATTTAATGATGGAAGATATTTTCCATCAGTTTCGAGTAATTTCTGGAAGTTTTCTCTATTTTGTTTGTCAAGAATTTCATTATCGAAGTTGTTTGATTCCAATGTTTCATTGACTTTCAAAACAAACGTGTTTCTCCATTTGAATTGCTTTCCAGTAATTCTGATTTCAATATTTGATTTTTCATTAATATCAGCTGCAATTGAATTCATTTCGAATTCAATTTCGACACTAGATTCCGGAACATCAAATTGAGTAATTATCTTTAGATTATTAATACTTACATCGTCTGTCGATGAAATATAGACATTAGGATTATCATTGGATCTCAATAAGAAACTAACAAGGAATTTATACTTCAAAGGTTTTGTACTGATTTGAATTTCTTTGATTCGATCTGAGAAATCTGTGTAAGGAGACAAAACATTGAACAAAACATTCTTATTTTGTATTGAATCAGGAGTATTAATTCTGATATATGAATCATTGGCTGCTGAATGATACAAATTGAAAGCCGCTCCATAAATTTTAGTTTCATTTGCAGATAGTTTCCGTAATTCGATTGTATTGTCATCTAAAGGAATGAATGGACTAGTTTTTATTCTTGAAACTTGATTTGGATCAGTATCTTTTGCTTTGGATCGTCAACACCAGGAATTGTTGGTATGAATAAGATATTATCTTCTGCGATAAGATTTTTTTCAAATTTAAATCCATTTTGAGTAATAAAAGAGTTTCCAGGAGAATCTATTAAAATGGCGGAATCAATGAAATGTGCATCAACTTGGTAAGTAACAATTGTTGAGTTAATATTCATTGTTCCTGTGAAAGAGATGTCATTTATTATGCCATTAATTGGGAACAATAAATCAATCTGAGACTCTTTAACTTCATAAGTTGGAATTGGAGTATTTTCTGATTTTGGAGTAAATTCGATTTTGACTTTTGATACATCTCCTAAAATGTAGATTGGAATACGAATTGGAGTTGTTTGAATGCATCTTAATATACCAGGAACATCAGCTTTAAGAGCACTAAATGAAGGAATGACAGTTTCTCCTTGAACATTGATTGCTGCAATGCTGAAAACAGATTCATTTGCGTTTGTGAAATCGACTGAAATTGAACTTGTATCAATCATTTCGAGATTTGGTTTACATATTTGTTCATTTAGAAGATCATTATTCGGATTTTCAACTGTTTCAATTTGGGAAATAATTGATTGATGTTCATTTACATAGTTATCATGATCTTTAATAATTCCTTCCAGATCATTTACTATTTTAAGTGCATTATTTGGTGTTTCATTTGGATTTGCGCTGAATTTTGGAAGCAGATACTTCTTAAATTCATCTAAATAGCAGACATATGGTTGGATATATGCAAATGATTCTCTTAAATCATCAACTGTGTATTTCTCATTATTATATTCAAAGATTACTTCTGATTCTGGGCCAAGATATTTATCTAATTCATTGGGATTATTTGCTAATTCTTTATTCAATTGTTTCCATTTTGAATTAATATCGTCAACACTGACTTTTTCTTGCAATAGTTCGGTATTTTTAGAAACCTTTACTTTGAGTAATTCAAATGGACTTGAAATTTCAATTTCGTCAATGAACACTTCTGGAACATAAATAAATGTCTGACAATTTTCTTTGAAAATGAAGTTAACTTGAATTTCTGGATCGTCCTTGTTCGTGAACGAGATATTGCCACTTGTCTGATTATTGATATAGATCAATGCAATTTCGGTTTCATATTCTGCGGGATCTTTATCATCTAATCCTTTCAAGAACTCGTATAACTTAGAGGCATCAGAAAGTTCTGTAATTTCTGTTGGATCTTCATACCAATCGAACTCTGTAATTTTGTCTAAAATTGACCAAATGCAGCTTGAATAGATCTCATAGTAGTTGATAGCAGGATAGTGAGTTCTCAAAAATGTGATTGGATCTTTATACATAACTGCATTTTCAAGATCAGACAGTAAGCTTTGAATCTTAAATTCTTTTTGTTTTATTGTTTCTTTCAATTTTTCAATCTCTGAATTAGCGTAATTCATGAAAAATCCAACTGGATTCAAAAGGAGAGATGATTGATTCTGAATAAATGCATTCCATTTTTCTTCTGTCAAAGGCTTGCATAGTTTCAAACAATTATCCAAATATTGTTTGAAGAATTTATTGATTTTGATTACATATTCAGAATCGTTCGAATATGTTGCTGCTTGGACAATCGAGTCATGCAACAAGCAAGTGAAGAATTTCTTGAAACAATATGGCGGATCTGACAATGATAATGAAACAATGATTGATTTCTTATTTTCTTCTTCATACAACAAACTCTGTAACTTTTTATTGATGACTGCTTTCATTTCAGTTGTGAGTTTGTCCGATTCGAAAGTGATTTGATTGAAAGAAGATACAATTCTAAGCATGAACAAACCAAATGTTAAATTCTTCTTTGATTTATCAATGAGATTTAAGAAATCTGGGTTTTTGATTAAGAACAAACCTTGCGCTGGGAACTTATCAACATATTCTTCTCCAATGTATTCACTTTGAATGCAATCAATAGCATCTAAATATTTTGTGTTTACTGTTTGAGTCAAATTCTTGTAAAGTGAATTGTCGGAAAATTGATCTGCCAGTTCTTTCATATCTTTGAAGATTTTGTTGAATTTCTTGGAACAGAAATCAAGAATAATTGCTTTAGGATACTCTGGAATTCTTATTGGTAAGTTTATGTCATACTTACTATTGTTCTTGACAATGTAATTATTCCATGCATTATTAATCGTCTTTATCTTGTTAGTGTAAGAATTGAGCTTGGAAATTAGTTTTTTAACATCGATCAATTGTTTATCAGCTGAATACATTTGGTTTAAGTATTTGTCATAAATTTCAAGAAGAATTTTATTGGAATCTTCTTCACTTAATTTGATTGAAGAATTTTCGTATGTCTTTAAGAATTTTCCAACATCATATTCGCGTTTATACAACTCTAAAAAACTTGAAATGCAACGATCTTTGGTGGAAAGATTTTCGTAATTGTTCATATCAGATGAGAAATCCATTAAAATTTCAAACCATTTAATGTCTTCATTATCGGGATGGATATTTGTAACATATGACTGAAGTTTATCATATGAACACGGCTTGTTTAACTTGACTTGATTGATTATTTCTTCTTGATTATTAATTATCGGAACCCATGCCAACTTTCGAGTCAATTCAAACAAATCTGATAATTCTGGATCGTTGTGATTGTACCAATTCCTTTCATCTTCTGTATTGATATTTCTTTCATTGAATGCATTCTGGAACTTTTTAAGCAAATTTGAAAATGAAAATGAAGATTTCTGGACTTCTTGATCAAGTATTTTCATTATTTCAATGATATTTGATAAGTCAGTTAATGATATAGCATTAGCAGCTTTATCGACAGCAATTGTCTGCAATGGCAAAAATCCAAATGACAAGAATTTTGAAATCAAATCATAAAACTTTGAAAGCAAATCATATTCATGTGATGAAAATGATACGTTGCCTTCTTCAAAAAGAGGCTTATATAGTTCATTAAAGCAATCAGAAATTGAATCAATTCCATCAACATTGAAATACAAATTTGGATAGCGGAAAATATCATTCTTGTTTTCATCAGTAACTAATTTTGGATCAATTTTTTCTTTAGCGAAATGCTCTGGTAAAACCTTTCCATATGTCGGATATGTTTTAGAAAAGAATAGAATTTCATTCCGAACGCCTTCCAATATGCTATTAGAAGATTGACTTGAAAGCAAAGTTCCCGTATCTATTGCTTTGATACCCTCATCCATATCTGTGATTTTTTCCAATAAATTAATCATCCTTTGCAAGTAAAGCTTATCAATGTATCAGTTTGGTTTTTTAACATTCTCAAATTCCATTTCTAACATATCTTTCATTGAAGCAACAGTATCTTTGTTGATTGATTGAATTTTAGTATGTTCAAGTATTGAATAAAGACCGATAATAGGTTTGTCATTTGTGATAGCTTCTTCAATTAAAGCATCCAATTTATCCATATCAATATCAATGGCCACATTTTCATTTATTTTTGTCAATTTTTCAATAAGATCTGAATCTACTTCTTTATCGAAAGCATCGATAGTGTCTTGATTATATTGACTACTGTCGATTTCGCTGATCTTTTTATTGTATGCTGGGATCAATGCACTCATGATTTGAGAGTATTCAATTGGTTATTCTTTACAATTATTTATAGAAATGAATATCCTAGATAAAGATCTACCTGTCAATTCATTATGTTTCTCTCGCATTTCGAAATGACAACGGCCGATTTTAGCAGCAACTGTTATTCGGTCTGTTTCAGTACCGTTATTTAATTTATATTTCTTATCTGGTAATTGTAACAGTGAAATTGTTGCGATTGTTTGGATGTCATTATCAATTGGTTCCATCTTAAGAATTGCACATCTAGAAAGAATTGTTTGTGGAAGACGAGTCTTTCTATGTGCTCCAACATTGTTATATGTGAATATCACTCTAAACTCATCACTGATCCTAGTTTTTGATTTAGATGAATTAGATGAATAAGTAATGCCTTCATCGACTTCATACAAATTCAAGGATGGCTCGAAATCAAGCAAAGTGATAATTCTTTCCAAAATGTTTGAAGGACATGATTCAACGTTATCAAACAAAACCCAATCACCATTCTTCATTGCTGTTATTAACCTGGATTCTGCATATTCTAAATTGTTGATCAAATGACTTGCAGATGAAACAATAAGCATTGCTTCTTTTCCGATTTTAATTGTGGATTCATCATTTGAATTTTCAACAATCTTCTTGATACCTTCTTCGATACCTTTTAGATCATTGATTTCCATTTGGTTATTTTCCATTAATGGCTGGTAAATAGATTTAAATGACTCATCTTCTTTAAGCTTTTCTATTAATTTATGGAGGTTTGCTTGGCTGACATTTTTAGATGGCTTATATGAACCTGTTATTACTGACATAGATGTGTCAGCAGTGAGCGGAATAACGGTTAACTTCTTATTGATTGCTTCTGCAAATAATTTAACTGTATATGTCTTGCCAGATGCTGTTGGTCCTGTTACGATTAATGGGAAATTAGTTTGTCGAATTGCATATAAAGTTACAAATAGTTTTTGTTCACTCGATGTCAAACCAAGGAGTTTTTGGTTGATTGATGAATCGTTATCAGCTCTAATTTTCTTTTCATCAATTTTCAAAATCGGAGATTCATAAGAAATTTCAATTTTCTCCCATGGATGATTGACTCTTTGGCTGATCTTTCGTTCAACTGAAGTGATTTCTCTTAATAAATAATTGAATTGTTTAGTGGGTAAATATTTATCTAATTTGGAATACAATTCACAATTTCTTGTGTTATTTAATTCGAAGTTATCAACAATGTCATCAACATTTTGGCAGTTCGTTAATATTTTTTTGCATATTTCTTTCATTTCATTTTGATCGTATTGATCTCGCTTGAAGTAGATGATGATTTCTTAAGTGATTGTGGAACTTTTCCTGAAGCAATACCAATAATGGAAAATCTTCCTTTCTTCTCTGTTTCACCATTTGTCTTCATAATCATTGATTCTGGATTATTGTCAAATAAACATGTTAAAGCATCAACTAGGCTTGGTGATGCGAGATTCAATTCTTCAATGATGATTAATGATTTAACTTGTGATTTTTCACTGACAGCATTGAAAAGTTTTGTCGGAATGTAATCGAAAGTATTGCTTTCATTATCATTTTTAATTGAATATCTTCCAAACAAATCTTCGACTGTTGTTGATCCAGATAATTGGATTCTGACAACGTTTTTATCATTAGCGAAATCCTGCATCAAATTTGCAACATAATCAGCAACTAATGACTTACCAGTTCCTGATGGTCCACGAATAATGATTGGAATATCGAGCGACAAAGCAGAGAAGATTCTGTCACACATTGTTTGAGTTGTTTTAGTGAAAACAATGTTTTTTTCCATCGGATCAGATGAAGAAAATGAAAGGATATAATCATTATCGGATTTCAAGATACCATTTTCTAGTTTCAAAGGTGTTATGTTGTTTTGACGTTCAGGATCTTCTTTACCTACAATTCTTGCTGCTTGTTCTTCCAATATCTCTCTTGGAATTTCTTCTGAAGCGTTGCGATCCCTACTGTGGATTGTTTTGATTTTTTCAATGATTGATTTCATTAGAATCAATTTGTGGAAATCAAATTTCTCAATATAACTATCAGAGAATCCTGTGATTTCTTGTACTTCTTTGTTAGTGTATTTCTTGACATTAATGATGTTGAATCTTGATTTTATTGCCTTAGAAATCTTGTTGATGTCTTCTAAAGAGAACAAAGCAATTATTCTAAACTTTGTTTTCATATCACTACTTATCTTAATAAGCTTATCATTTTGTGGAGTAATTGTATTTGTGTAATCTTCAGTTAATGTTAATTCTGGCTCGATTGAAAGTAATTCATTGAATCTTTCAATGACAGATGTTGGTGGTTTGGCAAAGTTCTTAATGATTATAGGAGATTGTCTATAAAGATAATGAGTAATTAATCCTGGTTTGAAGACTGTTGTATAATTATTCATGACTGAATCAACTTGAGATGGTTCAATGGCAATGAATTGCTGCATGATGTGTTCTATCGATTTCTTGAGGAAAGGAACGTCAAGCTGTTTTATGAACTCTTGTAATTCTTCTAAATGTGCTGCATCTCTTACGAAATTCTTCTTGAAATTCTTGAATTTAACGTAAAGAGAATGATCTGAAATCATTATTGTGTGAAGTAAATCAAGCATTATTCTGTCATATGTATTCTGTCTTACATATGAAACTTGGCCAATTAAAGAAGCTGTTGTTGTTTCACTTCCTAATGTTACTTGGCTTGGATCGATAACAATAGAATTGGCCAAAAATGTCTTGAATGATGATTCTCCAACAATAAGTATTGGTTCATTTTGAGGAATTAATGATGCCAAAAAAGCAGCATCCCAAAAGGATGAAATTGATTTGGAAACTTTCTTGGAGCTTTGGTAATTAACAATAGATTTGATTTTGAGTATATCTTTAACAATATAATTAATTTCTGGAAATGCAGGTGTTGATAAAACTCTAACTAAATCTTCTGTGTTTGGATAGCCAAATGAACTTCCAACAATGGTGGCGATTGTTTGCGTTGAATTTTGTGGATCAGAGCACATCATATATGCCATAAACAATGCATGATAAGTTACTAATTGTTCAGGAGATAAAATCTTCCATTCGTTCTGTTCGTTACGAATTTCAATTTTATCTGAGTATTTAATTCTTAAACAAAATCTTCTGACTTCTCTGAATGACCATGAACGGATCTTGTCATTTTGCTGGGATTCATCATACATTTTGATGACAAAGTCTTTCAAATTCTCGTTGAACTGAGTAAGGTCTGCCGAAATGATTTTTTCCAATTCGTTTTCTGCAGTGATTTCTTTGATGACATTGATGATAGAATTGACAGGGAATGGATAATCAAAACAAACAGCACGCTTAAGAAGTACCTGTGGTAATGGTTTTCGACCAATCATTGTGTTGTCATTCTGGCAAGCGATGAAGAAGTAGTTTTCATGGACTTTTGTTGTTCCAACAGAAGGAATTTCTATTTCTTCTCCTGGTTTTTGTTCTAAAGCAATGACAAGTGACTGAAGAACGGAATTTTCAGCAAGATTTGCTTCATCAGCAATGAAGAAACCTCCTTCTTTGATTGCTTTAAGTAATTGGCCCTTGGAATTATCACTTGCACCGCGAGTAATTGTGATATTTCCGATTAAATCTGTCAATTTTGTTTCTGCATTGAAAGAGACTTTATATGTGTTGAAATTTAATCCTTGAGCAAGTGCAACAGCTGCTGATGTCTTTCCAAAGCCTGTTCCACTCTGAAGGATGATTGGTTGGCCAATGTTTTGCATCAAAATAATCAATGATACGATGTTTTCTAGTTCAGGAGAATTCTTATAGTAGAAACCTTTTGTTTCGCCTGTTATAGTGCTAAGAAGGATTTGCTTGAGCTCTTCATTTAATTGTGGAGTTGTATGGTCGATGTATATCTCTTTCAAAGCATCAAAAATTAATTTTTGATCAGTGATTTGGGGATATTTGGTGCAAATCATACGTAATCCATTGACAATCTTAGATATTATGGATAAATTATGCATTTCACCATGCTTTATGATCTCATTGATGATTTCTTGTGAAATTGAAATCTTATTTTCCTGTTTTGAACCTAATAATGAGTCAATAAGCTGAGGAATTTGTTCCTGAACTTTCGATTCATCAATTTGGGACTCAATTTCAATGATTGTGAAACGATTCTTCAGTGCAGGAGATAAATTCTTTAATTGGTTCTTCGAAATGGTGGCAATGACGGCGAAATTCTCATTTATATCTACACTATTATCATCAGAGTAGAGTTCTGATATAAAAAAGGATGTTGGTTTTCCAGAATTTGTCTTCTTATTTAATAAGATATTTGAATAAGCATCGAGAATTGGGTTGATTCTCTCAATGACTTGAGGAGCCACACCTTCGAGTTGATCTATGATAAGAACCTTGCCTTTTCTGGCTGCTTCGACTATTGAACCCTCAATCCAATCTGGGACTCGGTTAATATCGGAAGATGGCGTGTAGCTTCCAATTAAATCTGATGTAGTCATCTCTGGGTGACATACCATGAAGAGATAACCACTTTTAGAAAACAATTGAGACGCCCATTTTGCAATTTGAGTCTTTCCTGATCCTTCTGGGCCAACAATGAGAATTGGCTGATAATTCTCCATAAAGAAGTGCATTTTTGTCAATGTCTTCGTTAAAACTTGATTATTCCAAACATTTTGAATTTGCTTTTGCTGGATAAGATCGTTTAAATTAAGTTTTGGTTCTTTAGCTTTTACTATCTTATACTCTGAAAGCTTTTCAGCAACAATTTTTTCATTTCCGAGTCCACAAAGTGATTCATAATAATATAATAAAGATTGATATAAATTTTAAGTTCCATTTGCAGATAAAAGCGCAGTTTTAAGGTTTCTAAGCGTAATGTAATAGTCATTATTATCAATAGTCTGGCATTTATAATGAAATTGAATAGCATTATTGATCATATCAATTGGGATGTCCTTGTTAAAGTTTGGACATATTGAAGTAAGCTCATCATCACTCAAATCTTCAAATTGTATAACTTGGAAATGTGAAGTAAGTTTTGTTGTAAGTTTACTACGCATTCGAGCAAATGTATTATCAAAATCGTTTTGAGTAGCAATAAGCTTAAAATCAGGATGCATTTTTATCGGGCTATTATTTAATTCTGGGTCATCAACGTATAATTCGCCTGTATCTAATGAAGATTCAATACATTGCAATACATCTTCATGAGCAAGATTGAATTCATCAAGTATGAGAGGAGAGCCTTCCTTGAAAGCTGTTGAATACATTCCATAATGAAATTCAGTATTTGTAGAATCATTCTTAAGAGTAATATTTCCCATAAGTTGATCAATCGTGGTTTCTGAACTGAAATTAAATTTCAAATGAACCTCTCCTAAAATATTTTCGGCAATCGTTGTTTTACCGCAACCTGTAGGTCCGACAAGTAGGACCGGAATGCCTATGTCTATAAATTTCTTAATTTCAGCCATTTTCCTCTGAAGGAGAATAGGCTGATTATTCATATTTATATATTTTTTGACTAAATGAGGTGATGTGATTTTGAGTAATAATTATATCTTCATTTTTTGTAAAGATATGAATGTTATTGGAAGAGTAGTATGTGACGTGGTATTTTTAGAGTGAACCAAAAAACATTCAGTTGAGACCCAATCGCTCCGCTCCTCTGCTCTCATCATTTCTGCTTTTCATATTCACGTCCAAAAATACCACCTCCCGCATATGACATCATCAATGAAATATTTTTTTAAAACACAAATAATATTTTTAAACTCATCATTAGTTTCATTAGGTTTTTATGTGAAAATGTGAAAAATTAATGGTTGCGAAAGCCCACATAGCGTGAGTGAGTGGGATAAGCGGTAAAAATAAAAATTTATAATTAATGATAAAATGAAGTTTATTTATTAAGTCAGTCAGTCGGTCAGTGAAGATAGACTGTGATGAAAAATTCATTAGTGATAAAATGAAAATTTTAAAGAAAATGATAATAAATATTTTATGAATTAATGAAAAATTTAATGAAAATTTATTAAAGTCATGAATGAAAGATAGTGATTTCATAAATGAATTAAATAAATTTATAATGAATGTAAAGCAAATGATAGAAAATTTAGACGAAAAATAGAGTTTGGAAAATTAGAGTTAAAATTTAAATTTAAATTTATTTTATTTTTATTTTTTTATTTTATATAAAATGAGTGTCAAGACAAACGACGTGAAGAAATTAGGATTTACAAGCGAGGAAATAAACGAAATATTAGAAGAGGCAGGTTATGAAGTTAGCAGGTATTATTTAAGAAATTGTCAAAAATTCGCAGAGTTATTAAATGATTTAGATTATGAGGGTGAAATGAATAAAGAAAATGTTATTAATTTCTTATATCCTACATCTGACGAGAATGAGGAAAATGAAAAAGTGAAAGAAAGTGAAGAAATTGATGATAATGTGTATGAAGAAAGAAGGGGAGAAGATGAATATTATGAACAAGATGAAAAGAAAGCGGAGGAAGTAAGAAATGAAATAGATGAGGAGATTAAGAATGAAAAAGAAGTGGAGGAATACATGAAAGAAATTAATGAAGGAAATTTAGAGATGAATGAAGAGTATGAGCGAGAATTAAACGCAGAAGCTTTGAGAATTTATGAAGATGTGAAGAGTTACAATGAAGATGTTAAAGAAAGAATTGAGGGAACATTTAACAGATTAAATGAAAACCCATTTAGTGAAAAGTTAGATTTGAGAATTTATGGAAAAGATGAATTGAGAGTAGTGGGTCAGAAATTAAAAGAAATTTATGAAAAGCACATAATGACTCAACCGATTGAAAGAAAAATTTTAGTTCATTATATTGTAAATGGTCAGGAGAGAAGCCAGCCAATTGATAAAGAAAGCTTCTGTCAAAGATTCGAACAAATGCTCGACTGTCAGTTCATTTATAAAATAGAAGATTTAAGCGGTAACATTTCAGATGATGGCACTAAATTATATTTAGAATTTTTCGACGTCATATATTGGGGTTGTGCCATGTGAGGTGAAAATCACCATACACCGATTGGACCTTTTTAAAAAAAGATATGGTGAGTATTTGATTTGTTCCTTGGTATTTTGCACGCAGATAGACTAGGGTAATGCCGATCATTTCGTGTAGGAATTACGTAAAAAAAATTATGACCCAAGTTATTCACATTATAAAATTATATAAAGTGTGTCTAATTTCAATAATATTCATATGACCTTATAGTATGGTACCTATATAATAATAATACATATAGTTTATAGTAATATCTCAGTTTTTATAGTTTGATATCTTATTAATTATGATCAATATGTGTGTATTAGTGTATATTTTACATGGCGCATATAGACTTGTGTTAGACACACACATTTATATATATTAAAATGAAAAATACGCAGATAATAAGGATCTCAAGATGTGATGCCGAGCATCTGCTACTTATTTGGGGGTAAGCAGCAGATGCTGGCATATATGTGTCATAGCAAGTGTATCTATGCTAATAGATTACACTTGCTATGACTTTCCCGGAATCTCAAGATGATTCCGGGAAAAACAGTAATAACCTCTCAAAATGTTCGTTTCAATATCATAAAGCTGAGAAATGGGCTTTGACCTTGAGAAAAGGCCCATTTCCCAGCTTTATGATGAATTTTAGTTATCATTGCGAGTGTCTGCTGCAAATCTCGGTTGAAGCAGCAGGCACTCGCAACCGTATTCCACGGCAAGTGTATTTATGGTGTTGGAATGCACTTGCCGTGGCTTTTGTACAATCTCGTGATCTTACTGGAGTGAGCGGCAATGGAAGCCAAAACCACTCCACTCAGTACCAGAAAGCTATGAAGGAAGTCCTAACCTAGAGAAAGGGCTTCCTTCATAGCTTTCTGGGTGACATGAGATTTGTAATTGTTGAACATTGAGTATTTTGCAGGCTCTGGCCTTTGCTTGGGCCAGAGCTTCGTATTTGGATGTTCCCAGGGCCGGATTCCTCTCCTGCCGCCCTAGATCAGGACGGCATTTGAGAAAGCCGGCCCTGAGGACAGTAAGCGAAGCCCTGGCCTTTGCTAGGGCCAGAGCCTGTATTTGTATGTCTTTCAGGGCCGAGTTCTTGCGAGACCGTCGACATGATCGACGATCATCGCAAAACTCGGCCCTGAGGATTGTATTTGCAGGCTCTGGCCTTTGCTTGGGCCAGAGCTTCGTATGGGAACTCTCTCGGGGCTGGTTTCCTCTCCGGCCGCCCCGAATCAGGGCGGTCTTTGAGGAAACCGGCCCCGAGGATGGTTTGCGAAGCTCTGGCCTTAGCAATGGCCAGAGCTTGTGATTTTAATGAAGAGCCAAGTTCCTCTCGGATCGGGCCTAATGAGGACGACCGTCGAGGAACTTGGCTCTGAGCTGATGAATTGTAAACTCTGGCCTCGATGAAGGCCAGAGTTTTTAAGGGAATGTTTTGATGGGATGAGCCTATGCTCAGTAAGCTCATCCCATCAAAACATTCGTTTAAAAATTGAATTAAAAATTATCGTATGCATTGAAAAATTAAAAAAATAAAAATGAACAATATTATTATATAATGAGAATAGAATAAATTATCATAAAATTGAAAAAATTATCCAAAAAAATTGAAAATTTTAAAAATTAAATAAAAAATAACAAATTTCATAAGAAAATTAAGGAATAGAGAAATATTAGATAGAAAGAGTATGTTTATTTATGATTATAAGATTGAAATAATGAGATTTTGAGAGTTTTAAGAAGAATGTGATCTTTATATTTTTTTGGAGGAAGGTTTTACAAGAAAGGAGTTAACAAATGCAGGGTATTGTCCCTTTACCCTGCATTTGTAAACTCCTTTCTCGAATTGAAATTCGATGTTTAACATTCTTTGAAAAAAGTGCAAGCTATTCGAGAAAGGAGTTTACAAATGCAGGGTAAAGGAACAATACCCTGCATTTGTAAACTCCTTTCTCGAATTGAAATTCAATGAATCACATTCAAGTGAAAAAGTGCAAGCAATTCCTGATTTGCTCATATAGGTGCAGGGTTCTAGTTATAGACCCTGCAAATATATGAGAAAATCAGGAATTATGTCCGACACATTCGCATCGAAGAACAAAAGTGCAAGCTTTTCCCATTCTGCACATATAGTTGCAGGGTGCCAGTGATAGACCCTGCATATATATGTGCAGAATGGGAAAAGTGTTTGACACATTCGCATCGAAAGGTAAAAGTGCAAGCTTTTCCCATTCTGCACATATAGGTGCAGGGTGCCAGTGATAGACCCTGCATATATATGTGCAGAATGGGAAAAGTGTTTGACACATTCGCATCGAAAGGTAAAAGTGCAAGCTTTTCCCATTCTGCACATATAGTTGCAGGGTGCCAGTGATAGACCCTGCATATATATGTGCAGAATGGGAAAAGTGTTTGACACATTCGCATCGAAAGGTAAAAGTGCAAGCTTTTCCCATTCTGCACATATAGGTGCAGGGTGCCAGTGATAGACCCTGCATATATATGTGCAGAATGGGAAAAGTGTTTGACACATTCGCATCGAAAGGTAAAAGTGCAAGCTTTTCCCATTCTGCACATATAGGTGCAGGGTGCCAGTGATAGACCCTGCATATATATGTGCAGAATGGGAAAAGTGTTTGACACATTCGCATCGAAAGGTAAAAGTGCAAGCTTTTCCCATTCTGCACATATAGGTGCAGGGTGCCAGTGATAGACCCTGCATATATATGTGCAGAATGGGAAAAGTGTTTGACACATTCGCATCGAAAGGTAAAAGTGCAAGCTTTTCCCATTCTGCACATATAGGTGCAGGGTGCCAGTGATAGACCCTGCATATATATGTGCAGAATGGAAAAACTATCTACTTTGAATATTCTGCATCGGAATCTCTTGGTCAATATACAATTAAATACAATGATTACATCGATATTTGGAGATACAAGATAAGTATCTCCAAATGCCGATGTGATCATATATGATTGTCGATAAAAATTTGAAATCTCAAATAAGATGCAGATTAAAAAATGGATATATGATCAAAATGAGTTTACAAACACAATATAGAGTATATATATAGATACCTCATTGTATTCAAAATGAAATAAAACAAAATTTTTGAAATTCATATCTTATATAAAACACATTATTCCTCAATACTATATGAGTAAATATGGCTTGATTAGTATAGATATATGCACATATATTTGGCCCCCAATATAAATTCTATGTTTTCGGGAAAGCAAAAGGTCCAATCGGTGTATGATAAATTTCACCTCACATGGCACCGCCTCAATTATTTTTCTCACTATCTGTCCAGTAATATGTTTTCATTTATTTAAAAATAAAATTCAAATTAATTTAAATTAATTATCCTGAGAACCTGGTGGAGAGCCTGATGATACATATCTTAAGCCGTCATCAACTGAAGCTATAAAGTATGTGTCACGACATACCCAAAGTTGTGGAGGTGGTGGGTGAATTTCGTATCGTGCTGAACCGTTGGGAAAAATTGAATACCCGAGGTTCAGCATACATATAAAAATGAAAGACTTAGAGCCTAGGGTTAAGCAGGAAGATAGAGGGTACATATGAGATTATCCTCAGTAACTCTCAGGCAAATCTGAGTTTTTGGTCAGATATATAAGATTATTGTGAACGAAAAATTATCTAATATAGGCCTAATTGTCATGTGCGCATATAGACATATGTATATATTATATGTTTCTTGTGTTATTATAGGTTAAATCCATAGTTTGATATGTGAGATAAATTATATCTTAACACAGAAATCGTTTTTTTATATTATCACAGTAGATATGAGGGGTACTATATGAGTTATAATATATATTATTAGGAATAAGTATATAGATCCAAAATAATGGGAATGCATAATTTATGGCGAACTCAAAACATTTATTTTTATATTATGAGGTTATAAAATTGTTTTATTCATATATTATATGTGCTCTGTGCTATTGAAATGTGCTTAAAATGATTCTGCACGCGCAATCACAAAGCAAAACTTCGTAGCGAGCAACAGTTTGTGCAAGGACAGGGAATTTATATTTTTATCCTTACATAAACTTATAATGTGGTTAAAATGTTCGGTTTGCTCTCACTTTTGTTCCGCAATGTGACATCGTGAACAAAGTTTCCGATCTGAGTGCATATATGCAGGGTCTTTCCATGGCACCCTGCATACATGTACTCAGATCGGGAATATTGTCCACTTTTGTTCCACGATGTGACATCGTGAACAAAGTTTCCGATCTGAGTGCATATATGCAGGGTCTTTCCATAGCACCCTGCATACATGTACTCAGATAAGAATTTGCTTAATTGTTTGACATGAATGTCACATTCGAAAATCGTTTCTCGAAAGGAGTTTGCAATTACAATATATTGTCCTATTGTATTGTAATTGTAAACTCCTTTCGAGAAAAGCTTTCACTTTGTGGCACGAATGTCACATTCGAAAATCGTTTCTCGAAAGGAGTTTACAATTACAATATATTGTCCTATTGTATTGTAATTGTAAACTCCTTAGTTCGATTCCTTCATTTTATTAAATTATAAATATACAATTCTTTCTAATCTTCCTTTTTCATAATTCATTTCTCATTTAAATTCTAAATAATCTAACTCTACTAATCTAGATTTTTTCTAATATCAATTTTTCATATACAAACTCTTATTTTTTCTTTCAAAATTCCATTTTCCAATATTTTTTGAAAATTTTACATAATTTTATATATATTTTATTCTATTATTATTACATAATAATATTATACATATTAATTGTTTTAATTTTTGAATGCATACGATAATTTTTAATTCAATTTTTAAACGAATGTTTTGATGGGACGAGCTTACTGCTCATAGGCTCATCCCATCAAAACATTCCATTCAAAACTCTGGCCTTCATCGAGGCCAGAGCCAACAATTCATCCCCTCAGAGCCAAGTTCCTCGACGGTCGTCCTCATTAGGCCTGATCCGAGAGGAACTTGGCTTTGAACGAAAATCACAAGCTCTGGCCTCAGAAAAAGCCAGAGCTTCGCAAACAATCCTCGGGGCCGGCTTCCTCAAAGACCGCCCTGATTCGGGGCGGCCGGAGAGGAATCCAGTCCCGAGAGAACGTCCATACGAAGCTCTGGCCTTTTCCGAGGCCAGAGCTTGTAAATACAATCCGCAGGGCCGAGTCTGAGGGAGATCGTCCACATCATTGGCGATCTCCTCTCTTCTCGGCCCTGAAAGACATGCAAATACAGGCTCTGGCCCAAGCAAAGGCCATGCATTCATGGCGAGTTCTCGATGATCGTCTCTCGGTCTCGCAGGAACTCGGCCCTGAAAGACATGCAAATACAGGCTCTGGCCCAAGCAAAGGCCAGGGCTTCGTTTTAAATGCCCAGGGCCGGTTTCCCCAAATGCCGCCCTTATCCCGGGCGGCAGGAGTGGAATCCGGCCCTGGGAAGTAGAAAATACGAAGCTCTGGCCCAAGCAAAGGCCAGAGCCTGCAAAATTCATCCTCAGGGCCGAGTTCTGCGATGATCGTCGATCATGTCGACGGTCTCGCAGGAACTCGGCCCTGAAAGACATACAAATACAGGCTCTGGCCCAAGCAAAGGCCAGAGCCTCGCTTACAATCAAATTTGCCGAATCTCAGGAGATCGTTCAAATCACGGACGGTTTTCCCTGAGATTCGGCAAAATAAGTCAAATTACAGTTCTAGAAAGACTAGAAGGGGGCCCTGACCTTGAGAAAGGACCCCCTTCCCGGTCTTTCTGGCGAACTTTGGTTCGCATTGCGAGTGTCTGCTGCGAATCCGGGGCTGAGCAGCAGACACTCGCAATCATATGTCGCGGCAAGTGCACCTGTGGTGCCAGAATGCACTTGCCGCGACAATTGCGAAATGCAAAGATGATGCCGGAAGGAGCGGCAATACTGGCAAAAGCCACTCCTTCCGACACCAGAAAGACTAGAAGGGGGCCCTGACCTTGAGAAAGGACCCCCTTCTCGGCCTTTTTTGTTAAATTTAAGATTATTTCAATTGCAAAATTATTTCAAAATTCATAATGGATAGTACCATACGAAGGTGCAAGTCATAGCAATGGTGCACCATCAATATGAGCCCCATTGCTATGACTTCACCTCGGGATAACCTCGATGGGAGGAAAAGTGGAGCAATTCGAAACATTGCTCCACTATACAAGTTCTTGTAAGGATAGGTATATAGTTACCACATCCTTACAAGAACTGTTCCTCGCTTCGAGGTTTTGTCTTGTGATTGTGTGTGCTGTGCCATCCAATGGACAAACGGATAGCACAGCACACACATACTAGGCATGATAACCCTTCCCTATGAATTAGGACGCGATAGCCCTGACCTCACCCCGGGATAACTTGCATTTGTACTCATATCCCGATCAATAACATAATTTATATCAAGACACACCTACCACTACATAATATAGCATTATATCAACACAATACTAATATATAATGTTAAAAACACACAAATTGATGATATTCATAATATAAATTGGGACCAAAGATCTATATTGAGACCTAACTATTATCAAACCTTTATATATAGGAAACATACATTGCACCTATAGAATATTGAATGAAAATTAGATGGTTCTAAAATTCGATATCTGATGCTGACCCAAGGTGGTCCTCATTCCTATATATTTTCATCTATACCTAATGTCCTAATATTCATCCATATACATGTTGGGTCTATCTCCATCAGAAGGGTCCATGCTGAAGTGTGGGTATTCAATTTCCACCCAACGGTTCAGCACGCCTCGGTGAATTTCTTTATTGTTTGCATCTACGAAATAATAGGTATCCTTTCCTTCACCTGTAAATAATGGCTGCCCTCTGAATTGAATGGCGATATTTTGACCGTTACTGTCTAAACCATCAAATGTATAACCTGCGTTATTTCTTTCAACCTGAATGTTAAACATAAAACTGGTTCCATCACTGAGAGGGTTTTTGTATCATGTGCCATCGCTTGCGTTCTTTTTCATTGTGATGGAGTCCTCGAATTCTTTAGTACATCTTAAACCATTAGATAAATCACCTGCTATTAATTGATACTGTAAGAATCTAGCGCCCTGAGTGCTAACCACTTGAGCTGGTATGTTTTGACCGTTAACGGTTAGCTGGCAATTATCATAAATTGGGTTTTCAAAGACGGTATAATCGTTATCATGTTTGGAGAACATCACTGAAAAACACGTTACGTTATCCAATGGAATGTTTAACGTTGATTGTATACCTGCCTGAGTTGCTGCCAATGGAAATGCATTATAATTTAACTCTTGCGATGGAATGTAAACTGGCTGTTTAAATAAATTATAAATTGACTGTTTAGCCTTTTCATTAATCTTGAAACCATACATGTTAGACTTCAATGACTGAACACTTAAGCCAGTCATGATATACCTAACTTCTCCGCTTTCTGGAGTGTAAATGTCAACACTTTGCCCGCCAATTGTTTCAGTTCTTTTGCTCACGTTTGTGAAACCGTAACTTGGATTATTAACCTGTGAAAATGCGTGAGTAAATCCAGCGCCCGTAGTTGTTGAAAATGTAGCGTTCAAATCTTCTCCTTCTCTAATTGCTTTATAATCTCTGACCTTTTCTGGATTCAATAGAGCATAAACAAATCCTTTCTTTTTAATGTAAAATTTAAGTTCAATATCACCAATGCAGAAATTAGGGAACATGTCAAATGCTTGAAGTGCTAATATATCATCAAATGGTATATTTATTTCATATTCCTCAACGTGTTCTTTACCGTCTGCATAATCTGCTAAATTAACGAACACACCGGCTGCCGACTCACTATAATTTTCCACGTTCTCATATAAGGAGTGTGTATATTTCTTTGTTTTCTTTTCATTATGTGGTTTAAGTGTTGAATATGCGAAACCCTCTCTTACCATCTCGTTTTGTGTGTATCCTGTCGATTTATTACGATTCTTTATAAATAACGGGTCCATTATATGAGATGAAGATTTTAAGCCAATGAATGATTTAAACAAATGGTGTGGGTCATTATCTTTAAATGCTGTATTCAAACCTACAAAATATTCTTTCTGTCTAATCTTGAATGTTAAAAATCCGTCTGTAATCTGTGATATGTCATGGTCTGAATGCGTTATTGAAATTGTTGTATATTGTGAATCATCGAATGGTGCCGCTTGGTCGTGGCAGTCTGTAGTTCTTAAGAAGAAGCTGCGGGTGCCGTCATTAGTTTGTATTAAATTCTTTATAATATTTTGAAAATAGGCGGCAACATTGCCCGTCCTTTGTTCCGTGTTGTTCATTCTCTTATTTTGTTTACTGTTCATTTTATATAAAATAAAAATATAAATTATATATATAAATTAATTTTTTTAATTTCTCATAAAATATGGCTTGGGGCTTTTGGAACAAACTTAAAAAAGGTTTCATTAAAATAGGAAACGGAATTAAAAAGGGCTTGACATGGGTGAAGGATCATATAATAAAACCAGTAGTTAAACCATTAGTTAATACATTTGGTGGAGCTCTTGATAAAGTAAAACCAGGATTAGGGACAGCGCTTAACGCTGGCGTAAATATTGGCTCTGGTTTGGTTGATGATTGGAGTGGTTCAGGTGATGGTTCAACTACTCGCAAAGCAATGCAAGACGTTGGCTGTTGGGTTAATCGTCGACTTAATAAATAAACCTTTCACTCATTAATTTAAATTTTTATTTTTCCCATTTATTTTAAATATTTATTTTTCCTACTCTTTCGCTCCTAATGAATTTTAACATTTTCACATAAAATCCTAATGAAACTAATGATGTGTTTAAAAATATTATTTGCGTTTTAAAAAATTTTTCAGTGGTGAGGTCATATGCGAGAGGTGGTATTGTTTAGACGTGAATATGAAAAACAGAAATGATGAGAGCAGAGGAGCGGAGCGATTGGGTCTCAACTGAATGTTTTTTGGTTCACTCTAAAAATACCACGTCACATACTACTGGAAGATATATTAGTAATATATCTAGTAAAGTTTATAGTCCATTGATAATGAATAGCCTAATGTATAATATTGTTATTCAAATTTCGAACTTGTGCTTTTATATAGCCACTAATTTATCTTTATGAGCAGTTATTACTGTAGGTACAACATCTATGTACAAGATATTTGATATTTTACAGATAATGCCTGACTTATTGTACTAATTAATTGATCCTAGCTGAAATTACGACACTCAAAGTTAGCTTATTCATCTTAAAACGTTAAGAGTTCCTCGTCTCCTGTTCAAAACTTGACGGCCCTCTCAATTTTTAATTTTTATGACAAGATAAGTCAATTGTTTCTAACTTTATTTTTTAACTATCTCGACACAAGATCCTGTTTACGCTGATTTTGACTTCCATTGATATACTATAGCCCAAACTTCTGAAAAAAGCTAAAGAAAAATAGCAAAGATACTTTCTATCAATATATTGTTGGTAAATCCAAGCATTGCCCACAGGCCAAGCCATCTTGAAGGATTCTTTAATACAATGGTACCAGCATACGCGAATATTCTTCAAAATTCGTGCAACATAAAGAAAACAGAACTAGGATAATAAAAATGGAGTTCTCTTGTGAAATGTTTTTGAATAAGCATAATTTCTTTATTATCAACGTAGTAAATTCTGAATTTTTATTTCTAAACGTGTAAATTTTTCTATAATGTCTTCTACACCTTCTGATGAATCTGATATTAAAAAAGCGGCTGGAAACCTTGGAGCATCAGATCCTGTAACACCAAAGCTTAGATCGAATTCAAATAGATCAACTTCATCCTTCGATTCACCAAGATCACCTTTATTTTCTAAAGAAGATCAAATAGAAATACAGCAAAATCGTAGAAAACTGGAAATGGAAATCATAACTCTTGATCATAAATTAAAATCACTTCAAACTGAATTTCAAAATTTAAATTCAAAATTAGTTTCGCATGGAGAACTTACACAATTAAAGGCTCAAACTAGGTTAAAGATTTTCGATGATCAAAATACTCAAGCGAATCAACTTATAGATGATTATATTGAAACTATCCAATCAGTACGAGCTGCTCAAGCAGCAATAATAGTCCTCGAACAAAAAATTCAGGAAGAGTCAGAAAGACGTAAAATAATTATTGATGAATCAAATTCTGTTCTAAATGCTTTAGATTTTTCAGATATGAAGTTTACTTCTCCAAAACTTACAGATGTTGATGATAAACTCGACAAATCTGTAAAGATTGATATGGATAGACTAAGGATAGACATTCAAAATACTCAAAATTCAATATCATCTTTAGAAAATTCGCATCAGTTTTTACCAATACAAACAAGTGTAGCAAATGAAATGAAAAAGTCATTTGAATCTGATATTTCTCTTCGTTCAATCGGTACAGCAGCAATCAGATCTGAAATTCAAGCAAATCAGAAGCTCATAGCAACAAATGACAGCGAAATACGTAAATTTGAAATGGAAATAAACGAAATGAAAGCAAATATGGATAGAATTAAGAAAAATATCCAGACAGAAAATATTAGTCACGAAACCCAATTAAATATTGCAACAACTTCATTTAAACAGCAAATGGCACAGTTAGATACTGATCTTGAATTTTTGAAGACTAAACTATCAGATACTGCTTTAATTTATGATAAAATAGCAGAAGAAACAAAAATGATGGAGACTAAATTCCAGAATTTTTCTTCAGAAGAAAATCCAGAAGAAGATATGGATGAAACAGAATCAGAATATCCAATTGACTATTCCACTAATTATAACTCATTGCAAAGCAGTTCCCAGCCAGATGACAATACAGAGTTGATTTTAACTGCAAGAAAGAAAGAATTAGAGAATGAAGTTTCAGAATTAAGTTCGAAATTCAAAGAAATGAAGAAAGATGCGCTGAAACGCGAAAACTTCCTGAAACAAACTATTCTTAAACTCAATAATAGATTTAAAGAAAATAGAGATATTTTGATTCATTCTGGATTTAATTTTGCTATTTCGCCTTCTAGTCCGTCTGGATCTGGAATAACGAAGAGCCTTGATAACTTGATTATTAGAATAGATAATTCTTTGTCAGAGCTAAACCTCAGCTCAAAATAAAATGTTTTGTATTTATGTTAGAAAAATTTCAACTAATTTTTACGACACTGATATAACCTGTAAGTGTACATTATAATGTTATTAAAAATAATATCTGAAATGACATTTTTAATAATGTTATCCTTGAATATCAAATATTTCTAGATCTTCAGCATTAAAAAAATCATCCTATATAGATAGAACACATAATAATTCATTAGAAATATGATGATTTTAGAATGACTCAAAGCTAAAATCTTCGACATGTGATATGAAAAATAGTCCTTTATAAAAATGAGTAAAGTTAAGAGACCTAAGATGATCAAAGAAAATGATCCACGTGTAAGTGGAAATGAGCATAAAAACCAAAAAGACGACAAGCCTGAAGCAGTCGTTGAAACTTTAGCACCAACATCAATGTTCTTCAGTTATAACCAAGCTCTCGGACCGCCATATCACATTCTTGTTGACACTAACATGCTTTGGCAAACAGTTGCCGATAAAGTTGACCTTATTGATGGTATGCAAAAATGTTTGCTTGCAAAATGTGTCCCAATTGTTACAGATTGCGTTGTTGCAGAGCTTGAAAAATTAGGTAGAAAGTTCCATCTCGCACTCAAACTTACAAAAGATCCTAGAGTTAGACATCTTAAGTGCGGATGTCATGGAAATTACGCTGATGACTGCATAGTAAATCAAGTTACGAAAAACCGTATATACTGCGTTGCAACAAACGATAAAGATTTAAGAAGACGTATTAGAAAGATCCCCGGTGTTCCAATTTTGTACCTTCACCAGTTCAAATTCCAAGTTGAACGTCTCCCAGATAGTGATTTTGGCCCAAGACACTTCTAATCATTGAGTTTATTTGATTTTTTGTCCATAGAAAATAAAATTATAGAATTTTTTAGATTAACTTTTTCATTATCTTTTCAAAACTCATACAAAAATAGTTTAATAAGTAAAATAGCTCTATTTACATTTTAAAATTCTCTATATAAATTATTCTTTTTTCTCTTCTTTTGTTTCAGGTTCTTTCTCTTCCGTTTCTTCTTTCTTCTCATCTTCTTCAACGTAGTCTTCTGGTTTCTCTGTATTTGTTGCATATTTCGCCTCTAATTCGGCTATAACTGAGTCTTTGAGTTTCTTTGATGGTGGCATAATTTGAAGACCGTCATCAATGTAAAAGATGGGCATTTTAGGGTATAAACGTTGTATTGTTTTACGTAGTGGTCCATCCTGGGTGCAAACTATTCCATTAAAGCCGTGTTTGAGGTTATCAAGAATGCAATCACGTGGGTTCATCGGCTTGTGTGAACTGCATTTGAAAAGTTGGCATTGTTTTTTACAAAATTGAACTGTGCTCTGCATATTTTTGTCCTTTAAAGAAGAAACTTCAAGGAGTCCGCATTCTGTAACTTTTAAGAAGACTTGTCCCTTGAAAATCTCAGTAAATCTATCCTTTAAGTTGATTTTTGAATCTAATGAAGCAAAAATGAAATTTGGATCACATAATACCAAATATGGAGGATGAAGACCAAAGGAAGTCTTGAAAAATCGCATTGCGCTTTTCAATTTCTTCATATGTGTCACACGATTCATGAGATTTTTATAAATCAAACAAAGCTTATCAAAATAAGGCAACCTTTTTAAATTTTTTCGACCCTACAAAAAATATCATTTTTTTTAATTTTCTTTTTTTTTTATTGTTTGATATGCAATCAAATACATTTCAATTCAGCTTTTGCTCATTTCCAGATAAGCCAGATGCAGAACGATTAACAGCCAAAGTTACTGTTTCAAAAGATAATTGTTATATTGAATACCCTCAAAATCAACCTTATACTACAGATGTACCTCCTATAAATGATGTGCAACTTCCAAATGAAGACATTGCTCCAGATGTTTCAAGTCATGTCGACGTGTATTCTTCAGATCAGGATTTCAATTCATTTTATTTGTTTTGATTTATTCGCAATACTACACTTTTAGTGCTCTTCTCATAATCTTTGTTTGAAATCTAAATATTTAATTTTTTAAATACAAAAAGTAAAAAGTAAACAGAAAATGTTTTTCGGAAATACTATAAAACGATGAAAGAACTTTCTAAATTTATTTAATCAATGAAAAAATAATTTTAACAATTGCAACCAGAATCGGCTTTCTTATCGGCTGTAGCAATATGTGGAGCTGTTGGTGGCTGGAAAGCGCCAACTAACTTTCCAGACTTAACGTTCTCGTGTAATGTTTTAGCCAAGCGTACAAATGCTTCGTTAACGTTTGTTCCATCCTTAGCAGAGGTCTCTAAGTACTCGAGTCCGTGTCTTTGTGCATAATCCATTGCTTCTTGTGTTGTAATTTGACGGCCTTCATTGCAGTCTAATTTGTTTCCGATTAAAAGGATGACTGCATTAGGTGTTGCTAGAGATTGGAGATCATTGAGCCAGCCGTCAAGTTCTTGGAAGGACTGCTGGTTATCAAGTGCGAAAGTTAAGATGCCACCAGCAGCACCTCTGAAATAAGCCTTTGAAACTGAACGGAATCTCTCTTGTCCAGCTGTATCCCAAATTGAGAATTTTGCAACCTCAGAGTCGGTTGTTATTGTAAATGTTTTGAATTCAACGCCAACTGTTGATTGCTTTTCTTCACTGTAAATTCCATCAACAAGACGTTGTACAATTGATGTTTTGCCAACACCAGAAGAACCTACAACAACGATCTTGTAATTAGCTTCAGGTAATTTACTCATTTAAAGATGATTCCACAGTAAAAGTGACCGTATCGTCAGATGTGACAATTGATTTTTTATCTTTCAGATCAAAATTCCTAGCGGCAGAGATTTCTGATTAAAGGATATAACATTTTATAGCGAATTGATGGCCATGGGTTATTATGTTGCATGCTAAGTTCGGTCAACGATAGAAATTGAGTGGAAATTAATCGTCGAGGAAGTACGATTATGTAAAGTAAAAAAAATGTTGTGGGATTTTTAATATTATATATTATCTTATAATAAAATTTTTTTGAGTCATTTTAAGAAGCACATATAATTTTTTGAATTTAAAAATTAAAGTAGTGTCAAACGAATTTATCACTTAATTTAATACTCAGATTTCTTAAAATTAATGAAAAAAAGGTTTTCTGAGAACTTTTGAGAATTGTTTTCAAATTCCATTATTGAAAATATATAGGTATTGTATGAAATTCAAACTCTATATTTATTAAAATTCTAAATTTTTAATAAAAATAACTTTTCAGAGGAATATGATTTTGAATGGTTGATTAATAAGTATAAAAATGTCTACGATTTTAAGGAGGGAATTGTTCCTTATGAGGTATACATCATAACTATATACCTCATAAGGAACAATTCCCTCTTGATAGCTGGGAAACTTTCTCTGAATAACTTATCATTTGGAGAAAGTTTCCCAGCTATCTATTAGAAACTAAAGGCTGTGAGGCACTAATATATAATCAGTGCCTCATAGCCTTTAGTTTCTTATTAAAAACGAGAAAACTTGTTCGAAATGATAAACAATTTCGAACAAGTTTTCTCATTTTAAGGAGGGAATTGTTCCTTATGAGGTATACATCATAACTATATACCTCATAAGGAACAATTCCCTCTTGATATCCTGTATATTTTTGAATATATTTTTTTAATTAAAGTTCTCAAAAGTATTATCAAAAGTGATTTTTTAAAAATATCTCCAATTAATTAACTAATTAAAAGTATTATATTTTTAAAATTAAATAGTTTTTCAATTTTTTTGAAGGAATTGAGATACTTCCCACGACAATAAAATTGAGAGGTTTACATTATGACTGATCTTAGCATGCAACAATTATTGGGAAAAGCTTTGCTCTTTCGAAAATTATGCCAAATGTAAATTGGAATTAGTTAAATTGATATGTTGTAATACTCTAATTATGTTTCAGGTCTTATGTATAAATGGCATTTCCCATCGATATTATCATATGATATCATTACTCATTAGATTTTTTGCTTTTTCTCATTTCTGTTGATCGAGAACATAAAACATTTCTCAAAAAGTTTAGATAAAGCTTATTTCTTATAGATAATCATTAATGTTTCTTGATATTTTGAAATTCATATCATCTATTTATGTTTTTGAAGAAGATTGCTTGTCCATGCATTGTAATCAAAATTATCTCTTCAATGCATATAAGATACATAATGAGCATGTAATATATGAAATAAATCCTTGTATATTCATGATTTTTAAACAGAAAGGAACTGAAATATAGTTTTGTTGTTGATTTTATAATAAATTTAAAGATTATTGTCAATATCACTTTGTGAAAGGAAGTTTACAAAAAAGTGATGCTTTTTCTCATAAAAAGCTTTTTTTATTTCAAAACAAATTATGGAGAGTCAAGTTTTAAACTCTGCTGACATTCTCCTCTCCATTTTCCCTTCAATTGAAGATCAGCTGATATGTATCGCCAACAAATTTGAACGCGATTTGTCTGTAGCAGTTGAAAGGAAATCTGGAAAGATAATTTACAACACGCCAGCCTTAGCATCGCTTTTAACACGCTTCCCACACAGTTACAGTTCATATTCCAAGTGTGTAAACGACTTTGTAGACGTCGGAAGAAACTCACCTGATGCAGCGATTTCAGTTCTATTCAAATTGCTTCCGATTAGAGCAAAGTGTGATCTTTACCACAGAATTATTCCTAAAATTGCAATGGATCCTGCTTTCGATCAAATTCTCGATTTATTTTTAACGTTATTCTTTGCAGATTGTGTTACACAAATTCTTACAGAAAAACCCGATACTAAGTATTACCACTCATTAATACTCATTGGTTACAAGAATGCTGCAAAGTTTTCAGAAGAGTACGAAGAACCCCTTCGTGTACAAATCGTAAAGCAATTCTCTGTAATCTTCTCGCTTTTATCAATCAACCACCTTAACGAATTAATTACAAGATTCAACAATTTCGTTGAAAAATACGATATCGGTTTATCCTTACTTCTCAATCGTTATATTCGCTTATCAGTTACCCAAGAAGTATCATTTGAAACATACAAACGGTTTATTGATAAATTTGCTGATTTTTCGGATGTTTTAAAGAAAGATCGCAGATCTCTTGATATGTGGGCCGAAGCATTCTGTTCTTTACTTACACAGATCAAGCCTGAAGCTGCAGATAGCATTAAAGACGCTCTCAAGAAGATTTTCAAAACTGCAAACACAATGGCAAGCGATAAAGAGACTGTTAAGTGGTATCTCATGCTCTGCTCAGTCATTATCATAAGATACGATGCACTTTACAAGAAGGAATACGCTACTTTCATACAAGAAAGAATATTAAAGAAGAAAGAACGTCTTAACAAGCTCGAAGCCAAGTTAAACTCATTCCTTATCATTATTCGTGGTCCGAACTCGTCAAGAAGTACTCAATTCTGGGAGTGGGGACAATATAATGCGACAGCTCATCATGGCATTGAAATTTCATTCATTAATGATCCAACTCAGAAACAGGACGCTCCAGATTCATACACAAACATGTTTTTCGACCACTTTGTCGCTGATAATCCGATCGAAAAATTCCCAGATGTCGTTGGAGACATATTAGTTAATTTTGCCTCAAGAGATTTCAATCACTTTATGCTGACAACCATTCCTAATTTGATTGCAAAGCTCGGAGAAGAGAGATCTATGTTATCTCTTCACGCCTGCCTTTCACAGCTTGTTGATACCCACGCAAAATTCGCTGGATGGGCTCAGAGTTCGCCTCTTAACAAGAAGATCCGTGTTGACGTTAACATTCACTCATTCTTCATGCAAATTAAGTCTTTGCTGCTTAAATCCATAGATAAGATCACTCCACAAGAGTTCACAAATGACGCTTACTGCTTTGAACTCGATGAATCCCCTGATGTTCCTGTATTTAGTTTACCATATTCCACATCTCCACTTTCAGAGGCCACTAAGTCGAGAATTGCTCATTCCACAGAGATTGTAACAAAAGCTCTCGAAGAATGGGAGTTCGCAGATAACTCTATTGGTTATGATTTGACAATCGACTTTTCTACATATGAATCCACCACAAAGAACGAGAGATTTACCATCAAGATGCTCTCATTCCTTCCTATCATCATCAATACTTCCGATTTATCTGCGCACGACAGAATTGAGAATCTTTTAACGACAGTTTTATCTTCTTCTCGCTCCATTTCATACTACGCTTTACGTGTTATCAATCAGATCTTCATTGTCAACGAATCAGCCCGTATTATCATATACAATGCGATCATAAACAAAATCCTCAGTACAATCAACAGGCACCACGTATTTATTCTTATCCAGTTCTTAGTTAAACTCCTCGATAAGACATTACCACTCGATACAAACAAAGAACAAAACGAGAATTTTGTTATCGAGTGCCAATCTCTGTTTTTGCTCTTAATGTGCTACCACATTGTCGAAATCCGTGAACTAGCACTCAACTTCATAGAGAAAATCCAGAGATTCGCTTCTGGAATGGAAATAGAAGTTCCGATATTTGATACTTTGAACGATAACTCATCATTAATATCCGCAGCCGTCAGATCCCACATCTATGTCCACAATACGAGCCGTCTCGATACTCCTCCTCCAACAGATAATCTTTGTACTTATTCCGAAGTGGCAACATCACGTTCTGACAATTTATTCCAGTACTACATCGAAGAAAGCATGTGTGCTCTCCAAAGACCAAACTGTATCCCTGTTCTCATCCGAACACATCAAATTATTACACAAGCAATGAGTTTATTTGGAGATTGCCTACCTTGCGATCTTCCTCCATCCAGGGCCTTGTTGTACCAGAACTTTTTGACCGTTTTGACCCATACATCTCCTGTATTGAACCCATTAGTCCAAAACAGGATGAAGAACGAGCTGAATCTAGAACAGAACGTCGCAAACTACAGAAATACGGTGTTTTTCACAACAACAAACGAAAAACACCTCCAACAATTAACGGATAACCGCGATAACGCGATAAAAGTTGCTTCATCACTAGTTTCATACTTGAAAGTTGATGAAGAGCATCCAGATCGTGTGAAGAACTCCGTAAACTTCTTCAAGCACATTCATTGGACAATTCTTTGTGATTTATTACCTGTTCTTGGCGAATTCGTCCAGAAAGAGCCTGTATCCACTAACATTGACCTGTTATCATACATTTCTGAGATTTTCAGTCTAATTGGCGAGAATTCCAACATAATGTTTGCTTTGGCAGCGAATGATGATGCGAAGAACGCTTTTGCTAAGTATTTCCAAGCAGCAGAAGCCTATTTCCTCGAAAACAAACTGAATGGAAGTCGCAGATTTACTGATGTCTCTCAAATGAACCAAACAGAGCTTTTATCACGCAAACAAACATGTTTGGCCTATTGCAGAGTTGTCAACTTCTTCCTTTCCGCACTTACACCCATCAAGATCTATCCAGCGGAAGGCGCCATTCGCATTCCAGAACAAAATCCATGGCTGAAAGAAGGAAACTGGAAAGATTCAGAGAAAAAGATCACATTGGCGTTTTTAGTCAATTGGGGAAAGTTGAATGATTCAGATAACGCTGATTACTTTGATTTGGCAAATGCCGCATCATTAGCAATCATTGCTTTCATCAGAGTCATCAACATCTTCTCTCCTCTCTATGTCATTCCTACTGACTTAGAATCAATTATTATAAACCTGGAAAAGGAAGGACACAACGCATTGCAATCTATATTAACAACGCATTATGATTACATGATGCCTGTTTTCCTTGGATACGCGTACAACGCACCTCCTGACTTGGCTCCGATGTTTTTCAAAGCGATTTGCATGCAATTCACGAATCTTTCTCTCGACACGAAAAAGATCATTGCTGATCAGATGATGGAAAGATTCGCTCCTCAAAAACTCGCTGAAAGGACATCGTCTTATTTGAGTCTTTCGCCAGGAATAAAGAGAATGGCGAGAGTCAGAACAATGATACAGGATTTAACAGTGAATTTGTCAAACAGAGATTTGGAATACAACAAACAATTCGCTGAATACGCTGGCAAATTCATTCCTATTTCTTTGATTTACCTTTTGCATGAAGATTTCACTTTGCGTCAGACATCCTTCAAGTTCCTTCAGAGAATCGCTTGCACGGCACATCATTTGTTGAATACAAACAAAGATGATGGAAAACAAACAGCTTTGTTTGTCAAAAAACTTCAACAATTAGCACCATCATTTTTCTCAACACATGTTTCGATTACTGTTGATATTATAATGAATGTTGCTGAGTTGTTTGCTGAGTATCTCCCACAAGTAAGCGAAGTCTTGATACAGGAAGTCTTCACACAAATAACAACAGCTGCAAAAGGTTCTTTAATCAACCAATCAATTAAGGCTACTTTACTTCAGATCACTTCACTTTTCATGAGAAATCTTAAACTTGACAAGAACAACAATTGGCCAAGTTCATTTGTTTTTTACACACCTTATTCTCTCATGATGTCATTGCTTGATATTTTGCCATCTATTGACCAAAACTCATTTTCACATTATTTAAGTTTGTGGACAAATCTCGCGAACAACGAAGAAAACGCGAATTTGATCATTAAGTTCTTAGTCCAAGCATCAAGTGATGTTTCGAATGAAAGGTCTGTTAAAGTAGTTATGTTGCATCTTGCTAAAAGATACTCAAAGAATATAATCGAAGAATTAGTTCATCAACTAACATTTGCTTGTTGGTGGAATAACACGATGCAAGGAAGAATTCAGTCTGATGCTCCTCCATCACATGAAACACAGTCTGTTCAGTCATACATAGCTATTTTGAAGACATTGACTGATCTTTCACAGGCTTATCCACAAGAAGTTTCTAATTATATACATATAATTGTTAACTTTTGTTTGTTGTTTTATGATATCGATCCTGCATTGAATGCTGAGTTGATGCTGATTATTCTCTGGTCAATGCCGCAATGCCCTGAATCTCTTGTCTCAATCTTCGCTCCTCCATGCGCTTTGATTTGGTCGAGAGCTTCTGGAATCGAGTTCACGGAGAATATGAAGAAAGACGACAACTCAGTGTCATTCACACTCAGGCAATACAGAAAAGAACCTGTTTCCATTGTTGATTTCACAAACCAATTTGTTTCTTTCCTCCGCAAACACAATAAGACGGAACAAGCTTGCGAATGGGGCAAAGAAGCACTTAAATGGGCTTGTGGATGTGGTAATTTGGAAGTTGCTGGTCGTGCTTGTTTATTGTATTCTGAGATCTTAGAACCATTAGACAGCAACTTAGTTACTGATTTAATCAACGCGTTCAAAGTTGTCACTGCTTGCAATCCAGATAATACAAGGAGATTCTACATTTCTACAATTATCAAGGCATTGGAAAGTGTTGTTGACATCAAGGCAGAGGATAAAGAATTCAAGGATTCTATAGAGAAAATAGCTTTGGTTGTTCATCCTCTTATTAAGTATCCAGAAGAAGAATCATTATGTATTTCCGCATTGGCCATTTTCGCGAAATACATTTTGTGCGGTGATATTTCCAATGAATTGTTGATTGACACGATTAATTCCATTGCTCCTTTGTTTGGATGTTTGTCAAGACAAGAAGCGTTGATTGGCATCCTCCTTGCGATTTTCAGCAAGATGAAAGACAGGACAGACACAAAGATGCCATTGACTTTGTTCACATTCTTCCTGCCAACGATTTTCAAGATGGTTTCCGCACAACAAAACATTCAGCCTTATACAAGTGTTGTCACCGATGACACTGAAATCAAGAGTGTTTTGGAGTCATTGTTAATGATAGCACAATGCAAGTGCTTCAATGAAGATATACAACAATATATCTTCACAACAATTGGCTCATTAACAAAGGAATCAATTCATCCGTCCGCTTTCATTCTTGGTATTGCAATGCATTTGATTTCTATTGATGCAAAAAGTGTCATGGATGCAGCACCACTTTTCACATCATTAGTTTATCATTCTTCTCCTGACATGATGAGCGCAGTGTTCAGCACAATCAGTTCTATCATTGAAGCATCAAATTGCGCTGCTCCTTTCTCAGCAATTGTCGAATTCTCAACAAGAATCGCTTCGATCGAAGCTGTTAAAGTTCAGGAAGCTTTCTTGAGAGATTCCCAAAATCCTGATAAACAGAAGATTGCTGGGCAACAAATCTACGCAATTGTTGAGCACAGGAAATGGTCTGATATTGTGAAGATAATTGGAGATCCAACATTCACTACAATAAGCGGAGATTCTGCTTTGGACAAACCAATTCCAATGGCTCCAATTGATGAAGACCTTTGGAAGGAAGAAAAGGCGCAGAAGGCAAAGGAAGCTGTCCAGGACATCATTGTTCAGCCATTCACTGGAACAAAGAAGATAATGGATGACATGAGAGTTGCTGCTCTTTATAAGGAAGGTGGTGAAATTCAGGTAGACAGAACAATCGGTGGATATTTGTCTTATAAGAATGCTCTCAAAGATATTCAAGAATAATCATGATTTTTTTTAGTTTATTTTATTAAAAAACAAGTAAAATTTTTATTTTTTTCCTTAATTATATTTCTTACCAACAAGTAATGGATCGTTTCAGTGTGCTTAGGATTCGATGATATTTCAAAATGAACTATAGTTTTAATTGAATCATATGATCTCAAGCGTCGTAATGAGAAATTGGAAATGAATGGTATATGTATCTTTTAATATTTTAAGTTTATTTCACATTAAGACTGACCAAAATGCGTTAATTCTATGATTCCTTATCTAATATACCATAAAATACAGCACCATTCTTATGAAATGAAATATGAATGCCCATAAAAATTGTGATAATGCTTTGAGAAAATTGAGGACGGATGAATCGCCTAAATTGAGTTATCTGAATCGATTTAACTGAAAACATGCTAGTTTAGCTTAAAACTTATAGTTTTCAATTCATTATTTAATTTGTCCGATGTTTATATGAATAAAAAAGCAGTAAACTAGTGAATATACTGTTAGTTAATTATAATTTAGAGTAAATTACTATTCAATGCGGCGAAATAAAAGTCACAAAAAAATTCGCGTTATATTTTTTCAAGTCGCCTACGTAAATCAAGTTATATAAAGACTCATTAATGCGTACATTAATATTTATTTACTCTTTTTTTGATCTCAATGAGTTGATGTTTTTTATATCGGCTTTTCTGAAATTTTACTCAAAATCAAATAAACGATGACCAAAATCGCTCTCAAAAATTTAAATTGAGGGGAGACACAAATTAGATATTTATTTTTTGATGATCATGGAATGAACAGAATAAGCAGTATGTTTTATTAAAATCATGATTGGCTTCATTCTCAATCTATGGCCTAGATTTCATTCAATTTCTTTTTTAAATGAGCATTGAAATTTTGATATGAATAAAAGTCATCATTCTTTTTAGCTTCCCATTAGTACTATGCTCCGCAACACATTCGGATTTGCACATGATAATGACTACATGCCTCTCATGAACGGAAACAAAGCGTACATCCGTGTTGAGTCTGTCAACACTGGTGGTTTTCCTGTATCAAACAAAACATCCCTTATTGCATGTGTTGGTCCAAGAACATCATTCATGAGACATCAAGCAGAGTTTACACCAAAGACATCTCCATCAAATACATGGGAATTCAAGTATAATGATCCATCTAAGTCATCTTTTGTTTTCTGCCTTTTCAAGAAGCATTTATTCGGAGGTGATGAAGAAATTGGAGAGATTGAACTCCGCCTCTCTGGATTTGAACCAAATACTGTTGTTCGCAGTGAATTCACACTCAAAAGTCCAAACTCAAAAATGGTTCCAGCCACTGCTATCATCAGTGTTCACCTTTGTGAAGATGGAAGTTTCCCATTCTGTGCTCCACTTGATGGCAAGGTTCTTTCAAACCCAGAAATCCAGCACTCAAAGACTTATTTCAAATAAGAATATAATTATATAGCAAAAAGGGAATTTAATATATTATTTTTGCTAATGTCATATAATAAAGAACACTATCTGTTTAATTTTTTCTATAAAATCGAAAAAAACAAAATGAAAATTTTGTTACCTTTTTATTTTCAAAAAGTATGGCATAATATAGATAACTTTGTTTATTTACACACAAATGAACCTTTTATCCAAGCATAAACTCTTTAATATACCTTCATCTTTTTAAATATTGTTTTAAAGGACTGAGCATTAATGATATAGCTATATAAATAAATTTTGGAATGAAATATTTATTCATGCATGCGTTTTATAGAAAAGATATTTCATCAATATTATGAAGAAGCTATTTAAGCTTGAATGTGCTTAGTATAATACTGATCATCTCCATCCATAATAAAAACTTGCAGCGAATAAAGAAATTACACATAATTTTCGATAAATAATTTGTTTAATTCAAATTTAGTCAATACAAAGAATCTAAATCATTTCGAAGGAAATCAAAATTGAAACTAGCTAATTTGAATGTGAGTTGAAAGAATTAAAGAAATTTAAAGAATAATTTCACAAAGTAATTCTATTCTATCAAGATATAACCAAAATCTGACCTCAAATTGCAAAAATCATTATTATAAATTATTTCTTGTAAATGCCAAATACTTGAATATTGTTTGACCCGTCAAAATTTATAATTTCAGTGTAAGAGCCGATAACTTCATCATCAAATGACATGAAAGGGTGAAAAGACAAATGAACTTATGGCGAATCAGCACATGTATAAATAGTTCTTCTCAGTTGTTTGATCTCTTGAATTCAAACTCTATTTTTTGGAAATTTATTTTGATTATTCCAAAGAAACACTGCAAGCGTAAATGATACATTATAGTATGAGCTATATATTTCAAATTGATAATAAATAAGAATAATTGCTGGCACAATAATTCGGATTTGAACTTACAAAATGAATTTTTTCTGAGATGTCTACCAAATATTCTTCAGAAGAATTTCTTCAGAAGAATTTCTTCTATAGAATTACGGACTGTGTGCTATATGATTTCATCAAAATAAATTTCACTCTATCAAATGATTCATTCTCAAAAATTCAATTGCTTGTATGAAAATAAACTGATAATCAAAATGCGTAGGTGTCTCAATTGTAATATGGAAGTTCAAAGAAAAAAAGTATTGAAACTGAAACCGCCAAGAAATCGAAAAATTATAATTGATATAACACCCATCATCCATTATTTAATTTTTAGAAAATGGTTCGCTATCGGCTATTATTTACAACATTCAAATTCATCTGAAAAAAGGAAATATGGCTAAATGGCTTGCTCCACTGATAATTTTCCTTGTTTCAATGGTACTTATGCTTGGATGTGCAGTCATTAAGCCAGCTGTTGTCATAAAGATTAAGAAAGTCGATTTTACATTAGATACATTTTGGATTCCACCTTTCATAGCAGCAATTATATGTCTTGCGTGCCAATTTATTCCTGCTGTAGATGCATTTCGATCTCTTTGGCGGTTTTCGACCCTAAATCCTGTAGGAATTATTATTCTTGTATTTTCAAACGTTTATATTAGTAAGTTCTTAGATACAACAGGATTCTTCAAAATGGCTGCAACATAGACAATCATGAAATCAGGCAAGTCTGGAACAAAATTATATTTTATTATCTATTTTACAGTTGCAATTATTACAATTGTATCATCAAACGATGTAGCTATTCTTACATTTACACCCTTTGTTACTTATTTTGCTAGAGCTGCTGGAATTAACCCGTTACCTTATTTATTTTGTCAATTTATGTCTGCAAACAGCTGGGGTATAATGCCGATTATATCTAATCCAACAAACATTGTTATCGGTACTGGTTTTGGTCAATCATTCGGTGTTTATGTAAAATATGCTGCAATTCCTTGTATTTTTGGTGGAATGACACCATGTATTATGTTGTATCTTATGTTCAAGAAGCAAATCACAAAAGAATTCATGATGAAAGAAAAATTACCAGAACCGAAGTCATTAATCAATAACAGATTCGATATGTGGGTTGGTGTATTCTTCCTTGCAGCTACAGTTGTTTTCATGGCTTGCAGCTCAATTCCTGGCTTCAGTATTGAACTTTGGCAAATTGCAGGAATTATGGCAGCAATTCTTTTAGTTTATAACATAATTATAGATGTATGGAGATATATTAAAGATAAACAATCTCCAAAACTGAAAGAAATCTTAGCAACTCTTCCTTATTCAATTATTCCATTTTTATTATCACTTTTTATATTGGTAAGCAACCTCACTGGTACGGGGTTGTTCCAAATCATTGGAAGCAACATAGCAAAGCTCACAAATATCTCAACTCCAATCGCTGTAACGATATTTGATGTAATTGCTACAATTTTCGGAAATGCATTGAATAATATTCCGATGTCTGTATCAATGGTACCAATTATACAAGCAACAGATAATAATAAACCTCTTGGATCCATTTACGCCGCAATTATTGGAGCAAATTTAATTGCTCTTCTTACTCCGCTTGGATCTCTTGCAGGAATCATGTGGATAGCTCTTTTAAGAGGTAACCATGTTAAAATTGGCTTCTCCGATTTCATGAAAATCGGATTTATTGTTACACCAACTGCACTCGCTTTGTCTTTGAGTGCATTGATGATAATTTTGTTGTTGTGGTAATGTTTATTAGTGTATATGTGTTTTTTCTCTCTTTTTTTTAATAAATGTATATTGTTAGAAATTTCTCTTAAATTGTGACTTTTTCTTTATGAAACTGGAGTATATTAAGATTAAAATATGGATATAAACCACTTATCCTCAAATTCTATCTCAAAACTGGAAAAACGTATCCCATCTTTTATTAGAAAATTATGGATTGCAAACCATTGATTGGAATTCAACTGTCAGTTGGATTTCGTTTCTGTTCAAAATACATGAAATTTTGGATTTCCTAAATTCTCTTGTTTTAGAAAGCTAATATAAAGTAATTTCGCAGTTTACACTCTTTTTACACAATTTAAGGGTGCACTAACGCTCATCTGACTTTAGTTCAAATTGAATTAGCCTTAAACAGTGTTATTGAAGGTCATGTCATACAGGTGTAAGTGCATCCTTTGTCAAAAATCTCAAAACTCGATGTTCTTGTATGGATAAGAAATTGATAATGGTAAAATTTTATTTCTCTACTTGCATGGAAGTATTTTGATCCTATTAACAAACAAATATGATTATAAAATATTATAATTTTGCATTTTGTGATCAAACAACTTCGCCTGACTTAGACTTCTCTTCATCTTCAAGTTGTTTAATAAGTGCATCAGAATCTACTTCAAATTTCTCTTTATTTTTGGTTAATTTTTCGAGATATTCAAAATTATAAAGAGTTTCCGCTCCAATCTGAAAAGCAATCCTACTTGCTTCATTTCTCAACTGTCTGTGTGTCATATTTGTGCCTGCAACAATTTTTGTTGAGAGTTCTCTTTCTCTTTCAACAATAGGAGTTATTTCCAATAATTTGGCATTACATTCAGAGATGTTACGGTCAAGCTCTAATTCCTTAGCTTGGTTTTCTGCAATTTGTTTTCTTAAATTTTCAATTCTGGATTTTTCGCGACGCTCTTTAGCTTCCGTTGTTGCTATAGTGCATTTATCAAGTTTGACTTCTAAATTGTGTAATTTCGAATCTAATTGATCAAATTTTTCAAAAATTTTTTCGAAATTGTTTATGAAGTCTTTTGCTTTATCAAAACGATTGTTAATATCGTTGTAAATCTTTTTAGTAATTTCATTTGTTGAAGTAGTATCAGGATCTTCTGAAAAAATTACGAGTCGATGAAGTGAATTCCGAGATAAGCGTTTTTGGATAAGGTCATCGTGTTCCTTTTTCTTTTCACTATATTCTTTCCTAACAAGGAGCTCTTTGTCATCAATTTCTTGTAATAAATTCAAAGCTTGGGATTTTCTTTGTTCTATTAATATCTGCATTATTCGACGTGATATTTTAAGTTTGTTGATTATATCTGTAAAGAATTTGCTGAACTCTGCCTTCAGACCTATCAAATCGTTCCGATAATTGATGCAAAACGTATGAAATACATTTGTAACATTTCCATCTTCGTCAATTGTTGTATCAAATATTGATAATTTTTCTCTAAACTTGTTAATTTGGACTTGTTTCTTTTTTTGTTCATCAAGAATCCCTTGCATATGCCGCATAAATATTTTCAATGGATCTCCCCTATTCGTATTAAATAATTTATAAACTGCTTCGATTTCCGATTGAAATGAAACGTATTTTTTAAATAATTCGAAATTAGCAGGCAATGGAGCATTAACATATCGATAACACTCAGCTTCTATTAATTTGCCTTTATATGTGAGTTCTTCTAGCTCTTTTTCGAGCTTACTTTTGAGTTTTGAAGGGCTTTTCATTTTGTGATAAAGTTTTATTTCTCAAATTTTGATAGGCAAAAAAAAAATCGGTAAATTGTAAACCGTTGTAAAAAGATTACATTTTATCATGAGGTTACAGAGTGGAAAGTATTATTCCATTACAGGCAATCATCCAGGAATGGCAACGAAAGCACAATATGCACTCTTGTCGATCAAAGTTGCGATTTTCAAAATATGAATGCCGAACAATCTATCATTCAGGGGGATTTACTCAGGTACATATCTAGAGATGGCAGTAAAGGAGCAACAAGAGTGCGTTTGTTTTCTAATTCGAATAATCTTAAAATCATAACTTGAAATCTGACGCTTATATGAATACATAATATTCGTCATATATTAATTATTCATATAGCTGAATTCTGTGATGAATCAATCCTTTGAACATGGAGAAGAAGAAACCGAAAAAGTGACAGCTCCGCGAAAATGATGGAAATGTTCCAGCAGGCTATGAAGCAAAATATGCCTCAGCAGCCACAAGAGGAAATACCTCCTGAGGATGATAACGGAATTCCACTTCCGCCAGGAATGACTACGCAAGTTACTGATTATCAAAGTAAACAAGGCAAAATTAAGGTCTATGAAATCAGAGAACGTAATACAAACTATGTTTTATATGGTACAATTGCTAATAATGTTCAAGGTCTTATATTTGCGTTCTTTTTCAATTTTATTTTAATGGCAATTAGACAATTCTTCGATTACTTAAGAAACGCATTTAACCTTATTAAGGATGCCATTACACACCCAAGACTTACAATTGAACAAAGACTCATCCTTGTCGCAGAATCTATTCTATTTCTCGGTTTAGCTATATTCAAAGCCTATAAATGCGGATTTATAGGAGCAAGACCTGTAAAAGAAGTACATAATCCAGCTACACCTTTTATAATTAGAACTGCATGAAATTTAAATTTTTAATAGTTATATTTTTAAGATCTGGCGCCCAGAGTGCCTTGTATAAAGCATTTCTATAGATATCTCGAATAAATATAATAAATTTACTTTCTTTTTTTGTAAATTGTAAAAAAATATTTGACAATGTAAACTTAGAGTTGATTTCTTCTATGAGATATTTGCTGAATTACACAAGGCGCCGAAACAACATAACTCAACAATTTCTTTCATCTTTTTGAGGAAGCTTATACAAATGAGGTAAATGGACAAATTTAGATGATAGCAGATTCCAAATTCACATTATAAGGTATTGGATAACATATTCGATGCCTGAACAATGTTATCCAATTCTATTGATCAATTTCTCGAAAAGTACTCATTGAGCATATAAGATATAATAAACTATTTAGTAGTTTTAGTTATAAATGTATTTGAATTTAAAAATTTCAACTTACCATCTTTCAAAAGAATCCACTTATGATTGACACTTTTTGTTTTTCGACCGTTTATTTAAAGATTTTATCGTTCATCCTCTGAAATTTAATGCAGAAGCGGGAGGGTCCAATTCTTCGATCCAGTTTGAAAAAGCGAAGCAATATAACTCAACAAGCTGGAGAACTAACATCGCAGTATGATAGAGATACCACACAATCATTTACTAAAAGAGCTAAATTTTCACAACAACCCGCTGAAGATGATTTTACGCAAAACGATATATATTCACGTCCCAGAATATTTAATGAAAGAAGAAGTGATTCTAAAAGTGCAAGACAAGATATTGCAGCAGATTCAACAGAAGTTCTTTTCCCACCTTCAGCAACAGACACAAAAAGCACAATAGGAATTCATTCTGACTTCCAAATTGGTGAAGTCAATCAAAGATTTCAATTAAATAGTAATGCTCCCGTTACATCACTTCCAGAATTCACTGATTCATATGCTCAATCGTCTCCAGAACTACAAATATTTCGCCCTTACGAGAATTCTAGACAGTCACAAATGGAATTAGATGATGTTGATAATTCAGAAATCCCTACAATCAAAGATTTAATTGTAAGTTACCTCAGTTTAGAAACGCAAGATACTCAGCAAACAGTACATAATAATCTTGAATCGTTGTTCTCTAGTTTATCGTATGGAGAACAATTCAATCTTCAAATTCCTGATTTTAAATTTTTATCTACATCTGCATTCCAGAATTTATCAAATGCATCGAGAAATATATCCGACAATATTAATATTTTCAGTGATACAATTGAAGAAATTTCACAAAATTTAATCAGCGACCCTCCTTTGTCTCTGAGAACATTAAATACACTACATCCAGATGAAGTAAGTCAAATCATATCGCGTTCCAACTCTTTTATCTCATTATTCAAGACTCAAGCGATAAATTACATTTTGAAGCAAGTTTTAGACTTTGAGAAATCATTCTCCTCGCAAACTCAGATAATTAAAAATTTACGTGATTCCTACAATTTTGGCGAAGAATTCCTTTTAAATGACCCAACAATTGCAAAAATTGAAGAATTGCAAGATATTAGAAGAAAAATTAAAGAAGCTATTGAAGCAAATGGAGATATACATAGTAGGATTCAAGCCTTTACACAACTGCGTAATTCTCTTTGTTTTGCCATTACATCTATCAAATCAGGGAACGCAACAGTTGTCAGACCAGGAAAGAAGCCACAAACAGTTTCAAATATTTCAATAATTTACAACGATGTCGCTTCTTCTTCAAGAAAAAGTGTATTATCTCTTGAAATTGCAAAATTAGCAGAAAGTGTACCAAATGTCTCTAGGTTTATGCTAAATGGTGTCGATATCGTTGAAATGACGTTTACGAGATTTTCTGGAGACTTAAGATTTAAAATTCAATTTGCTATTGACGCGAAACTTTATCCATGGGTTACATTCTGCTTTGGAGTTAATGCAAGGCTTTCTGTTAGCATTGGTAATGAAGAAGAAATCGGAGGCCAAATTTCCAGAATCTTTTCAAATATTGGCTTTGATAAGAGGCCAATTCTTAAGATTGCTCAAAGAATTAACAATGATTATCAGTTAGGTTATCAGAATCTTGGATAATTTTATAATTTTATTTTGAAATCTTTATTTTATATTTTCTTTTTTGTTTGTTAAATAAAATTTTAATAAATCTAAAAAAAAAAAAAAAAAAAAAAAAAAAAGGTAGTGGGGCCTCCAGGCACTTCGTGCCCTCTAGCCCCGAAGATGTTTAGTATAAATGAAGTATAAAATGAAGTTTTTTTGGGTATAGGGGGCTTCCCAGGGGCTGCGCCCCTTCTAGCCCATAAAAATTTTTGAGAGTCGTCGTCGTTGACTTTTTGGTAGAGCACTCAAAATAGTACAACTTTGTCCGGACAAGTAAGGGTCTATCGTCGCTACAGGAAAAGTTACGGGCGTTCCAAGGAAGTATACTTTGAGAGACTCTTTAGAAACTTTAGACGTTTTACATAACCATCCATGCTTTTACTTTACATCCGATAAAAGTGGTTTGGAAACCGTTATGAGATGGTTAGAGGACATACATGACTATGAGTTTAGATATGACAAGATAGAATATGAGAGAGGTCCTATAAACCGGAGAAAGTGTCATATAAACATCTGTCAAATGACGCTTTTTAACTTCACTTAAAATGCCACGTAAGCTACGTAAGAATATACGTAAGAGGAAGGGAGCATTGAAACATCCAATAGTAAGACTGACACCACAACAACAGTTGCAACAACAAATGCTGAATGACCCCACTATGTTGCAACAAATGTCAAGCAACCCTATGCTTTTAAACCGAGTTTTTGGTGCACAGAGTGGAGGTTTAAGAGCGGCACTTTTAGCGAAAATGGCAGGCTATGGTGGAGCTGCAGACGGAACAGCCTATAACCCTCAAAGTCAAATGAATTTGAGTTCACTCAAAAATCAAATAGCAGATGTCAAAAAGTCAAACATAGACATACAGAAGCAAATAAGTGAAAACGAAAAGAAACTAGAATATGACAGACACACAAAGAAACTCAATGAGTTAAACGTAGAGAAAAAGAAGAAAGAAGAACAACTGAAAGAACTAAGTACAGAGGAATATGCGAAAAAAGTGTCAGAAAAAGCAGCAGAAGTAGCAAAAATGGAACAAGATGTCATAAATTTGAAAAACCATACTACTCAATATAAAGTACTGAAAGATGAAGAGATAAAACAAAAAGCCCTGAAGACATATATGGATAGCGATGAGTATAAAAAAGAAGTTGAAGCAAATGTAAAGGCAGAAAAACTTTTACAGTTGCAAAACCAAACCGTACAGTATGAAAACTTAGCACAAGAAAGTAAAAATAACGACGCAGCCATGCAAAAGGCAATGAAAAGCTCAGAATATATAAAAGCTAACAATGACTGGTTAGATGCCCAAGCCAACGCTAAAGCAGCCCAGCTTATAGGGTCAATAAGGACAAAAATACAAGCGGATGAAGACAGTTCAAATGAAGCTTTAACGAATGCTGACTTAAGAACGCCTTCGAAGCTCTTCATAGTAAGGTGAAACTAGTGAACGACTTCTCATCTGGAAAGAAACTGAAGTCTGAAGGTTTCGACAAAGAGTTAAGAGAAGTAGCACAAAATATGACGAAAATAACAGATGCAGCAACGAGACAGGCAGTTCAAAGTGCCTATGACGCCGTTAGAGCAACTGTTGTGAAAAGTCAAGAAAAAGAGTTACAACAGACCAAAACAGACCTAGTAAATGCTTTCTTAAAAACGAAAAGTCAGGTAGGACATTACGCTGCAGATGGAACATATGTGCCAGCTGGTGGAACTTATATACCAGCTGGTGGAACTTATATACTAGCTAGTGGAACTTATATACCACCAAACCCTCCAAGAGAAGCACCTGCACCAGGACTACCTAAAACATTTACATCGTCACATGGACACAGACACAGGCATGCACCAAAACCAACACAACAACCAGCACAACAACCACCTCCACAACCAGCACAACAACCAACACAACAACCAGCACAGCAACCAACAGTTCAAAACCCTGCACAACAACAACCACAAACAGAGCAAGGACATAAAAGAAGTAGAGAACAAGGAAACCAAGAATTCTTAAAAATGCTTAAAGAAGAGTGTGGTTTCCCAGATACTGTTGACTTTAGTGACAGATATAAAGAAGCTATTGGAAAGTTCAAGGATGGAAATACTGACCCGAACCTATTTAGCTTTATGACTCAGCACCAAATGGGATATAATTTCAAACCTGGAAAATACAAGCTCGCTAAGGGATATGATTTAATAGCATATCATCCAAATGACATGAACGAATTTACTCCGAGATATTTGATGTCAGAGCTAAATGACAATACAACTTTCGTCATGAAACGCGTAAAAAATAGAGACGGAACGAAAGAACAAAAGCTTATGAATGCGGATGACGTAGATAGGGAAATTGTTAAAAACGGTCTCGGAATATATGAAATGCCAGCAGATGAGGTACAAGAAACTCCACAGGAAGAAATAGTTCAGATACAACCAGACATGGAAGAAATAGTTCAGCAACAACAGCTAGAAGAGCCTGAAGGAAACGAACAAGTCACTCCTTTGGAAACTAACTTCACAGAACTAGATGAAGATTTGGAACAGCCGAAAAATCTTGACCCTCAACAAGAGTATGCGGAGAATATGGAATATTTCCAAGAGTCTAAAAAAAATTCGGCTGACATAGTAGAAGAATATCGAAAAATGTTTGCCGACATACAAAAGACTCCAACACCAGATGAAAATATTCAGCATAGAATGGAAGTACTGAAAGAAAATGTACACAAATACAACAACCCTTTTTACTTACGAGCATTTAACGTTCAATCTTCGGATGAACTCGGTGAAGATAAAAGGTTAAATTTCAAGAAAACATATAGAAATGAAACATTGTTTAAAGTTCATTCAGAACCTAACCAAGATGGAAACAAACCTACTTTTGTTTCTGCAGACGATGGAACTACAATGAGATGGGGTCATAAAGCTAATCCGGATAGGTGGTTCATAAACTTACAACCACAATTCCAAGAAGTTGTAGACGCAATGGAAGTGAATGGTGAACCAGATGTAGCTGGTATTTTAAGCGCGGCTTTAATGCCATTGAAAGATATGAAACATGCAGATATTTTGGACCAGTATGAAATGAACATGGCTGATGGAAATATAACACCTGACGTTCTAGAACATTTATCTCAAAGAACTACACAGAACCATAGAGATGGTATATTTGGTGAAGAGTTTAGAAAGAAAGTTAGGGAGGGAGAAGGAAGAGAACCTATTGTACATGACCTTGCAAATGAAAGTTTACAAAATGTCATAAAACTTACTTTGCAGACAATGAACCGAGAAGGGATGAATATTTAAGAAAACTCAAATGGACAGTACCAAATGAAATGTTAGTATTGAAAAACATGTTCCTTGACAAAATAAAACCAACTACAGAAATAAATGACGCAAGACTGAAAGATTGGGTAAAAGCTTTCCCATTCACAAAAGATATAGTTGGTAACATGGAAAGAAAACCAGAATGGCTACAAAAACATATATTTGGAAACGAGCATATTCCATATGGACAGGCACTGTTTGAAGAGCTTGAACCGGAAACTCAGGAAAGAGTCATGCAAACAATACGCGAAGACTCAAATACAGACTATGACAAACTCTTTCTAGGATATAGGTTACCTGAGATGGGCGACCAGAGCCAAAAGGCAAAAAGGACATGGGAAATTTGCAACATACTAGATGAACATAATGCAAAGATGCAACAACTTCAAGCAGAGGGCAATGAAGGAAAAAGAAGAGTTAAAAACTCAGTCAGGAAGAAAGTAAAGCTTGGTCGGAGTGGGTTCTATTATGACATATAAATCCAACTATTCTATATTTTTACTCATATGAAATGTACGCCGCTCAGAATATAACGCCAACAGTTTTGGATGCTATGAATGGAAATGTTTCCGAATGGTATAACGAATGCGACAATGCCATTAGAAGGTCAGAAATAGTTCCTGGAACTTACGAATATACAACTGCTGTTTCTTATGGAAACGTAGGTGAGTTTGGAGAAGGTTCTTCAACAACAGTAGATATTGCTTGCGACAGGTTTCATATAATTTCTATTGACAACTCTTTCTTATACGTGGAACAAGACATTGAAATAAAACCTTCTGCCAAGTTGTCTGACAAGAAAGGTTGCAATGGAATTTTCTATGTCGGATACCAATATGCTCCAGAAGTTTTCATGGGATATAAGATATATTCTAACTCTGACTTAGTTCAAACAGTAACATGGGCAAACTATGAATGGTTCGCTTGAGAAACTCAGTACAACCACAAGCTAGAGAACAAACAGACCAGTATGCAACTATTGAGAAAATAAGAAGACTTGACCCTAACGTTCCAGGAGTTTATGTTAACCTTTCTGGTTCAGATGGAACTGCTGCCACTAAAGTAAAACTGAAACTTAGAGTTCCTTTGTCATCTTTCCTCATCTTCAGGTTTTTAAGATACTTGCCAAACTGGGCAGGAAAAATTTCTATCGAACTTACTCCAAGCAAAAATAACTTAGTCATTGCACCAACGCAAGACCCATTCACTCTTACTGTAGCTGGAACTGGTGGAGCCAAGTTCTGTGACTTTTGCAAAGACAAAGTTGACTTAGACTTTGGTTTCTCAAACTTCAACACTGAAGTAAACTATTATTTCAATGCTGCTGGAACTGCTTGGGACCCAGTTAAGTTCACATGCGAAAAGTTTGAATGCAAGAGAATAGAAAGCAGACTTGCAGTCTATATGTTGGACCCAGATATTTCAAATGCTTTAGCTGCCAAATATATTGCAGTTCCACTTATGTTCCCTATACACCAAATATCTGTCAAAGACTTTGCAGGTGAAGTTGGAAACCAAAGTGCTGACCCAGGTGCAAGAACAGATATTGCTTTAACAACTGCAATGAAACATGCAGATACTATGTTTGTACTGTTCAGACGAACTATAAATGACTATTCTTGTTTCTACAACCCTGGTATTAAATATCATATAAACATAGATGGCAAATACTATCCAAGAGAAGAATATTCTACAGTTGAGGATATGAGGTCATACAACTTGACATTAGATGCTATGAACTTTAACAACAACTTCACAACAACCATTAACCCTGAAATGCAAAGTTCTATTATGCCATATGTGAAAGTATGGACTCATACAGGAGGTCAAAAAACTCAATATACAAATGGAGACCGTTCAAACTTTTGGCTTGGCATTCCATTTGCTGACTCAGAAGACTTTATGGGTGGTATTTCAACTGTTGGTACTGTACAAATACAATATACTGGTGACAGAGACGGTCCAAATGAATTGAAAGCAAAGAAGTTTACAAAACCAATAGCACTTTTCACGGAAGATGCTCTTTTGAAGATTCGTTCGATGAAACCTGCTGGGGGCTCCTCAGATTGGTATAACGACAGCTTCCATCGAGCAGATTTTGGCAGCAGGTCAGTAAGTTGTTCTTGAACTGACTTCTCTCCGTCAAATATTGACAGTACGCCAGTTTTGACATAAAATTGTAAGATAAACTTACCTTTAGAAATATCTGTAAGTTTTGTTGTTATATTTTTGTCTGCTTCAAGAACTTTCACCATTTCAGTTATACCAACTTTCTTTGCTTTATGAAAATATTTTGGTTCAGCAAATATTGCTATTCTATAAACATTTTCCATTGTTTGTATAAAGAACTATTCTGTCAATGTATTTGTATGTTGTGTGTGTAAACTTTGTTCTGCTTCAATTCGAAGAGATACTCGAATACGTCCATTTTTTATTCTAAGTAAAATGTCATTTCCGAAAAATAGAAGCGTAAGTGTTTTCAAAAGGTTTAATGGCGGTGCAGATGTGAAGTTAAATTCACCAACTCAAACAAACAGTCAAAGTGTTGTTGTCAATGTCAAAGAAAGAGATTTGAAGTGGGGAAACCATACGAAGACGAAGATGGTATACAATAGTTCCTGTAAAAGAACAACCAACATACCCTGAAGTTAGCAGAGACTTAAGTTCTGTTGCAGATATTCGAAACGACTACCAACAACTTAAAGACAAACTTAAAACTCAGGAGAAGATTTTGTCAAGCTTTGGGTATAATGTTAAACTTGGTCGAACACAACCCTGTAAAAGTGAACTCATATGTCATTGCACCTCATGAAGTTTTGAAAGAACTATTGAAACTTTTGACAGAGGCAGACGATATAAACATCAAAGAAATAGAACCCGACATTGCTTGCTGTGGTGTTTCATATAATGTCATTGACAAGATATACGTTATGAAAGGAGGTGAAACGTTGAACTTAAAATATAGTTTCCCAGACGTCATAAAAATATTTGACGACCACAACATTTCATTAAAATTTAGTTGCTAAGTAAATGCAGAAGACACAATGGTTTATACTATTACGACTAAAAACCCTGAGTCATATAATTCTATAACAACAAACTTACAAAGTCCTCAAGGACGATATTGTAAACTAACTTTAAACACAATGACGACTAAAGCCTGTTTTGCTCTTTTGACACCAGAGACTTTATTGTTGTGAATGGTAAAAAATACTCCTTTGAAGATACTTACTCAGATATACCACCAACAGGTTTTGTTGACTTATTTAATACTTTAAGGACGGATGTAACATGTGCTGCAACTAGAGCAGGTTTCATTATGTTTGGATGTCCGACTGAGTTTAGTATAAACGATATGAGCTATAATACAAAACTTATATCTGGTTTTTACTACCAACAGTTTCCTATAACAGGAAAAGGTGTCATACAAGGTCTATCTGTTCCATTGACTTTAAGTACACCTATTTTATATATTGTTTCAAACTTAGGTTCAAAGTGCTATTCGAATGTCGACAGAAACTATTATGACCAAAAGATACTCATGCGTATAAACAACACTTTCTCTGCTGGTTTGCCTATTGTTCATTCGAATGCAAGTTTTCAGCTTTAGTGAACTCAAACACTTTAGCAAACATAAACTTAACCTTAGTCGACGCAAACTTTGTTCCTGTAAAACTTTATGTCCTATGTACTTGTCAATGACGGCAGAAAGTTTCGAATTGGAAAGATGCAACTGGTGAAAGTATGTATTACAAGAACAACTTCAACAACAAAATAGCTCAAGAACAACAAATGCAACAAATAGCTCAAGAATAAAAAAAATATTTTTTTTATTTTTTTATAAAAATGTACAGAATAGATGTTTCAGATTTTTATGACTTCCAAGCGTTCAGAAATATGTGTCCATTTCGAGACTATAACAAAGCAGTCGAGAATTTGAAAACGTTTAGTCATTTATGTTGACTCTGCCCCAGAATGTTATGTCATGAAAGAATGGGATGTTGTCTTTAACAAACCTAAAGCGACAATAGTTTCAGAACAAGAATGTAGACAGAAACTTAAGAAAATAAAAGTCGTACAAGTTGGCATGAAGATGTTAGATGCTTGGGATATCTTATTGTCAAAGTTAGAAGATTTTTCAGTTCGAGGTAAAGTTCTATACACCTTCTCCAAACTTCTATTCTATCTTCACTGGATATAAATACGAACAAGTAGAATGGAAAGAAAATATTATAGAAGCTTGGTTAGACCATGTCAAAGAAATTATATGCAATGGAAACGAAAGAGTCTATGAGTATATCTTATGTTGGTTTGCAAACATCTTACAACATCCAAGTGCTAAAAATGAAACTGCTCTCATTATAATTGGAAAACAAGGAACAGGTAAGAACACTTTCTTTACAGATATTTTGTGCAAACTGTTAGAGGGCTATTCGAATCCGAATATGACAAACTTAGAAAACATCTGCGGTAAATTTAACTCTTCAATAGAGAATATGAAACTTATAGTATGTAACGAACTTCAAAGTATAGATACAACAAAAGTTTTGAACTCAGATGCTTTGAAGAGTCTTATAACAGACAAAGTTGGAGTTGTTGAAAGAAAATATAAAGACCAAAGAGTTTGTGAAAATGTTGCAAACTTCGTCATGGTTTCAAACAATGCTGTTCCGATGAAGTTAGAAAGTTCTGACAGAAGATATGTAGTTGTCAGAACGTCAGAAGCTCATATGCAAGATACAGAATATTTTGACGACTTAGCAGAAACTTTGACATCTGACTTTTACAACCACTTGTTCTCATATTTCATGACATTAGATATTTCTAAGTTCAATCCAAGACAAATTCCACATACCGAAGAAAGACAAACATTGTTAGAAGCAAACAAGAGTGTATATGAACTGTTCATAGAAGAAAGCGACTTTGAGTGTTTAGATGAAAGGTCATTGTACGATGAATATAAACAGTATTGTCAAGAATATGGTTATATGGCAGCTTCTAAACGTACATTCTTGGCAAATGTCAAAATCTTTTTAGACATACAGAACGGCGTATATACAAAGAAAAATTTTCTGAGTAAATTTTAAAATATATATATTTTTTATTTTATTTGAAATGTACGCTGAGTTTGTTGGAACAGACCTAGATAACGAAAATAGATATGCGCTATTCTGTTAGATTGTCCTTATGAAATGTATGAAAAAAAGGCTTTATATGAAGAATATAGAAAATATTGTCATGAAAAACGATATAAGACTAAGCTCTAGAGAAAAATTCTATGCTGGTATAAAAACATCTTTTCGAAGTTCGGAATGGCAAATATAGAAAGAAATAATTTTATGAGTAAATTTTAAAAAAAATATTTTTTTATCCGATAGAAAAGATGACGAAATATATTTCAGTCAACAAAATATGTCAGGACTTAAAGAAGAACTAGACCCATTCGCTTATTTGAATGTTTACTTCTACCATTTTGAAAAGTCTACATTTGACAAAGTTTGGAACATCGAACCAGTTAAGTTTGCTATTGTGACTAAAAATGGTGCGAAATTTGAAGACTTAGACATAGAAGGTTTGTTAGCAGTCAAAGAAAATTTTGACAGAAGGTTCTCAAACCTTAAAGAAGGCAAAGCATACAAACTTGTTATACCTTATGAACCAAAGAAAGCAGACGACTATGAATATTATGAGTCTAAGATAGTTGAAGTTCAAGGTAAATTGGGTAAAAAGATTTTAGAGTCTAAGCCAGTGTTTGCTCCTAAAGAGGAAGAGAACATTGACATTGACCCAGAAATGTTCTAAAAATAAAATTTTATTTTTACATGTCATACTCACCTTCTCTGGAACTGGTTCAGGTTCTTTCTTCTCTTCTTCTACTTTCTTTTCTTTCTTTTCTCTCTTTCCTTTCTTCTTCTTTTCTGGTGGAGTTATGTCAAATTTGGCGCAACCATATTTATGTAAAAGTTCTTTGTCCTTTAATAGCTCTTCTATTCTGTTTTCTATTTCATCTTCAAGAACAGCGCATGTGCCTTCTTTGCATTCTAAGAACTTTTGTTGGACTTCATCTTTCCAATCGGCGTCATCTCTGTCAACAAGTCTGTCATTGACAAACTTAAAGACTTCTCTGCCTAATGTTTTATGGTTCTTGTCATATTCCCAGAAACAGAACTTTAGAACAAATTCACCTTTCTTGTTTACACTATGTAAGATTTTATGGTCGACAGAAGTTTTAGAGTCAAAAAGCTTGTCTCGAATATAGATAGCGAAATCACTAGACATTTTCTAAAAGATAAAAATTTTAATTTTTCTAAAAATATGTTAGAAAAAAAGTTTGCTGACATTGACAAAAAATTTGAGAATGTTTTAAACAAGAACAAGAGAAAGTTAGAAAATGCTCAGATAAAGCCTATACATGAAAAGTTCTTATTTGCTCAGAATGGTATAACAGGTCTAATTGCACCACCTGGGTCGGGTAAGACTTTCACTTATCTTAAAATGGCTGCACAACAACAAGAACTAGATGAGAAGAACCCATTCTATGAGTTAGTTGTTATTTGTAGTACTTCTGGTCAATTCGATCAAACCGTCAATTCGTTCAAAGATATTATAAAGAAGTCTAAGTTAGTATGTATAAAGGATACTGAGTTGTTAGATTGGATAAAGAAGTACCAAAGAAGAGTTTTGAAGTATAATGCTATAAATGAGTATATAAATTCGAAGTTTAAAGACCCAAATGAGGAAATGCAAAGAATATTAGAGAAGAAACACTTCAGAAACAAACAGAAAGAGATAGAATACATTTCGAAGAAATTGCAATCTTACGATTGGAAGACTTACCCTCATAGATGTCTTCTTATCTTAGATGATTTCGCCTCTCATCCTTTGTTAAAGAATAGAGAACAAGATATGTGTCGAATTCTTAAGAAGCTCAGACACTTTAACATCTCAGTTGTCATTTGTGTACAGACAGCAAAGAGTTTAAGTAAGGATGTTAAAAGAATACTTACTGACATTATACTTTTCCCTGGATTGTCCGAAGACGATTTCATGGAACTTATGAAAGAGTCCATGGCAGGTAAGTTTGACAGACATGAACTATGGGAGAAGTACAAAGTCATACAAGACCCTCATACTTCTTTCAGAATTCATATCTACGCAAACAAAGTTCAAATTGTAAAAAGTCAAGCGTAAAAATGTAAGTGTTGAGTCGTAGTAAGTCTGTTGTGGTGCTGGGGCTGTCGGTTCTTCTGGCTTTGGAAGACATTCAGGAAGAGGAACGTCGGACATTCGTTTGTGTCTTAACCGTCTTTGTTCTGAAACAATATAATATTGTACTGAATAAGTACAATATTGTCTTGAAAAAGTACAACATTGTCTTGAAAAAGTACAACATTGTCTTGAAAAAGTACAACATTGTCTTGAAAAAGTACAACATTGTTCTGAAAAAGTACAACATTGTCTTGAAAAAGTTCAAGACTTGTTCTGAAAAAGTACAGCTGTACTCAAATTTGAGAGACATTGTACTGAATTTATACAACATTGTACTGAATAAGTACAATATTGTCTTGAAAAAGTACAACATTGTCTTGAAAAAGTACAACATTGTCTTGAAAAAGTACAACATTGTCTTGAAAAAGTACAACATTGTCTTGAAAAAGTACAACATTGTTCTGAAAAAGTACAAGACTTGTTCTGAAAAAGTACAGCTGTACTCAAATTTGAGAGACATTGTACTGAATTTATACAACATTGTTCTGAAAAAGTACAACATTGTTCTGAAAAAGTACAATATTGTCTTGAAAAAGTACAACATTGTCTTGAAAAAGTACAACATTGTCTTGAAAAAGTACAATATTGTACTGACTCAGTATGGAGCTTGACCCCCTAGACGAAGCAATTTATCTAATTGAAATTAACGAGCTTGTTAAAGACTTCCTCAGGCAGAATGTAAAGGTCAAGCTTGAAAAATAAAGATTGAAATTTACCCTACTTGTTTGAAGTTGTCGAAATACTCTGTTATTTTTTCCTTTAACAATGGCAAATCTTCTTTGAATGTAAGTATTGTACAACCTTTCATATCATAGTGTGTTTGAGGTAACGTATCTTGAACTATCTGTTTAACATCTTCATTTGGTGTCATTGAAATCGGTAAGTTTTCGCGATAGAACCAATTTCTGTCAGATTTGTAAATCTTAGCAAGGTCGTAAAAGCTTTTGTTGTTTCTTCTGACTAAATGCAACATAACCATATCTCTGTCTTCTTCATTTTCCATCTCTTCAGTATAAATCATATACTTATAGTTCTTTTCCTTTCCTTTTGGTACCGAACGTGGTATTCTTTTCTGAATGTTTTTGTCTTCTTTCATCATATCTTCTCTCTGCTTTGTACAAAGTTCGTCAAGTAGCATAAGTATGTAGATTGCATAACGAGGTGAAGCCCACATTGCTATTGAACTAACTAGGAACTTATGAACATATATACCTTTTAGATACAATGGTAAGTTTTGCCTGTCTTGGTACATCTTTTTAAGTTCTACATGTTCAAACTCACTGAGGAGTTCATGAGTGCTATTTAATTCAAACCAATCTTGTGGTTTCATAGTATCTGGAGCAAAACATGCTGTCAAAATACTTTGCATTTGGTACATATCGTCTTTGACCGAACGAATGAGACGGAGTTGTTTGTTAAACTGTATGTACTCGTATTCTTCATTTATGGCTTCATGAACGATAGCAGTTGTTGTGTTCTCTGATGTTGACATATCTGTTTCTTATATACAGGATAAAAAAATATTTTATAAAAAACTAACTTTATTTTTTCTATCTTAAGGAAATTCATGATTTCATAGAGTTTTGGCTACCCCTGTAAAAGTCGGTCTAGAGAAATTTCATGAAATTTGGTCATTTTTCAATAAAAATATATTTTAGGGTAGATGGTTAGATCTAACCTGTCTTCTACCCTCTTTTCTACCCCAGTTATTTTATAAGCGTTTTACATGGTAAACGTTATTTTTACATGTATTTTTCAGCAACTTCGTCAAATAATTTTATAGCTTTATCTATCTCATCTACTTCAAACGTTTCTTTACCTTTTATGGGAGCACCATACATTTTCTCAAACTTTTCAAGTAGTTCTGTTTCTGCAGCTCTCATATCATTAACTAACACAACCTTGACTATATTGACTGTACTGTCATATCTTAGAGTTATATTATATGTCCTTCCTATCTTATATCTCTTTGTATTGAAGTCCTTCGGTTTCTGAACGATGTAAAGTAAGCCTTCACTGCAACGTTCCGTATCGAATGAACCATATGTTATGAAGTTATATCCAACAACTGGGTCTAACCATAACAAAACTATTGGTATAAGACTTTTGTCGATGAGATATGCTGTAGTTCCATGAAATCTTACCGATATCAAAAGCTCAGGATTTCTTGTCAAAATTTTCTGAGTTGAAGCATTTCTAACCCAGTCCTTTGCTCTCTTTCCAGATAGTGTTAGAATGTCTGACAAAGAATATTTGTTGTATTTCTTTGAGTATCTTACGTTTAAATCACCTATTCTAACCACTTTGGTGTCATTGTCTATCTTTCCAACTGTTTCAAACTCAATGTTTGACATCTCTTTCTTTAAGTCAGCATAGTCGTTTCTCATACGTTCTATCTCTTTGACGGAGTAGTTATATTTCCTCATTGCTGCTTTACATTTAGAACATTGTGGGTTCATTTTAGCATTGTACATTGAAATCTTACCTGCTAGTATGACTAAGGCGTCAATTGCTCTCTTTAACTCAAAAGCTGCTGGTTTTATTTGTTCATTCCATATCTTACCTCTTCTATCTTTATCTCTTATCTGCCATACACATTCAGCAACTAACGAAACAAAGTTGTCGTAGGTCTTAAACTCCCCAGATTTGTATATGTCAGAGATGTTCTTATATACCATATCGCAATCTTTGTCCATGACTTTGTGGTTGCAATGAAATCCAAGAAACTCATAGTTAACCTTTCGTATGAACTTCTTTATTTCTACTGAGTCAGTTGCTTTGACTTCTATTTCATCGAATTCAGGAATAGTGAGCTTTTGTTGTTGTATTTCAGGAAGTTTAGGTAGATGGTCAATAATATCCTGCATTTCATAAAGATACTGTTCATTTGTTTCATCTTTCGCACTACAGTCTAAAGTACTTGTTAAAAGTTCTTGCTTTATCTTCTGGATTTCTGTTTCGAAAGTATATGAAGAAGGAATGAAGCTTTTCATCTCTACTAACATTGACGTAGGATTCATGACTAAAGAGTTTGGTGCTGTTGTTGCTAACATGTTCTTACAATAAAAATAAAAAATATTTTTTTAAAAAAACCAACTTTATTTTTTATTTCGGGAAAACTCATGAGGTTAGAAAACATGTACGAAGAAGTCTTGACAAAACATTTACGATGAAATCATGACAAAACATTTACGATGAAATTCATGACAAAACATTTACGATGAAATCATGAAAATTCAAGAGGGTAGAAAAGAGGGTAGAAGACAGGTTATATCTAACCTTCTACCCTAAAATATATTTTTGGGTCCTTTACACTCATTACGATGAAGAAGTCTTGACAAAACATTTATGAAGAAGTCTTGACAAAACATTTACGAAGAAGTCATGACAAATTCAAGAGGGTAGAAAAGAGGGTAGAAGACAGGTTAGATCTAACCTTCTACCCTAAAATATATTTTTGTCGAAAATAAATGGTTCATTTACTCACAATATTTTTGTACAAAACAACCCCAAGCTTTTAACCTCTCTTCTGCAGCTTCTAATGAAATTTTAGCGAGTTCATATTCTCTAAATTCTCTCTTTAAATCTTCTTGTTCCCATTGGTCTAGTTCGTATGGAGAGTCTCTATAACCAGAACATATCTCACGTTCATGTTCTATTTGTTTTTCATGCATTTTTCTAACTTCTTCTTCGAACAAAGGTTTTGCATTCTCTACTGTATCTTCAAGTTCTTCTTCATCTAACTTCTCATGAACTTTCTTGTCTATGGAGTCCATAATTTTTCCAACTGCTATGCAATATTTTGGAGAAGCCCACATTGCTATATAGTTTACAAGTCTTGGGTCTACATACATTCCTCTAACCTGTTTGATTTCATCAGGAATTCCTGCATGAATTTTGTATAAAAAGCAACCCGCTGTTTTCCGCGGGTTGGTATATTCTTCACAAAATGCCTTAAAATACTCTTCCCAGGACTTATTTTCCAACAACCTTCTAAAGTCTTTCCTAAACTGCTGACACATATTTGTTGCATTTACATAACCATCCTTGTCTCTACGTAAGACTTCAATACCGTTGTAAGTGCCTTTTGTGAATGTTTCGCCATTAGATTTGTTCGTGAACGTTTTTGCTTCGACTGTCATACTGTTCTTACAATAAAAATAAAAAAATATTTTTTGGTGGTACGTCGGACATTCGTTTGTGGCTTAACCGTCGGACCACAACGATAAAATCTATTTCCTGTGTTGTTGTCAAAATGTCATGTTGTCACCATTTTCAAAAAGATGTTAGTTGACCGAGTGACCTGGTGACACCTAAAATATATTTTTTTCTATCTTAAGGAAATTCATGACAAATTCAACGGGTGAACTTTGTATAAAAAGCAACCCGCTGTTTTCCGCGGGTTGGTATATTCTTCACAAAATGCTTGTTTTGAGGTCGAGCCACTTTTGGCTCCACCTCTTTTTTCAACCAAAAACTCATTTTTGTCGAATTCAGCACTTTTCCGTAGTTGTATATGAAAGACAATTCGGGATGAAATTTCTTCATCTGAAATAGTCCTACCAGTATTTGTAAAGATATAGTCTAACGGTTTTGTATCTGCTACTTTTGTTCTTTGTTTTTCAACCTGAAGCATTTAATATATGTAAAAATATACTGTTTTAAAATGGTATGCCATATAGCTTCTTGAATTTGTTAAGAAGTATTTGAACGTATTTTCCATCTGTATCTCTAGTGTTTACATAAGCATAGCCCGCCTTAGTAAAATATACTTGTAATTTCCTATAGTTTACGCCGGTATAAAAGTAGAAAGAGTCTTGTTCTTCGCTATAGTAGTAAAACTCAAACGTATGCTTGCCATAGTCTGTAATTTCAATTGTTTCATCTTCTAGTTCGTCGACAAATTCGAATACAATATCTCCAAATTTGCCTTTGTTCTTATTGTTTTCAGAACGAGTGACCCAACGTAAGTTTTCAAGTCTATTGTCGTTTCTTATATGGTTTATATGGTCTACAAAAGGTAAATTGTTAGGATTCAGTATAAAATGAGTTGCAATGACAACATGTTTAAGATAGTGTTTTCCACCCATCTTCATAATAGCATATCCGTCATTTCGCTCCCATTCGCTTAAAACTCTTTTTGTCTTTTTGTTTCTGACTTCAAATGACTCACAACAGTGAATTTCATATTTCTCATCTAACAAACAAGTTTCCCAACGGTCTGTTCCAACAAACTCAGCGTACATTTCAAATAAAATAAAAAAATGTTTTTTTAAAAAAATGTTTTATTTCATGCAATGTTTAACTATTTCACCATCTTCTTTAACACCCCAGTACTTCCTTTTCGATATTACATGAACTTCAGAAAATACCTTATCTAGCTTAAAACAGCCCATCTTTTCACCGACCATTCCCATTTCAATGAGTTTGTTGTACCCTTCTTCGTTCGTCATGAGTGCGTCAATGTTCTCATAGTATACCACAACTTTCGATTTGACCTCGGAGAAGAACTCATTGTAGTTGTCAAGGACTGCTTTTGCGAACTGAGGATAAGACCAATGTTCGACAATAGGTTTTACTGTGGTTACTAAGCCACCTTGACCTTGAGTAAATTCGTATTTCAAAACAAAAGGGGAGAACCTTTCAACAAAGTTGTCGACCTTCTCATAGTGTTTACTCTTCATCTTTTGAGGTTTTTTAATGGAATATCCCCATGTCGAATTCATAAGCAATTTGAGTGTCATTGCAAGTTTGGGGTTTGAAGCTTTCCTAATATCATAGAGTTGTTGTATGACTTTTCCAACTGTATAGTTCCTTCCTGGGAACTCACCGTCTTCGTTTGGAATTCCAGTTGGAATATATTGGACGAACCTCATGTACGCAGCGTTAAGGTCGACATAGTATATCTTTTCGTTTGAGTCGAACTTGTCGCAACCAATGGGTCCAGTTCGTGGAAATTCAAGTGAGTCTCTTATCTTCTGAGAAACTTCGCCTGCTATCTCATAAACATCGTCGAAGCAACCTGTTTCATATAAAACCTTCTGACCTAACTCCGATGCTCTCCAATACAATTTGACGTCAATTGGATGTCTCAATGGAAGTTTGTTTATAGCATCTTGAAGTTCTTGCAACCTCATTGGAAGTTCTTCTGGTTCAGGTTGGTATCCGAACAATCCAACTCCTTTTGGAACAGTGTACTTCTTTTGTGCTATAACTTTGTCTGGAACAACTTTTGGTCTTGCTAACAATGAAAAGTTTGTTTCGTCTTTTGGTACAAAAGTTTCTGTCAGCTTGTCATCTGGAATTGGTTCCAACAAACCTTTCTCGAAAAGAATGTTAACAGCTCTGACAATGTTGCACTTGCCTTTTCCGAACATAAGACTTTCGTTCAACATGAAGTGGTTGTGGACAATTACAATCTTCAACCATGGTAAGTCTTTGTCAACAACATAGTCGTCATGTGAAGAACCTTTAGCTGTAGGTATGTTGACTCGGATATTGACATTTGCCAACGGTGCAACTTTTGCCAATTGACCTCTAAGAATGTACCTTGTCTTCACACATGACTCAAGATACTTCATCTTCTCTTCTGTAACAAGACCAGAGTTCCTGAGACATGTAAGAATACAAGGTTCATTGACAATTTTTTCAATTGAATTGTAAATTCCATACCTTGTCAAGTCAATGTCAGACTTATTTATGAACGGGAAGTATCCAGCATGTTGTCTGACTGCTTGAGGGTTAGGTTGGTACCATTCAAATTTTACACTTGCAATTCCTTCAATTGCATTCAAAATGTCTGAGTCGGAGTCAAACATTTGTTCTCTCTTTGTAGTCTTGAAAGCGTCAAGAAGTTGTGCGGCTGTTGTGACATTGCCATGTGCATAGTAAATGTGACCGTCCAAATCTGTTACGGTTAGTCTGAGATTGTATCCTTTCTTATTTCCGTCTTGTATGGCAGCAAGTACTCCCATGAAGCCTTCTTTGTTCTTTCCTTCGTCAAAGTTTACTGTAAAGGTTCGACCAGATGTAATTTGACTTCTAACTTCACGGTACTTTTCATATGCATATCTTGTTCTTTCCATGGGAGCATGTTTGTCTTCACCTTTTCCTTTTTTCCTTCTCAAAGGATGCAATTGTTCGTTATGTTTCCAGTAGAATCTGGCAAAGCCGTCGTGTCCTTCAACTTGAGGCTCACTAACATCGAAAGGCATGTCCATAAGACGTTCTTCTTCTAACCTCTCTAGTCTGTTTGGATAATTTGCGCGTGCTGTTTCCAATTCCATTTCGTAGCGAAGACCAGACAATTTGTCATAGACTTTTATGGGTCTTCCCTTCCTATATTTAAAATTCTTCGAAACTTTCCAACCATATCTTTCTAACTCTGCTTTTATTCTAGCAGACTTTCTATCCATTCTATGCGGGGGCATTTTTATAAAAATAAAAAAAATATTTTTTTCTTTACTTTACGTAACCACCAGCTACCAGAAGCCTTTGACGCCAACCCATACCAGCTAATGAAGGTTGACTAAACTTTGGTTTTGGTTTATCTTCAGTTTTTGGTTTTTCTTCTTCTATCGGTTTTTCGTCACTTTTCGGTTCCTCTGACTTTACCTCACTTGCAGGTATGGTTGTGTCGTTAACATCTTCATAAATATCATATGCCATTTGTTTTTGTTTTCCTTTCAACTTTTTGTGTTTGTTGTAAAGTTTAGAATATTTCGACTCTAAGTCAATGAGATGTTCTATAATGAACTGTTGGTCAGTGAAGTATACCTTCCCATCTGTTGTCTCGAAAGCTCCTTCAGACTTCAATATTTTATTTGTGAGAGTCTGTTTCTTTTTTGAGATACTAGCCGTTCCATTTCTATGAAAAGTGACTTTATAGTTGGGGTTTGTATTTCCAGACCTGGCACTTTCTATTATTGAATTTTTCTCTTCATCTGTAAGTTCTTTGACAGGTTTTGACAATGGTTCTGAACTTTTTGTTTGTGGTGTCAAATCTACCGTTTCAACTTCTTCGGTCATTTCATCTCAGTAAAAAATTTTAGTTTGGTTTGTTTTCAACTGGTTGTTTAGGTTTTTAAGTCGGTCTAAAACTTCCTGAGGTATAGGAAGAACTTGACAAACACGTGGTTGTGTAACTGCTGGAAGTCGACAAATCCATCTTGAACCCATTTGTCTCAATGCTGTATTGTTCATTTCATCTCAGTAAAAAAATTTACATTCCCCACGTTTGAGGCGGTTGCGGTTGGTTGTTGTTTACCCACTGTTGTGCATGGTTATATCCTCTGTTAAAGAATCTTTCACCTTGGTCCATATAGTGCCCTGCTTGGTTATAGTAGTCATTTGCTTTGTTATAGTAGTTTCCTGCTTGTCTTCCTACATTGTCCATCCATCCTTGAACTTTTCCTCTTGTTTCAGGATTTGGAATAAGATTTGCTGCATCTCGTGCTACCTCCCAACCTTTCTGTACAGTTTGTATAATAGGTTGTGCTTTCTCTTTCAGTATACCTAATGTACTCAAAATCTTCCTTCCAATTCCAAATGCACCTCTGGCTATTGTTCCCACTGCGGGCAAAAAATCTGGATGCAACTCCTGCTAATGCGCCAAATAAACCCATTTCTTATGGGTTAAAAAATGACGAATCCAAACAAGGACCCCTATGTTTCTAAGGCAACAAAGAAAGCACTCATGGTAAAAATCTTTAGTTCAACACCAAATGCTTGGTTTATGGATATCTTGGAAAACATTCCGAGGTATAGAGAAGATGGACCACCATACTGGCTAATATTTGTCGGTCAAAACACAAGATACTGTGAAGCCATACCATTGCAGTCCAAAAATATTTTTAGATGTGAAAACTGCTTTGACAATATTCGTTGACAAATACCATCCAACAAAACTGACATCTGACTGTGAAAGTTCTTTCAAATCAGATGATATTAAAAACTATCTGCGTTCAAAAAATGTAAACCAATATTTCATTGTCGACCAAAACCATTCTGCTCTTGGTGTCATTGACAGTTGTATAAAAATCTTAAGAGACTTAAACCAACCACAAGGTGGTGAGGTAGATGAAATGTCATATGACGACAAGTATAGACATTTCTCCATGGCAAAGATGAGACAAGTTTTAAA